GGAGATGTGGTACCATGTAGAACAGTAACTCGTGCAAGTCTTGCCGGTTCCAGGTCGGTTATGCTACTGGCATGGTCAAGCTTTCTTGCCATGCCCCTTCGAAATGGGTCACAACAGCAACAAGTGAAACGAGCCAACTCCGATCCTGCTCCGTCTGCTGCCCAGCTGCTTCCGGGTGTGTGCCCCAGGGAAGATGCCCAGATTGGGATGCGCCAGCGCTCCTCTGCAAGAGAACTCGCAGCTTGGAATGCGCAGGCAAGCAGCTAAACCCTAGCCGCGTAGGGAGATACTTCTTCTTTCGTTGACGCAAAGCAGGCACATCCTGGCAGTACGCGTCTGAAAACGTGAAGACAGTATCGTTACTCTACTAAGCGTGGTTCCAAGCAGGTACCTGAGGCGGGGCCCCAGCTCAAAACAACCTGCACTGAGATTACCCAAACAAAGAGGTCTCAGCCAGCCAAGGCGCGGCGCTCTTCAGGCTCGTCCCTGAACAGAGACTGTCAAAGCGCTTGAGAATCTGAGCGGTCATTTTGGGAGTCCGAAGCAGTGATCTCCCAAGTCTGTACTCCTACGTTGTCGTCGGTATTGTCGAAAGAAGCAGGATCAGCAACAGTGTCGCAGGAATGGAAGAAATCATTGGGGGGTTGTGGTATGTACTTAGCAGGTAGCAGGCCTGATGTCCAACACGAGCGAGAGGTTCTCGTTGATGAGCTGGCCCTCGGAGCTTCGGAAGACGAAGTCGTAGACCTTCGTCTCATCTCTCAGGTCCGCAACACAGCTCCAGGGACATGCCTACCGGGTTTAAGTGCAAGTCAACGGATATGAGGTAGACTTCCGCAAAACTAGCAATGGCCATGACACGCGCAGCAGCAACAGCGAAGCTCCATCATAGCTGCAGTAGCCCGAGTGACAAATTTGCAGATACGTACAAAGAGAGTGGCCACATCCGTTCGACTGCTGTCTGCTCTGACGATTGTCCATGTTGACATTGCTGCTGCGAGTACGACTGCAACTGCGGAGTCTTGTCTAACTCCTGCTCCGTTTCGGGATTTACAACTTCGCTGCCCGTGTTCCCCTAAACCCTAAACTGCCCTCACCCCTAAACCATAAATCCTAAACCATGGACCTTCTTAATACTTAATAATTAGAATAGGGTTTTGGGGCCCGTTATACTATAAGTATAATAAGGAACCCCCCAAATAGTATCTAAACTGCCCTCAACCCTAAACCTCCTCCAACCATCGCTTTCCTGGCCAGGCGCCACGGCGCCGGTGACTTTGGGGGCCGGGACTTCCAAGGCAAGCTCCACGGTGCAGCCGGCAGGGACCTCAGAGGGTCGAAACTCGGGGGGGTAGGAATTTTATGTACTTGAGGGCTTCAGGCTATGGGACTTGGTGAGGGTTCTGGGTTTCGGATTTTGGACTTCCGGGAATAGGGCCTTCAAGGTATGTTGGCTTTCTGTTTTGAGGGTTTTTTCCATCCGCCTAGGTTAGCATTGGAACTGCAAATTCGGAGGAGCCATTTGGCCAGGGCTCTAAGACACAAACAACCGGTACCCCCAACCATTTGGGTCTCTCCCCTGAAGCCTCCGCCAAAAGAGCGATGCCGCTTTAGGGGGTTTAGGGTTCAGAGGGTTTTAGGCTGTGTTGGGGCTGCAGGGTTTAGGATGTTCTCCGTTTTGCAAGCCTCTGCCGCCATATCACTCACCCCCGTATTTTCTGCTCAGAGCAAATGACTCGGATGATCTATGCTCTTCGTCCGAAATCGCGGCAACGTTTAGCCCAATGCTTAAAACATGTGGGCACGAGATGCCACTGGACCATGCGAAGGGCGACGGAACAAACGCTCCAGCTGTTGAACTGCAGGACAGCATAGCAGAATCCTACGTGCTGATATTCTTGTCACGGTTCCATCCCATGCTCTTCCCTCAACTGGGCCCTCGGCTGTGTCAGGAACCGTCACCACCGCAGCCTTGCAGCACGCCGATATCAGCCATATATCACCCTAGCCACACATCCATGCTGAGAATCCTGATTAATCAGTGAATGTATTGGGCTTTGGATCCCAGGTACTTCGCCTAGGCCAGCAGAACTGCGATTCTTAGGCCTCCGTGGCTCGCACGCACAGGGATGCGCCAGGTGCAAGCGCCTCGGGCCCAGGCGACTCCGCAAGCGGGGTTCAAAGGGAGGTGTAGGCGGGCTAAAGGTCGGGACCGGTGGGTGACGCAATGTGACGCAGCTGGTTCGGGTTGAGGGACCAGGCTTGATACAGGCAGCGCTCCTGAAGTCGCTTTGTGGATAGATACGTCAGGATATGTTCAAAGTTGGGCTGAATGGCACAATCGTTCCTGATGGTGCTCTCTCGGCCATGCGAAAGGAACCATGGAGGTTCCAAGATGTCATGCCTTGCGCGACTACTGCGGTTGCGGGGATGGCCTTTTTGGTTTTCGCATGTTTTAGCCGTCCTTGTTGCTGTGGCCTAGGCTGGCCCTCTCTGTGTGTGATCAGGGAGCATGGGCAATGACAAAGCTGGCCTCTGTGGCACGCAGCGCCCAGGACACCTCCACGGTGGCGCCCGGGGCGCACCTTGGCATCGGGAGTTTGGGCAAAGCTGTGAAGAGCGCATCAAAATCGCCTCGTCTTGCGGGCAACTTGAGGAGTTTGGCAAGCTCAGTTCACACTTCGAGGTATTGCGGAACAGACCCCACATCAAAGCCCAGGGGCGGCTCTGTAGGACACTGTAAACACTGACTGGAAGGATGGGTTTCCACACCCTTGCTTGCATGAAGTTCTGTCCAGTCACACTAGCGGCCGTGGTGGCGCTGAAACAACCACGACAGCCATGGCAAATGCGAGTTGTGCCAGAAGCTCTTTCACGTAAGCAAGAAAGCCTGAGCATTCACATGTGTGTTGCTGAAACTCTGGTGTGGCGACCATCTGCCTCGGTTCTTCGTGATCTCCTACGCCGCTACACTCTATGTTTGGACAACGCCTGCAGGAAGCGGGGCTTGCACAGCGACATGTCTGCTCCATTCACGATCATTAGTCGGCCGGGTTCGTCCATAAGACGAGCTCAACACGAAGCTATGGCATGACGGCACTGTTCAGAGACGATGAGTGGCACTGCGCTCATCAACACTGTGCCTGCTGAAGCTTCTTCACGTTGCTTTCCGCCTCCTGCACGGCCTGTCTAAGGGGATTCGGGTCAAGGACCCAAGGTTGACCACATGCACCGAAGTGCATGGGCTTCTGCTAGCAAGGAGCTAAGGACGGGGAGCCTTCGCGTCTAAAGGATGCTCTCTTGTCTCCCAGGCCCTCTGTGGGGATCTGTGATAAAGCAAGCCTTGCAAGGCTGCGGACCCTTCGCTCAGTGCCGGCTACGATGTACCGGCCCGCTTCTTTTTGTTGTCCCTTTTGGCCTGGCCTTCTCCCGCTTCTCCGCCTCTCGCTTTGCCTCGCTCACAGTCAGTGTGTGCTTTGAGGATTTCACCTTATCAAGGGCCCTTGTAATGGGATCTATGGGCGTTTTGTTCAGAAGGTTGTGTGCTGCTTGTAGTCTAGCTAATTGTTTCGAACTCTGACCACTACTTAGTCACTACTTTGTAAACTGCTCTGCCCATGGAACGCTGCACCAGCCTGGAGAAGGAGCACTGAAACCCTGCACGGCCGCACTGATCTACACCCTGGGGCCGTATTACACGCTGAAATCTCGAAACGGCCACCATCCTAAACTCTGACGCCATTCACATCCATTATGCCTACACATCGAGACTCAGACTTGTTCGGCTGCGTCGGCGGTCTGCTTGCGGAGGGCCTTGCAAACCAAAGCGGTGGTGATGAAAGGTGTACTGACAATCATGGTGATGGTGATGGTGAAGATTAGATGGTACCCGACTATTGCTAGAATTCCGAATGATACTACCGAGCAGTAGCATTGCCATCTCTGCTGGTGCCAATGCCATCACATGTGTCCAAATTCGAGCTGCAATCACGACTTCTGCGCATGCCGCTGCTGCTGCCGAACACTTGTTCTCGTTGCTCCTCGTCGTTCTACCTCTGGTGCCCCTACGAATGCACATGTGCTTGGCCTGAAGCTCTCGTGCTGCTCTTGGGAGCTCCCGTGCTACTTGTGTGGGCCACTGCAAAAAGGGAAATGACGGTGAACATGGCAAGAAGAGCCCACTTAAAAAGAAAAGCAACAATCACATTCCGGCACTCACAATACTTGGACTCCTGCTGCACAAGAAGCCATGCTAATAAGATGAAGTACAAGTACAATAGCAGCTATTCAATACCAACTCTAGAGCGACACGAATCCCTGTCACTCCTAAAAACCCCTAAGCCCTTTAAGCGTTAAACCCTTGCACCCTTAAAGCAAAACATGGCCTCGATCTCCTTCTTGTCAGCCTGAACCTGGCGCAGAGCAGCAGGAGGCACCCTGACTGCCAGGTCATGCTGGGCCCTGGTTTACCTGCAGATGTCCCACACCTCCGCTTAACAGCAATGTTAGTTACACGTCATGCTCCCATTATCCCTCATCGCTGCACTATTTCTGCTTCTGCCCCTCAGGTGTCCTGTTCTTTCTTCATATTATTTTTCTGCATGGCCACAGCTTTCTGCGAGTGCGTGCTGCCGAAGGAGTTCGGATCCGGCCGCCTTCTTGCCGAACTCGTGGGCTTCGGGATTCAGGTCGGCCAGGAGGGTCTGCCCAGCCGGGAACAGCATGGAGGGTTTAGGGTTCCGGGATGTTTGGAAGTTTTACAGGGTTTTGAGGGTTTGGGGTTTCGAGGTTTTGGGGTTAGGTTTTTGGGGGTGTGTGGTTTTGGGTTTACGCTTTTGGGGTTTAGGGTTTAGGTGTCCCGATTCTTGCAGAGAGGGTGTGTGCACAGATGCTGGGCTAGCATTCTCGCAATGGCATTGCGGGAGCTCAAGCACGCCGCCTTGGCACTGACTTCCACCAACGCCGTGTTGACCTTGGCATCCACCTGAAGATTAGGTCTGTCAGAGGCCAACTCGACAACTCAAGTTCCGACAACTTGACCGCTGAGAGATCGAATGTGATGCAATGCCACCTGAAACAGGATAACCTCTCCTAGAACACTGCCTCGATGCAGCCTTAGCTTCTTCTTCTTCTTCCCAGTGCACCGCCCCCTCTCGCCCACGGCTGACCTCCACGCGCATCGCCCTCGATGCGAACTCCAGCGTATTCTGGGTCTCACCGACCTGGCAGTGGTAGCTGGTTTAAGCGGTCTTGGATCAGCCATGGCCAGGCACACCTATTGCGGCTTACTGCGTTCTTCGTGCAACCGCTGCAACTCGCGTTCTGTCAAGGACCTGTCGCGGTCTGCACGCCCCGTCCAATCTTTTTTTTCTACAGTAGACGTGCTGCCTTCACTTGCAAAGCGAGAGGTGCGGGACGTGTTCGAAGGCCGGGTTCACACACACAAGCAGCGCTGTGCGGCAGTTCCCGCCGATAGAGCCATCGAGGATCCTGACAGCAACCAAGAACGCTCAAGACAAAGTGACCAGGGCTTGCCCGGCGTCCGAGGGCATTGCGTCAGGGCTTGACGGCTTATCCCCTGCTCTTTTCTGAACAGGTTTACTCCAACTATACCAATTCTGACTAGCCGCTCTGTGTTTGGCGCCATTTAGACGACACGTCTGGTTTGTTTATCTTTCAACTCCTTAGCGGCTCTCCAGGTTCCACTCTGACTGGACTTGAAGCCAAACGTCACAAGGCTAAGCGTCAGCTTCCACAGCTACCCGGTTTTCGCAAGTGATCTCAAAACGCGAGGCTTGTAGGCTTAGCGACCTCAACCACAGACCACGTCCTGGTGAGCTTGCTGTCTCGCAAAGGTATGTGGGACTTGCGCGCGGCCAGTGCGCTAACCACGTTCCTCGCGCTGAGCAACTGACATACGTTCAAGGTGACAGATGCTTTCACATGCATTCACAACTTTCACACTTCTCATGATCCGGGCATCGCAAGTCCCTCGACTGACACTCCGCAGCTCTCAACGGCCGGGTCCCGAAAGCCAGAAGGCTTCGATTGATGTTCGTGGCTTCCTGGACGAGCAATCAGAAGACGGTGGTATGGAGTACATGCGAAACACATCGCCCAAGACTCCAAACCACTGCATCCACGCCTGAAAGCGCATGCCTTCGGAGCCGGACTTCTTAACCTTGGCATCTTCAACCACTGCTCGTGTTGACGGCGAGATCAGAGAAGGCTCAGATACGCTTTTCTATAGTTTTGGCATGTCGCCGATGTAATTCGAGTTGAAGAAAGCACCCTTTCTCTTGTTGGTTGGCATGTCGTCGGCAGCACACCGGAATGTCAAACCACCCTTGGCCAACGATATGGCCAACAAAATCCCAAGCAGTCAAATTTGCAGACTGTGCGGCGGCAATGGCATCAGCTAGCAAACTACATAGTGTCGCTGCAATCTCACAAAGATGTGAACTCTGGGGCCGTGGCGCGCTCGGATCCAGCGAGGTCCACGACATTCAGCCTCCGCACAGGCATGCTCCGGCAAGGGTTCCACATCTCTACACGGTGCCAAACACAAGGTGAAAATATTCTAGCAGCTTCTAGCAACTATATGCAAACAATCACAGAAAATCGAAAGTCGCGGCCTCGCAATGGTGCACTCCACCTTCTGACCCGTCTTTGCAGCTTCGAAAACGCGCTCGCGTTTGCCTGGCAGAGCTGCAGCAGTCATCGTACAAGCGAACAACCCAAGCACAGCAGATGTCGGGGAAACAGGAAGCAGAAGAAGACGTCAAACAAGATTATCACAAGAGAACTTTAACCCCTAAACAGTCTAGTGGACTCGGGCTGTTTCAAACTTGTGTGATTGCTGGTCCTGGGTCCAGAATGTTTAGGCAGTCTCTGCCGAAGTCCTCACCAAAAACGCATAATTCACGAGACCGAGTGGCTGATGCGAAGCTGGAAGATCGCATGGCTCCGGCTGGAAGCCTTGTGGGAAACACCGGCAGGCAGCACAGACGTTGCTTGGAATCGGTCGCCAAGACCCATAAAGCCGCAACTACAGTGCCATTCATTGCCCGTGCCTCTGCCCTGAACCACGCGCATAGCTTGCTTGGCCTTGTTCATCTTGGTCTCAGCGTAGACGACATTGGCTCGAGCTCGTGTGAAAGCTTCCTCCGCTGGGCAACACGGAGCATCCGTGGAAGAGGCTTCGGCATAGCGTGTTCAAGGTCTTCAGACCTTATCTGTTGGCGAACGATCTGAAAGAGTGGTCTTTCTTGCCGACTGGCGGCAAGCATTTCGTCGGGCTTCGTGCATCGAATCCACGTCAACCCATTGACGATGCCGCCGTCCCGAACATTCAGGTTGTGTCCTTGAGGCAGCAAGGCATAAGGAGCACGTGTCTGCGACTTCGTTGTCGCTACAGTATCCGCTATAAATGTGGAGTTCGACTTCATGTCTTTATTGTGGTTACTGTGCTACAGTCAGGGCGAGCATCCAATGCCGCTCTGATGTTCAGAGTTCAGCAAGTCGTCCACTTGTTCGTTGTAGACCTGCTGCCAAAACCGATCCGGCCGTAGGGGAGGCGAGAGAATTGGGCTGACGATGTGACGAGGAGGCAATGCCCTGACATGAAGCTAGCGGTCTACAGGACAGCATCCGGTCTCACACGCGCGGCGCGCGCGCCCCGTTTAGGCTTTCCAGCCTGGACGGCTGCTGCCTCGATGTCGTAAACATTCGCGACATCCTGGCTGATCATCAAAAACCTCGGATTCCGTCAGGCCCTGAGCGCCTACCCGCGTTTCGGCTTCAAGGGGATACGGTTTCGGGTTTCGGGCTTAGGGTAGGGGAGGTAGCAACAGGAGAGTGAGTCCACCCGATCCAAAGCCGAATTGGTGGAGTCTTCTTCTGCCCCCATCTTCCGAGAGATCCGACGGATCGAAACACAATGAAGTGACAAGAAAACTTCGAAGCCCCAAACGCTGAAGCCCAAGCCTTCATGATGCAACCACAGCCTGAGATCGCTGGAATACTGAAGACTGCGGAAACCTGAAAACGTAAAAACAAAAAGTATGAATAGAGGAAAGTCTAGACATGATCAACTCAAACTGAAACCTCTTGTCCACAACCTCCCTGAAACGGACCCTCTATGTTCAAAAGTGCCTCACGGACAATCCATTTTTGAAACTGCCGTGAGAATATTATGGGAGTTTCCGAAAATGAGGGGTACCTTATTTGGGGGTCCTTATAATAAGGATCCTACTATTTAGGGTGCTATATTAGGGTCCCCTATTTTCGGAAACTCCCTAAACCCTAAACCCTTTATAGAACCCTTATAGATCCCTTTAAGGAGCCCTTTAAAGGAACCCTAGGGTCCCCTGTTTTCGGAAACTCCCATGTGCAGCCCAGCGGACAGGGAAGCCACGAGACGCGGGAGGAGCCCCGCCTCGGTGGGAGTCAGGCGCCTTTAATAAAGATACTATATATATATATATATGTATATGTGTGCCTATCTCTCTAGAATATATATATATATATATATATATATATATGTATGTATGTATGTATACATGTGTATATATATATATACATATACATATATGTATATATACTTATAATATCTGTATAAATATACATATCATCTACTGATCGTGAGTGGAGGTGCTGCTTTTCTCGTAGCTACTGATACTGCTTGTCTTGCTATGTCTTGCAGACTCGGAACTCCCCTGCAATGTAGTTATAGTTAAGACATGGAGAGGTCGGCCCCGTCAAAAGCACCCGATAAGTGTCATCTACTGCGGAGATCCGAGCAATACGAGTACAAACCCGGAATCACCCCCTGTGCCTCTTCGCCCTTGGAGCTCTGGTGCAGAAGCGAATGTGTCTGGGCAGTGGAGAAGGGTAAATGTGCGACTAGCATCGGGCAATGGGAGGAAGTGTTTGAACCGTCTTCCTGCATTACTTAGTCGTAGTCTTTGTACCTCATCCTTGAACAGGTCGCAAGGGACTTCGGGCTGCACGTTGCACCGAGCAACGTCCATGTACTAACGTTTGACACTAATCCTGACCCTGGGGTCCGACGACTGCGACGAACTTGCTACGTCGACAGATGAAGACTACAGAGCGAGAGTGCCTATTCGAAGATTCCTTTTCTGCAAAGCGAATGTTACCGGCTCTCTCCTGCTACTGGTAGCGTGTGGCATGACCGCACCAACGCGAAAAACGAGTCAGCTGACAGTACAATAGCCGTTGCATGAATCTCGCGGTCGCTTGCCTTGCCGGAACCGGTTTGCCCGTAGGCGAGAACGGTGCCATTGATGCCCCGCAAAGCCTCGAGGTGTCAAACTTCTTGAAACTTCCCCGAGCGGTAGTCTTGATGAGCAAAGTGAGAGCACTTGCTTGGTTGAAGACGAGACTGATTAGAGCGCTTATTATGCTTCAGACCCATACGAGGGGGCGGCACCCAATTCAAAATTCGGCTTCCTTGCAAGGCATCTGCAGAACCCGGTTGCCATGCCTCGCGCAAGACCGGAAGCCCGATCTGCATGAAGACATCACGCTGCGCCTTAGGGCCGGCGTGACTGCAACTTGCGACCCGCCAAGCCCACTGAGCCAAGGCCTAAACTGCTTAGCCTTCAGAACTGGTCTTTGTCCCCGCACTGCAACGACACCCAACTCGACTTTTACTGAAGTTGGAGATAGTTGTGCACCGCTTCTTCACTTCATCCCAATTTGGGGCACTCTCGTCCGACATTCATGAGCCCGAAATGTTTCAGGAGCTTGCTTACTGATGACGTCACAAACCCTCCAAAGTTGGCCGGAGCGGCTGACTGCTCCCCGAAGACTCCATCGAAGCCAAACTCCTGCAGGACCGCCAATGGGCTAGGGATCAATGCAAGAGTGCATGTCACAGCATCGTGTTTTAATCAAGACGGTGCCCTCCCCGAAATCCCACCCTCACTCCAGCACGATATGTTTTTGCGCACATAATGTCTGGTGCATGTTGTGCTCGTTTGGCAGCAGGGTGCGCAGAAATCCATGGTCGGGCATGCCGCGGCTGCGAAAATGGCCATCGAATCGAGGACTCTTAATAGATCAAGCCCACACGTAGATGCGAGAAAGCGCACGCCAAGTCTATAGTATAGACTCTATACATCACAAGCACACGATGTCGTGAGGGGCCGAGGCCTCAGATGCTTTCCGGGTTCCTCCATGCGATTCAAACTCTGGGCCCTCTAGGCTTTGATGTCCGGCGCGTCCCAGCCCTTTGCCCTCAATGCGGCTGCGATGTAGTTGCATCGCTTGGCATTTACTCCGAAATCACTGTCTCCCAGTCGAGAGGCGCTCTTGACGGCAACGCTGCTGTCTCCCACGCTCACTTCGAAGTCATCCACGAAGGGCTGGCCACCGTTGAAGAATCTGGCAAAGTTGCCAATGCCGGACTTGAACTCCAAGCGCGCATAGCCCTTGTCAGCAAGGGTGTCGACAGCGTAGGAGTAGCCACCCAAGTCCACGTCACCCTGCCCAGCCTGTGGATAAGCATCGATGGCTGCCTTGAGCTGGCTGACAGCAGCTGCCTTGCTCGTGCCGGCTGGCCACGTCCAAGGGCTCATTTTCGTCTTGTCCGTGGACAGAGTGGACCAGCAATTGTTGGCGCCGGGGTTGCAGGCCGTGACGTCCGCCGTTGCTGTCTCAGCACCCAACAAGAGCATTGCCGCTGCAGCTGGGGCCGCCAAGGCAGCGCGGCGGCCAAGAGGAGGGACGAAGGCTGGCAAGGCGCAGAACAAAAGAGCACCGGCAGCCAGGAGCGCCACCCCCGAACGTCCACGGCGCTGCGCCATGACTAGCTAAACTAAGGAGGAATCGGCGGGGAGAAGCTTGTGGCTGCAGGTCAACAACTCAATATTCATATCGTGAAATGCTCTGATTCACTTCTAGACAGGCCTGACGATATCAGGACCAGATGTTTCAAATCAGCTTATGGCATCAAAAACCTCTCAACAAGTTGCACAAAAACGCGATGCAGCCACATGCAGCCACCTTCGGCTCGGGTGAAGACGATGTCAGTTCTGCCTGCGTTGCTCAGCACATGAGAAACATGGAATTCCGGTGTTCTCCGCTCCACCGTATCACACCGTCCAGACATGAGCCGTCAGCCTGGCCGGCAAGGAGCCGTTCGACAGTTTCGGCGTCGTTGCGCACCCGCACCTGGCTGTGCGTGGAGGCTGCCGGAGGTCCGCGAACTGTTCGGAGAAGAGGCAGTGCGGTCATCTGAACTAGTCTTTTGGTTTGGCGCTCACGCTTCCTCCTCCTGCACCACTATTGCTGCTGCTGAGCCGCTGCTCTCTTGGCACGGGTAGTGGCACTGGTGTCACTAGTGCGAGCATTCATACCAGTAGCTGCAGTATGCCACAGTAGCAGCAGCTGCAGCAATGGCAGCAGCAGCAGCAGCAGCAGCAGCAGCAGCGTTCCAGCGGTGTAGGTGTCGCGCTCAATCAATGAATGATGGGCAAATGAAGCAAGTAGGGCCGTCTTCGTCGACTCGCAGCAGTCGACGGCAGTACAAGGGCCATGGTCCTGTCACAGCTTGAAAGGAACTGCTGCGGGAAGCTGTCTGCAGGGAACTTGGGGGGATGTCACAGTCTGCCACACAGCTACCCTTCACACTAGAGGCCCCGCACCTGCGCGATCGGAGGCCGAACGCGGGCCCATACCTCCGAACAGAAAGAAGCGGCAATCCGTAGCTTAGCAGCTACGTGTAGCTTGTATCCGCCTCCATGGTAGATAAGCCTCTCCCAACAAAGCTGACGTCATTGGCTGTGCTGCCACTTGGCCCAAACAAACAAGCATCTGCTGCCCTCCCCCTCCGAAAATCCTCAGTACATGCATGCTCGCATGCTGAAGAAAACCGCCCTAGGCCGGGCCTGGACGCGTCCCGACGCTGACTCCATGAGTGAAAAGTCAAGGGCCGTGCGGTGGACTACTTGATGCCAGGGCCTGTGGCTGTCCTAGGTTACCTTCATCCGTGAGGCGGCTGATGGCTACTGCTGTACCTGAAGATCTTAGGAACGATCTTGTGGCTTCCGAAGCTGAGACTCCAGTTGGGGCATTTTGGCTGCTTCGCCCGGCTTTAGACTCGGCACGTCGCACAGGGGCTTCCTTGGAAGACCTTTGCTACCCACAGGAACCTTCGGACGGCGCAGTCGGCATGAGCGAATCTTTCTGATTACGCTGAGCACCTCGTGAATCGATGTTGACAAAGAAGCTTCTCTTGATGCTGGCTGACATGTTGACCTACCACTCCACACTCATCAACAAGACGAGTTCTGACGCATCCTTCAAACTTTCCACAGTGTTCCTGAGATTGCTACCTTCAGTCAAACCTAGCGAGCTCTGAGCTGTTCGCAGCCCCCCTTCGAAGTCCTGCTTCTGCTGGGCAGCCGGCCAGGTGAGAGCTTAAGACAAAGGGAGTCTGGTGGTGCAGCAGGGTTTTGCAAAAGCCAACCGCTGGTTTGACTGTGCCAAGCAGAGGCTGCAGGGATGTGTAGTCGTACATAGCGATCTTCTGCTGGGGGTGGCTACAAAACAACATGGACTGCAAACACCGAAGTGTGCTGGCTGGAGCTTAATGGTTTCTTCGTGGCTGGTGTTGAGGAACTCTCCCGCTGCACAGCGAGTTGGGCACCATTGAGCCTTCAAGCTGCTTCCGAACAAGATGCAGAAGATTTGATGGTATTGATGACGATGCTGCTGTACGTGTGCATGAGAATAGGGTCGAAGCTCGCAACTCGTTTATCTACCGAATCTATCTATCCACTTCTCTATCTCTCTATCTCTCCGTATCTCTCGCTCTCTCTTCTGCAGGGCATAAGGGGCGGGTCAGGCCCCCCGGCCTCATGGGCCCCCGTATGTTACGGGGCTTTCGGTAGGGCGCGAAAAATCATGGATTCCCCCAGTTTAGGCAAGCGAAATATATTGGTCTCCCTCTCTCTCTCTCTATCTGTTTGTCTGTTTGCCTATCTGTCCTTCTGCTATAGCAGCTGTACATAGTTTGTGAACCAAAGTGTATGAAAAATAGTATGTCTATACACCTATACGTAATCACATGTGTGCACGCATGCCCTGTCTGCATACACCTGTGTATGCATTGTTTGTTCTTGGGCTCTGTTCTTTCAAATTACAACTGTCTGTGAAGAAGCTATATAGTGGGATACAGCGTTGTAGCTCAGGGGCAACTATGGAATATGCGGACAGTCATTTACCATTTACCCGCCCAGAGCTGCTTGATGTGGAGCCAAGCATAAACATGAGCTGCTACCTGCTCAGCGTTTGTTCTGCAACTTTCAGGGTCAGAAAATATCCTTACATGGCACCCTATCTCCGGAACAGTGAAGTGGCACACTAAGGGGAGGTGAACGAGCCTTTGGCAGCTCCACTGTCCTCACCTGCACCTGGGGCATGGATTCTCTTGTCGAGAACTTCGCTGCGCCAAACTCTTGGGTGTCTCCAGAGCGCAGAAGGTACTCCGCGCAAAGTGCTATGCAAGGCATGCCATGCCTGTCTTCACAACTCACGCCAGTCCATCTTCGCACTTACTCGTGTATCTATTTGTTGACAGTTTAAGAGCGGCCTGTACGCATAGATGTAGGTAAGTGCGAATGCATGTATGTTCGTCTGTACTACTGCATGCATGCACGATGTTTGTATGCATGGGTGGTATGGTGCATGTATGCATGAACGTACACATGTATGTGTGCATGTATGCATGCATGCATTCATGCAGGAACGCGAACATGCATGTATGCATATGAGACTGCATGACTGTATGACCGTATGCATAGATGCATCGATGCATGGATCGATGGATGGATGGATGGATGGATGGATGCATGCAGCATGCACGGATCGATGGCTGGCTGGGTGGGTGGGTGGGTGGATATGGGTGGATTTATCGATATGTGATGTGTGTATGTATGTACGCATGTACGCACGTGCGTATGTATGTATGTATGTATGTATGTCTGCATGCATGTATGTATGTATGTAGGGCTCGAATGGCCGCAGCAGCGCGGAACTATCGGTAGCCCCAGTGCCCATGAAAGGCACGCCTTCGCCTGGTGCCGCGCTTGCGAGGCGGCATGCAGATCTTTGACAACACCCTGACAGGCAAGACGACTACGTTGGACGTTGAGGCCAGTGGCACGTTCGACACTGTCAAGACGCAGTCCCAAGATAAGGCAGGCATCCCGCCCGACCAGCAGCACCTGATCTTTGCTGGCAGTCAGTTTGAGTGCGGCCGTACGGATTACAACCTGCAGAAGGAATCGACCCTTCATGTGACGGCGCACTTGCGACGCGGCATGCAGATCTTTGTCAAGATCCTGACGCTCACCTTGGACGTTGAGGCCAGTGGCACGTTCGACACTGTCAAGGTGCAGTCCCAAGACAAGGCAGGCATCCCGCCCGACCAGCAGCACTTGATCTTTGCTGGCAGTCAGTTTGAGGGCGGCCGTACTGTTTCGGATCACAACCTGCAGAAGGAATCGACCCTTCATTTGACGCCGCACTTGCGACGCGGCATGCAGATCTTTGTCAAGATCCTGACGCTCACCTTGGACGTTGAGGCCAGTGGCACGTTCGACACTGCCAAGGCGCAGTCCCAAGATAAGGCAGGCATCCCGCCCGACCAGCAGCACTTGATTTTTGCTGGCAGGCAGTTTGAGTGCGGCCGTACTCTTTCGGATCACAACCTACAGAAGGAATCGACCCTTCACTTGGCACCGCACTTTCGAGGCGGCATGCAGATCTTCGTCAAGATCCTGACGGTCACCCTGGAACAGCAGCTGCTACGTGACGGAGTTTCGAGATTGCTTAGTTTCCGGCGTCAAATGCTGATGAGGGGTAATTCAAATGTACAGAGCAGTAAGAACGAACCTGCGAAGGTATTGCTTGCTGTTTGTTTAGCCGAGTAGGGCTGCCGGCTGGAATGTGGAATATGACCCTAGCCACATCCTGCGAGTATGCATTTTGAGCGGAACTGCGCGGAACCGCAGCTGCACCGCTCGCCTCCTTGGACATGATTTTGCACTCACCCTGGCTGCTTAGTGTTTTTGTGTTTGGACAGTTGGTTACCTTTTCCGCGGCCCAATGCGTGTAAACGCTGTCACTGTGCGCATTTTGTGGCCGCGTTGAGGGCTCCGGCGGTTTGGATGGCCTCTCAGGAGCCCGGTTTGGAAGAATACCTTCCGCTTTCGGGTGTTCGTGTCCTGCTCTTCCGTTTGTTACCCTGAGAGCACACCACCAGTCACTACTGTAGTCGTGGATTTCTGCTCCAGGGTTCTGTTCTCGGTGGCTTTTTGGTAGCCCGCAAGGGATACCAGGCGCTTTGAATCAGCCAGGTCCGTGGCCTTCTTTGGCAAAGCCTGAAGGTCTGCAGGAGTGCTGCTTTAACTTTGATGTTGGCTCCGTCTTGTCTTGATTTTGCATGTGCTCGGGGATGGCGTTTCTGCCTTAGGCGCCAGTTAAATCCTCGAACATGTGATTCCCAGCCTTAGCGCATACTGGTACGTGTCCAGATTTCTGCGCGAGGATTCCCTAATTAGATGCAAGCCAAAGGGCCGCGTCGCTACGACTCTTCGCCCGAAACAGCAGAAACAGCAGATGTATGTATGTGTGTGTGTATGTATGTGTGCGCATGTGCGCGTGCATGCTCAGAAAACTGCATGAGATTGATTGAAAGGTGACAAAGAAAGCAACAACGTAGAGTCGTGATGTAGGTAGGATGCATGTATCTCCTGCATGCATACATACAAACGCACAGCAGCGGGCGCCTCTTTCCCTGCCTTGTCGGCCGTTGCACAGCGAGTGGAAGCCTGGCAGTTCCAGAGTTTGCACTTGGGCACCAGGGCTCTGCACAGCCAGCAAGACCGGCTCAACCTCGCCATGCAAGGACTTGGACTTGGGAAAAACCTAAAGAAGAAATTTCACATAGATACCCGCCAGCCATACACAACTCACCGACTGCATCCGAAGCGCAGTTTCGGCTGAAACTCTCTCAGTAACCCGAAACCCTAAACCCTAATCCCCACTATATAAGCCCTATTCTATAATGCCTATTATATATAATCCCTATAAAATATAATCCCTATTACATATAGTCCCTATTATATATAATCCCTACTATATAATCCCTAAGCCCCATCCTGAAAGAGCCCCAGAAAGCCGAGGCCTCGCTGGGCACCGCAGGGTCCGGGCTGAAAAGGATCGAGGAGGACTCGGGGGTCCCTGGGCTCTTCAGCCAAGCTTCGGTGGTAACTTGTAAGAATAGTCGTAATGACAGCAATAATGATAATAGAATCATGGGGATATATATATAGAGAGAGAGAGAGAGAGTTAGGGATCGAAGGCTTGAGCTTGAGCACAAAAGTCTTCAAAGGACACAAGTGGGAAAGGCTTCTGCTAGCAACCTACAACGCCTTTGCCATGGCCGCGCGGTCGTCATGCTTTGGGCCATGTCACACGGCACACCGAAGCGAAGCTGAGCGGGCTAAGGGCAAAACATGTCGCTGTGATCATGAGCTCCGTTTCCGGGTTTGGTCGGAACAGTACGATAACAACAGAACCTGAATGGCCGCCATGGTGCGGATCTCCCGGCCGTCGGATGTCGTGGGCCGCGGAGCCTGCAGCAGTACTCGAACCCAGCTTCACAATGCCACGACCACATGATGTCAACGAGCCATGTCATGATGCGAAGCCCAGCTCCCGAAGAAACAGCATCCGGCTCAGATTAGCTTGAACTTAAGCGTCGCTGCGCATTGGTAGCTGTCGTTTCATGTATTGCATACAGAGACATTTAAGCAAAAAGGAGGAAGCGCACTTTATGGGAGATAGGACCGTTGTGCCGTGTACCGGTACATGCCATGATTGTGCGCTCTGAGTACAAATTCTCAGCCCCGACCAACTTACTGGACGTCCTCATTCATGCTAATTATGTTGTGTCACTAGGCTGTTTCTATCTACTCCTGGTCTACTCCAACGACGACTACTACTACGACAACCACCACTACCACTACCACTGCCGCTACCGCTACCTCTGCCGCTGCGCTTACCTCTGCCACTCCCGCGACGACGAGTACTACTACTCCGCTGCGACATTGGCATCATGCTGCTACTCCGGGGTTGGTACACACGCTGCTTGCATGTACTCTGCAAGCAGCACTCTGAGATGGCCAAGATAAGAGGCTGTGGGGCCGGACATGATGAAACCGTAACGAAATCTCTCTACGCAAAGCTATACACACCTGTCCATGTGTACATGTTTCGCACAGACGAACACTCTGCACGCCCTTCGTCTCATCTGTCTTGGGAGGCCGTATGTACTTGATTGTATGCTGCGATTCTCTGTCCGCATTGCAGAAGGATAGCCGCAGAACGAAAAGTCAAGACTGTGAATTCTGAAAATTATGCCAAAGCTGTATCCATCCCTAACCCCTGAATCCAACTCGCAAATCCTAAACCACAAAGCAAGGATCCCGAGGTCCTTCGCAGCTGCAATCGGCTCTTTGGCCTCTGCAGAGCCGGAAATGTCTCCCCCTTGAGAGTTGAGGTCCCAAGTTCAGGTTCCGTCCGGTTCTGGAGGGTCTAGGGCCAGTCTACAGTAGGGGTCGGGTCCCTCTACGGCTTTGGGCCCACTTGAGGGTCTCAAGTCTAGTTAGTATTGGGCTTCCATGCAAGTGTCTGAGACTACATCAGGAGCTTCGAAACGTGAAGTGCAGGAAAGCTCCCAAAGAGAGCCTCTGCCACCGCGACGGGCTCAGAGCAGGGCAGCGGCTCCTGACGGTGACAACACGTCCAGCAACGTCTCGCAACAGGGTCATATGCTTGTTCGTAGGCCCGGCTCCTCCAGACTTCTCAGCTTCGCAGGCCCAGTACATTGCGTGATCACGCGTACCTGAACAAGCCTTGCCTAAAGGCCCGGCCCAAAACATCGAGAAGCCTCAAGGATCACCGGAGTCGCAACTGCTTCGGCCTGGTGAGGCAGGTGGAGCTCAAAGTTTAGGGGGTCACCCGAAGCTTCAGATGCTTCAGCCTTACAAGATCTGCCAGGAGCCAAAGGCTTGAATCCTGGCATTGAATTAATAGTGTTCCAAAAAGCATTCCAAGAGTGTTCCAAAAAAGTGTTGGGAATAGTGTTCCGGAGTTCGATGGAATTCCAAAAAAACATTCCAGGGGAGCACCCTTGAATCTGAAAGCATTCCGAATGGGAGCACATGTTGAAACACTTGTTGGAACACATTCTTGGCAGCAAGTTATTGGCGGAATGCTTTTTCGGGAACGCTTTTTGGAGTGCTTCTTGGAATGCATTTCGGAGAGCCTCTCTCTAGATCCAAGTCATAAGTGTTCAAAAAAGCGCTCCAAAAAAGTGTAGCAGGGTGCTCCGTCCGAATACTTTACGGAACACTTTTTTGGCCAGAGGGTACCCACGGAACACTTTTTGAACACTTTTCCGGAATGCTTTTGGAATGCTTTTGGAACGCTAAAGAATCCGATCTGCCCATCCCAGTCTTTGGCTATCCGGATCTTGCAACTTCAGCCTCTTTTTCTCTCACAAACTCATCCACCTGCCGTTTCTGTCAGCTTCTCATTTCAGCTTTTCAGGGTGTAGGGTGTTGATGTCAGGACGTGGTCGCTGGCCCAAATATTCACCGCGAGTTCGAGGACCCAGTGCCACATGTGCCACAACAGAAGGATCCAGGATCGCGTCAGGCGCGTGAATATCGCAAACCCCAACTTCCCATTAGACAGGAACCATTCACAGGTACGCCTCAAACGCGCAAGCCCTATTCCCCCATGAGTATTGAAATCGAATTGCGGAGCCCAGACACCCTGCACGCCGGCTCCTGAACCAAAACCGAAAGGAGAGCCTGCTGTCCGTTGCTGGAGTGAGCTGCGGCCCGCATCCGCCTCTCCTTGCAGGACTGGCACGTGGCAGCATCATCATTGTCTTGATGCAAAAAACTACTACCATGGCTATTGTAGACTATGACACGGTTGCCTGAAGCTAGTGACTTTATGTGACTCATACATATGACGGTTGGATACGGTGGGTGAAGGTATCTGCTCGATCTGAAAGCGTTCTTTCATGCAACGCAAGAAAGCACAGCATGCAGCCTGAAACCCAAGCTTTCCAGGTAGATATGGCTGCCTCGACCTTCCTCCCAATGCATGACTGTGGAGCCACGCTTTTTTCAAACACGGTCGGCATAGCGACTCGAGGCTTTTCTTGGCACGATTAAAGAATGCCATCTGGAAGCCAACCCCGTCGCGGGGGAAGCCATGAAACAGTGCCGACCACTGCCCAGTCGTGTGTGGTGTTGAGACTCTCGGGCGCCAAGGAGGATGCACAGGTTCCTTTCAAGTCTAGGGGCTAGGCTGTGGTGCCGCTGAACGTCTTGTGAAGACTTCAAGGAGGGGAGGGGAGGCGCCCCCTCCATGAATGATGACATGCTTGGAGTTGAATACCAGTCCTGTCTGCTTGAAACCGGATCCTGTTCTGCTGGGGAGGACAAGGGTGATTTTTTGATGCGTCTGATGCCAGCTGCGGTCAGCTTCCTGCCTGGTTTCGTGGCTTCCCTCGGTGCTACTGCTGGTGAAGTAGATCCTGCGGTGCTCCTCATTAAACGCCAGGCCAGTGATTGGTGTCTCTTTCACGGTATATCTGGCCTGAGGTGGGATGCCGGGTTCAGAGCACCGGGAACATGCCGCAGTCTTCTGCAATGCAAGACAGATATTATTTCCTGCGCAGAACTGGCGCTCGAATGGCAGTGGAATGATACGGGGCTCTAACAACAAAGGCTGCCACTCGAGTGCCGCAGGAGCGTTCCAAAACTCGAAGCCGCGAAACGTGTGGCATGCGGTTTCAGCAACTGGTGCTGAGAGGCACTAAAGTCCGCCCGCGCCTCCATGTGACAACTGTTTGACTTGTAGTTCAGACCCTAGAATCAAACACTCATTGGCTTAGTCTACTCCATGTCCTTCTTGTGCGTCACCCTCGTGTCAACTTGAGGGCATGGCCGGACACTTTGGGGGCCCTGCGCTTTCCCACGAAGCCCAACCCCAGCACTAAACAAAGCCTTCCTCGGAAATATCCCCAACATGATCCAGTGTTTCGGGGTGCCACAAGGCCCCTTTAATGTTAAGGGCTATCCCAGGCCGCAGTGGTCTGTGCCAGCCAAATCTCCGCGTGGAGCAGGCCCTGCCCCAAATCTTCAGAGTTTACGCGGGGCGGGCCTGGACATACCACAGACTCAGACTTTAATTGACAGACAAGACACGAGAGTTGCTGCTGAGGTGGGAACTCTACAGTGGGAGAACGACCTTCCCAGTGTCGCAAGCTCGCATATACACAAGTAGTTGTTTTACTCATGCCTGAAGCCCCCCCCCTGCCAAAAATAATGACCGAAACTCGAGGACGAACACGCGGCCTCCCAACCTCAGCCGTGACGCCGTCGGCCCTTGCCGCCGGTCGGCCGAGGTGGCCGGCGCCTCAGAGTTCCAGGCGCCACCGAGAACACCAGCAGCACCATCAAAGTCATCCATTACCCCTGCTGTCTCGCCTCCGCATTCCCCTTCATATCCGACAGACCCGACTTTCTCTGCAGCGCTATGGTCATGAGTCAGCTGTCATCTTGATCTTCATCCGATTCCCCCTTCTCACTACAAGTAGCAGCTAGCACAGCAGCGCAGCAGCAGAAACAGCATACATTTACACCATCAGAATCGACACAGCAGTCACCATCGGCAACATACTCATCATCAACACTGCCTATCACCATCCCCAAGACAACTGATTGACCGCAGCCGCCATTTAATGGTCGTCGTCCTCGTCCCATCGATGGTCACCAACTGCAGCGTCCATGTTACCCTGACAGACTCACAGCCAGCATCCGCAGCAACAGCAGCAGAAGCAGCTGCAGCTGCTGATCATCCTCCTGCTCCTGCTCCTGCTCCTGCTGCTGCTGCTCACTGCCACTGCTGCTGCTACTACTGCTACTACCACCACGACTACTACGACGACGACGATCGAGGTCTTACGTGACTATGATCCCCATATTTCTCTCTGATGTGATCTACATCGATATGTGCAAATCAGCTGATCGCTGAGGTCTGGCACGTGTCGCCAAAAGTCTCTCGATCGAACTCGCGGGCCTTCTCGCGGTCGATCTGGCACGGATTTCAAGGAAGAGCTGCACATGTTGAAGCGCCACAGCAAGCAGCATCCATCGCATGAAAGGGAAAGATCACAAGTCGGCCTTCTGTCTCTCCGAGGTTCCTGCGCGCTCTGTGGCCTCGCGGGATGAAGTAAGACATTTGTAGCTGCTCCAGGTTCCAGCTTGTGCGAATTTGGGAGGTTGATAGAAGCGTCGTTCTTCGGAACCGGAGACCTATGAATCTCAGTCCCGGCGAACTCGGAAGTTCCACTCTTCCACTCCTCGCCTCGCAGCTAATTTGGTCGAAGAAGGACTTCGCTTTGTCGTAGCCTCCACACTGCGAGGCTGGAAACACGGCTCGTGGCTGCTAGTGTTCAAAGTAGATTCTAGCGGCTTTGGCGGTCTGAAGCGACAAGGCTGCGATGGTTGCAGATCTCGTCCTGCTGATTGCTGCACACTTGGCAGCTCACTGTTTGCACACTAGCCACTCCATAACCCAAAATTCGCACGTGGTGTTGCAACCGGTAGAGAGATAGAGGAGCTGTTTAGCCATCAATTCAACCCATGCCTGCGCCCCAGAAGGCCCGAGCCCTTACAACAACCCTACAGCCCTCACTCAACCCTATACAGCGTCGGAGCCTGTGAGGGGATGGAGATCTGCTGCAGCCTCACCTGCTCCACGCTCTATGCAAAAATCTAAGCTCCGATGTGATTCCACGGGTTGGGGGGTCTTAGATTTAAGTGGGGCCGGTGATCAGTGGCCGAAGACCGGTCTCACGGCAAACCCTCAACCGAACCCGAAAGCTGTCAAGAGCAGAGGCCTGCTGGTGCGTCGTCCTTTTCCAGCTTCTCGAAGCGCTTGTTGGCAGCATCTAGGTCGAAATCCTTGGTGAGCATCAGACTACGGTTTAGACTCTTTGACGGTTCAGGGTTTAGAGTTTATAGAGGCGGAACCTTTAGAATTAGAGGCGAAACCTGATTCTCTCCACTGAGCAGCAATCAGTTCTCTGCGGGACTTTGATATCTCAGGCCCCGCACCCCGGCGCACTCGCGCTTCGTGGCCGCATTCTCTTCGGGCACCAGCTCGCCAACCTCGCGTTCAGTGTTCAGAAAGCAGGGCGAGTCTTTGACCAAGCTCGAGTTTAAGTTCCAGTAGTTGTCGCTCAGAAATAAGAACACGGCTCCTGAGCACCGGCCTTCGCATACTGGCTTTCATTGATTATTGGGATGCTTTGGGGCGGCTCTAACCAGAACCTGCTGATCTTGGATGACATGATGATGGAGAACGCCACAAGCTGAAGCTTCTTTCAAGAATCGGCCCTCTGGGCACGCAGGGTGGTCCTTAGGGCCAGGCGGGCGTACCGTCGTGTCGGGTGCCGCCACCCTGTCGGACCAGATCGTTGAACGGGCAGTGAGCTCGTCAGCTCCTCTATCACACCCGGCAGCCTCTAAGACCCGCATCGAATTCATCGTTCCCCTCGAGTCAACCGACCCGGGCACACCCCCCACAGCGTGCGGATGTCGCAAGTTCAGACTGACCAGCCTACACAGAGCAACGCACCGCAGAACCACAGAACGTGACGATAAACCACCGCCACCGCTAATAACAGCGATAGCCGCAACTCCAAAAGCAAGTTATGGACATCGAATTAGCATCGATTGTACTGGTGCTACTGATTGCGAGAAAAACTGATGGCAACGACAACGGCAAGTACAACAGGAGACCAGTTTACAAACCATTGATATTTCCATAAGGGGAATCCTGCCTTTCCGCCCTTGGCGCCATATCCTGGCGAGCTCAAGCAGTGAGAAGGTGGAAGGGATCAAGCACAGCACACAGGAACGATCAGGATGTGAATAATCTGACACAGGAACTCGTCGAACCCAGACCTCAAAGCACAGTCACCTTCAAACCTCTGCAAGTGAAGAAAGCAGCGATAAGCATGAACACAGACAGCTACAACTCCTGCCCAAAAACAATCCGGCGAGCCACAACACTGCCCGAAAGCGCTGCACCCCAAGCGAGCCACTTCTTGCCTTTGCTGTCCTTTCCAAACTTTCCCTGCAAGGCAGGTTTGGAGACTTGGAGATGTTGCGAGCTGGATATACGACAAACATCCAGAGCTGAAAGAAAGAGAGCCCTGACGGACGAAGCATCAAGACCGGAGAAAGCACATTTGCGGTTTCTACACATTCATGCAGCCTGCGTTCCTCCACGCTTCTGATAAGGCCAGAGGCGTAGTTCCAGAGAATGAGAGAGAGCGTGACGCAGGCAGGCGTAAAGCCGAGCGAACAGATGAAAAGGGTAGTGGATATGACTGGGGGTGTCGCTGATGCTAGGTCCTGCTAGGTGCTAGGTGTCCTGCCGCTAATGGCGGCGCTAGTGGTGCTGGTGCTCTTGTTGGGATTGGTCCTGTTGTTCTTGTTGCTATCATGACTGCAAATGTCACAGAATGCGAGCGTCTCGAGGCATATCCCGAAGAGCAGGCCTTTCCGCCCTTTCCGTGCCCTCTGTCCCTCTCGAACTTTCCTTTGGCCTGCGGCAACACAAGAGAAAGGGCCATCGCTCAGGATGCTGCAAGCTTACGTGTTTTTTGGATCCTCCCGGTCCCAGCTGAAGGGAAAGATCCTGCATGATACCAGTACCAAACAATCCCCCGTCTTGCTGGCCTTTCCGCCTTTGCCATCGCCCTTGTGATAGCCTCCAAATGTGGGCATGCTTCTGTGTCTTGCACTACAAGAGTCAATCAAGCGAAAACAGGAGGCTCAGAAGCCAAGAGGGTGAATCGATTAACGCGCAAGCAGCTCGTGTTTGAGTTGTTACAGGTTTCGAACCATTCTCGTCTGCGAAGCTGGCCTCCATTGTTGCCGCCAAAGCCACCCCCGTAGCCTCCGCCGTGGCCGTAGCCACCACCTCCACCACCTGAGCTGGTGGCAGATGCAGGCAACACCCTTGGCCGGGAAAGGCTGCTTCTGCACAAAACTGGCACCTGGCGCCCTGCCCTAAACCCGAAAGGCGACTGACCCTGCCAGGCCGACCAACCCAAAACCAATGCACTCCAGCGCATGGCGCAATGATCACAATCTGTGCCTGGCCCCTCCGGCTCACCATAATTATACTGTATTACACGTCTCAGGCAGGCGTTCATAAGGCCAGAAGTCGTGGGCCAGCCCACTGTGCAGTAAATTATGCTACATTCTATATTTCATTATATCCATAATCTCCAGGAAGCTCCGAAGCCTCCGAGCTTCCAAGTGCCGGGCCATGGCCGTAGCCCTGATGGCCGTAGCCGCCGCCGCCGCCGCCGCCGCCCTGGTAGGAGCTGCTGTAGCTGCCGCCACCTCCGCCATATCCGCCGCCTCCGAAGCCATAACCTGGAAAACTCGGGACTTTAACTTTAGGATAAGCAGCTTTTTGACGAATGCGTTCGATCTCCAGAGCATGTTCACTGCAATGGATATCTACACAACCTGGCAAGCTGTCTGAAAGGCGTAGCCCCGATTGCTGCACATGCGGACTGAAAACCTGGCACCGAAGCGCGGTGTTTCGTCTACAGCTTCACGGCAAAACTCAGACCTATGGTCCTACAAAGTCTCACGTTGTACACCGCTGCCTCCGCTCTTTCCACCGTACTGGCTGTGGCCGAAGCCCTGACCTGCAGTACAGGCTCTCAAGCTGTCGAGCACGGAGAGTCAGGATTGAAGACTCGGGAGCGGTTCTAAAATGGTGCGGACTGCAAGAGGCTGCACAGGCCTTTGCCAGTGCTCCAGGCAGACTCGCGTGGAGCCGGAGCCTGCGCCGGCAAACAGTTGCAGGGACAACACTCAACTACTTGGGTCAGCGAACCGAAAGCCTCTTCTGGTCAACCGCATTGATTGAAAACCCTGCCATGCACGAAGTGAGGGGTCCAATGGATAGCCAAGGCTTGAATCAGAAAAACCACGTGCAGATGGAGTAGAGTTAGGGTAGAGTCAGTCGCCGCGAGCGAAAAGTGATTTGATAGGCTGTGCTGAATCCCAGGCCACAGTCCAGGCCTGCGTGCTCCATGCATTGTCCCACGCCTTGCAGGGAGCTATAGACAGGCTATGGGGGCTATATTATATTGTCCTACCTTTCGGGGGGATCGACGTTTGGTTTCGAGGGTCAGGCCATTCTACCGCTGGCGAGGGCTTTTGAAGCACTTAGCGGCACTGGAGAAGAGAAGCCAGCAACTCTATCCTCACGCAAGCACCAGTACCATGCTGCTGTGCAAGCCCATTTCAGTCGACATTGTGAGAAGATATGGAACAAATTTCCGACTGCTTAACCCGTAAAACATGAAAACAGCGCTAAGTTACTGCACTCTCTGGCCCTCCTCCCCTCGCTGTGGCCTCGCCCTTTCGGGGCTGCTCCCAGCCGCGATTACCACCACCTCCTCACGCCAAGTCTGAGCGACTCGATAGCATTTCGTCATGGCACAGGCTGCCAAGACAGACTCGAAGCAAGGAGCATCATAGACACATTATATATATATATATATATATATACACATACATGCATATACATACATACACATTACGTTACATACCGAGATACATAGACACATAGAGACATGGTCGCATACCTACATACATGCATGCATACATACAGACATGCAGACATGCAGACATGCACGCAGACTGACAGACAGACAGACAGACCGACAGACAGACAGACGGACGGACGGACGGAGGGACAGACAGACAAGGTGAACAGCAACGAAAAAATGAATAGCATAGTTTGATGATGAAAGGGGCCAATCGTAGCACCACGTAGCAGTTTCCTGACGGGGATAGGAAGGGTTGAGGAGCAGACAAGTAGCTGTGGCGCCCTTTTGCAAATGAACCCTTTTCAAGTCGTTCAGATGGTTTCAAAGGTGCAGTCCTGTGCCCACGCCAAGCGCCGCCGATATCGCGGCGCCGCCACCTTTGCTCCCTGGCAAGGCAGACGGCCGTAGAAGCCGGAAGGGACACTGGCTGCTACCCCGAAGCAATACTCCCCGAATGGTTCCCACGAACCGATGCATATCAGGCTGGATGACTAAGTCAGTACCCTACATCAACTCCGTCTGGAATGCTCAAGTCAAGACTGCAAACCAACAGGACTGCAGGCTTTGCTGATAGAACCACAAAGGTAGCATCAAGGAACATCCACAAAACGTGTCGGTCGGGACAGCTGTCTACCGCAGGGGTGAAGCCCGTGGAGACACCCTTCCTGGCAGCTGGCATGCCGGTTTTAAATAAATGTGAAAAGTCATCATACTTTGGTGGGTATGACTAGGACTACAACTGCTGGACGGCGGGAGTTCCACTTCGACGCTGACAACGACGACGGGGACGACGGATGATCGTGACAAATCTCACAACGACGATGATGATGATGATGATAATGATGATGAAGATGATGATGGTGGTGACGATGACGACGACGATGATGATAATGACACTGATAATAATGAAGATGATGATGATGGTGATGACGATGCTGATGTCGATGATGACGATGAGGATGGCGATGATGATGATGACGACGACGATGACGGTAGGCAAATCCGAGCCAGGTCTCTTGCAGCATATGCTTTCATAAACAAAGGGATCGTGTTGAAGCTTCTTTTCCTTCCGCCTCAGCCTTCGGAAGCTCTTACCATCGAGCAAGGTGCCGAGACTTTTGCTCCGCATTGCGGTTACCTGGCAGGACCTAGCAACCCTTCTCCTAACTGTACATGTTCAGACACAGGCTGCGCGCGCTCGCAGCTCTCATGGCCGCCATTGCAGCCACAGACACTAAGACTAACTTTTGTACATTAACTGTAGGAGCTGAAGCTTTCTTCTAACGACTGCCGAAGAGCCGCTGCTTCAGTTGAGGATTCTTGCTGACGATTTGGCCATCAGCCGTCTCCGGGAGAGCTGCGTCAGACTCTTCGATGATGGCTTCTGCCACATCGATTGAGCCGGAAGCACCAGGGAAGAAATACTCCTGATGCTTCTGTGTGCTTGGAGCCAGTCCATGGCCCATGGTAGCACCCAAAGGTGGCTGGGCAGCGCAGCCAGGAAATCGGGATCCGGCGTTGACGTGGAGACGCTCCCGAGTTCCCAGAGAAAATCCCAAGGCATCCCGCTTCGTCTGCACTCGCCTAGCAGATGGTGGGGCCGGCTGCAGTGGCCGGGCGGCATCCAAACTTGGGCCTTTGACCAAATCCGAACCCACTTCCGACCGCACCACTTTCGACTCGGCAGTCACAGCTTGGCTTCCTCGCTTGTTGCTCGGCTCGACGGGCTGCGACGGTGTCTCGTCGACTGTAGGTAAAGCAGTTACTCCCCCGGCGCTCCCCTTCAGAGCTTGAGGCTTCGGTGCAACTTTGGCCGCGCCTTCTTGACGCGGCGGTGCTGCTCCTCCTTTAGATATCTCCTCGTACTCCTTCCGGGACATTGTCTTAGGCTTACTGCTTTTGATCTTCTCCCCTTTCTTCGTTCGATGTCTCTCTTCCAGTTCCACACCAGGAGACATCACCATTACCTCCATCATGGGAGGTTGCTGCGACTGAAACTTCCTGAAACCATCCTGGAATTCGACAGAGTTCTCCTGCTTGCTTTTCGCATTCTTGTCACGCGCTCGCCCCCCCCGCTTTTCCGGCTGTGCTCTCTGATCTTGTTGAGAGACTTCATCCTGCTTGCATACGAATGAGGGGGCCGGGTTCGGGTTGGGCAATCTGTGGACCTGTGGCGGCTGTACCCAAATCACATTGCCCTCAGAATCATGTGTGAACTGCTTCTTGTCATCCTTCATTTGGGCGAGCTTAATTGCTTCTTCAATCTCTGCCGCCTTCCTCTCTGTCCGAACTTGCTCGTCTCGCAGCTTCCTGGCCTCGCGCTCCTTCATGTCTCGGAGCATGGCTTCCTCCTCGTCTTCCTCGCGATCGTCCACCAATGGGATGAGCTGGCTTCTTACTGTCGGGGTCTTTGGCGTCTCTACCTCCTCTGCAAGAGACTGGGGGCCAAATCTGGATGTAGGCCTGCTGCCAGGACCAGAGACAGATCCAATCGATGCACGCGATCCCATCCGCCAGACGGACCCCCGGCCTTTTCTTGACTCCTCAGCTTTGCGGCCAACTTTCCGAATTGGCACACAAGCCCGCGCCCAAGTGTCAATTCGACATCTGGCTGGCTCAGTCTCCAAAGACCATCCGTCTTTGCTGTTGGCATCTGCATCATCTAATCCACTTGTCCATGAAGCCGGGGCTGATCCGGGTCTCGGAGCCACCTCGAGAGTGCCTCGAGACCTCGGCAAGCCCTCTGTGCTCTTCGGTCTCAAGCTCTCTTGGGCTGCAGACGGTGTGGAAGGATCTGTCCCGGTTGTCTGCAACTCGCCTATATCATGTCGGACGAAACGCAGTTGCATTTCACCCGTTACAATCTCGCACAAGGCATCCGCGGCAAACCCGAAGGACTTCCGATGAATGTAGCTTTGGTACAGCAGGATCCCTCCTTCTTGCAAGATCTGCTCCAACACGGCTTCTACCGTATTTTCCGCATCAGAAAATGGATCTAGCACGCCAGCCCCTTCGGCATCGTCCGTGGTCGCCGGGGCCGCATCCATCTGTCCCCGAAGCGCTGGAGCAGATTGAGCCCAATCTTGAGGATCTGCTAGCTTCAGGTCCGAAGCCGTACCGCCCGCGTCAACACATCATCTGCTCCCTGAGCAACAAACAAACTCCATGCCTGCGAACACCCTCACGTCACGGACAAGCAGGGAACATGCAGAGTTGCTTTGAAGATAAAAGGTTGTCTAGTCTGGCTGGTCTGGCCGACGCACAAAAGACTCCAGACCCCGAACTCTTCAAACATCCCATGCATTCACACACAGGCGGCGCGCCCATACGTGGCTTTTCCCGACATGGCAGGGCCTCGTCAGGTCAGGCAGACTGCTGGAACTCAACAATCGGCATTGCTTGCTTGATGGCTTGCCTGCTACATAGATACGTGCACGTACTCATCTATGCATAGACAATGCAAAGATCTAAGCGGCAGATTCCCCCTGCATGCTCCGACACTTCGGACTTCGCCTCCGAACGGGATCTCTCCCTTGCCGCCCTTGCCGTCTTTCCCTGCGTACAAAACTGCACGATACATACCAAAGTGCGACTTGTAGGCTTTTAGGGGGAGAAGCAAATCTGGCCCAAGTATAGGGGGCTGTGTCGAAGATATCACCTGCTGAGCTGACTACCACCCTCAGTCGGACTGTTGGAATGTTGGTGGCAATAGACGTGTGCTTGCATCGCATCCAGGTGCTCTGTAAAGTTGCTTCTGGCACGAAGTGCTGCACCCCGATTTGCCTGATGGTCTTTGGTTGATGGACACGATCGCCGGATCAGTGGCCTCAGCGTCATACGATCAAAGCTTTGCTGCTTCTTCGCATTTCGATAGGGGTCTTGCACTTCGCCAGGGTGGCCTTCGACAGCACTCGCAAACTTAGAGACCTTATAATGTGCTGCAAAGCCGCAGCACCTGGCTGCTTCCCAGATTCCAGCACCGTCAAGTCCTTGATGTCTTGACCCCGAAAGATGATGAAGTCATACACCTGTCCATGTGCACATCTGCTTAAGTCAATCGACGGACCTGTCTTGAGCTATGTCAGCGTATGCACAAGTAGCTCAGCTGCTGAGGGGAAGGTGCCAGATGCACGTGGTGCAAAACTAGGCTCGGTCTAGAACTGCATTGGGTCCGTTTAGAAACATGCCGTCCCACCACTGCGATTTCCAGTTCGTTGAAGTGTTGCGACCGTCTCTGCAGCATCAGTACCATGTGTCAATGCACGATTTGCTAATGAAATCAGACTCAAGTCGAAACTGCACGAGTATCTGCCAGCATGTGTGGAACGGCATGGAGCTTTCATCAGAACGCCTCGCTGGAGGGAGGAATCTCCGGCGCCTTCCTGATTCAGGGGGATGCCGCCGTGACTTCCGAGGGGGTGGGCATGGGCATCCTGACCTTATGTAACCTGACAATTGTGAGAGCTACATATACAAATCCAAAGGCTGTACCGAGTCTACAGCCTATCGCATGCGGCACCTTGCGAACGGACAGCAAGGCGGACTTGAAAACTTACCGACAGGCACTTATATCGAGAATCGGGACATGCGACGCCAATCGAAATCTGGACCCCGGCAAGCAGCACTAAATAATAATCGGAACAATAAAAGCAATACCACGAATAATAGTAATCAGAAAAATGCGATTAAGAAGAATAATCATAGTAATAATACTGTTCATAAAGATGTGTACTAATATATAAATAGAAATGATATTCTCCGTCTTCTCTACTCCCAAAACCAAGAAAATTGGGTAACCCGGAGCCGGCCTCCCCTCAGTGCCGAAGCATCTGACGGACTGCAGTGCTATGGTGGACTCCTGCAGTCGAGGAGACAGGGGGGGTTCTCCAACAATTTGCGTTTTGGGGGACCCCAGCCGGGATGCTAATTTGGAGAACTATTCACATGGAGAAGAGGGTGTGGACTCGTCATAAGCACCAGATGAAGATTCAAGCGGATATGACACTCACTAGCCTTTCGAATCGTGGATGTGATTCCGGGCACCATAGAGTCACTAGAATCACCATGCACCGCTAAGCGCCGCTTCTGATTTTGGTCCTCAGTTTGACATGACTTGGTCAAGCCAGGGGCCAGGGGCCGAGAAAGAGGGGAGATCTCTACGGAAATGGAACTCGAATTTTCGAGAAGCCCAGCGAGCTCTGTATTCTGAGCTGTTCAATCAGAATCAGCCGCGGACTTCGACAACAAGGCCACGTGTGGAGCCGTCAGCACGGCCAGCTTGAGGTAGGATGTCGCCCAGTTCGTGACTGACCTCGGTAACAGTACAGCAGGTACTTGTTGGATCTGGTCTCCTGATCCCTAATCGAACTCCGGCTGAAGCCTATTCTGGTGTTGCTGGCGTTGAGGGGCCAATGGTCATGCTGAGATGTGCTACTGGAGTTTGGCTTAACCAGCAAAACTCCGGAGACCTGTCTGGAGTTCGGGTCCCTGTAGTAGGCTTTCGAAACAGGGCGCAGTCTGATTCAACTGCCTTTGCGTTTCAAGGGGCTCGTTGTACTCCTGCTCAGAGCCGGGATTGAACGTGTCGAAGCATTCCTTACGTCAACCGTTCAGCAGGTGCGAGAGGCTGACTAAGCGGAGGCGTCCGCACAAGTGTTGTTTGTCTTACAATCTTAAGACAAAAATGCCCTCAGCCATTTTGGGCAAGAGTCCTGGGACTCGGATGCAGCAAGCAACCTCAGCTGCACTCCAAACCTCTGACTCTCGCGGACTTTGGGCAAAGATTAAGCTGTTGGAACCAGGGGTTCCAAAAAACGCCCCGAAAGGGAAACCCTCCATCAACACCCTCAATCTTGAAGCCCTAATTTTAAAGCGTAAATCCCTAAACCCCAAGAAGCAGAGCAGTCTGCCAGGTGGCTGGCTCTGGCTCTGCCCAGCAAAGTCTGAGAACTGGCCGGAATAGAGCTCCAACAGTGACATGCTGGCCTGACCTCAGCGGATGCTCTTCGGGACCCATCATCATCATCAGCTCAGCATTAGTTCTTTGCTATGCTCAAAATCCCTTGCCTGGCCTTGCAGCAGTGACGGCGCCTGCTTCAGCTTCTCCTCAGCTGGGGCATGGACAAGAATGTGGCTTCTCGCTTTGGATGAGCTTTCGACAGGGGGCGTTCGGTCAGCTGAGAGCATACGGCCTGAATCCCTCCATGTCCAACGTCCTTTAAATGGTACCGAAACTTCACTTCTTAATCGACCTGACCTGGATCTGATATGCAGTACCACCATACCCAATCTGCAAAGCAAGCAAACTCACAGCTCCGGACCTAAAGACTTCGTGACTGGCTCATGTCCCGGCCAAGCTTCCTGCCACCGCGATTTCAGTGCCTCATGTGAATGTCTCTGTCTGGCGCACAAAGTACTCACACTGCGACGCTAGCGGCGAAACTATCCTACTAGGTACTCAAGTAGCACACTGGCTCCCAAATGCTTGTTCGAAACGCAAGGCACCGCATTGGAAGGCTACAGTACTTCACGTCCTTGCTAGAGTCTGGAGATTTAGGAGGGGGAGCCTGAGATACTCACGGCCCTGCTACAACTTCCAGGATACGGATACAAGTAGGTGAGGGGAGGTACTAGGTGAAGGACCAGGCCCCCGTGGATCATAAAGGGTGCCCAGCCACCTCATACTCTGCAGGACGTGCGTAGATCTCCCAGGCGAAGGAGAAGGGCGCCTGCCCAAGCTCACAACGATGGCTTGAGTACGCCCTCGAGTTGAAACCAGACATACAATCAGAGACTCACAAAACAAGCTGCTAGCCAGAAATTGTAGAGCAGTCCAAGTACACCTGCCACATGATCCGGACCATGGCTTTCCGAATCTGTGCATTCCGGCTGGCCTTCAAGTTGTCGTAGACCCAGTCGAAGCTCGTCCCCGGACAGTTGTATCCTTGGATTGGAGGCAATTCCCCTTTCCAGGGCTTGCGATGGGCTGGGTCGCTGGAAGAAGCTTGTGAAATCGGCTGCATGATTGCACGAAGCAGTCTTCGCCGTCCCAGGAGCCCACTTCCTTGCCAGCTGCGCCGAAGGGGCACTGGCAATAGTCTTCGTCCACTTCCTCCAGGGAAAAGCTTAGACTGCGCGACATACAACCATGAATAGAAAGCGGCTGGTCCGCTGCGACTTCGACTTGCAGCTTGCTCAAACTGGTGCGTCAAGCCTCCCACTGCATGGCCCATCTTCAGCAAGCATTAGTCGCTTCAGTCTGTCCTTCAGCACAGACAGCATCAAGTCGCGGTTGCGGTGCGCCATGTGCACGCTGTCGTAAGCCCACGGCATGTACAGACCTAACCTGGATCTTGTGTGCGTTTTGGGGTTTGGGAGCAGGGACTGGGTAGTTTCGGACTTACAGGGGCTAGGACTGGGGTTGACGTATTTAGCAAGGTAACCATAGCATGCTATATGACTCAGTCGTGCATTGGCTTGCAAACCCAACTGTCCATCTTGCTTCTTGTTCCTGTCGTGCTGGATTTTGCTCATAATAAGATTACATAGACCTACGAGCGCTCAGCTGCTTGCGACAAATGAAAGGTGCCAAGCGGCGTGCCACTGTGTACAGACAGGAAGGTGGTGGGCTTGAACTCTGTAACCAAATCTCGCACCATCTGAGTCTCCACTTCGCTAAAGGGCTTCTCACCGTGATACTGATCTCCCTCCATCGCCTGATCTCCGAGCTCCCACTTCTCATCCCAGTTTCGATTCAGGTCGACACCCCGTGGGTTGTCCCGAAGACAGTAGTCCCCTTGCTCCACCCGAGCCCGCGAGATCGGGTTGGCATTGAGGATCAGCTGGAAGTCGCTTTCAGCCAGGGCCTTCTTCGCCAGATCTGACTTGGAGCTTGGCGCGCAAAGCATCTTCAGTAACATCAGGCCGCTTTCGGGGCTAATGAGCTCGCGGCTATGTTCCCCGAAAAGAAAAGCTACCCGATTTGGTCTTGAGTTCGGGCCGGGCCCCGAAACGCGAACATAATCTATTGACACATTCCCCCTCGTCACTGTCTTTAGAGTTGCCTTTGCAGAACAGCCTGCGACGAGCTCCCTTGCTTCCTTTTGGATCTGGTCGGATGTGTGGTAGAAGGGAAAGTCTGACACAAGTTTGCTCCGGGTGTCTATTCTGGAAGAGTGCCGCAAATTCACAGAGTCCGCAACGAGTGCGCAGAGCGGCAGGCAGAGGAGCGCTGTTTGGCGCATCATGGCTTCGAAGAACTACAAAGCCCTTCAAGGGATATCACTATCAGATTCATAAAGCCGTAGAGCCACTACGGCCTCGGACGGTAGCTGTCAGGTGTGTGACATTTTCTGCGCCAGACCGATCACGCCTCTATAACAAACGGGACTCCAGAATCCAAGGAACCATGTATCCTGAGTCCCTGCATTCCGTGGCCCCGTGGCAACGCGACTTCATGTTAATGCTGCATTCATTCTCGTTACTCTACCAGCAAAGATCATAGTCTCATCCTGCTACTGCTGCTGCAAACGTTGCTTCGTGCTGATGCTGCTTCGGTGTGGTTCAGTGCTGCAGCGACTGTTCTCTTCCTGCGTCCTACTCCCGTTGGTGTGTTCATGTCTGTGCTTCTGCTAAGAGCAACAGAGACCTCAATCTCGCCATTTTCCTTACAAGATGACCCGGCAAGACGGGTTTCCATGACGAGCAAGGCCCTCATCACCACAATGGACAAACCAGGCATCAGAATATCAAGAAGCTGAACACAGCACGCAGGGAAACTCAGCTCTAGGACACTAGGACCCCGCTCCCCTTCCCTCTTTGGAATTCCTGGGTATTGATGGTGTAGAGGATGCCCTCGTATCGCAGCTCCGAGTTGGACACCAGGCCTGGAGGAAACTACGGGGCGACATACATGACTGTCCGGAAGGCTTGAAACTCGAGCCTCTACTGTGCTTCTGCTGTTCCTTGCTGAACCAGGACGAGGCCCACGACACGACCAGCTTGCCGCAGAGCAGTAGCAGCAGTACGGACTAGCAGTAGCAGTAGTAAGTCGTAGCAGTAGCAGCAGTAGTAGCCGCCGTCGCAGTAGTAGTACCAGTCGTCGTCGTGGTGGTGGTGGTGGTGGTGGTGGTGGTGGTGGTGGTGGTGGTGGTGGTGGCGGTGGCGGTGGCGGTGGCGGTGGCGGTGGTGGTGGTGGTGGTGGTGGTGGTGGTGGTGGTGGTGGTGGTGGTGGAGTAGAGGTGATCCTCATGAAAACAATAATTTGCAACAGTTACTAGGAACGAACATAAACATAAGAAGAGTGATAGTTGTCCATGGTATAGTATATTCCGACGTGGATCCTCCTCACAACAATCCTCTGGACGGCGCTCAGTCCCACGCTGATTTTGCGGCCGATGTACGGCACCGCGTTTTGAGACATGCTGCGGCGGCCCTTGCAGGAACGGGCGTGCAATCTGATGCGCAAAGCTCTGCATCGAGAAGGTACGATGAGCTGGTTGCAGCAATCCCCAGCCGTGACTTTTCCAACGGAACGGCAAACGTCACTTAAGCTAATTGGTCTGATGTTGATGGGCCGATGGGGCTTTGTGAGAGCCGCGCCTCTCTCGTCGCGCCTTCTGTATCTACGCTTTGAGGCCAAGAATGGCTGCGGAGTACTGCCGTGCCGCCATTACATCGAAACGACAGAGCAACTTATTATGCTACTCATCGCATAGCCTGCGTTGCTGATAGCGAGCATATGGCTCCACATGCATCCACATACCTAGCGGTGAAATGCTGGCGACGGATAATTTAAAAAAACCAAGGGAGAGATGTCAAATCAGGGCACAATCACCCCGGACGGTGTGGAAGTCCTGCGCCGCTGTTTTTTCCAAACCCCTCGAACCCTCCCCTGTCCTCCAGCCTGATCTTGGGTGGCCTGCGAAGACATGACAGGCTCAAATCCTTCAAGAGTCTGCAAAATCATGCAAGCCCCCGAACAGCAGAGCCTGAGGCAAGCGATGGCGTTCACCAAAGAGTTGCCATCGAGAGGGAGGGCACCCTCCTGCCATTGATACGAGAGGGTGCAGGCGTCTGGGCATCTGGATTTGGTTCCTTGTTCCTGTGGTTGAAGAGCAAAGGCAGCAGAGGGATAGCAGCGGGCCTTGGCAAGCTCTTCCTGCACCTGCCAGGTGGGGCGACTTGGATGGAGGACGCAGCTGGATTCTCGGACCCATACCAGAGAGCTTTTGCGCGATGAGGCTTTAGGACCAAGTTAGCGATCTCGGTGTATGGCTATGCAGCATGTCATTGTCGCCTGGGAAAGCCACGGGGCAGCGTCGATGCCGTCTCCTGACACGGAAGGTCGCGAAGCAAGAGCCCTGTATGAGCATACGAGAAAACAATGCTTGCAAGGCATCGAGAGCTCTTCTGCCGATACCCCACAGACCTCCAGTCTCGAACGCGACGTGGTGAAAGCCTGGCGACATGCTCTATATACACCCAAGATAGCTTGGCCCTGACTGTGATGGGCTCCTACTCGGTCTCTGAATCGTTTCTAGCATCCCTCATGGAGACATGACTGCACTTCGGACAGAAGCCCTGCTCCCCTTCCATTTTGAGCCCGCTGCACACCGCACAACACCCGAAAGAAGTGAGCACGGTTGAGTAGCTGATGGGCGACGCAAGTTGCCCGGTTGCCCCAGGCAGAAGCCGCAAACAGGTGCTTATACTACTTCGGTGTCTGTCAGGCGTGCTTCGCCGAAGGGCGTTGGCGCCGGACAATCTGAGAAACCTCCCCATTCGGGGAGTCTGGGTATTTCGATGGGTGGCCGCACTTTGAGACCACACCAGCCAACAAGCGGGCTCGAGAGTAGCTCTAGCGTGCGGTGCTATGTCAAAGGTTGTATTTTTCTGGAAAACGGACGTGACGGTGAAAGAAGCTGAACGCAGCCCTCTTCGAGCACGATGCTTGCCGACAGGCGCGTTGCATTTGAATTGGGCTTGCCACGAGTCTTCACAGAAGGTTCTGCTTGTGGTTCTCGGGTATGAGGAAGGAGGCCCGCAAGCAAGCCGAGTGTGGAGTCAAGCTAAGCCTAAGATGTGCTTTTGGGATTGACATCCTCCCTACTTCATGAAGCCGAATGCCGTCCGGCAAACAGCAGACCAGTGCCCTCGCTGCTGGAGGAGTCGTCAACCTTCCGGAGCAAAGGCTGCAACGGATCAAGATGGCCTGACACTACGAGTAGCACCTGCAGGGGGCATGAATCCCAAGCTTCGCGAGTTCTGGTGTTCGCATTTGTTCGAGCGTGCCTTGGGTTTCATACGCATGTCTTCTAGCAGTTAGTAGCCTAGAAGCCCAGCGGCGGTCCAGTTTGGAAGCTCAGCTATGTTTCTCTCCTGGCTGCCCCAATCGAGCAAGGCAACTTGGGACCATTTCCCGCGGCCTGAACGTGGGGAGCCGGCTTGAAGCGACGAGCCTGTTGCAGAAGTGGCGCTCTCCGGAGTTGCTAGATCACCTACTCGGTGAAGAAGACTCCGAACTGCGGCAAGTCAGGGAGCTGGCTTTTGGGAGCAGGACCAACAACCCAAAGAAAAAGCCTCTGCTTGCTCGCTACCACGGAAAGAGATCGGCAGTTTCCCCAGCCGCGCCTGCGCCACCACTGAGCAAGCTGCCAGCAGCAGAAGCGCGCAAGCCTTCAGATGGCTCGTGGGAGCTTCCTGCTGCAGCTCGCAGCTCTGAAGTGTCTATGTCGCCGAAGCCATCTGGGAGTTTCCAAAATTAGGGGACCCTAGTATAGTACTCTAAATATCCTTATCATAAGGACCCCACAAAAAGGTACGCCTACTTTTCGGAAACACCCATCTTCGAACCCCCCACATCGATCTGAGCTGGCAGCGGCAGTGGGAATTGCTGTCCAGAGCCATGCGACCTGAGTCGATTGCAGTATGGGAATATTTATATTTAGAATACGAGACTAGACTCCACTGCACCATGCTCTCAAACTGTACTAGACTACACAATTCTATAGTATACTCTACTATACTCTATTATTTTAGACTATACTAGACAGACGAGACTATACTGACTCTAGCTTGCTACTCAACTTTTGGCCCTGCCTTTGCAGTGTCCCCAGCAAGTCAGCTCCCGGCCTTCGCATCGGACACTTCGTGATTGAAGCGTTTGAGGAAGACCATGGGCTTTTCCTTAGCATGTCTCATCTCACTCAGAGTGCCTTCGAATGGGAATCACTACGAGTAACACAGCTCTTGACATGACCCACGGTGCCCAGCACTCGCTCTCGGCATGCTGAGCATCCCGCTGCTTTCATCTCGGTCTCCAGAGTCTGGCCTGGCTGTTGCAGATCCCCTGCTCGCCCGGAAGGAGCAAGGCCTACTTGAGCGAGAAGCTTCGAACTGCTCGCATTAAGGGGTGTGTTGCTTAGGGCAACTCCTAGACCGCTCCTGCGAGGAGGCTGCAAACATCTTGCGTAGCACAAGTCTAGCAATCTCTCATAAAACTCCGTCGAGCTTCTCGAGCCGATATTGACCCTGGTACAAGTCGGCTCTCCTCTGTGAAACTATGCCTGCATAGCTCCCTCCCTCTGGGCCTGTGCAGTCATGGACCTTCGCTTTCTGACAGTGCGTGTTGCCCACCAAGGCGGAGGGGCATGTCCTGGAGAAGCGACGATCGCGGCTCCGGTTGCAAAGCCACTGCAGTAGCAACTTTAAGTCTTAAAACAATTTGCCTGAACTGGAACGATAGCATACCGATATGCCGATATGCTCTAGCCGCCCAGCCAAGATCTTCGGATCCCCTTCCTGGGCAACAACTCTTGCGACAAGACTGGGCTCGACACGAACCATCCGGACAGCAGTCCAAGCCGGCGCACATCACATGCCTTACGCCCAGCGAAAGATGATCAGGAAATGGACAGGCAATCGGAAACGAAAGCGTGTTCTCAGAGTCAGACTGACCTATCTCGCACAACTCTCCTGGGCTGCCGGCTCGTGGCCGGGGCAGGGCACGCTGGCCTTGGAGCGGGCGAGGAAAGCTTTCCAACGGCAGTCTGCTGGAACGAATCCCCACACAACAGAAGTCTTAAGAGCAGACAGCTCAGAATCTCAGTAATCGAATTTCCGAGCCCTTTGCGAAACGAAAGGCTTCAACGTCTTATCACAGCTCGTGAGGCTGAGCTTCCGACGCCAACGGAACAAGTGGCCTTTCCGACGATCTTGGGGGCTTCCATGCCTTGGTGTGTGTCAATGGAGCGGAATTGGTTCAAGGCGTCGGAGGCGGGTATCAACGGTTACCATCTCTCCACTACGACCTGACATGACGCACACTACCTTGACTTTTACTGAGATTGGTTCTACTCAAAATACTGAGTCTGAGTGTACTACTTGTGCTCTCGGGACTGTTGTTTGCGATGTGTCTGCGAAGCGGATCCGCTCTTCTGCGAGATAGCTGGGCGTGGGACAGGTGCAGTCGTACTGCTTCGGGTGAGGGCAGCCTGCAGCAGTGTCCATGAAAGAGTTGAAAGGTGGCAATTGCTAGGCTTCGGCACTGATGTTTAGCAACAGAAATGCCTCGAGTCAGACAATTCAATCAATGTGCGGATGGAAGTCTCCTTGTCACCACGACCCTGCAACTTAGCGATTTGTGGCCCTCCTCGGATGTCGTGGTCTTCGCACTACGCCAATGGAGTTCTAGGCGCGTTTCTGGACCTTCTTGACATTGAGTACTCCAGGCAAGGTCCGAAACCCTGTCCCCACCCGAGCCTGAGGTGCCAGGGGCCAGCAACGGAGCCGATGGGCACAGCCTTTGATCCCGAACGGATCACTGTCACTGAGCAGATTCATGAGGCTTTCGGTGATCAGCAGCGCCGAAAGGATGATCACAACTTCCTGCAGCTCTCTGACCAAAACCACGCGGACTTCGATTATTCCTGGTCAATATTGCTACAGCAGAGTTGAATATCAGCGGGAGAGTAGAGACACATCTGTCACCAACCTGGAATGATCACATGCGAATCTCATTCACCTCACACATCCACGGAAGTTCGAGACCCAAAGCGAACCGCACTTGTAAGCCCCACACGAGCCATCTGGGCAGCAGCTGATGCCGGAACAGACGGCCTTCCTTTGTACCATGAGAGGCTCAGAATCAGACTCAAATAACAAGACAACGAGTTCAATGGTTCCTGTGCAGCCTCGACAAAGAGGCAGCGCTTCGTCCCGACATCAACTCGATGGGTGTCTTGCATGTCTCGCAGCTTTGTCCTTCCGCGTCCTTCCCCCCCCCAAGTTCTGCGATCTAAACCCTAAAAAAATCAACAATCCTCAGCTCTCGACCCATCGGGGCATTTCACACCTTGGTAGCTCCGGAGTCCAGGGGTGAATGAGAGTGAGGGGTTCCGGTTAGGACCTTATAGGGCTTGGGTCTCAGGTGTCTTAGAGCAGGTTTAGACCTTCTGCACCCGAAGTTTCGAAGTTTCGGGTTCGGCGGCGACTTCAGTGTTGTTCTTGGGAGGCGAGGGCGCCTGGGAGCGCTTGGGACTTAGGAGGGGCTTTAGGTTCTGGGGCTCCAACGAGGTGGGCAGGTGGAGTGGGAGGCACCACGAATAAAAACCGATGCGTCCCAGACAGTCTGGGCTGTTGCCATGTGAACTCCTGCATCCAAGGCGCTGGAGCCCGCCAAGCACTTGTTTTCTGGATCGCACCCGTTATTCGCCGGACCATGCGCCTGTCACATTTCGCCCCCCCACCACAGTCTGCCAAGTAGAAAACAAACGGCAAGCTCAGGGGGGCCGTGCTCGAAAGGCCACACGCAACACCTATCCTATCTCCAAGTGCCTCCGTGATGCCAACTGAAACAACACTATGCACCTCCTCCGCCTCCTCCTCCTCTGACTCGTCGGGTGTCGGTTCCTCCTCTTGCTCTTCCTGCACGCAACATCTTAGTAGTACCTGAACTGCCGGCACCTTGCTTAGACTCCAATCGCTTGGTTCCGAGTGGGGACGGGGAGAACACAAGCCCTCTCGGACTCATTTCCTTTGTCATTTTTGCACGCCCTCAAACGTTGTCGTCGAGAGCTACATCATGCTCGCAGTATGCCCACTCGCGAGCACGGCGTTTTAACGACTCAGCCTTGTCTTGGCATGCACTCTGACTTCTCCAGGAAGTCTTCCATAGGAACATGTAGATGTGGTGGGTGTTAGCTAATGCCAACTCTCAGCCCTGGCAAGCACATACTGAAGCTTGGTTCTACCGCAAAATAGAAGGGGCTGCGCTTTCTCCCGCAGTGTTAAGCCGCTGTGACTTCGACATCAGAAACAGTACCGCAGACGTTGCGGTCACAAAGACCACATGCAAGATCGACATGCTAATCCCAGCCGTGTGATCCGGTTCAGGGTGGCCCTATGACTCGGGGGAGACAGACACAAGACCAGCCAAGCAAGACAACTCTCGCTACCTAGCCTGGAATGGTACCCGATCCAACCCACTCACAAATCGGGTTCAGGAGAACAGACTAAAAACGGCTCATGCTCAGCAGTAGATTCTTGGAGTGCGTCTTATGGTCCACCTTTATGGCCTCGGGGCCGCAATCCTAATGGTACGTTCCTCATGGTCCGGTGGCGACCCTCAACACCCTGAGCTGGCATCGCAGTCCTGCTTCTCTTCGCCATCCTCATCGGTGACCTGCGGACTGCGACCCTGAAAACGAGGTGCGCCTGACAAGACCTCATTCCAAGGCTGGCAGGCCTCCTCCTGCTCCACCTGCTCCTGCTCCAGGTCATCACCGTCCTCAGGCATCATGGGCCCATGACATACCCCGCCCCCACTACCAAAGCCAAGCTCGGGCAAACGTGTCCTCGGCACCATCCAAATCCTTTTCGGCGGCTCCTCCGGAAGGCTCCTGAAGGCTCAGAGAGCCAGGGGCGATTGGCCAACATTTGTTTAAAGGAAGCGAAACTCATATGATATATAAAATACAATGTCGAGTTAGTAACCTAGTAATCATGTATACTGTATAGCATGCCATACTTGTATCTCAGCTCGGACACACATTTCACATGCTGCCGTGCATAAACTGTAAGCTAGGGAGGGGTGAGTGCAGGTGACTTGGACGTTCCGTGCACCTGGTCATCCGCCGCGCTTTCCCATGGGCCGAAGTCCTTGAACTTGGGCTCCTTTCATCACTATCACCGATTGTGATCTTGGACCCACTCACGCCGGCCAACTCCAAAAGGCGCTGCTCCTTGTGCTCTGGTTTGGGAGGCTCCGCCGGAGCCTTCAGGCACCAAGCATAGGCTTTCTAGCGAACTCATACACGCCCTGATGTGGAGGCAGGCTATTGAGGCCACTGAGATCTTTATGGCCGCATCGCTGCCGTAACGGCTTGTTAGCAACCAGAAAGCTTTTAGGGTGACTGACCAGTGTGAAGATCGCTTGTAGTTCCACCCATGACGAGATTTTCACGGAAAAAATCACGCCCGTCGGCGTCCAATCCAAAGTACCCCCTCAAGGCGGGTATGTTTTCGGCAGGATTTTCGGGTAAGTCTCTTATTCAAGGTGTTTTCTTAGGAATGAACTCTAAATGGAACCTAAGAGCCCTGCAACAAGAACCCCAAGGCCAAGAGGAGCTGAAGGAGGCCTGGACTGTGCAGTCCCCGAGCTTCTCCTGACCGGACCATGAAATCAATCGAGAGCAGTGTGGAGCAGCCCTCCCAGTAGGGGTCTTCGGAACAAGCACAGGATTCTGGGGCAGTATACATATACAGGGACGAGGAGGTAGTGCTACCCTCCACTAGGCGAAGGCGTAGGAAAGCGGTCCTGTGAGCCTTACTAAGCCTTACTAGGACACTACTGCAACCGTGCAACAGAGACAACACCGGAATCACGTCAATCGAGCAACGAATGCCAGAACATGTACGAGTCAAGCGTGGCAAGGACATGCTAACGTAAGACTGTAGCAGCATGCTACAGTGCAATCGAACGCCGGGTACATCCAACCGCCGAGCACCATCGTATCAAAACACCTTGCGAGGCAGATGGTAACGACGACGATGATGAACAGCGAAACACTACAACAATGCAGCATTACAACGGACAAACACACCACAGACTTGCAGACTTGCCGTGTCAGCGTACGAGCGAATGTAAACATCATAACATCGCACGATACATGACTAGACCCAAGAAGGCCAGGGCCTTCTTCCAGCAAACCGCCGAGTTTGATGCAGAGGGGCACGGCCTTGGTGCGTCAGTTCGTCCGGCCTAGGCCTGCTGAAGTCACTCGATGTAGGCTACGGAACGTAGCACAAGTGCACAGAGCTGCAGTAACGATGCCTGCCCTCTTTTATGAATGATTCGCGGCTACCGCTGCATCATCAAGGATAATCAACGAGAAGTGAGGCGACCATCTCTCCCACTATTGAAGCTTCTCAAAACAACTAACTAGACCTGTCATAATTTTCGCTGATAACGACGTATAGTACGTGAACCGAAATGGCTTCTCGCTGAAGCTTTGGAGTGTCTGGGCTCCCTGCGACCCATCGGGACAGCAAAGAGACCCTGCACAGTGAAGGTTCCTCGCATTGAAGAGCAGAGCATTCTGATTTCTTTCGAAGACTCCTCTCCAGCAGTACTGCCACATAGGGCCGCTTTGGCTGTCAGGTGTTTAAGGATTCTCCATGGACAAAGCAGGCCCCAACTACTAAAAACGAGTTCTGTACTTCGCTGAACACTGCATGTCGCCAGAATCAGTCTGTTGAACAGGCAAGTTGGGCCAGCCGAGGGCTGGGCGAGTTGGGACACGGCACTGCCTCGCCCACCTCTGTGCAAGTCGCGGCCAAATGTGTCTGCAGTCGAACACACGCAGACCCTGATCAAGGGGCAAGCCTCGCAGAACTCTGGCAGCTTCAAGGGTTTCGGAGCATGAAGCCCTGGCGCATTTCCGACGGTCTCTCTGCCCAGACTGACAAGACAGAATGCAAATTACTATTAGTATTCCCTTGTAAATCTTTAGCGAAATCAATATCGCCGTGACCCTACTACTAGACGCAGTCAGGAAAGCCGATAGCTCATGCAATGAAGAACAGTCGTGATAGTGGTAGTAGCACGAGCAGCACTAGCACAAGCTATCATGTTAAGAACCCCGAGTAGTACCTGACTAAATCTGCACTAGTGTTCCTGAATCAGAGTGCTCCTCGAAGCCCCGGCGATGCAGAGAAAAGACATTCCACGTAAAGCCCGAGACTTCACTCAGACGATTAGCACAGGGCATCCCGTCCTGTGCAGTCATGCGCTTTCGGCTTCTGGCACCTCAACATTTTCTCGAAGGAGTTGGGTGAACGAAGGGATGAAGGCTCGCACGATAAGAGCAGACTCACGACGACGACACAAGTAATCAACACCCACGATGTTTACAAACATCGTGGTGGAAACACTTATACACCTATAGCAACTGTTGTTTAGCACAGCAACAACAATACTCACTCGCGATGACGATTGATGTATCACTGGCCAATTGACCGTGTTTCAATAGAACATTCACGTCCATTGACAATATGTGGCAGAGCAGTTGTCAATAGCCCTAACTCCATAACCGATTCCCACACACATCCTGAAGATCTAACCGTAACCCGAATCTGAAATATGGGACCCTCGCGCTCCATTCTCTCTCTCCCTCTCTCTCTCTTGCTGCCGGGGGGCTTTGACCCAGAGTTCGGTGCCGAGGGACACAGCCTGAGTGAACATGCCGGCAATCTAACTGAAGATTGCAAGACCTCGTCGCAATGCTACTAAAGCAGCGCTCTGTAAAACCAGACATGATTAGTAGCTGCTAAAGATCTCGTGACTTACACGACTGCCAGAATAGCATTAGCATACGTAGCCACCACCATCTTCGACCGCGGTATGATAGATGCAGCAGCAGCAGCAGACTACTCGAACAACCACGCAGTGCAGCTAGTATGGGTAGGACTATCTCTGTTCTTATACTGTTTGTTTTGCTCTTATTCGTGCCAGTCCTGGTTAAGTTCTGCTGCAGCTTTTCCTTCTACTTCTAGTACCTCTGCTACCTCTGCTACTTCTGCTACTGCTGCCGCTCCTGCTGCTGCTACTACTACGACGCCAAGGACCACTACTAAGAACACAACCAGCAGCATCAGCAGCAGCACCACCGCCGCCACGCCGCCAAAACCACTACTCCCCTCCTGCTGTTGCTACTGCCTCCAGCTACTAATAATTACGTCGCCGTCAGAAGTGTTGCTGGCTTGATCTTTCAAGGGCCTGCCCTGATCATGGGCTGTAGGTTCTGGCTCAGTCGGTGCCGATAAGGAAGAGTCCGCGGCACTGAATTTACGGACTAAGGTGTCGACTCAAGGTTTACATGGTGTGAACTTTGTCTCTGCTGGATGTCTCACGTCTCGGCGACGGGCGAGCCATCGGGGCAGCACTGGCTTTCTTTGCAGAAGTCCCTGAGTGCATGACAGCGTGCAAGAGCGGAAGGAAATGTGCAGGACCATCAGTGGCTGAGTAAAGTTCGAGATGCCGGAGGACCCAACCACCACGGTACTGGGTGCACGGTAGTAACTCTGCTGAGAAACTTTGCAAACTGAATGCCGTGTCAGGGCCGTGGGTAAGTGGAAGGGGTGCCCTCTCCCTGATCCATTCTACACGTGGCTGCACCGACAATGACAAACGTATCTCTGCCTAGTGCTGCTGTCTCGATGGAGGAAAGTCATTCAAGGACAGCCTGAAACACCAGTCCAAGAAGGGAACGGCAAGCAAGCTGTTCATCACTTCATTGCCGAGCTGCTCCGAATTGGGGCATCGCACGGTGCTGCCAGGCTTGCATTGGCCCTGCATCGACAAGGAACAAGCCACCGGCAATAGCTACTCTCCCTGCAAGGTGAGGACATGCGAGGCCTACAGGGCCCTCTTCGACTCGTGCTACCAACACTCCGCGACAAGGCCAAAGCTTCAGACGAGCCTTCGGTTGTTCCTTCTCCTCCTCTGGTTCCTTTTCCTCGGCCTGAAAGCGAGAAATGGCAACGAAACACTGGTACGAATGCTCTTACAAGCAGCATTGCGAAGTCCACGTATTGATTATCCGGGTAGATGCTATCAGTTTACGCCTCGTGTCAGATAGTCACACAAGATGTGGATGGGATGCTGAATTCTTGCCAGATTAGTGCAGTGGACACTGGGTATTTCGCTTCCAGGGACTGAAGGTGCTACATGGCATCAGACTGCTTCGCCTTCCATGGCAGCACCGCACGTGATGTTATGCGACTCCTGGTCAGCAACGACTGGCAAGCAGTACGAGAAACTCGGTGCATGGCTGGATTGTCGCCATCCGTGCCCCTGGCATGAGCAAAGCCAATCGAAGACTTGAGCAAACAAACTCTGTGGGCTCCAAGATCTCACGAGACTTTCCCCATAAGATGGTCGTAGATTCGGCCACGCTCAGATACATCGAGAGCAAGACATGCTACTGTGCATATCACTGTGCGCTGCACCGGTCCTCTTTCAAGCGCAGAGGCAGCTGCGGCAATTCATTTTATGCTGCAGCACAGGATTCTGTGCTCCTATCAGAATGTAGACCGGCCTGCACGCCACCTTTTTCGGGTGCTTGCAGATCTTGTTGGAGTAGTATGGAGCCGAAGGGCACAACCTCAAGACTCAGTTGAGAAGCTCGGCATTACGAAGCAGAGCATGGTAGCAGCCGACGGCTCCGCTCCGACATCGGAAAATCAAAAGGAAACCCGATTGATCTTGCCAGGAGCCCTGCGACTGGTCTGGGCAGCACTCGTCGCCGAGGCAGTAAGAATTCCTTGGCACCAAGATGCTCATGCCATACATCCAGGTCCTGACATGTGTATGAATGGATTCCAGCATGGCGAACGTGTGAACACCCTTCAGCCAACACGCTGAAGCTTACCGGCTTACCGTGGGTAGCATAATTAGTGGAAATGCATATGTCGCGCCACGAGAAACACTGCAAGCACAAGCTGCAAGCCCTTGCCTTTTCACAGCGGTCCGACTCCGACCCGCAGCTGCAAGCATGCACTGAGCCGAGCCGTCTTCATCTTCCGGGACTGCCCGCTAATCGATACATCCGATACGTGAATTCGCAGCTCTCACTTCAGGCGAAGGAGCCCTGAGCTGGTCCTCGCAGTTCTTTGAGCTTCTTGCGGCAAAGCTCCCCATCAGCGTTGCGCCACCGACCTGGCTCCTCCAAGATCGGCAGTTCCCAAACAGCACGTTCCATGTCGTTCCTGATGCTTGGATCGGCCCTGCGTTCCAGCAGCAAGGAGCAGAGAGCCCAGTTCCTCCCATTCACGGCCCAGTGCAAAGGAGTGCCCCCACCTCGCGCGCGAGCATGGATGGAAGACTGTGCCTTGTCAATCAGCTCGAAGGCGACCCGTCTCGCATCGACAGGATCAACGGAGCTCCAATGAAGCGCAACAGCGTGCAGACCCGTCTCACACCCATCCTGCAAAATGTCCCTGGCTCCAGCTGCAAGCAATGCATCGAAACTGCCAGCATGGTCTTTGTGCTCGTTCCGAAGCCTCTTGCCGCCGAGTTTCTTGGGGTTCCCCAACGGCAGATGCCATTGCTTCAGACAGAGCAGTAATGCCGTGAGATCCCTCTCTGTCGAAGCATTCGCATCCGCACGGGATTTCAGAAGAGCTTCAACGCAATCCCGGTGACCTGCGGCAGCTGCCAAATGAAGAGCTCGCAATCCTCCCAGTGGTTTGCCCATCTGAGACCGCCCGAGCTGTTCCAGAGTGACATGTTGATACTGCACTGCCTTTGGGTCAGCGTGGATGACCTTCTCGAGCTCCGATGGCCACCAGCCTTGCGGAGCAGCCTCTTCCGGTGAGGCTCCGTGCTGAAGCAGCAGCCGCACACAGTCTGCATGGCCTGCAGAGGCGGCCAAGTGAAGAGGAGTCAAAGCCCAGGCTTCCGCGGAGGGGGCGCTCCCAGAGCTGTGCAGCAACGTGGCCAGAGAGGCGTAGGCCCCAAAATAGCTGGCATGGTGGTGAGCCGTCCATTCTTCGACATCCCGCGCCGCGACATCCGCCCGTGCCACCAGCAAGAACTCCAAAGCTTCTTGTGAACGTCCAGCGCTTGCTGCGACAGCAAGCACCGGGGTCCGTCGGGCTGCGCTTGCCGTCGGCCTGCCGCCGAGGCAGTGGCTTGCATAGTCGAAGGCGTCGTAACCCAGGTGGCCGATAAGCTCTGGGTGCAAGTGGAGCATGAAGCCTAAGTCAGCTTTGTGTTTTTGTCCCAATTATTCTTTTGCACAAGTGTTGTTCAAGCTGGGAAAGCCTGTCATACCCTGTCTCCCAAAATCGGAGGCGAGGCAGCGGTAACGATGTTCGATTTATTTCCGGCCACAGACAGTCTGTCGCCGAGAAGCGGAGCACCGGGACAGCGTTGGCCCGGGCCGCTGCGCAGAAGAAGGCGCTCAGTGCTTCGGGGTGTGGATCCTCGAGCTGCCGTGCCTGTCAGGCAACCGTGGGGTGTTCTGCTGATGGTGCCTGCTCTGCATTATCTGTATGGTTGTTGGGTGCTTGCGGATGGTTGTCTAGTGGCCGTTCGTGACGGAACAACGACGTCAATCTCTTTCAGCCATTTCAGCGACCTAGCCGACCTTGCGCGACAGGAGAAAGCATTAGCAGGCCGGAACCCTGAGAGCCAACAGGCCAGCCCCAACCCTCCAAACCCTCAACTACCGTAACACCTGCACGGCCTGGCTCGGAGTGTAGTTTGAGGATGGATAGCTGATCTTTCGATGGGTAGTGGCGGGCGGTAGTTTGGGGCTTTGGAAACGGCTGGACAAAAAAGGAGCATCATGGTCCTTGGGAGAGGAATTGGGACTCCAATTACGGCACATTTCAACCTGCGAAAAATGCGGGAACCAATCTCGTGGGAGGCCACATCTGAAGTGCCTCAAGGGCATTGAGGGCGGCCAGAGCGCAAAGCTCCTGGCTCAAGCTGAATGGCGGGATGATTCTGGCTTCCACGGCGGAAAATTCCACAGAAAACTTCTGAACGTTCAAACCGAGTCCTTGCTTGCACCACTTGCACATGGGCTTCGACTTTCCTCGGGTGACAGGACTGGCATTGCCAGTGTGATGTCTCCACGGCATAAAACACAATGAATTATGTTACGTACGTGACGTACCGCAACGCCGAAAGCAATGAATCCACCACCCACGTGCGAAGCCTTGCAGTTCCGGCATCTTGGTGCAACACACGAGCATGTTAAAATCCAAGAACAAAGATATTCGTGGCAGCAGTGTGTCTGTCTTCTTTGGTTCTGCTCGTTGCTTTGGCATGCTGCGGCTGCTTCCTCCAAAAGGTGAAACCGCCCCTACACGTATTCGACTCCATAGACAAGATGCTAGTATCTTCGCAAAGCCCTCGGCAGTGAGAATCCGAGAGGCCTGGTGCATGTCCTCCCAAGGACGGGGTGCAGAGCTTGGCGGCAAAGAACAGGCTGGGAGTGCGATTTTAATCTTGTTGCGACCAAGGGATGACTGCACACATTGTCTCCCTAGCACAGGATGGACTCGGGTCTCTGTCGTCAGAATCGGGATTGCAGGGGAGTTGCAATGGGACCTTCCAATCCTGACATTGTTCCGGCCTGTGGCTGCTCCTTGCCTCTCCGGAAATCCTGTCAGGAACTGCGTGCTTTGCGGTAGATTGCAAACAGACCCCGGAGACCAATGCGACAATCACAGCAGAGCTCATCATGTCTTTAATCCCTGCATCATGCAGTGATAATGACAGACACTTTCGAGCAAAGATAAGATTAGACCCAGAGATGCTTAAGAAGATTCGGACAGCTAACGAAGAGATGACAAACCCTTGGAGGTTTATCTTTATGTCGTGCGTTTGCACGTGTGCGCAACGGCAGTTTCGATGTTGTTGCTGCACTGTTGCCGTTCATTCCCAGTGGCTAGAAAATAAAATGGCTAGCACTGTTGCGATGCATCACGCCACTGCAAGAGACCCAAGTTCGAGCTCTGCAACAGCGTCCTGGCACCGGAAGCACAGGATGGGACGCAGCACCTCGTGGGGTGCAACCGGAGAGAGTGCAACGTGTCCACGCCCACACGTGATATGCAACTTCGATCAACTTCGAGCATGACAATGAGAGTTTGCACGTCCACGGCGAATACGGATTGCACATGATCGTCTCAGTGCAGTCTTGGCACGTGCTGAGCCAAGTTCTGGCCTCAATTGCTGCGTTAAGGGTTTCGGCAGGATCACTACGCTATGATGATGCATTGCATGCGAACATGGCAGGATAAACGCTTAAGGTAAAGGAGCGGTGGCCTTTTGCACCCTCAATCCCAAGCCTCAAAAGCCCTAGTGAGACAAGCGACCATCGCCCCGCTGAATCCAGGGTCGCTGGAGCTGGCTGACAACACCCTTCGTGGCATTTCCAGTTCGACGGCGCACCTGATCGCAGGCAAGCCTCGGACCGATCGGCATCTTCAGCCCTGGTGCACAGCTTGTACATGTGATGGATAGCGCGAACCACTTAACATCTGGTCCGCCATGCTTCACCCCTCACCTCTTCCGCCTCCCCCTGCCCCTACAAAGGTCATCCAGGGAGCTGAAGGATCTCATCGAGCATTGCACCCCGGGACTCTTTCAAGACAGATGCCAGCTGAAAACCCAGATTGTCTTCGCACCTGTCCTCGATGCAAGTCCCTCGGTCACCTGCCCAAACCACATAAAAGTTACCAGCCATATCCACGCTGGAGCTCGAGGTACCTTTGGCCTTCAAGGCTTGAGCCATCTGAGCCTCAGCCGTTGAGGCGCGGAAGGTTCTGTCTTCGGAGTTCTCGCGGCAGCAGTCTGGCAACGCCACGACGCCCACTTTCGGCACGCTGGTGAGGATGCGTTCCAGCACAGCTCGAAGTGGGAACCCCCCAGACGCGTCGCTCTGCATGCGCATCATCAGATCTGCTTCTACTTCTGCCCCGTGGCCTGCGAAGTAGAAGACCACGAGGTGCTCTTCCTCCGGTTGCGACTGCAGCTCGCAGACGAGCGCCGAAACCTGCTCTTCAAACACCGTACCGTCTGCGTCTTCGCTGAGACGCACTTTGAAGCCCGCACGCAGCAGAGCATCTTTCAGCTTGCGTCCCGTCGGTACAGCATTGCTCAAGTCGCCTTGAGTTTCGTCCTCCTTGTAGCTGTTGCAAACAAGCAAGGCATGGCGCAGTGCAAGGGTACCTTCGCAATGCAGCGCGGGGTGCCGAGGAGGCCCCGACGCCTCAGCCTCGGCGACCTCCTTCGGTGAAACTGGGGCAGCTCCAGTCCCCAACTGCTCCATACTCTGCGGCCTGATCTCAGCAGGCAGGTAGCCCTCTGTGGCTGCGGTCGATGCAGAAGAGCCGGAACTCTGCTTGCGCTGGATCGCGAGAGGTGGGCCTGGCAACCGGTTGCAGAGGCATCCATGCGCAAAACTTGTGCTCAGCTCTCCCAAACCATGCCTGCAAACTAGAACTGGATGTAACTGGATGTTATCACTCTGGTCTCTACAAGCTTTTGACTATCTACGAGTGATCCCGTCGTTATGGCCAGGCCTGCAGCACACACCGACCTCCTGTCGAATTTGCCAATTTCACGAGCCTCAGCCAAATTAATTTCAGACGTCTCACATCTGGGCATGGGCCATGCAATCCTCGGACTTGCAGTCGTCCATAGTCACTGCGCTGCAGACGAGTTGCCACGGCATTCTTCTCTTTGAGGAGTGCCTCGTCGGCATCTTGACATCACGGTGCTGATTTAAGCTTGAAACTGTGCAGCAAAGCATCAGAGCATCTGACCCAGTCTAAAAAATGAACTCAAGGAAACTGGAGTCTCTCGGATTCGTCGGAGCCTCCTCTTCTGCCGTCTTTCCAGTTTCAGCAGAACGGATGGTGGGGTCTGCCCGCGCTTCCAAGAGCCGCCTGGGACTTGGGACTGCAACAGACTGAGTGAGGCTTCACCCCTCGGCGTAACTCATGTCCCCAAATGGCCTGGCAATGATGTCGCGTCCGGTATGTGCCGCCATATGCAAGGCAGTCCTCGGCACGAAGCATGACAGATCGATCGTGCAAGCTAAGACGAAGGGATTGTCGGCAAAGCATCCTGCCACGAAGGCCGTGAGCATTTGGATCTGCACGTGCCTGGAGCAAGGCCTGGCAGGGCAGGCAGGTGCTCCATGGGTTTCCCGGATTCACCCCTCTTCGTCCTAGAATGCGCCTGGGTCATAGGCCAGTTGTTGTGGCCGACGGCTTGATGTACGGGACTGTCGCCATTCCTAGCAGCCAGGGTTGAGGAACGAAAGGGGCGAATGAGAGCAATGAGAGCTGCCTCTGGTGCTGTTCCCAGGGCTCGCTCTACGGCAAAATTCGGAAACTGCAAACCCTGTAGTGACTGCACACCATGGGATCCCCGCAACTTCGTCCTCAAGAGCTCTGAAGCAAACCCGCTTTGCACGCGGCCCTTATTCGGCCATCACCGAGGCTCTCTGCCACGACGGTCGGATCGGCCTGTGCATTCAGCCTGAATCGTCGCACAAAGAAACCGGGATTTCGTCTATGTGACTGGGGCTTCAGCGCATAAAGCCCTCAAGAACGCCTGAAGGCTTTTGGGCTAGGCTGCCATGACGATTTGCAGCTGCGGTGCAGAGTGCGCACTATGTCTGTGAGCTCCTCCTTGTCATCCTGCTGTTTCAGGAGGTACTGAAAGGTGCACAGCCGTGGCTGGAAAGGCTCATTCAAAACTTTTTGCAAACCAATCGGTAGGCTTCAGTCTTGCCTTCATGTAGGATGGGAGCCTGGCCGCGCAGTCGAGAGCAGAACGCCCCTTGCCATTCCTTGCCGATGGACATCGCACATGTTTGGGTCGCATTAGTTTAGAGACCTGCTCCGCCTCCGCCCCTTCCCCCAACTAACATATTGATCCGTTGAATTCGTATCGGCTGGCTGTAACAGTCCAGGTGCTTCACGTTGCAGTCTGCCCGCGCTTCAAGCAGCACCTCACATGAGGCATGTTAGAAAACCGAGTTCACTTGAGACGATTATAAGCGGAACCACGATCATTTCCATGAGTACCATCATCAACATCATCTCGCCTTCTGCGCGACAGTGTGACAATGGTGTCGCTCTGATGGCCGGGGATGCTAACTGGCATGGTGACGGAACTTGTGCTAGTGCAGCGTTTTAGGCAGTGCATTGCAACGGCGTCAACTGTATTGACTTGAGCTAGGCTAGCTGCAGTCTGTGGTTGTCTGGGATACACCTGATTGAGGAATTGCAGGTCAGAGTGGAGTTAGATTGAGAGCATAGCCCCTTCTATAACTTACTTCGCGCGTGTCCGCGCAGGGGCGACATGTTTCGTCCTGTTAGTTGACTGCCGAGCCGGTTATGACTTATTGTGACCCTGCTGATGTGGCGGTGGTCACCGTGACAAGCGACGAGAAATCAAGTTGCCCACCCATCGACATCCATCCCCGCGCCTCCAGCATTGGCAGGCGACGCCGCTGGCAGGCTAGGTGCAGCGATGAGTGCCCTTGGTTCGTAACCTTGGGGCCAGGTCTTTGCACAGGCAGTTCACGTACTCGAGTGTTGCATTAGACCTCGATCAGATGACCCAGTCTAAATCTTCAGTCTCGAGGACTGGTTACCAAAGATAACGCTCGACGTGACGGAAAAAGCAGGAGGGGGGGGGAAACTGCCTTCTTCGGCGCCGCGGGAGCAAAGCAGGGAGACCATGGGAGGAGGAACTTTACAAGACGTCGTAAACGCGCAGAAACCCCGAGGACTACGCGGAGTCAGTCGTAGCAAAGGCAATACTTATGTGGCCCTGGGAACTAATCGGGACAAGCAGATTCATCGCAGTCCGCATAGTACGCCCGTCTCGCAAGAATCAGCATCCGTATTTGTGCTTCTTTCTCGTCCTCCTTTGCCTGTGGTTCTTGAAGCCTGCATCTTAGGAGCCGATTGCAAGAGCGTGTCGGCGTCGCTGTGCTGGAACATAAGCTCGACCTCGGTGAATGGATTTTCGGAAGACTTCCTCAGCATGCTCGTGGGTTCCTCATGAAGGCACCTGCTGTAAGATAACCCCCAGGCACAAAGGCGAACCATCCGATTTGCAGGCCCAGGGGCCGTTTTTGTGAGACCGAGGCCTGCTGCGAGTTGAAAGGCCTCTGGCTTGAGAGGCTCTGGGTGGCTAAGGTTTGGATGTGGCATTGGATGCTACTCTTTTCCGGCTGTCTGTCAGGGAAATCGCTGTTGGCTGAAGCAGAAGTGTTGCATCGCACAGTTTGACATGGGTTTAGTCAGGGCACAGGGCTCAGCGCTTGGTGTCCGATGATATTCGATGTTTAGGTTTGAATTGAAGGGACGAATGCTGGGGGTTTGGGGTGTGGACGGTTGAGGCTTCAGGGTATTAGCGGCCAGCAACGACATCGTACGAACGGGAGCTCGCGCGAGCCATTGTACAAGTTCTTATATAAGTGTCGTGTTCCCCTATGCACCCCAGATTGATTAAGCAATAGCGAAGCGAGATGATGCAAGAGCTCAAGGCTCCATGCTAGCGAGTCAGAGCTTGGCTTGACACTAAGCGCCGCAGTCCACTCTTTGACTGCTTTAGCCGAGCCACGTTCATGACGCTGGCCAAAACTATTCTGCGTGGCTGGACTGCGAAGGACATGGCATCGAATAGATGCTCCTGGCAGGGCCGAGCAACTGCACACTACCAAAGTGCAGTGTCGAGCGTCGTGGCAGAGGCGAGCAGAGAATTGCTCTGGTCTACTTGCTCTGAAGACTCCAGAGGTGTTCAACCAACTGAAGCGAGTTGATTCACCTCCGACGCAGGATCGGTGCCTGAGGGTGGCAGAGATCGCCACATTGCCACTTGCTGTGGCAGGTTTCGCAGAAGTCGAAGTCATCGCAGTCGCGGCAGTGGTAGCGGATTCCTTGCGGAACCTGAACATGAATGTGCCCCAGTAAACGTACATGAACTGGCATTCGTCCCTCAGGTGAGCAAAGCTGAGGCGTGCCAGAATGCCGTCATGGAACGCAGTTGCAGCCGTCGCAGAGGATGCCGGCATGAACCACCGGCGTTTCAGACGGGTTGCCCAAGGCACCCTTTCGGAGCAGCACCTCTCTACTTCTGGTCGGGTCTCTGCACATTGCTTGGACGGGTAACCCTGCGACATGTCGAGTCTAGGCAGCAGGTCGAGCACAGGACTTGAACTGAAGGAAGCGAGTCCGCCTGCGAGTCTTCTGGTCGGCAGACGGTGCGTTGGCCTCAGGTCTCACGTGCTTTGTCCCTTCGAAGTTTAGATGCTTGACTCGAAACGATGCCACTCAATTACGCGGCACACTTCGACATAACGGCAGCAAAACGTCAAATCCGACGACTAAAGCGTGCACGATGTGCACGGACATCCCAGTTCGGCCGCAGGATTGGCCACCCCTCTGGCGATCTCCGCTCTAAGCTCAGAACTTATAGAGGCTTCATTAGTGGTTCAAGTAAGGTCTATCCAATACACACTCATGATATAACACCCGGGCACATTCCAAGCCAAACTCGCGGGCGGCGTCGCGGATCACTGACAGGTGCAGCTTTGTCAGACCCGGCGGATACCAGTATTCGTTCTCCTCTGCAGCCGGTTCTGTAGGAAGTGCGTCCATGATGGTAGCTCTTGCCGAGCTTGACATTGCCATAGGTGCTCTGTGCGATGGACTGTTGAACAGGCTGCATGGCAAAGCTCCTGGCTATTCATGAAGACATAAAGCTGTTGTCGTACAACGTGCATGCCTCGGCGAAAGAGCACTTCGAAACTCTGGATTACGTCAAGATCCAGCATAGATGCGTCGATGCGCATCACCGGATGCACCCAAGGCACAGTCAATCCGGTCGCTCGGCAAAGGGCTCTCGGAGTTCCGAGAGGTCGGTGCCTGCCGTTCACGACGAGAACCACTCACGGAGCGAGGGTCTCGGAAATCTTCGCGAGGTTTGATCGGACAGGAGCTCAAACCGCATGAACACTTACTGACTCGATGCGCCCAAACGACGACTTCTACACTCATAAGACCAGCACCTCCCTCGCCCGTCGCACGACCACTCGGAGCTTGCTGCCCTCGCGCTCATCTTTTGCCAGAAGATCTGGGAATCTCGTCACCACCTCAGCACTGCAATATCGCAAGCTCATGGAGTTTACTCTGCCTTTGTGGGTGTGTGTGTGTGTGTGTCGTTGCGACCTGAAGATTAGCACGTTGACATGGACAAGCCACTTCCCGGACTGCCCTCCGCTTGCGCTCCCCTTCTTGACATTGCTGTTCACTCCATGGGAAAGGGCACTCCTGCAAGGACGGGTCCAGGATCATCTTCTCGAGCTCCGTCTCAACCTCCTTGCTCCAGTCTGGCTTTGGCCCCGCTATTGCCGGCTTGTGCGTCACGGTCACCTGCCGAGGGATCCGTCCCTTGCCATTCTTGCCTTTCCCCTTGGCTTTGCTTTTGCCCTTGCCCTTGCCCTTGGAAACTGCAGGCACGTTCACCGTCTCCTGGTGCCAGCCCAAACTTTCTGCAACCTCGTGCACCACCCTCCGCTCGAACGAGTTCAGGGTGGCTGGAAACCTTCGTGGCGTTTGAATTTGACAGCGCCCCAGCCGGCTACATCATTTGCTGCCTTACATGAATGAAGGCAGCAGAGAAACTTGTAGGATTCCCCAGGCCTGAGCGTGGAAAGCTCCTAGCGCCAATGCAGCTCGATGCTTGCGACTGTTCCCCAGAGCCGGCCAGTAGGCTCACACAAAGGCATGAGAAGCATGTCTCCTGGCGGACCCAGTCTTCCACCTCCTTGGAGTTGCTCTTGCTCGGCGTCTCTGGCTCCTAGCGCCGGGAAGCTTCAGGCGGTTCGCAGCTTCGAAGTGGCCGTCCTCCTCGGCGTCTTCACCAGGCCGCCTTACCATGATTCCTCGGCCGGATGCCTCTGGCCAAGGCGGAGTGGCACTGGCACGACAAGTCCGTTGCCCAAGTTCCTCTGTAGACATTTGCTATGTCTCTTAAGTGAGCATGAAAGAAGGAAAACTGGACGGCAGCGACACCTCCAGCGACTAAGCCCTCTGCGCAGCTCATGGACTGATGGATATGCTCACACACTCGACACCCTGAACTGAGTGCCCTGATTTCTTCGGGCCTTCGATGTCCAGCCAGAACCACGGCGGCGCACCTCCTGATCTGCCAATCGCGGCCACTTCTCTCTACAAGCTTTTCGTGCTTCTGGTCGGCAACAGGAAGCATGTTGTAACACAGTGATGATTCCACGGCAACCGGAAGCATCATCTAGCCATCGCAGACCCCGCCTCATGAACCAGCATGTGCTTGTACGAGGAGAGGTTCACGCCCAGAATCACCTCTTCGCCTGCGGTAGGGCAGCTTCCGAAACAGATGCTTCATGATCGGCCTCTTTGACTTTGATCGGCGAAAACCCGTTGCCTGGCTCCAGCCTTTCCAAGTCGGCGCGAAGCTCCTGCAACATGCCACGGGCTCTCCAGTCAGAATCTAGACTAGAATCCAGACCGCCATAGAGGACCTCCATGAACACATCATCGTTCTCTGCAGGCTGCCGCCGTTCACCTTGCAGGTAAGCCCCCAGTTCCAAGTCGGCGGCTCCCCAAACCAAGCCACCCCTTCACAGACTAAAGTCCAACTGACCGACATGCTCCCATCAAGTCATGTGGCCAATTCAGCCTATCCTTTTGCTACCACACCGAGAAATGGTATTGCATTGTGCGCGTCAGCTGGACGTAGGCATTGGCTTCTTGGAAGCATATTGGTTGCGTCCGTATTTACAGTCACAGGAACCTTCCCTGTCATTATGTATGTATGCATATATATATATATATGTAGACATGCATACATACACACATAGGTGCATACACAGAGTAGTCAGATGTGATTTGAGGTCACGAGAACCTGCAGGAATCCTATGGGCCATGGGCATGGCTGCCAATCTCGTGAGATATTTGATGACCGAACACCGGACGATGTCTCTGCGATTTGAAAGGGCCCGAAAAAGTCCATAATGACCTACACAGCAGGATAATGATCACGATGAACTAATCAACATTTGTAGGAGTAAAGGGAAGGAACCATTTGTGCGTGTCACATCCAGTCTCCGATATTTCATTTCCAGATTGTCAGATGCTCCAACGGAGAATACTGCTATGTTGATCCAGACATATACCGACTCTCCGCCATAACTTAGCAGCACGAAGACGTGCCATCGAGGCACGGTGGTCCTCTGGACAAAGCGCAGAAACGAACACCGTGTGTTCAATGGCTTTCGACCGCCTCAGTCGTCTAGAACGCTGCGGCAACTGCAGCTAAACAACCAACTGCTGAGGCGCAAAGGTCTGAGCTTCGGTTGCAAGCGAATTGCATACGAACCTGATTCCAAATTGCAGACTGGCCACAAGCCCAACTTCTTGGCAGTGTCGTGCACGATTTTCCTTGCGGGTGGGGAGATTCCGCTTTCTTTAAGTTATGTGTGTTTCACAGCCTCTGCAAAGAGCTCATGTTCTCGCCCTTGAACTCTTCTTCCCCACCTGCACCACTGCAGCAGGCACAGCTCAGACAGGCACACGGGCCAGACAGCCGGTCGTCATAGACAAAATTCACACAAGCTGAAAATAAGTTTGGATGTCGACAGCCAACAGCTCCGACGGGGCTGCAGGATCCAACTTGCTTTGGGAACTCTCTCGCTCATGGCAACAGTCCGGGGCCTGCTGGCAGCTCCGAAAGTCGTGCTCGGACACCCTGCCGAAACCTTGAGATGATGCCCGGCTCCGTCCGAAGACGACGGCAGCTCTCAAACGCACAAAGCCCTGCACTTTGACCAGCCGAACAAGCCGAGAATCTCCAGGTCCTCGAGGACCCGACGAGTGTGGATGGAATCCGTTTGCTCCTTATACCTGCGTGCGTCGCTCTAGGCATGGACCAACATTCCCGCTTTATGGCGTGCATTGTTGCTGGGATTACTCCGACAACGCTGATGGCCTGTACGTAAGCAGCTGCCTAATTCTGGCCAGGCACACAATCAAGGGCCGTCGGGATCCGTCCTTCTTGTACTCACCAGGACCGATACACCTTTGAGGGCTCGGAGTGAATCCAGGAGTCTTATACTTCTTGCAGCATGTATCGCCTGCATGCATTCGTATGTAAATGCGCATGTATGTCTATACAGATATGAGGGATATGGCCTTTCTGTGGCTCTCCCATGTGCCGACCCGTCTTGTCTCTAAAAGGGCTGCATGCCCTGGATCCGATGCCATCCGTCGCTTTGCAACCACAAGGAAGAGACGGGTGCATCTACCTACACAAGCCAGTGGGAGAGAGAGAGAGAGAGATAGAAAGATAAAAATAACGGAAAACATACACAAGATTGAACAAAACGAGTCACAAAGACTCAGAGAGAGAGCGAGAGAGAGAGAGAGAGAGAGAGAGAGAGAGAGAGAGAGAGAGAGAGAGAGAGAGAGAGAGAGAGAGAGAGAGCGAGAGAGAGAGAGAGAGGGAAAAACATGCACAGACCCGGCCCTGCCTTAGATCCAGGCGCTGCGCTTGATCGAAGATGATGTCGCAGAAGTCCTGGCTTAGGTCCTTCGTGTTGAGCACCTTCAGTTCGCACCTGTCGGTCGTCAGTTGTCAGGAACCTCATTACGCTGGGTGGCCCTGTGGCTGGCTGGCCTTTTGCATTGCCAAACAGCAGGGAAGTGCAACAGAACGTGAGGATTCATAAGGTGATCGTTTAGCCTTGAGGATGCCTTTAGGCCACAGGTCTCCCGCCTGTTCTTGTTGGAATTGAACTCGTGGAGGCACTTGCTCACATTCCGTGAGAACTCGGCCCTCGAGACATTTGTATTGAAGGGGATGCGATCGAAGGGCATGGCCAGAATTCCCGAGCCCATGAGCCCAAGCCCAATTTTGTTGTGGTGGTGCGCAATCCGGAACTTCTCCCAGTCCCAGGTGATGACAGATTCTTGGTCGGGGCGGGCCCGGGCATGCAGCAGCGCCTCCACACATGCAGAGTTCTTGCCCATCACGGCAAGATGTAACAAATCCGGCGGACGGGACAGCTTCAGCGCGTCGATTTCTGCGCCACCCGCTTCGCACTGATTCTGGATGATGAGCTCTAAAACCTCCAGATTTCCGGACAGCGCCGCCTCATGGACTGGGGTCCAACCGTCTAGGTCTTCCCGAGTGCACAGGGGATCTATCTGGCACTCTCGCTCCAGAACCAGTATCGCCAGCTTCCTCGCCGTCTCGCCCTGCTTCCGAAGACCTGCAATCAGGTGGAGTGGTGTGCGCTGCTGGCCATCGGAAGCATCGACTTTTGCACGGGACTCCAGCAAGAGCTCGGCCAGTTCAGGTTGTCCTGGCCTTTGGAGAGCCATATGGAGCGGGCTTGTAGAGCTGGAGTCTGAAATGTTGGCATCTGCCCGTAGCTGAAGAAGCCACCTCGCCACCTCCAGATGTGAATGAGTCAAGGCTCGAAAGAGAGCCGTTCTGCCCTTCTCATCCCGCACATCTGCCTTATCTCGTGATCACCAGGACTTGCTACCACACAGGAGAAGAAAAAGGTCCGAACTTCATGCATCGTGATGACCTGAAACAAAGGTGCTGACAAGCGGCTGCTGTGCCCATTCTTTGGAGCTCCGCTGGTGCATAGATTCGCTTGGTGTCTTGCAGCACAGTCCCTGTGCCCACCAGATGCAACCTGCAGCCCACACTATCACTCTGCCTGCCAATTTACTGTACACTGCCTCACACTGTGACCCTTCATGTTTCTGAGTATGCTTCCGCCGGGCAACATCTCCTGAACCAGCGAACTTCTGCCATATCCCGCTGCGAAGTGTAGCGGTGTCACACCATTCGCCTGTCAGCTTCGATGGAAGTCCACAGGCCATCGAGTCGGCTCCCATTTGAGCTTCTAGGCCACTCTAGGCTTGCCAGGCTCAGTGTTTCATGAGCCTTCGCTTGGCAGCTCAGCGACGAAAGCTGATCCCTGAATCACGGGCAAGTAGCGCTTTGCCGGACCGGATCGCAGTGATTTGCAACCTTGGACAGTTTCAGTCGGCAACGTGGACAGGCCATGCAGTCCATTTCATTGAAGCTTTTTCTGCTGCGATTGGATTAAAAGTGCGGCGAAGTGGCCAACAGCTTGGCGATCTTGTCATATAGACTACCCAGCGGGTCCTGCGAACGGATCCAAGGTCCACTCAGGCTCAATGCTCATGTTAGCTACAGACGCTGACCACAGATGGGACTGCGGTTGCGAAGTCCCATGTGACCGGTTTCTAGAACACTGTATAAAAGCACAAACAAGAGATGATGCAAGTGTAGCACCGCAACAGATGAGACTGAACTATGCAAGGAATGAAACACCCTACATGTAGACAACGTCTACATGTGCAGAGACAGGTGCACAATATTCCCAAAAGTCCGCTACAACAGGTGCGGAGCCAGTGGCCTTGCGCTGCCCGGCTTTCAGGACGGCCAGATGCAGCGGCGAAAGATCAGCTTCAGTGGATGTGGTGGCCCCGTTCTGCAGCAGGTGCCTGACTGCGTTCGTGCGGTCGCGCGGTGCTACCATGAGCACCTTCTGATAAAGCTGGCGGTGACAGTATTTGCAGAATTCCTCGGCCAAGTAGCTGGAGGCAGTTCAGGTGCCCAGACCTGACGGCCTTGTCCAGTGTGTCGCACTCCCCACAATTGCCAGGGGTAAGGAGCACCTAGGTCCGGAAGTCTCTTCAGACACCCTCCGGGGTGCATGTGCAGATGCTGACTCCAAAGTTGCTGGGCTGGAGAACGACGGAATTGACAGAAGACAAAGCCGTCTGCAGAGTCTCAAGGATACCCGCATCCTGCGCATCCTGTGGCCGACATGCCAACGGATTGGGGTGCTCAAACAAGCTTCACTTCATGGTCCGTGGTCCTTTAATAGGCTGCTGAGGTCGTGCTCGTGGCTTGAAGAGAGCAGCTTGTTCCAGTGCCCTCTCAGATTGCCTGCAAGCCAGAGAGAAGACACATTCGACATGATACAACGGTGCAAGGTCGTCAACACTGCGTGAGAGAATAGAAAGGCTACAGTACCACATTGACATGTAGTTTGCGGTTGTCTTGGCCCCACCTAGGTCAGTCACGGTGACCTCCACAGCTTCCATCTTGCTGTCCCGGTAGGACAGCATCTTGCGGTCGGACCGCTTGCCTGCAGGGCAATGTATGCATCCAAAGCTGTGCGAGGTTGAGCTGTTCCGATCCGATCCAAGATTCGCCTCTCCCCCGGACGTAGCCACACCACAACATCGACTACTCTCACAAGTACAACTACCACGACGACGTGCTCTACTTCTCGTATTCTGGTATGGTAATCGTTACCCATGGTGACTCAAGTACAATAATTAGTCTTGCTTCCCGCTTCCCATCACCGTAACAAGCGCCTTGAAGGTTCAGCGTCGCCTTTGGCTGGACGTCGGACAGGAATCCACACCAGGCGGATGCATGGAAATCCTCCGCCTGAGGCCACGACCGGAGGAGGACAAAGCGGACTGCTTCCACAAGCTCTGAAAGAACTCTCCAGCCTGGAGGCCCTCAGGAGCTTCCACGTACATCATCGACAGATAGAGGTCGGCTTTGGCCCTCAGCGTGCGCAGAGAAGGTGCGCAGATCTGGATGTTCTGCAAAAATCGCAGCACAGTCAGAATGAGACCAGCTCGCTCTGAAGCCAGTTTCATTTGATCTTCTCACACTGCTACTGGATGACCATACCGGTACATGTGTGCCGATGTGCACAATGTATGCCCATATAGCATGTACGCGTGCAAGTGTGCTTATGCATATACGATAGTCACGGGCACTGATCACCTGTCTAGTCTTGACTCGTGACGTCCTGCGACGGGATATCTGAACAGTGAGTTCGACCGGGGAGTGTAAGCTTCCAAGCAAATCGACGACAATCCACGAACAACACGCAACTCAAAGAAAAAACAGCAAAGCATCTGTTGCATCCAGGCTTCCGCAAATTCACAGCCTTCTGTATCGGAGCCTTCAGGGCACTGATCTAGCTCCGCTCTTTTCAAAGTCTATCGTTGAAAACGCAACGACAGGTCAAGTACGGCTCCTTCAACTCGGCCAGATGTTGAGGCAGGAGCATCAGAAAGAATATGTCCTGCTGTGGCACGATCGGGTTTGCACGCGAAAGAAAACCAAGATGCAGGTGCCACTGTCAGGCGGCTCAGGTGTCAGACCTCCTCCATATTGTAGATGTCCGTCACACAGCGCTCCAGCTCCTCACGGAGCATTCACCGACAGTTGGGCCCTGAAGTGCTGTCATGCCGAAGCGTGGCATATTCGCTCATAAGCACATCACGCTCAGCACAACCGTCGCACTCCGCCGGGGAACAGTCTCCGGGACCATTAGCACAATCTTGTGTTGCAGCTCTTTCTACAATGATTTCCCGCCGCAGAGGGAGCAGCCGCTTGATAACATCATGCGTGTGGCAATGCCTGTACATTCAATCATTTCAATCAAGAGACTCCTGTTGCGGGGCTTCTGTTTACGATTTCGGCTAGACTCAGAAGCCCCTAAGGTAGGCTCAGGAAAGTCCTCGCGAGACGAGCACAGATCGCCGCTGAAACCGAGATGTGACAGCCATTCCTGCCGGTGATGCAATTCAAAACTGCTCCTTTTCGGCTTCCGGAGTCGATATGTCACACATGATGCCTGCTTTCAAGAGCTCGGAAGCCGGTCTTGCATTGAAGTGGCAAGTCCGGAGCGTGCACAGAACCAATTGCTAGATCTGACACAGACAGGACGACGGCGTGCCCGCCAACCCCGTCACATAAAATGACACACCAGCCCTCAGTACACCCAAGGAAGTGCTGGGCAGAAGTGGCAAAACACTCGCGCTCCGGTGCCTGCAGATCCTGCAAGGTCAAGCCCTTCGGATGTCCTTCCCGCAGGATGCTTCAAATGCAAGAAGCCATTGCCGCGGTTCTACAAGAGCTGTAGATACCGAGCAGCACTACTGCAGTGCGGACTAAAGACCCCAGCACATACCAGACACACGGGGTCGAATCGGCTCACGCCACATGCCCACATCACCCATCAGAATCAGCGGGATCCCTCTGCGCCTGAGTACAAGCAATAGCGGCGGGGGGGCATCGGCAATGGCGTAGCAGAGGCCATGCTCGCTTGGACCCAACAGTAGAAGATCCACAATAAAACCCTGAAGGCTTCTCAATTTGACACGACCCAGCAACGACCACAACTCACCGTAGACTATGATGTCGAGCCAAATGAGCCCAGGCCATTTTTCCCCTCAAGACCTGACAAAGATGGCTCAAGACGCTTCAGAAGAATCCGAATTTTGAACGCATGTTGCCGGATCTCCTGCAGACTGTGCCTACTTTGGGCACTGAGGTGAGAAGATAACGGCCAAATTCAGGGGTAGCTCCACGCTTGGGAGCTATCCACCCGGAACTGCTGTTGTCGTCGCCCGCAGGCTGGCGATGCGGTTGGACAGTGAGGTAGCCAGGCAGGCAAGCGTGGTGCCAGTGCCCACAAAGGACCTCAGCCGGTGCAGGACTACGGCCCTGAGGAATTGGGGAAGACACCCGCAGCCCATCCACCGTTCGTCCGGGGAGCATGAAGATGATCAGCAGGAAAAAGGGCATGTTGCCGCTGCAGCACGTCCTTGGCCACTGCAGGGACCATCAGCCGTCTTGCTGTAGGATGAAACCGTGAGTTGAGGCGAGGCACCCTGCGATGCAGCGGCCGAAGACCCCACAGTGATGGTCGAAGTAGCGGACGCAGCGGTTGCAGGTCCTTCCGCACAAGGAGCTGAAGACTCGTCAAGTCAGCTACTGCAAAACCAATCGATCGCACGAGGAAGGTAGGGAATGGCCTGAAACCCGAAGTAGTTGAGAGGGGCAGCAATGCTACAGCTGCTACAAGCATCATCAAGCATCCTGACGCCTGGGCAAAGAGGGCCCTGGATCCTGAACTCTAGACTCTGAAAGGGCGTCAATGCCTGACGATGTGCCCTGCATACTTCGAGTCATGCTGCCTGCCTGCAGTGATGACAGCTGCCCTCCTTACCTTGCGGCAAGCATGCTTGGGAATGCTTCACTTGCGGGAGGGTGGCTCACTCAATTTCTGCTGGAAGGGCTGAGGTGGGCATAGGATCATCTCCTCCACTGTCTGTGCAGCCTCGGCCTGAACAAGCCTCCGCGTAGCATTGCGACGGCGCTTGCGCGAAATGCAGCCCAACGCAAGCTCGTCTTGCGTCGACATAAGCTTGTCAAAGCTTTATCAACGTCTTGCGCAGGCCTGTACTGGATTTCCCGGCCGAGGGGCAGCCTGGCAGTTGGCGGAAGAAAAGCTGCAGTGCTCTGGGAAGGGAAGCCACCTCGGACCGGCAATTCATGCAAATGGTGTGGCTTTTATTCCTAGCTTGACTTCCTGAATTGCCCAGGTGGAACCACCGCTCCGTGATGTCAGGCACATGAGGCACATGCCCTAAGAAATGTTATGTCACATATGCTAGTCCTCTCACAGACAGGTCTTGTGCTCAGATGCGCAACCTATGTGTTGCCATGATTCTGGTGCTGCCTCAGGCTGCGACTGCCCCCATGAAGTACGGCCAATGTGAACATAGAGGTGCGGTGCGAAGTGCTTTCATGCCCATTGACCCCCACCACCTTGCAGCCAAGTCCACTCGCGACGACAGCATAGGAACTTGCCGCTTCGGCCGCCAAACAAGGCATCGGATGCAAAACGTCCGGTCGCCATCGTCCACGTTCCTTGCAGAGGCGAGTGGTTGATCGAGCAAAATGAGTCAAGCACACCAAACTGCTTGAGGCCTACAGAAGAGCTCTGCACCAAGGTCTGCCGCAGACTGATTGCCAAATCGTTACTAGGAGCTGATACTCTGTCGGTGGCAGTCTGTAGCCTTCATGATGTGATCACGTGCACTGTTCAGCGAGGCATCTCCATGCTTTCCAGCGATTCGCCTCGCCGGATCTTCTCGGCTACCTCTCACGTCTCGGATACAGTCGTGGTTCAAGTTTCAGAGGTCTTAGGATGTCTTCGGGGCTTGAGGTCGCCACAGGCTTTTTGTTCGAGGCCGAAGCTGTGAAAGCACCTGAACGGCTGGCGAATCGCAGCACGAGCGTGCTTGGCACCGCCTGGAAGCTCCGCGCATGCCTGTTGCTGCGCAAGAGTCGAAGGACCTGTACAGTAGGCCCTGGGCAGTTTCCCGGCCATGGAAGGCCTTGAATTAAGGGTGCAGCGGCTCCACCCGCAAACACTCGGAAGCAGACAGCTACATGGCTACTGCGTATCGTCGGTGGCAGATGCGTTTGCGGCAACGTCTTGTTTCCCAGTTCCTCTTCCCAAAAGGAAGGAATAAACCCGGCAGATGGAATCCCAGGATTCATGGATGGGGAGGACGATGATCACGAAGGCAGCTAGGAAGCTCCAGGCAATGCTAATGAAAACCCAGAAGGCAAAATAGTCCTTGCCAAAGATGCCAGCCGGCACAGACAGCACGGGCCAAACGAATACCATCAGGACGCTGAATGTCAAGCCCCACTTCTGAACCCAGCTCTGAGCAGCATCCAGGAACTCCTGCGTGTAATCCTGCTCATCTAGCCCACTCATGTCCTGCTCCAACATTTCCTTGGCCGGGGTACTAAACGGCCTACAAGGCTATGTGGCTTCCCAGCACGGGACCCTACTTTTACTTCGGGCCCGCCCTCTCTGACTTCCTCTCCTTCTCACCAAGCCTCGATCTTGCCCATAGATTCGAAGTCGTAGTTCTGAGGATTCTTCAGGGAGAAGACGAGATGGATCAAGGCCGAGGATGCCAAAGCCATGAGGTTGCCGGCAAGATTCGGATTCAGCGTTCCCAGGTTCTCGAGGGAGATCTCACCAAACTCGGCCTGGCAGACGAGGAGCCAAGTTGCCAGGGCCAGGATCATGCCGCCCCAGGCCGCAGCCACGGCCCCTTTCGCGTTGGCATCCTTCCACATGAGCAGGTTCCAGAGAGGGATTACGGCAGAGCCGATGACGTTGCCCATAAAGAGGTAAAGCCAGCTCAGGTCCAGGCCAATGCAGTTAAGGGCGACACCGAGGCCGCCCGTGAGTAGGCCGAAGACGACCACCACCGCCTGGGAAACTCTCAGCAGCTGCTTCCCGGTGCACTTGGGGTTGATGTAGGTCTTGTAGATGTCGTACGTAATCAGGGATGACACGGCGATGCCCTCGGCAGAGCCGGTGGAGGTGATGGCCATGAAGAGCATCACCGCCATCATCACTGAACCGAAGCTGCCGAAGAGGTGTGTGGCGACTGCGGGCGGCACCAGACCGGCGGCGGCTTCGGCGGAGGAGATGGGGAGCTGCAAGGCAACGGCACACAGGCCAAGGGACGTGGCGAGCGCAAAGGGGATCGTGAACCAAACCAATCCACCCAGCAGGTATCCCTTGTGGGCGCTGGTTGGCTTAGCCGCAATGGCAGATTGCCAGTACGACTGGTCCACGAAAACAGTGCCGAAGTTGCCGATGATGTTGATGACACCGAACTTCGTACCACCCGTAGATTTCATGGTCAGATAGGATCCGCGATCGTTCTCCGCCACAGGCCCACAGGCATACTTGCCCGGTTCGAAGAAGGTCTGACTATCACGGTGAAAGATTTGCTCACACTGTGCAGTCGAATAGCTCGATACCTGCATCAGGCCGTCATAGATGCTATCGCACGAGAATTCCTTGACATAAACAGTGTACACACACACCACCAGAATCAGGAAAATGATGCCGGTATGGAGGTAGGAGGCCATGAATGTGGCCTTCAAGCCGCCTGCCGCTGTGTAAAGGATCACACCCCAGGGGATGAGGAAGGATGCCAAGTTCGTATCCACGCCCGTCAGGGCGTTGACCGTGGCAGCACCGCCCAGCAGCATCATGGAGGTCACGAGTACGTTAGCCACCAGCGCGAAGAAAAGGAAAGTCAGGTGCGCAGGTTTGCCCCACCTTCGACTTACGCTGTTAATTGGAAGGGTGATGAGCTGGGACTGATGGGAAGGGTAAATTTTGGAATGTCGCTACCTGGCCAGAACCATCTCGCACACCGTGTGGGCCGTCCGAGCACGGCGCTTGACCTCGATCGCCAACATGCCGAAGAGTAGCACCTGGATCGTTGCGCCACTGGCGTACCAAAACGGCCCAGCAATTCCGTACTGCCATGCCACATTGCAGGATTGCAGAAGTGTCGCCGGCCAGGTCCACTGCGAGACGATGACAGTGGCTGTCAGGCCTGTATTAACAGTGCGGCCGGCAGTGTTGAAATATTCCGATGTGTGTACGGTTCCATTGGCATACTTGTCCAGATACACCAACACTGTGGTTACCACCGAAAAGAATACTCCAAAGCCAAGCAAGATTGCATAGCCTGACTCTCTCGGCAGCGGCGTGTTGTCCTCGAAAAAGCTAGTCTTGCCTATGTAGTCCAAACCCATCAACATGTGGCCGGTGCAGTGGGCAGCGAGAAATCACGTTGCTGCAGGGATGCTTTTGAGCCCAGGAGCCTACAATAGAAAACTTTCTTGACATCACGACTCAAAACACACGATCGGATGTTCTGTTCGGACCACCTCCGCGGGCAAGGGAAAGCAGTTCTCCTCTGTTCTGGGAATCACCTGAAGTGTCCAACAACGACGCTTTCTGGGTGTTCAGCACCTGCCTCACCCATAAGAAAACAGCTTAACTTTACGACTCTCCCTTTTGCCAGGCAGCCCCCGGATCTCCGCAGAGGATGAACAGCAAGCAAACCACGGCAATCGCCGCCTGCGGCCAGTTCGGACGATGTGATGCTACTGACACTGCTGCCACAACTCAAACTACTGTCTGTACGTATACTTCCACCAATGTAGTAGAGTGCGGGCATGTGCGGGCGGCGTGCGGTCCTGGCAGTCTGATCCGATCCGGGTTCCTGGTCCGGTGGCTGCGGCGGCTGCTGCTGCTGCTGCTGCTGTCGCCAACGTCGATGTTCTTCATGTTCTTAGTCTTCTGCATCTTACCATGAAAAGTGTCCTGCCTCTTGCTGCTATTAGGCGTCTTGTCCTTCTGTTGCCTCAGACTCTGATTCGTCTAAGAAGCATGCTTATTCTTATGCTTGTTGTCTTATATAGTTTCTTATTCTCCCCATGGCTAGTGCATGCTAACGCTAATGCTGCTGTTCCTGCTCCTGTAATAACCTGTTCCTGCCGCCGGTGTTGGTCTTGTTGTTGTCGTTGCTGATGGTGTTGTCGTCGTCGATGTCTTGGTCGCGGTCGCAGTCGCGGTCCTGGTCGTTGTCGTCGTGTCGTCGGGTGGTTGTTGCACCTATGGTTTTGGATATAGCTCTTGTTCTTGCTGTTGTTGTGGCTGTTGTTGTTGTTGATGCTGTTGTTGTCCGGGACTATTGCTGTTGGCCGGTGGTAGTGGCGGTGGTGGTAGTGGTGGCGGTGGTGGCGGTGGTGGCGGTGGTGGCGAAGACGACGACAACAACTTGGACGACTACGATGCCTCCTCCTGAAGCTGCTGTTGCTGCTGCTGTACTACCAGTACTTCTCCTCCTCCTCCTTCCCCTTCCCCCACCCCCTCCCCCTCTTCTTCCTCCTCCTGCGGCTGCCACTGCTGCTGCTACTGGGGCAACTAATTCGACGACGACGCCTACTACATACAACTGCTCCTGCTATGACTGCTACTGCTGAAGCTCGTGCCAGAACACGTATTGCTGCCAATGCTGTGTCTCGTGGCTTAATCAACCAGCTGACTCCAAAGCTCTTCTGCATGGAAACGCCCGACTCGGAATGACAGTGGTAGCCTCCGTGTAGATCGCGGTCAGGTAGAGGAACCTCCACATACTGCGGCTTACACGAGCCGTGCCAACCGAAGACAGGGGGGCCTCATCTTCAAACACCGTATAACTGCAACATTCCGCTGGCTCTCAAATCATCCTGCTTCAGTACTTTGACGGCCTCCCCAGTCTCGCCCAAGTCTCGAAGCGGCAGAAAAAACGCCCGCCCGCATGCACAGTAGTTCCGTTAGGTTTGCAGCGTGCGACTTAGGATGCAATGACCGACTGACTGCAGCTGAAAGGATTCACAAACAGACGTTCGACCCTTGGTCCCAAGAGACCGCGCACCCGTGAGCTTTCAAAAGAACTTCGAGCCTCTCCGGTCGTCCAGAGCTAGCAATCGTTAGTGTTGCTACTCCTGCGCCTGTTCAAGTTCCCATTACGGTGGCCCCAGAACGGCCGAAATTGCCCACATTACTTCTCGCAAAGACTGTTGCGAGACTACTACGTGTCCCTGCTACTCGTGGTAGCCGGTCAAGTCGAACACAGCCACCACTCAAAAAGATGCTACTCTTCCGGCCAGGAACACTGGTCTTGTCCTTCAAGTTGTACTAATCAGAAAGCAGGTATAGCCTCTGGTCCGCTGTTAGCATCTGGCCCAGGAAGCGCGGCAGGATCGTCAGGGCCAACCCGTGCGTCCCTCCTTCAGGGCGTCGACTGCGCTGTCATCTGGTATCAGTATGGCAGGTGAAGGCACGCATGTCTGATTTGCCAAATCTATCTGCGTTCTCATCTTTCGGCATCGTCACTGGTTACGTTATGACCATCATCACCATCACCATTTCATCGTCATTGTTAAACGCAAAGCTTTGCTGTAGCAGCTCGGCATTGCGATTAGGTAGGCTCGCGTGGAGGCAGGGGCACCTGAAGGAGAGGGGGAAAGAATCAATAATTTCACGGGGGGGGGGGGGGGGGGGGGGGGTGGGGAGGGGCCTCTCCGCCCTCCCACCTAATCCTACAGATCCTGATAAAGATCCCGAGGTGAGTTGGTAAACGACAGCTCAGGGAGGAGACCCGGCCTACGAGGCAAAAGATCTGGAAGCTCACGTAAAAGGTGCCACCTGTCGACTGCCTCAAGAGAGAGAGGACTCAGGCTTGCGTCTGGCACGAGGTGCCATGTACAGACTATTCACCTTCCTTGTCCTTCCTTTAGCCTTCTCATCTTCGGGCTGCTACCGGATGCTTCCGAGAAATTGCCAAGCTTGGCTGGCCATCCGGGGTGTACTCTGATGTGCACGCCGGGGCGCAGCAGCATGTCACACTTCTTTGGTGGAGGCAGCGGGGGCAGGTCCTGCACATGCGGGCCTTGACTACTTCAACTCCGAAAGCCAGACACGTCTCCAGCAAACTCCAAACTCGGGCTCCTCCAGACGCCAGCAGGACGCCAAATTCTCCAGGCTTCCATCTTCCTCATCCACCTGCCGGGGCTTCGGTTGAAAGACGGGCTTGAGGCTTGGACTCCGCCCGGTAGCCTCGCAGCCATAAACGGTCCGAACTGGTGCCGGCATGGTCTTGGCGGACATTCATCCAAGCACAAGGTCGAGGGAGTCGCTGAGTTGAGGGATTACGGGGTGGTTGTATCTGTTCGCGAGGGCTGATCAGCCGCGGGCTGACAGCCACTCAGCATCACATATTTTCGCCTCATGTTTCGGGACCGGGCAGGGATGAAAAGCTCCGCGCAAGGGTTCAACCAGGATCGGTGAGGTTTTCTCACTGCTTCTGGCTGCGGTTCAAGCTTTGGGAATCGAAGGCTTGTCATGACTTGTCATGGCTGCTGATCCGAACAGCTGCGCGTGGTGAGCATGTCACTGGGACTTCGGATTTCGCAATTCCCCGTCCCAACAAGCTCCAACAACATCGAGCTCCCAACTCCCAAAGCCAGGCTCCCAGCGGAATGTTCGGACACACCACACTCTCCCCTGCGAAGCACCCGTTGTTCATGCGCACCTTCGGGGCCGAAGAGCAAGGGCCTACGAGGCTCCTTCCGTAGCACCATCGAGCCCCTGCGCTTGAAAGAGATCCACATCCCCAACTATGATGGTACCCTGGCAGAAGCATCTGAGGCTCGGGACACCATGCCGGCCGAACTTCTTCAACTCAGCTCTTGCGTTTTCGACGTTTGGGGAGAACGAGTTCAACGGCTATTCTCGGTGGCGCTCGCATTCTAGTCGCGACCTTCGCCCTGATTTGACATGACGTAACCTGAGGCCCTTGCGGGCGCCACAGTTGGGAGAAGGTGCGGCAGCGCCTGTGCAGTGGACTCAAGCAGGCAATCCTCCAAAATTTAGGTCTAGGCTTTTGGATCCAAGATGAAGGATCGATTTATTCGTTTATGCACTCATTTTCACTCCATGCCCCGCATGACGGAAAGTCGAGCCAACAAACAATGACAAGACTAGGCCCAAACCACCGTGGGAAATTTCGCTTGGAGCAAACCACACACAGCTCGGGCCAAGCAGGTCTTGCCAAGCTGCTGGTTTGGGAGTAGTGGTCGCCACCTGACACCAGGAGCCCATGTTTTCGCATCACTTGTGTCATGTTGCCGCCAACAACGGCGATGCCAAGGACACTTATTTCTGTTTTCCGAAATGCCGAAAGCCAAAGACTCTTGAGACAACCCAGCCTGCCGCTGCGCTATGCGCGGCCACGGGATCACATCCTTGGAAGGTGCTAGGGCTGACTTTCAGGCACCTCCGACTCAGATGTCCTCCAACACTCGCATCTGAAGATCTACTCCACACCCGGAACTGGGAAACTCTCCAGCGGACTTGTCATACAAATCCGGGGCTGCGCAGTCCCCTCTGATTCTCGGCTGTTGCAACGAAAGCTTCTTGTGAACTGTTTTGTATGCAAACATTTCTAGGTTTCGCCATATGCATCGCAACGCACTCCCACATATGTTTTAAACATGCACCAAGAAGTTTGCAGCAATGGTGCAAAACAACAAACGTTGCTTCTGAATCGTTGTTATACAAACTGTTCTTGCTGGTTTCATGTCTGCCGGCTGGGACCCCACGCCTTTCTGCCAGGCCGGGTGGCCAGCCAGACCCTGGACGGGTCAGTGGGTCAATGTAAAACCGACCAAGACTAAGAGCCCCGAAACTTTATGATTATAATATTTCTGCTTCCGAAGCAGTATCAATAATAATGGAGTTAAGACCGATAATAGTAAGAACGAGAATGATCATAGCAAGAGTCTTCTAAACAGAACAGTCAAAGTCATAACAAGAGTAGTTAAGCAGAACAGTCATAATCAAAACACAAACCACAAAAATTCTCGATGATCATCATCGAAATAAACTACGAATACTGTTATCATTATTACTTTTAAGTTGTTGTTCTACTACTACTACTACTACTACTACTACTACTACTACTACTACTACGACTACTACGACTACTACGACTACTACGACTACTACGACTACTACGACTACTACGACTACTACTACTACTACTACTACTACTACTACTACTACTACTACTACTACCACTACCACTACCACTACCACTACCACTACCACTACCACTACCACTACCACTTCTACTACTACTACTACTACTACTACTACTACTACTACTACTACTACTACTACTACTACTACTACTACTACTACTACTACTACTACTACTACTGATAGGAGCAGCAGTAGCAGTAGCAGGAGTAGCAGTAGTAGCAACAGCAGTTGCATGAGCAGGAGCGGCAATGGCAGCAGTGGTGTTGGTTGTCCAAGTCGTCGTAATGGTAGTTTGGCGGTGGTGGCAGCAGTAGCAGTAGTAGCAGTAGCAGTAGCAGTAACGGTAACGGTAGCAGTAGCAGCAACAGTAGCGCTAGCAGTAGCAGTAGCAGTAGGAGCAGTAGAAACCGCGTAGCGGTAGTAGTAGTAGTAGTAGTAGTAGTAGTAGTAGTAGTAGTAGTAGTAGTAGTAGTAGTAGTAGCAGTTGTAGTAGTAGTAGTAGTAGTAGTAGTAGTAGTAGTAGGAGATGCTGATGATGATGATAAATAATATACGTATTTTATTCTTATGTGACTCAGGAAGTCGTGACCACATCCCTCCACTCAAGCGACGGAGTCGCCCGTGCACGCTTAGGGGAGGTCGTGGACTTTGGGTCTTGAGTCTGGTTACAAAGGTCGTTGTTTCCTTGCGGTGCTTAGGCCGATCTTCCACTAGTGCATGCAACAACACGAACACTGGGCTCAGAATCTCGGCAGCTAAGGGGCAGCGAGTTTGTCAAGGAATTGCCGCCGGCAGCAGCGTTCCTGCGGCATGTACAAGAACGTCGAAATTACGTAAAGAGGTATCCCCCTGCCACAAGTCTCCAAGCTTTACACCTTTTTCGAATGTCGCACAGACAGTCTTTCAATTGCGTGAGGAAGGGCGTGGATAGACATGTCCCGAGCCTCATGCTGAAAGTCTCGTCATCCAACCTGATCACAGGTGGTTTGCTGAAGTTCACACTCTTGATGCCGAAAGCAATCTGGAATTGAAAGGTTGCTTGCATGCGATGAAAACACACCTTTGCAACTGGAACGTACAAAAGTTACAAATCAGGCGAATCTCCTGCCGGCCTGTGCAAGCACTGGAAGGCATCGCTGACGTTGACAACTGCCTCTTCGACATAGACAGAATCGGAAGGACTAGGTATCTCGAGTTGTTGAACGCGTTGCATGTCTCGGCTGCGACACACTACCAGCATCTAAGTACACTGCTCGGTCAGCTTCGAACGGCAAGAGCTGCACCCGACCTCCTTATTATCTCGCTTCCCCTCGCGCCTGCTGCATGCAAACGAGCCAGGACCAGCCCAGCTTCTTGCAACCCGGGTCGCTCTCGCAGGACTCCTTCGAGACCGGAAGTTGACACTGATTCATACTGGAAGCCTAACTCGGCTGCGCCGCTGTCTGCTGCTCCGTTTCGATTTCTCGCTGAAAATAACTGTTTGACTGTTACGATCGCTACTTCATGGCATCAATATTGAACTTTCGCTGCAAGTCTTGAAGTGTGCGCAGCCCGTACACACTCGGGGCTCATTCACACTCCCGATCGGAGCCCCGGTCCTTGTAGGAGAGGAAGTGCTGCATGACCCACTCCTGATCACCCGACACAAACGTCGAAGGTGCAGCGGCCCACCTCTGCCCTCACGTTTCCAATGGGATAATCGCCCACCACTACACAGACAAAACAACATCCCGCACTGGCCTCGTTCAAGAAGTCTTCTAACGCCTGAAGCAACACGTGTCCGCAGAGCTTCATTTGTCTAGGCAGGCCAACACTAAGTCACTAAGCGTCTTGCTCTCTACCCTAGTACTCCTTACTCCGACGGCTGGGAACCACCCGAGCGCCACACCGGGACGACAGGCAGCATCCTTGACACCGTGAGATGCTGGATCGTGCCAGGCAGCTTGTCCCTACCTGAATACCTTGAGATACCTGCATTCAGACGCAGGGCCAATCATCTAATTCAGATGCCCTGTGTTTTCCAACATGCTGTAGACAGCTGCGAGCCAAGCTGCTGGATGCCTTCCACAGCCCAGCCTGGCAAGCCAGACTTTCATATACGAGACATACAGCTCGCGCCGCGCGAATCTGACTGCTCAAAGGTCGATCCTGGCATGCACCATGTCAGGCTCTGCACTGTAAACGAACCTGAACTTGCTCGTCCTCTAGGCCGAAGCCCTAAGCATCTCGACATCCCATTATTCGACTCTGCCTTTTCCTCCGAACCAGGTTTGGTGGAGGCAGACGTGCTCCCACATGATGCCCACCTCTTGAAGTCAGCATTGGATAGCTTGGTGCTTCTTCGACTGCAGCTCTGCAACGCGACGTTGATGCGTAAGTACGAAATTGCTTCCGGGACCACGACACAGTCGAAAAGAGCGAAACTATGTCAATTTCGACAAGCACAAACCGCCCTTGGGATCCTGTTCATCAGACCTATCTTATATCAGTGAAGCACGAAGCCCAGACTCAGCGCTCAGAAACCTGAACAGCTTGCATGAATCGAGGCCCGGGCCGTTGGGTGTTGGAAGTTTGGATAGAACTTGCTATCCGGACGTACATGCCTCCGAGTAATTGCACTCCACTAGAACAGTCAGCGCGAACTTCAACGGAGCAACTACATCGCGAATTGAACAAGAGAAATTGGCACATTTGATGGCTGCCTCGAAGCCTGGACAACCGAAGACAGTACAACTTGATGCTACTCTTTCGATGTTTCAGCAGATGACGTGAAGAGTCATAGCTGAACATGCTGAAGATCTCGCTTCTGGAAATGCAGCTCAAGGTGCCAGTATGTATCCCCGCCGTGGACCTGCAAAGGAGTGAAGGCCGATTCTCAAACCAACAACGCACATACTGGAGGCATGGGTACCATTAAGACATGAGGATGGTTCCTCCCCAGTAAGACCCGAACCAAAGAACAGCGGGAGTATGTTTTCAGGCATGGAGAATCCATGGTCGTGTGCGTCGAAGTGAACCGGACGTAGTCAGAACCGCTGAATATGCTCAAGTTAGCTGTCGCTACTTAAGGAAGCAAAGGCACATACGTAAGTACCCGCCTATGTACCAACCCACCTACCTGCATACCTCCCTACGAGTACCTACCAACCTACCGACCTACTACACCTACCTATCTACCTACCTATCTACCTACCTACCTACCTGCACATCTGCATACAGGCATAAACAAACCTGCATAAGTGCATGTAGGGTTGTATGTCTGTGTACACATGTACGTATGTGCATGCATGCATGCATGCATGCATGGATCGACGGACGGACGAACGGAGGTATGTATGTGTATAGTGTATATATATATATATGTGTGTGTGTAAGTACACAAATGCATATGTGTATATATGAAAATATACACATGCAATACATACATGAATGAATACATACATGCGCGAAGACTTATGTGCATACTACGAAGAGATAGATAAATAGATAGATAGCAGCTATTTGCATTCATGCACATATGGTATGCAGCAACCTCTGTCGTTCGCCGGGCTCAATCCTGCCTCCATGGCCATCAAGAGGCGACCAAGCTGCCGAAGCTGGATGCCCATCTGCGAAGCCTAGCTGGGAAGCGTAGGCATCCCCCCAAAGCCTGGAGATCATCTGTCAGAATGAACCATACCCCTCTGTAGCGTACATACCGCACGGTTGAAGGCACCTGAGTTTTGGGGTTAAGGAGTTTAGGATGCCAGGCCATTTCGAACTCTCACGCAAGGCCCACAGATCTCTACATGGCTGCACCGCCTCGTCGCCACGATTTGCCAAGACAGTGCCGTACACTGCCAGGGCGTAGTAGCCTCGGGGAGCTTGCACGAAAGAAGGTGCTGCAGCCACTCGAACCCACCAAAACAACCAAGAGCTCATACTCTCCAGCCTTTCATCACAAAAAGTTGATCCGTCTCTTGTAAGTCAGGCGCGCCAGCAAAGAGTGGTGTGCGTTTGTGCAGAGTAAGAAGCACTAAAGGCCGTTGCATGTCACGACCCCGCCGTGCTCAAGATTCAACATTTTGTCATTGGCCATGTTGGGGCAAAAGGTCTTGCTAAGCCCGGGGCTGTTGATCGCCTCGCTAACACTCTCCTGGTTCCTGTGCAAAACCCGCTGTGTCAGGGATTCTTAGCTTGTCGCGCTTTGCAGGTGAGGAAGTGTGTTGACAGGTCCTTCATTCCAGGCCGGCCTCAAGCCAAATGACGCAGATGACTAGCAACAAAAAGCGACTATGGCCTGCATCACACATACGTACATGCATACCTACATACATACGTACGTACATACGTACGTAAATACAAAGTCATTCATATACATACACGGCCTTCCAAGTGGTTCGAACTTGATTCCGCCGGCCCAGGAGAAGCACAGGAACCAGTCCTCCAGCATGGTTTCTTCAGGTGTTGGCCCCTCTACGGATCTAAATTCAAGGATGGCTTAAGGGTTTTGGGTGTAAGTTGCGGAATTTTGGATCGCTCTCTGCAGGGGGCAGCGCAAGTCGCCGAGATGTCCTTGTGCCGCACGACGGGGAACTTCTTGTCTGCAGAGGAGGGGTTGGCATAGTCCCTGCAGACGCGGCGAGGTTGAAAGACGAAAGTTGCCACGGGCATGAGACCGCCTGATCAGGGCCAGCACAGGTTCCCTCCACTTCTTCTCCCACTCGGGCCGGAACTTTGCCAGCACCTGGGCGCATTTCCAGGAACATCTGCTGCACAATTTGCTCCCCCGGGCGATCGTGCAAACTCCAACGCTTTCGTTTCTGCGAGTCCTCCAAGGCTTGCCAAGGAACCGCTGTGGTGTAAATCCAATAGCCGTAGTGGAAGTGGTGGTCGTTGTAGTAGCCGTTTCCGAAGTTGTAGCCTGTCATGCATGCATCCCGCAGTCTTGAGATCCGCACCATCAAGGCAACCGCAACTTGAGGAACTGCCCCTTTGCACAAACCAAGCTCGTAAACCGAAAATGCTTAAACTGAAAAGCACCCAAACAAAAGATCCCGTCCCAGTCATTTTGCCTACGTTACGCAGCGCCGGGCACGTCGAAGGCTTCGATGCATCGTTGGAGCCTCAGCTGAGGCCACCGCCCCCGGGAAGTCTTGAACCCTGGCGATTCAACCAGAAAACACTTGTAGCATGTACGGTCAGGATATAATGCACAAATACGTACCTACGTACGTTCATACGTACATGCAGGCCTACTGATGCTGTGTCATGCGCTTGATCCTCTTGACTCTTTGTAGTTGAACCCCTTGATCCCTCCCCGATGCCGGCGATATCGTTCCTCCTTTGATACAATCCCAGGCACAGTGCGGAGCGCAGCTGTTCCAACAGTCGTCGTAAGTGCATCCACAGGAGACCAAGCCTTTCAAGGAAGTTTCGGGCTTGCCTTGAGCTTCAGGATACAAAGATACATTGCACACACGCATATATATATATATATATATATATGTACACATATGTGATAGAATATTCCAGTCTACTTCTTTGGCTTTGAGCCGGGCTCAGGCAAAGTCTGCCACTCGGCTGCCAGACGGCGATAAGATCTCATGAGAACCAATCGGAATCGGCAACTCGACCCCACTCCAGCCTCCCCAGGAGCGATCGTAAATAAAGGGGGTGCTGCCGCCTGGGTTGGCGGCCGCAAGGCGGCGCAGAGTCGGACTCACTGGACATCAATCTTCATATCTAAACCCTAAAGAATGTTAAGACCAAGACCATACCAGTTCTAACGCTGCCACCCCTTGCTCAGAGACCGGCTCTTTGTCAGCCACGCCTCGCAGGTCGTCTGCAGGTCGTCCAACATCCTCTTCACAAAATCCTCAGGTGGCACGGGACACGGGACAGCTCGAGATCGGGCCGTTGCGGCACAACTCCCTCATCTAGTAAGATACGCGCTGGAAGTCAAAATTCGCCCTCCCATCAGCCTCGTCGGACTTCCCCATCTCCGCGGCAATAGTCACAAGCCGCGCCTGAACTAAGGCCAGCACGGCTTCTTTGTGTCGACACTTACGCCGTGATGTCGAAGGCGACACACGCATAGCTCACTCGATGCAGCTAATGGCTTGTTCAGGTTGGCTAATCACTCGCCGAACTTACGAGTGCCGAGTGCGAGCACGAGGCACTCAGACTTCAACTATACCTCTGAGTACCCAGGCCATGCGGGCAGCGAGCTTGCCACTGAAGTAGGTGTCGCCGACCTGGTGTCGCTACAGTTGCTGTTAGTTGTAGCAAGCTGTTTCAAGTCCTCGGCCTTCATGGTAGTGCATGGGCTCTCATGCTCGAACCCCATGGTAGCCATGGGCACTAATTACTCAGGGTTAGTAGGTTATTTCTCACCAGCTGGTGCTTCAATCAGCAGAACCGAAAGCAAAAGTGAAGGTCCAGCATTTTGCATTGCAATGTATGTTTTTTACATCGATGTAACAAACATACATTACAAGGTCCAGCATTTTGGTTTGGTTGTTTAAAACCTAAAAACCTTGTGTTAAAAAACTCGCGGAGGCAAAGAGAAACCCTCCCGGATCCCGGCTCCGAGTTTCACGTTCTCAGGGAGCTCGAACTCGCCTGAAGCTTCAAAGGCGAGGAAAGGGAAGAACACGAATAGAGCTCTTAAAGGGTCTTAGGGAACCCTGCAGAACCCTTGGAAGGAATCCTATGGAGCTTTGGCTGCTCCGTAAAGAAATAGTATTAAAGCCTTCGCAACGCTTCCCAAGGTGGCTCCTGAAGAGTTTCTTACTGCTGGGGCTTGTAAAAGACTCAGAGATCGGAATGTCACAGAGATCCGCAAGTCGATAGAAGTCCTAGAATTTATGCGTGCAGACGCCAATCTACATTTGCAAAAGAGCGGCGCCAGCAAGGCATACAAAAAAAAAAAAAAAAAAACTATCAAGAAATCCTGGTGAACTTTCAGCCCCTCCCTTGCAGAAAACCACAGTGCGCCGGGACACTGTCCGGCTTCTCGCCGTCGAACTTTGATCCAGCCATGCGCCTCGATCTGACTACGTATAGGTGTACTTTGTACAAACATAAGCTTCTAACTGCAACCATACATGCGTTTATCTTTGTTGGCTTCGTTGCATCTTGACCTCCTAGACGAGCGGGAGCTCTGCGAACATTATTTGTCGCTTCGTTGCGAGTTCGCGTTTTACCTCAAATCACTCAAGGCGCTCAAACTCCGATCCCCCATGCCACCCCTTCTCTAGAAATTCCTCAGATAAGCTAAGGGAAACTGCCTGATGAAGGTGCATTAAGCTTTCTGGGTCTTTCGGGCGGGGGGGGGCACCCAAACATGCCGGCAGGACTCACCTCCTCCCATGAGCGCCTTGGAGAGCTGAGCATGACAACATCTCACTAAGCAGTACTCGCTCTGAGAGTGACAGTAACACCGGTAATCATAGTAATACCGGCAAAAACAACAATCCTAAAATAATCGCACAGCTACGGCTCGGAGCAATCGTATTTGTGAAGGTCAGAGTCCTGCCTATAATATAGCGCCTGTAGACATATTCAAAAGCAAATGATATCTGATGTGGTGATGACTTGCAGCGCGCGATTTTGAGCCCTGGCAATGGGCAGTATGGCCCATCAATTCATCAAAGCGATCTCTCCGATCCTGCCTCTTCCAAAGCCTCTCGAAGAATCCCGCTGGTCGGCAAGGGATGCCGCCTGCACTCCAGCGTACAGACAACCGGACATGGGTGCGGCAACGAAAGGCAGAATGGGATCGCAAAACAGCAACCTCCCATGTAAGCGCAAACAGAAATGCAGCCAGAAAAGGTCCCGAGCTCACCCGCCGAACTCTGTCGCAGGGTTCAATGGGTAGAGCTCGAAGTGCAGGACCACTGGCTTTCTGACCACCTCGGCAGGCTGACCGTTCGTAGGATAACAACAACCTGTGGAACATGCCAGCATGCCACTGGAACCAAGTTAAGCTGTAAGCATCATCATCATCGTCGTCATCATCACGAATCCAGCATCTACAACGACAACGACAGCATTAGTTATTAGTGCATTTCTTGATGCAGACAAGAGAAACCGAAAGCTGTTGCCCCACAATGCGATACGGCGTTGCGGGAGCCTGGACTGCCGGGGCCCGGACTAACGGCTTCGGCAAGCCACCTTTGCGAGCGGAGCCAGGCGCACTCCAGTTTCACGGGATTGTTGCGATGATGGTACGATCACCATCATCACCGCCATCTTCTTCTGCTTCTTGAAACTCATCTTCATCTCTGTACGATCATGATTGTTATCGTTGTTATGCCCATTGTCATCCCACAAAGTGCTGCCCTTGCTCACACGACAAGTGGCGCAAGTCGCGGAAAGGCGTCTGGGTCGCCGAGTCTAAGGCATCCCGCACCTGCATTTCAGCGGATGATGGGCAGGAAGCTCTAGAGCCGAGGCCTTGGGTTCCTCGAGTCTGGGGATTGAGGCCAGCTGCGCCCTCAGATCATCGTCCTGGCCTCCTCATCCAGCAGTGGCACATGGACAGGCCACAGCAGCTGCAGAACGGCATCCTCCGTCAGAGCTCTGAACACAGGCGCGAGTGCTTCGGCCACTGGGATATGTGCATCCCTGTGCTGTCAAGCTGAAGGGAGCTGTGAGCTGGTGCCGAGATTCAGGAGAGCAAACTGGGAGTTCGTCAGGATTGGTGTCGCTGAGTAATGCGGCATGCAAAAGACACGGTTCTTTTGCCCACGGCAAACATTCTGCGAGACTGTGTGGGTCCGCTAGCCTCAGTTGGGCACAGGTTGCCAGACAGACGTGCAGAATCCGGAGGAGACAACTGGAATGTCCTCGATGCTTTTCGACCTGCCAGCCTGGAATTTCAACTCCATCTCACTACAGTGTGCCCGAGCCGCTCGATTTGGGAATCGCGCATTTCGATGCACCCCACTCCTCGGCCGAAGCTGGAGGAAACACCACGCCAAAATCCGTATTATGTGCCGTAACTCAGCATTTAGGCTGTATGGCTTTTCTGGCCTCGGATATCTTAAAAAAAAAGCTTCTAAGACCTGTGCGACACCTCTTCCGGCATTTAACGATTTTCCGTGTGGGATGCTTGTGCTTATACTTATACTGGCAGTGTTAGTGGTACGCGGTCGTGGACGTCGTCGCCGTCGCCGCCGCTGCCGCAGCAGTAGCAGTAGCAGTAGCAGTAGCGGTAGTAGTTGTAGTGGTAGTGGTAGGTGGTAGTGGTAGTGGTAGAGGTAGTGGTAGTGGTTGTGGCAGTGGCATTTTGTTCAGTGGCAGTGGCAGTGGTAGTGGTAGCAGTAGTAGCAGTAGTAGTAGTAGTAGTCGTCGTAGTAGTAGTAGTAGTAGTAGTAGTCGTCGTAGTAGTAGCAGTAGTAGTAGTAGTAGTAGTAGTAGCAGTGGTTGTAGTAGTAGTAGTAGTAGTAGTAGTAGTAGCAGTAGCAGCAGCAGCAGCAGTCGTAGTTGTAGTAGTAGCGTTTGTTGTTGTTGTTGTTGTTGTTGTTGTTACTTGTTGTCGTCGTCACGATGCACTTCTATGGTTGTCGTCGTCCTTGCTGTTGCTGCAGCTGGAGTGGGACGTATGCTTGCTGGCCAGGCTCTGTGAGGCCCATCTCCCGCGTAAGGGCGTCGAAGAAGGCCATGTCTGGCTTTGCGTAGTTCTTGTACAAGCCTGGCTTGGTCTGCGCGTGTCCAGGGCAGAAAAGAAACTGTAACACAAGAGCCCCGCTCCTTTTCAGCACTTCCGAAAGGACCGAAACCAAGCTGTTGACTACCATTACTGAAAAGATAAAGCTGTAGGGTTGAACCCCTGAGCAGAAGAGAGCTTGAGAAACGTTGACGCCCCACGTCCTGAAATCTGGCCAAGCAGCTGTCGAACTCGGTGGTCATGGGCTTGCCAAATGCGAAGCAATGGTCCCTCCAAATGTCTTGCCTAGCAGAGAGATCTCGAGCTTCATGTCAAGGCTGTAAGGCTTTAGGCTATGGCTGTTTCATGGGCGCGAGGCCCACCTTATCAACCTGCACCCCAAGCTCGAAGCCCTCACAGCTGCAGTCGAAAGCTACTCGAAGATCTTTTTGAGCTTCTCGTCGTCGCGCACCCAGGCCATGCGCTCTTCTTCGGCCTCGTGCGCGACCCACTCCTGTGCTACGATCTCGAAGGCGTCCCTCGGTGTCCGGTGAAGCGCAGAACTCTGCGGCTTGAAAGGCTCACCTTCACGGCATCATTCAAGCCTGCCTCCTAGGCCATAATCACTACAGCAGCCTCTCTTCCTTTCTCGACAACCTCGTTCAATCTTGGTGTCTTCCGTAGCGATCAAAGCTCTGACTATCTGGAGCTCAAAAGCCAAGGCACGCTCCGGCCATGGACTTGGACCTCCACTCGTCCACGGTTTTCATGATCTGATCCCTTTCGAAGTCTCTCCTTGGGAGCCGAAAGGAGGATGGGTGGCGAGGGTGCAACTGCCATCTGAATATGAATTACGACTGGGTGTCGCACTGGGCTGCGACTTGCCTGTCTTGCCATGTTCTTTTCGTACTGCGTCATTGCAATTCCACGCTGTCTTGCTGCTGCATGTTTCGTAAAGCAAGGCTTGTGACTGCGGCTGCCTTTCCCTCACCACTGTACTTCGAGAATTCAATTGCAGTGAAGTACTGTGGTAATATGGCACTACTACATGGCTGCAATATTTCTAGTCTAGGCGATTAGATTATATTGGTGGTTTAGCTTTCCAAGGTACTGCAAAGACTGAAGGGCATCTTCGAATTCGCGTGCAAGTATTTCATGTCTACAGTAGCGTCCTGGAATACTACGATAACGTTCAGGATGTACAGCCTTATGAATGTTGATTGCATGATGAACTTTTTGGGACCGGAGTAGATTGCTTGGTTGCTTGCTTTCACACATTGTCAAAGTATTCTCTTGAGGACTCTGGGTTGGGGGCGCAAGGTTGGCGCGTAAAGTTCTGGATGCACGTACGGCAAGACAGGATCATCTTGCGCTCTGTGCCTGCTCCTTAACCTCGAATTCAGGCCACTTCAACGGCTTCTGATTGAGTCCGCGCTGCACGAAACTATCTACAGTCTACAGTAACCCTGCCAAGCTGCGGAGCACTGTCTAATATCTCTCGGAGAACGTTTTTGAAAGCTTCCAGACCTGCGGGGTAGCTCGCCATGGCTTCTGATTGGCTGCATGCAGAAACTGCAGGGGTTTGCCCGGCCTCTCTCCACATCTGGCCTGTCGGGCTTGTTCAACAGGGATGTGCAGCCGAAAAGCTCCAGGCACTTGTGCCTGAGGCGACGGATTACGGACATCTGGGACAAGAAGGTGCTGTGGACAGAAACTCACTAAAATGCTGTCTGATATATCATGTCGCACAGCTCCCCCTCTTTCGTGTTCCGATGATACCTTGGCTCAAAAGGCATGGCTGCCCAAGCACTTTGCATCATCCCAGGAATTGATCGGCTTCTCGTCCTTGTACTGCGCGACTGTGCCTCCGTCGGAGTGGGGTTAAGGGCCCGTGTCGTGAAGCCCGGTCGATCGGGGTGGGGGACGGGGGGGTTCCAATGCCATCCGCACGGTAAACCAAACAACGGCAGCAGGAAGCAATACGGAAAAGTTGAATTGGCAAACTCTCAACCAATACCATCATTACTTCCACCTCTTGCTTAGTTGTTCCATCAAGCCAAGCATTGGAACTACATAATTAATATTTTGGCGAAGTGTGCTTTACGGCAAGTTGATGGGAGCAGGAGTTCAGGCGGTAGAAACATGGCGGCCTGCGGCGGGAAAACGAGCCGCCGCCCGAAAAGTGCACGGAACTGCGGCCGGACCAGGATTGCGAATTTTGGAATGGCTCCGGGTGGCACTGTTTGCGCCCTCAAACTGCTCATGTGTTGCACCGTCCTCTGTTACACTTGCAGACAAAAGGCTCCTCTCTTCACTTCACTTCGCAGGGGAAAGGCTCCTCTCTCTCGCTCTCTCTCTCTCTCTCTTTCTCTCTGTCTGCCCTGCCGGGCTTAGGGGTCGGTTGGCCCGACCCTCAGGCATCCAGCCCGCCCGTCCCCCACCATGTATTAGTGAGCGGACGGCATTGGGGTCCCAATGTATATCGCTCTCTCTCTCTATATCTCTCTTTCGTCATCTTTCGTGTCGAGGCAGACCCACAGCGCCCGCCCCCCCCCCCGGCCTACGGACATGGCCCAAGCGGTCCAGCCCTGCTCCTCTTCGTGGGATTCGCACATCTCGTTGTAGAGTATGAGCTCGTCCATCACTTTGTGGCAGGCATGGCCCAAGTCCATCCTGCTCCCTTTGTGCTTGTTTTCAGGGCAGATGATGCCCCTCTCTTCGTCTCGGATGAGGTGAAGGTGAACGCCCTTCAGAGCGTTGCAGACGTTGCGCTGCGCGTCCGCACCCTCCTGGAAGGTTGCCTCCGTTCTGAGCTTGCCGTCGGCCATGATCTCCATCTTGCACTCCCGTGTCTTCTCCAGTACCAGGCACATGCCGACCGCATGCTGGTTGCAGTTGCCGCGCTTGAAGTACTGGTCCGTGTCCGCATTGCCTGCCAAAGCCATGCAACAAGAAGGGACCAAGAATGAAAGCCGAACCCATGATGATTGCAAGAACTTGCTTATCCAAGTCGTCTGAACCCCACCTCCTCCGGTGATGATGCGGTTCAGGACCTGCATTTGTTTTTTCAAGCATGTGCCGTAGCACTGCTTCACCACGTTGTTCTCTGAGCCAACAATCTCCGTGATCGTCGCGGAGTTGGTCCTGGGCGAGACATGCTTTCTTGTTTCGAGGCAGCGATGAGAGCAAGCAACAAAACACTTCGATCAGCTGCGACAGGAGAGCACAAGACAAAGCCGATCAGCCAGGCATCAGAACTGAGACGGCTAAGGGAGGAATCGCATCGACGGTGATACCAGCAGCAAGTCTCGCGGAACACCTCAATACATTCCCGGTCCGGGCTTCATGGACAGGGCTTTTGCTTTACGCAACCCGCAGCTGTTGAAGCACCCAGAGGAACTGCATGTCCAGTGGCTTGATGCAGTCCAGCCCGAGAATCTCTGCATCACTGAAGAGATGGTGCAGGTTGGGCTCCAGGTCGGCATTCTGAGCAGTTCAATCACTCTGCAGCTCATGTCGAAAAGTGTCACCGCCCCAATCCCCCCCCTGTCTGGGTCTGACTGAACCCTGGGTACAGCCAATCCAGACTTGCCGGCCCTACACTACCAGGCTGCCGTGGCACTGGTTCAGCCACCTGCTTCTTCTCGCCGCCGAAGTAGCTCGAGAAAGTGTCAAGCATCCAATTCACCAGCTTCGCCTGGGTCTCATTCGACCATGGCGTCTTGGGAAATTGTGAAGACAAAAGGATGCTGCCCGCCGGTCTATCAGTGTGTTTGCTTGAGGGAGGGCTCACCGAAAGCCATGAGTTGAAAGATAGTGCAGGTGGGTGCGACATGGCCTCTTCAGTGGAGAGCCACGACCATTCTACCTGTGTTTGCTTTACTCGTAATGACCACTTCACCAAATCCCGCTGCACTCACCGTCCCGCCACGTTTCGGCAAAAGGACATCAGAAATCGTAGCGAATCAGTACACCAGAAATACACTGAATGCGCTCCTGCAGCAAATCATCCAAATGTGACTAACGTTTTGTGTGACACTGCCACCTGCTCGGAAGATACTATCCCGCTACTCTTGCCGATTCCGCCTGCCGTGACTATGGTGCTAGTCTTCTTCTTTTAGGGACAGTGGCCATGGCCGCGACTGTTTTCCAGATCAGCTGGCGCAGGGGCTCAACGATCACGAGGAGCTCCTCCAGGGCAGTGACGAAGTCACACCATGCTTACCATCGCTCTCTGGTCCTTCTGTGCCCGCTCGAATGAAAGCTTTCCATAAATTCCAACCCTCGGAAGCTCCTTCGTGCACTGATACAGCGGCCCACAGCCGAAGAGAATGCTCGGCCATGCCCAGGGAATCGGGAAGGCCTTCCTGCAAGCAAGAACGAGGAGTGCGATCAGCGACTACGACAACATCGAAACCAGCAGTAACGACAGAAACCTCACCTTGGATGGTTCGGCAAGACCAAACCGCATCCCTGGAGGAGTAGCACATCACTGTGTAAAAAGGCTGAAGACGAATATTCTGCACAGCGAACTACTGCGACCGAAAGCTGCGCATATCGTTAGCTGTATTAGTCGTGGTGGTGGTGGTGGTGGTGGTGGTGGTGGTGGTGGTGGTGGTGGTGGTGGTGGTGGTGGTGGTGGTGGTGGTGGTGGTGGTGGTGGTGGTGGCAATAGCACCAGTACCAGTACCCGCACCAGCAGCAGCACCAGAACCACTCAGTACCGGTGCTAGTAGTTCCAGTTGCAGCAGCAGCAGCAGAAGCAGTAGTGGCAGAAGTAGATGTCCTCGTCATCGTCGTCGAAGTACTCGTAGTAGCAGTAGTAGTGATAGTAGTAGTAGTAGTAGTAGTAGTAGTAGTAGTAGTAGTAGTAGTAGTAGTAGTAGTAGTAGTAGCAGGAGTAGGAGTAGGAGTAGGAGGAGTAGTAGTAGTTGTAGTAGTGGTAGTGGTAGTGGGGCTGGTAGTGGTAGCGGTAGTTGTAGTGGCAGTGGTAGTGGCAGTGGTGGTTGTAGCAGCAGTAGCGGTAGCGGTAGCGGAAGCGGTAGCGGTAGCGGCAGCCGTAGCGGTAGCCGTAGCAGTACTAGCAGCAGTGGCAGCACCAGTTGCAGCATAACTAACAGTGGTAGCACCGATGTACCAATCAATCATGGTACCAATTCTAGTGGTAACAGTCGTCGTCGTACCTTGTCAGGGGTGGAAGTAGTCGCAATTGCAGCAGAGTTGTTGCAGTAGCACAGACCATGACGACAGCACGACTTAGCAAGCCAGTCACGAACGAGGGCGGGGTGGTGGTGACGGTGACAAGAAACCTACGACAAACAAGACTAAGCAGTTCTTGAGTGTGCCATGTAGTGTAGTAAACTCTTTGCACAGTGTCAAAATTACAGATGTCACATAATCGCAGAAACAGCTCATTCTGCTAGCAGCCCCTGCATCCAAGCAGCACGGCAATCGTCCAGACCAGCCGCTTGGTCACGAAGTTGTAAAGAGCCTGCGAAGCATTTGTCACCTCGGCTGTTTGCAAGGCAAGGGCCAAGCTAGTATCGACATCTGCCAGCACAATACACTCAAATGTCAAAGCCCACACCTCTTGGCAACTATGTGCACGCATGCGCACACTGAATGGCCAGCTCCCGTCTCTGTATCCATCCATGATCGGGACGGTACTGTAGCTTGCATGCCACAAGCCACAGCACTTCGGAAACTATCTTGCAAGCTTTGCGGCCCCTTCGGTGACAGTCTGCTTCCTTGGAACAGCGGTCCCTCATGTAGACTCTACCCATCACCTTTCCACAGGCAGTGTACCAAAATACGGCCGTCGTACCGAATCTCGGTTGCATGCAGGCGTCAGGGTCTTCTCCATCTTATTCACAACGTCCAATCCTATGTTCGCCGTCGTCTCCTTCTTCCTTGAAAGATGGCTCAAATCAGTTCCGTATCCTCTTGCGCACAGTCACGATCTCTTAAGCCTCCCATTGCCTGCGCATCTACTCGGCACCTGAAATTCCGCAAATCCCGAAGTCTGAACAGAGAAGGAGAAGGTGTTGTACTGCACAGGCTTTTTATCCGCCACGCGGCTGCAACACTGCTTTCAACTCGTCCTTGTCTAGGCCGGTTCCCACCTGTCTGTTGTCAGAAGAATCTCGAGGTTTCAGGCATATCTCGGCACGCCCTCTGAGTCCGAACGACGTGACGGGGCTTGTGCCAAGACCAGGCGACCGAAAAGCCCCCGAAACAGGTCAAACACCACCGTCACAGAGACCCGCCCACCTGGGCAAGGCATTCGCCTGCGTCGGAGGGCGCATCCTCCGGCGGAGTGTGGGAGGCCTTGCCTGCACAACGGGATTCACCTTCTCTGCTATTCCGGACTTCCAGCTACGACTTCACGAATTGTACGACACCGGCACGTCGACGGCATCCGATTCTGTACCACAACTTTCGTTCCCGACCCAGCAACCAAAATGACCCATCTAAACTGGACTCTGCTCAGGCGCACAATACAAATCCCGCAGACTTGCAGTACATGCAACAAGCACACTAGAAGACTTTAGCAGTGTACCGAAAGTTAGGCAGGATAGTGTCCCAACCTCGCTTGTGTCGGCGGTGGCCATGGCGGTGCACTTGATGATTCTGGGCAAAAGAGCCACCATGACCTGCCGACGGGCTGATAACTCCCTGCCGGCTTCCCATCCCGGCTTCACGCGAACCCTTTCAACTCCATGACGCATGATCCGAACCCCCCAAAAGCCGTGTTCTTCCATTCATGCATCTCAACCTGAATGTGTCTGGATGTTGAGGCCTTACAGACCCATCACAAAAGGGCATAAAGGGCATCCCTGAAAACCAGGCCCTAGACGCTCTCTGAGCCTCAACCCTACGCCCTGCCACAACCCTCTCACAACCCCCTTGGAACCCCAAAAAACTGCCCAGAAGCCCCAGCGGCCCCAGCCTCCCGCGTAGTCCAAGTGAAGGACCTTGGCCTTGGCAGCTCTTCGAGGCTTCTGGTGCGGCCCTTCTCAGCGGAAGAACAACTGTGAAACCGCGGGAACCGGCGATTGAAGTCCAAAACGACCGAACGAGAATGAGTCAGAATGATGATAAGCAAAGTTCGAACTATATCACAACGGCCCTTGTAACCACAGTAATGGGCATTGATAATTCTACTCGGCCCGGTGGCTATAGCACGCTGCACGGTCAAGTGCTCCCGGGCCAGCGCCTGGCGTTGCCTCTGAGAAAGCACGCCATGGCCTCGGCTCTTGGTGCCAGGCCTGGGGGTCGAAGACATAAACTCCTTTCGGAAGCATCCCTTCTGCTCGAGACTCAGAAGCCTATGAAGCCAAGCGACGGACCACCCTGTCTATCGCCTCCTCATCTGTGAGATTGGTCTCGTCTCCAAGCTGCCTGGCTCATGGCGTTGGCTAACGCTGGCTAAGCCCACGTGGCCTGCAACCCTAAGTCGGAGTGCTACTAGTACAGGCCCGAGATGTTTCGGATCCCGACAAGACACCAAACATGAGCTGAAATCGCAGGTGTAGGTCCCGCTTCTACCAAGTACGTGATCCTGGTACGATGGGGATGCAATCCTGCAAACCGTAGTTGAAACTACCCTCGTGGCAAGGAGCAGTGCCGAGTTCGGCTGCACGTCGTGGAGACCGTTGGGGAAGCCTGCCTAGCATTCATGCAGCCAGGTAGCTGACCGGTCAAGCATCAGGTATCTGTGCACACTATGGTAGTTTTTCATGGTGTATGATATAATCCATGATTAATGCCAAAGCGGAACGCAATCCCACCTTCAGGCGCTGTTCGTGAAGCATCGAGGATGCAATATTCTCTGCTGTAGCGGTCCTCAACTGATGTGTCTCGCGTGTGACTTCGGACTTCTCACTGCCGAGCCGAGATGGTCGTATTCCATAGTGAAAGCAATGAGAACGAGCTTGGTATGCGGCGTCATCATGATCACTACCATTACCACAACGATATGTCTCTTGTTTGATGCTAGCCCTCATGGGAGTTTGTACAGATAGCGATAGTTACCTGTCGGGTATGCAGCTAAATTCTGCAAGCGCCCAGAAACTTCGTCGGCGAGGCTCCAAACTGGAGATGAGAAGTCGCTGATTAGCTCGGCCATCTCGGAGAAGCGAAGCTCCTCAGCGCGCTGCTCGAAGTCTTCCGCTCGACGTCAGAAACCAAAGGGTCATGGAGAGATCCCAAGCAGGGTGATTCCCGAACTCGGAAGTTGAAGCATGAAGGGCAGACAGGGAGCAGAGAAGGCGTGCGCAGTGCCCTGCTCATGGGAAGCAAGGCTTGCAGCGCTCCGCACATGGTCGTGGTGCCTTGAGGGTACGTTATACTGGGGCCCTCACAATAAGGATTTTTACTATTTCGGGTTCTACATGAGGGTCCCCTATTTGAGGAAGCACGAAACAAAGATTCGGATTGGCGGTTTCAGTCTGGAGGCTTTGGGCGAAACCCTCGACCGACCCGGACCCCAGCCGGAACAGTGTCAGCGACAAAAAAGCCGTGATTACACTGATAGGAAGCAAAACGAAGGAGAAAGTGCAGGGCCGGCGCTCGGCCGCCTTGACGCGTTTGTGCATCGTTTCAGTCTGGCCCTGACCGCAGCTGAGACTCCGAATTTCACGGCTGACCTCTGTGTCCATGTCCAGCTCCAGGGCTACATCTTCCCTAGCAGCGAGGGGGATGTAGTGAGCTGCGCACTGTGTTCTCCTAGAACTGTCCGGCAATGCAGCTCCCGCGGCAAGCCTGTAGCCGGCTGCAACTGCAAGGAACAGCAGCAGCCACATCTCTGGAGCGCCGCGTGCAGGCCAGGATGGAATGTATTCTCAGAAAAGGGTCGCTTTGGTGAAGTGCCCATACAGGACATCTTCTTTGAGCCACAACATAGCAATGGAGTCTCTAGCATTTCTGTCACGTTGGGAGTTGCGACCGCCAAAATGCGTGAATGCTCTGAAAGGTCTTGCAGTTACAAAGCTCTACAGCTGCCTTCTCGAGGTAACCAGGCACGGTGCGCACGTAGCCAGCCCAGTTGAAACTGACCTGAAGGCCATTTGAACATCAGTGCTGTCCCAAGGTAGACCCCAGTGCCTTCAGGCAGACTACCTGCCATACACACTGTGTCACTGCACCAGCTCACACTAATGATCCAAAGTACAGCAAGGTCGCTTTAGATTTGGACCTCCCGCAACTCACCCAGGATGGTGCGGCGGGAGCAACCGCTGTAAAATCAAAATGAAGCCCTCTACATCGCATGCATTGCAGTGTCTCCTCAAACGTGCACAGCAGAATTTGCATTCTCCATCTCGCGACCGTGAAGCTCTTCTTGCTTCCCACCTCTGCGTCATCTGCGTTCAGACCGACCTGTCTCAACAGGACGGGGGTTCTCCGGGACAGCCCCCACCGTTGTGATCCCCTCCGGTCCGCCTTGAAGTTGACGCCCGAGGCGACCTTGGCTGCCGCCAGTTTTGTTTCGAGGATGTCTAACTCTGATGCTCTTCAACACGAGTCGGCTACTATCGAAATCGACCACGATGCCCACGACGGGGAGAGGCCCTGTTGCACTTAGCACCCTTGAGCCCGCAGCTGGGTATGCACCCGCGTGCTGGCGAACCAAGGAATGCCAGCGCTGCACGTCCAAGCCTTGTTTCACAGCGCTAGCTTGAAAGAGATTGCCGACATCCTCATACTGAAATCTTGATCAACATCATGAGCAACACTGCCATCACCAGGATCATGTGCATCCCCTCCGTCACAAACATCAACACAATCATCGACATTGCCATCGCGGACGACAAGCACCACCACCTTCGTCTCTTTCATGAAGACCATCGTGAAGCAAACATCACGAAGAGGCTTAAGCTCTCAAGCGACAAAGCCACCCTGCCTGGGTTTTTGCCCTTCAGCATGGCGAGCTGGACCGCCGCACCTGTCACAATGGTCGGCTCGCAGTCACGGCAACAGCGGGTCTTGCTCCGCAGGAACATGTGTAACGACGTGTGAGGGTAACGTGACCCCTGCGACGCTCTTCTCCACAACTTTCACCGGCCTTGCAAGCGATGCTTCTGGCGGTTGTGAAACAGATGCCAAGTAGGTGAAACGAAGGCTTTGTGGAGTCCTTGGCATTCCTTCATGTTCTTGTCATGTTCCGACGAAATTTAAACACCGCCTGCAGCTAAATATTGCAATATTTAGCTGCAGGCGGTGTTTAAATTTCGTCCCACTGGGTGTTACGACAACGACATCTCCGTCACAATCGAAGCCCACAACTGTGGCCACTGCCCCACAAGTGTAAAGCACCTTGTCTCCCACACTGAGGAGCCTCGTTGTTGTGCTAGCATACCACCTCGCAGTGGTGCCATTTTCTTTTCGCACATAGAGGTCTCCATCCTCATCGAACTCTATAACGGTGCCAACTTCCCCACAAGGGTACTGTACCCTGTCCCCCTCGCTGAGGGCCTTCTTGCATTTGCTGATGAACCAACTGGCCTTGCGGCCGTGGTCAGTAGTCACGATGAGGTCTCCATCTTCATCGATGCCCGTGATGTGCCCGCGGGTGCTGTCGGTGTAAGTTACATAGCCACCGATGCGGAATACCTCGCATCGGTAGGTCACGGATGAGACTACTGGAACCTCGGCTTTCACTTGGCAAGGAGCTGGCTCGGGTGCTTCTGCCGGCACTTGCGGAAGTAAATTTTTGAATGCGGGAGTCATGCGGTGGACTCCGTACAGTCGCCGCTGCATGCGCTTCCACATGCGTGCGAGCTTGAGAAACACTGCAACGGCCACCGCAAGAGGATCCACCCAACGGCACAGCGCCAGGGCGAGAGCCATGGCGACGTTGCTACCCAGCGGCATCATGCCGCCACTTACAAGTATAAGATAGCCCACAAAGCCCTGAGCCAGAACACAGCTCTGGCCAGGTTGGAAGGTAGTGCCAAGACTGCCGCCTTCTCGAGGTGTGTGTGTGTGTGTGTGTGTGTGTGTTGTCACAACGTTTAGCCCAAGACAGAGGAACGGAGCAACCTAGTAGGTCGGTGACATGTCTTGTGGCGCTGCCTTTCTTTTCTGCTCTAACTGTAACTACAAGTAGTACCATGGGACAAAACCACCGCCGGGCCTTTCGGCGGCGTCGGCTTTGCAGCTAGCAGCCGGAAAGGCCAGGCCTTGCAGACCTGAGTTTCCGCCAAGGCTCGCTCCGTTCAAGACTTCAAGAAAAGTATGCATAGTACGCACTCCTGCAGAGCGCTACAAATAGCAGTCTGTCGCTGTTGTCCCTGGCTCCAGCCCGCCGAGCACAATCGGAATGCCTCGGCATGATCCTGGGATCCCGACCCATCCCATCCCGGGTGGGAAGACGACAAGCCATGAATCGCCGGTGCTGAGGGTGAACTCTATCTCCTGACAGAGCATCAGTTCCTCTCTTGTTGTGGAGACCGCAAGGCATGCCGTGGGAGGCTCAACTGTGACTAAGTGTGCAATCTGCCAAGGCCAGAGGTCGGGGCGTCCAGATCGGTTTCCTGGAATCATGCATAATCATAGAGTTCATTTTAAAAACACCGGAGTCTAATGTCGACGTGCTGAAGCAACCTTGAGAGGGTGGGTAATTAGGAGGACCTGTCATTTTGACGGTTTTGTCGCTGGTCTGCCCCTCCCCCCAAACCTCTTCGCTCTTGCTGGGTTGCCCTTCTCTGACCTCCTTTCCCCCCTACTCCCCTCGCTTCTTTGCTGGGTTCTTTTGCCTTCCCTTCCGTGTGCCGCCCGTTTTTTCCTGTGCTTCTTTGACCTCCCTTTCCCGTTTGCTTATTGCGGCAACCGGAAGCTTAAACACTCACTCCCAAACCCTGGCCTTGGCCAATATTCTGTTCGTCTGCATAGCTGGCTGCTGGCCGCGGGCACGCATAGCGGAGCATGCGGAGCTCGGAAACGGCTCCGAGGCTTCTCTCGCGCCAGCGGATCAAATGCTCGCCCCTCGGGCTTAGGCCTTTCCGTGCACGAAGTCGCTGCAGTCCACCTGCTTGCCGTCTACGAGAAGCTTCTTGGGCTCCTGGCGCGGGATGCCATGGGCACAATCGCAGTGTGACAAGGCACAATGAGACTCAGAAGTTCAGGTCAACAGGAAAATGCCTGCAAACCCAATCTCCAAGTTCCACGCCCTCGAGGCTCTATGCCAGAGATGTCCAAAATTCCAAAGCTCTCCGAGCGCTGGGTGCCCCTGCCGCAAGCATCAGATCCGAAGAGACCACAGGCCGCACGGAGCGGAACCTCGGAAGGGGGTGGGGATGGGGGAAGACTCTGGCTCAAAACATAGAAGAGATAATAAAGGGCAAAAGCAAATATACATATATATATATATATAATTTGATACTGTTGTTTTGCTATATTTATATATGCGCATAGGATATGTGTCCTTCGCCAGCCTGGTGCGGGCGAGGGCATGGCCAAAATCGCAGACGCTTAGAACTTCCAGTCGCTCGCCCTTCTTGGAGGACTCGCCTGCCTCCCTTTCCAGGGTTTGAGACAGGTCATGACGGTTCAGGGTCTAGGGTTTAGGGTCAGGGCTTAGGGCCATACCCATAAAGCAATATTTACTCTGACTCCTGCGGGATGCAGCCTGTAAGATTCTTCTTCCACTATTGACATGGTTTGGTTGTGCATAGCCTTGGATCACCCCGCGGCACCCGAAAGTCCACACAGGGCCCGGGCTCTGCTGTGATAAAGGCCGAACCGCGGCAAGCCGGGAAGGTAACGGCCTGCAGGAGACTCGAAGGTCTAAAATTCAAGAATTGAAGTAGGACGTGGGAGAGGGCAGGACAGCACAGGCTATGTTGAGCTTTGTCTTGCTGCTTATCATGTTCGATTCTCCCATGGTGCTGTCGGCATGCCGATCTAGCATGATAGCGAGTCCTCACTCTTAGGCTTTCTCAGTGTCCTTCCTGTGCCAGACGGTCCATTGTTGGAGTATCGGCATCGGAAGACATTGCAGCAAGGGGGCCTAGCCTTCGCACTGACGCCACTTCCTTTCCGGTACGCCATTGTCACACCTTGGGACCCCCTTGGGATGCTGGGCGCAGGCTGAAGGAGGCACAGGAGGTAGAATCTTTTGCTGTTAGCAGCAACGCAAAAACAAGCCATACTCTCATACTAGCGCTTCGCAGTTAAGCGACACTTCCGGTACAGGTCTGCAGAATCATAGCTTGAAATGAATCCAATGTAACAGTGCAGCCAAGCTAAGGCGGCAGCAGGCCTCGTCCCAGTTTTCGGCCACTGGCCCTTGACCGGAGTTGAATTCTGAATTGTGGTTCCAGAAACATTCTAGGATCTCGAGGCCACACCCATGGAGTGGGATGAGAGTCCCACTCTCGCTGAATCTTGCTGACTTCTGCATGCAAGGACGCTTCAACACTGGCCTGACAAAACATCTTCCTGGCCGTCGTAGCCCAGGAACACACCGAGACCTTCGCTGCAGGTTGCGGGAGAAAAAAAAGGAATGCGAGCCCGAAAAGGTCCGGACCATGCTGAAACTCTTCCATGCCAGGCGATGTCATGAACGGCTGCATCACGTGGACCTTGAGAGGACATTGAGAGGCTCCAGTGCCCAGTATCCACTAGCCAATGTGCAAATCAACGCTTGCTGGCAAGGCCCCACATGTTTCTTCCCCTGCCAGGCGGTTCGGCCAGGAGCAAGTCGTTAGCAGACGGGGACGCGCCCCGCGACAAACTGCTCGCTGCAGTAGAAGGCTATCTGAGGGTGCTGTGTCTCGACGCATCCCTGATGTGCATGCAAGCTATCCTCGACTCCAAGATCTACTGAGATGCCGAAGACAGATGTCAACGATAACAAAGCTTCAACTGGTGCCAGCCCGGGAGCTCAGGCTATTCGTCTTTCAGCTCTGCTCTGTCTTAACTTCGCGACTTCGCAGTCTGCCGGTCGGACGTAGATTCCGATACGGCCCTGTGCAAACTAAACCACACGCATACAAGCTTGAGCCTATCCCTGTGACTAAGTCCAGCCGATTGGAAGGCTTGAGGAGGGGTGAGTTCTACATTGCCACACTCAGGAAGGCGAGGCCTTGCACCTGCAGCGATCACAAGGATTTGGCGTGTGGTTTTTGCCATGTTCGATATGGCGCTTGCGCAGAGCTGTGCATCGCAAAGAGGGCTTTGACACGACATGCAAGGGTCGTTTCATCCGCCTTCGCGGCCCGAGCAGGCGCGTGGGACAGTGCAGAGGCGATACCCTGACGGGGTGGCACTTACGGACAAATGAAAGGAAGCTGTGCCTGTTGCTTCAGACTCCAAGTGCAACAAACTGAAGGTTCGGAGGCTTGACGCCGATTGCGAAACTGTCACACAACTTCTATCTATGCTTTAACTGCAACATCCCTCAGACCCCAGACCAGTTCCTAAATCTTCCCCTCAAAGCCGAACGGCCTCCAGCCGGTCGGAGGGTGGGCCCCGGATCATACGTCGCTCCACGCCGTCCACGCGTTTCAAGAGCGCATCCTTTGGGCTTCAAAGCCGGGATTGCACATGGCAGAAGGAGGAGGACCAGAGTGTCGGACGAAAGGGCTCGTCTAGTCAGCTTGGGGCAAGAATAGAGGCTCAGACTCGTGCCTACAGTATGGGGGTGCTCCTCACGGCAAGATGGTCCTCGGTTTCATCGCAAGCCATCAGGAACTGCATGCCTAAACAACAGCTTTGGTGATCTGGCCCACTTCGCTGCGAGGTTTCTGCAACGTCTTGGGCTGCCTCCAATCTCCAATCTTCGATTACATTGCTGAACCAGTCTGACGCCCAAACCCATCTGAGTTCAACACGAGCTCATCATCGGGGCTGGCGATCGTCGTGCTCACGGTCCTTGGTTTCGCCGCGCGTGCGAAGCTTCGTTGTTTCGGAGCCCGAAGTGTAGAGTATTGGAAAAGTCCTACCCCAAATAGGGATTCTTCGGTGTGGGGCACGCTCCATCGTCAGGCTACACCGCTTGAATCACTCCCCCACATCGCTTTTGTTCTGCTCAGCGCTTTGGAGGGACTGGCGCCCCCTCATCGCAAACTCCCACTTCGACATCAGCTCATCCCAATCGTCCTTCCTTGGCTGCAACTCGAGTCTCATGTGCAGTATCCATGCTGATGGAAAGATAGAGAACGACAAACCATGCCTTCCCCCTCTCTCTCTCTCTCTCTCTCTTTGCTTTGCTAGGGGCTAGGAGCGGGAGCAGTCCTCCTTTGCTTTGCTCGGGGTTTGAGACGGGAGCGGTCCCCCCGTCCCGCGCGAGTGCGCTACCCCATCCATCATTTGGAAAGGATGGGCTCGGTCTATACAAGACTGACTTACATAGCAAAGGGTGCTCCGAAACTGTGTTCCCCGTATGGGGTGTTTGTTTGCTCGCACCGGCACTGTTAAGAATCTGGTATGTAAAAGGCTGTGTGTACGAGGGGAAAAACGTGCTTGAATTAACGGCCATGCAAGTCTTATGCAAGCTGTTGGCACACCATTCTAGGGTTCATGGAAATGAGCGGGTGCCCCTCACTCAACACAAATTAAAAGGTAAGTTAGGTGGCTTCAGAGTGTCGCGTTCACTTTTTCCACCGGTGGCAGAGGTGTTGTTCACGGATCCGGGTGTCCCCGGCGAGTTGCATGGGTGTACATCAGACATATGTCCCAAAACTTGTAGCCACTGGTGCCTCGCCTTTGTAGTCGGCGCTCACTTCTCTCACCTGTGCCTTCGAGGTGCTGCAGCTGTGTCGTCGTCCTTTGGTCCTGGGTCGTCGTTGGCACTTGGTGTCCTGTGCCTCCGCGGTGCTGCAGCTGTGTCTGGGTCGTCGTCGGCCACGGGTGTCCTTTGCCTTCTCGGTGTCCCTGCCACTATCACGTTCATGCCGGGCTTCGTGTCCCCCGTCCAGTCTAGTCCCTCTTTAGCGTCTGGTTGAGGTCGCCTGCGAGGGAGAGGTGGTCGAGCAGCTTGATCTCGCTGTTGCCCTTTTGAACGATGTGGTTCTCCCCCTGGTGTCGCGTCTTCACTCTGAGTTCCTCCATCAAGTGGCATGTTGCCCCTCCCTACTACCGGGCCACCTCCGGAGAGGGCCGGTTTCAGGAGAGGTCTTCGCGACCCTTTGGGCACTTGAGAGCCCGACATGTTACGGCGAAAGGCCTCAAGCCACCCCCCGCCCTCGGCACGTCCACCCCCCAAGCCCACAGAGATAACCCTCTGTGGTCTCGAGGGGCCGGCCGAAAAGCGACCCGCTCCGAGGAGCAGGCAGGCGAGCGACTTGAGCCAAAATGGCTACGAGCAGTCCTCCTCTCTCTCTCTGTCTCTCTCTTCTTTCGCGAGGGTAGAAGCAAGGGCAACCCTCCCAATCTCTCTTGCTTGCTTGCACAGCGTGTGGGGTCAAGAGCCGAAGAGCCCTGAACCCTGCGCAGCGCGCGACGCTGAGTGTCAACGTCCTGTTTGTTTGTGAGACCTGGGGTAGACTCTCTCTCTCTCTCTCTCTCTCTCTCTCCGCTTCTTTCGGCCATAGCTCTCTGCTGCAGCTGTCCTTCTTGCACAATCGACACCACGACAACTACATCGACGGACGGAAGCAACAGCTGCAGAAGCTGTAGGCTGGTGCTTAACACTGATTTAGGCCAGGTCTGGCTGGGTGAATTCAGCAAAGCAGCGCTTTGGTGAGGGACGAGCCGGCAGCACGATAGATCCTGCAATCCGGATATGATGGTTCACGACTGCCATAACCAAATATGCCACTTTCGGCCATCCTGCAGTCTTCCTATCTCAACTGAGCCCGTGCTTCTTCACAGAGACCATTCTAGCAGACGCTACTAGTAGCACTCTTGAGACCTGTCGCGTGCACAGCTCGATCCAATGTTGCCAGCTGACCAAGAGGCGTCATTCGAGCTGCGGGAGTGCTTCCGGCAGAAGCGCACGTAGAAATCCCTGCAACCGGTCTGAAAGCCGTGCTTCAACAACATCAAATTGAAGGGCAGAACTGTCTTTTCAACACCTGCTGACAATCTTGCCACGGCTCATACTTCTAATGACAAGAGCCGTGGCATGGTAATAGGCGTAGTAGCCGGCTTCGTCGCAGTCGTAGTCGTAATCGTCGCCGTCGCCGTCGCATGTGCTGCTGGTGCTGGTAGTGGCAGTGGTGGCAGTGGTGGCAGTGGTGGCAGTGGTGGTAGTGGCGGTAGTGGTGGTAGTGGTGGTAGCGGAAATGCCCTTCAGCCTCTCTCTGTCATTCATTTCGACCGTCGTCACGGCCTTCCTCAGCTTGCAGGCGACTTAGGATCCTGGCTGACTACTTTTGCAATCCTTGCTGGATGTTGCACTATGCGGGCAATAAACAAAAGAGCCGGTCACATGAGCTGAGAACAGCAGCGACCACCTGCAGCTGAGCTTCATGAACTGCCAGGCGGCGTGGCGGACGTACTTGCTGCGAGTGTTCTGCGGGTCTTTATGCAAAGGCCGGCAGAGCTCGTTGAACGCAAAAAAAACCTCAAGCTCTCGTGCGGTTGTGGCTTCCGGCCAAATTCTACAATGCTTTAGGTCGGTCAAAACATCAGAGACCCGACGTAACCTCAACTCGGTGCTTAGAACCAACTTTCTTAAATTCATCTACATTGCATTATCTTTCTTGACGGTATGAGTCTTAGTATTGCTCCCTGTTGAAAGTGCTACAGTACCTGCACTTGATAGAGCAATACCCGCAAGCGCAGGCGTCGACGAATGTTCCGAAAGGAAGGCTCGGTGCTAATTTGTTGCAAGCATCAAATATGGTTTACATGTAGAAAATGTCTACAAGAGAGAGAGAGAGAGAGAGAGAGAGAGGGAGAGAGAGAGAGAGAGAGAGAGAGACAGAGAAGAGAGAGAGAGAGAGAGAGAGCGCGCGGGGGAGGGAGAGAGAGAGAGAGAGAGATGTCGGGGGAGGGAGAGAGAGAGAGAGATGTATGGTATGTACGTCATATCGTCATATCGTCATATATGCAATATACGTTATGAATACAACCATGTAGGAAGAGAGATCGACAGACCGACAGACGACAAGGAGTTCCAGCATCACGGTAATCGTGGCGATGATAGCAATAGAACGCCGGCACGGGAGACTATGAAAGGCATGGCAACATGTGACCATACTTAACGATGCAGTTCGACAAGACAAACCCGAATGCGTCCACCACATGACATTAAAGCCCGAATCCGAAGAGACGCTGGCCCCGAGAGCAGTAGAATCATCCGCTGAAACACAAAGACATAAGGAGAACAAGCATCCCAAACTCCCAAACCGGACAATCTGCAAACTAAACCTCCAACATTCCTTGCTGCCTCGCGACCAGGCGGCGCCCGCCTTCCTCCAGCTCGGGGCTACAGAAGGCTCGGCCTCGGTCCCGAGATCTTCCGCTTTAGCAATGACCTGAAATAGTCCCTAATGCTGGCGGCAATAGTAGCAGAAGTAACAGTAGAAACAGGAGCTGCAGTAGAAGTAGAACTAGTAGTAGTAGTAGTAGTAGTAGTAGTAGTAGTAGTAGTAGTAGTTGTTGTTGTAGTTGTAGTTGTTGTTGTTGTTGTAACAGTAGCAGTATAGTAGGAGAAGTAGCAGTAATGGCAGTAGCACCAGTAGTAGCAGTAGTGGCATTGGCGTTGGAGGTATAAATGATAGCAGTAATACTACTGCTAGTCGCAGTAGTAGTAGTAGTAGTAGTAGTAGTAGCAGTAGTAGTAGTAGTAGTAGTAGTAGTAGTAGTAGTAGTAGTGGTAGTAGTAGTAGTAGTAGTAGCAGTAGTAGTAGTAGTAGCAGGAGTAGTAGTAGTAGTAGTAGTAGTAATAGCAGTAGTAGTAGTAGTAGTAGTAGTAGTAGCTAGTACTCGTTTAGCAGCAGCAGCAGCAGCAGGACAAGCAGTAGTAGTCGTCATCGTATTCGTACTGGCACTCGTCCTGGCTGGTACTAGTACTGGTACTGGTACTGGTACTGCTCCTGCTCCTGCTGCCGCTGCTGCTGCTCCTGCCACTGCAGCTGCCACCGCCACCGCCACCGCCACTGCCACTGCCACTGCCACTGCCATTGCTACTGCTCCTGCTCCTGCTCCTACTCCTCCTGCTGCTGCTGCTACCGCTACCGCTACGGCTGCTGCTACTTCTACTGCCACTGTTGCTGGTACTCGCTGGTACTAGCACTAGTACTAGTACTGTCAGCAGCAGTGGCAGCCAGCAGTTGGTCGCAGGTGTCAGGGGGTAGATTGTTGATGTTCGATAGCAGGAGCACGTGACTAGTATGACTTCTTCCAGGGCCTCCCGCTCGGAATGCAGATTCACACTCCCTCCGTCTTTGCAGCTATCTGCATGGCTACGGTGCAGACCGAGTTGCTGAACACCTGCAGGACCGGGTACGAAACTTTGTCCGGCGATCCTCGACTCAGCACCTGCGCGAACAGGCTGACTTTCAGACCGTACCCCGCAGCGCTGATCAAAGCCTCTTTTCGAAAAGACTCGATGTGAGCTCCAATCTTCCCACCTTCTTGTGGATGTTGAACGCAAGCTTCGGCAGATAGTCTTTGTCCGCCTGCCACATTTCCGCGAGAGGCTGCGATCCACATTGCTGGCAAAGTTGCGTCGAGAAACCCTCCCGACAGGCTCAGGACTTCAATCCTGAATAATGTTTCGGCAGTGGCCACCTCAAGGTGTTGCTTCAGGCCGCGCAGTTTCGCCTGTCAGGGACTTGAGTGTTTCATTGAGGAGTGGTCAACGGTCAACACTCAAGAATGTTGGCTCCTGAGCTGTCCTCTAGACTCTAGAACTATTTCGTTGTTCCACAAGGTCTTACTGTGAAATAATGACATTGTATGACGTCATGACGGGCCCCAGAATCCTCTGTGAGATGACGAAGACAACAGGCTGCGGATGCATCGCAAACCGGCACCCATGGAAAGCAAAGATACCTTTGACACCACGATGACCTGGAACGCAACGCGCCTCAGCCTGCAGCTTTGGGCTCGCCGATTAGATCATGCCCAAATCCCGAAGCCACATATAACCCTAACCCTAAACCTCATGTGGCGACCGTGGTAGATCGTGTCTCGTGAACCGGCCCGTCTAAATAAGTGATAGCGGGAGTTTCTGACAGTTCTTCATGCGATGTCGTTTGATCCGTGTCTTTAATGCACCTCTCGACATCAGGCGATGGCGGTTTATCACACCATTTCGCAAACCAGCCCCCTCAACTGCGGTGGTGATTGATTGCATATCCAATAAGCCGGGCCTTTGTTTGGCGATCGCAGTTCTGAAGCCCACCCCCTCACTAGACCATGGCGGGGGATCACATCTTCTAAGAAGCAATCATTGATGCATCAGCTTACGATATAGAACTGAGCTCATTGACATCGAGATATCGGACAAATGTCGAAGTGCCCAGACAGCAATGCAGCAAGGGTGAAGCTCCTTTTGAGACGTACCGCCACAAAGGGCTGCTCGCTCACAACACAGGTGTGCGTCAATACCCAGCGATTTCTGCATTGGCTGTCTCCAAGCCGTGGCCAAGCAGGTGAAACGAAAGCATGAAAACAATCGACGACGCTGCAATATTGGCATCGGTGTTGGTTTGTATATTCATCGCATCATACACAGAAAAGAGAAGTGAGGAGGAATGATAATACTTGATAAAATCAGAGGCACTTGCTCGCGAACCAGGTGGCCCTGCGGCCACCAGGTGTGGTGATCAGGACGTCCCCGTCCGAATCAAAGCCGATGACGGTTGCCATGTCACCACTGACGTACTTCACTGCATCTCCGACGCTGAGAAGTCGTGTCGATTTTGAAACATACCAGCGTGCGCTGGATCCATCTGTCTTCTGAACGTACAAATCACCGTCCTCATCGAAATCCACAACGTGAGCCACTGCTCCACATGAGTATCGGACTCGGTCCCCCTCGCTGAGGGATTTGCTGCATTTGCTTACGTACCAGACAGCCTTGCGGCCGTGGTCGGTACGTACGATCAGGTCCCCATCCTCATCAATGGCCGTAATCTGCCCACGGTGGGCGTCAGGATAGGTCACAAAGTCCCCGACCCGGAAATTCATGCACTCGTAAACCACGGAGAAGACTTCAGGGGCCTCTGCTTTCAATTCGTGCTGCCCACAGTCATTGGCGTGACAAGAAGCTGACTCGGGTGCTTCTGCTGGAGGTTGCGGAAGCAAAGTCTTGAACGGAAAATTTATGCGGTGCACACCGTGTACTCGTCGTTGCATGAAATGCCACAGGCGGGCCAGCATGAGAAGCACTGCAACGACCACCGCACGAGCCGCTCGGCGGTGATCCACCCAACGGTACAAAACCATGGCGACGTTGCTACCCAGTGGCATGATCGCCACTTATCACTGCAGGCCGCAAAGCCCTGAGCTGTAGCACGGCTCTGTCAACATCCCGGAGCAAGACATGGAGATGCAAACCCCAACCCTTTCAGCCCCTTCTGTGCCTTCAGTTCGGAGAGCTGCCGGCTTTGCTCGTCTTCCCTGGCCCTCGCCGAGCCGGGTGGGAGGGGTGGGAGCCTTCGGGGTTCAGGGATTCAAGGGCTCAGGGGTTCTGGACCTCAGAACTGTCCCAGACTTCAGCACGTGTGGATGCGTAGGGCTGCCATGGACGACCATACAGCATAATCGCATATCACACATCTCAGAGTTTGCAATGCAGTTGCCTCGGTTCCTCTTGCTCGATGCTGTCCACGAGGTCTGTAACGGCTGCACCATCGGTTGTGGTATGAGATGGCTCCTCCACTTGCGGGCTTCGACTGGCAACCACTGCATCTGCAGCAGCCCACCGCATAAGACCCTAGTTGCTTACGGAGACATGTCTGAAATCAGCTCCTATGTAGGAAATTCAATGCAATCTGAGGAAGCACTGGGCATTCTGTACTGCGTCGTACAACGGGGGGACATGAAGCATCTCAGGAGTGTTGAAGAGGGGTTGAGGCTTACGGGAGGAGAGTGGAAGGTCGAGGGCATTTAATTGCAGTTTCCCTCAGCAGAGCTCCCTTGCTTTCGGGCGAGGTTGCAGACGGCTGGCCTTTACTTTTGTTGGGCAGGGTAGGCTTCTCTCCAGTTTCGACAGCCGATGTGGGCAGGAATAGTGAAACCAAGTCTGCTTCAACGCCTGAGCACGCTGCCATGATATCACTGCCAGGGTCACTGAAAGCAGAAGCCGCACCAGCGAGAAGTGACGTGGCAGCTGCTCTCACGAAAAGAAATACCACCCGCCGCCCCGTCTCGCCCATGCCCCCATCCTGCACCCCGACCTGTCACCGAAACACTCAGAAACAACATAACGGCACAAGACCTGTAACACGTCACCTAAAGGCCTGAAACCCTCCGAAACGACGGCAGAACACAGGCGGGAACGAGGCATCGCTCCCTCTGTATGCAGCGGCTTTGAAGCACTACGAAGGAACGTGTTGTTCAGGCAGCCTCGTCCCATTGAACGTCAGGTCCAGCAAATGGCATTTCCAGGTGCTCTTCTGGCACTTCACCTCTTGTATTTTGCTTTTCTTGTGGGTGATGCCACGCTCTGAATGCTTACGACAGGAACCGTATAGTCGAAAGTCTACGCTGCACACCTGCATGGCTGATGTAACACACACACCAGGAGCTGTACACAGTTGAAAAGTGTATCCCTACACACGCGGACTAAAAACACTGACGTAGGACGGCGGCCTCTTGTATCTACGGCTCGAAGGTCGTGCATATCTTCTGAGCAGGCAAGTAAACCCTTTAGAAACGTAGCGCTTGGGATAAGGCTTCAAACCCGAAGCGACATGACACAACAAGGCATGGTAGAACAAGGCATGTCCCCCGGCGAGATAGCGTCAAGCCGAAGAATGAGACGCTGCACTCGACTCTGAAATGCAGCGGAGTGACCATGAGCGGCCTGCGCCAAGCATGCCTCTCGTCACGAGAACGTCGGCGATGCAAGCAGCTTCAACAAATCCCGTTACTTCTGGCAGTTCCCCATGGTTTCTGCGGACCTTCCTGTCAAAGTGTTTCTAAGTGCGAGCACGGGCACCATCTTCTCAAGAAGTTGTCGCTTGATCAACGCCTCGTCTTCAGCCTCCATCAAGCAGCAAGGCAAGCATGGGCTGAGCGGTTACCAAAATCTCTCATCGACCTTCGCCACACAAGCACCATCAAGACCCGACAAGCACAGCCCCGCGAGCCACAGAAGCCCAAGAAGAGCCAGGCCTGCGTCAGCAATTCGATCCGCCTCCGCTTGCGCTCTGCAGGGGGCAGGAGCAAGAGAGCTGCGTCCTCATCCTTCTTGGAAGAATGTGGTAAGGAGACAAAAAACAACTGCATCTAGGGGCTGTTAGTCACTGGGGCTGGTTGCAAACAACGCGTCTGTAGCAAGACTGTGCATCAAAGATCCTAGAGACTTTCGTGAAAACCCCTGCCTATGCGACAGGCCTGTGTCAATGCCGGATGCCTCAAAAACCTCACTGCATCTCACCGACGTCGATTCTTTAGGCAGGAGACGCTAGTTCTTTGTGTGATGCCGAAATCTGCATGCTGAGCGTTGATTCTCTCAGATGTGGTTTACCCAGACCCACAGAGATTCACGTACCGAGCGAATCTGCATGTTGACCCTGGCACTTGTTCAAGTGTGTTGCTCTGTGAAACGAGTACCCGTGGCCCCAGAGCACCGCTTTGAGTCGCATCGTACCATAAAGAGTCTGCCTCACGTTCGATACATACCAAGTCGCAATATCCGTCGGATGTTACATAAGGGTGGCAAAACCGGGTGACAAGCCAAAAGAGGTCAACCCCAGCTTGGATGCTCGACCTGTCACAGTCCGGAGCTAGGTCCTATTCTGAAATGCAGAACCCCAGTCTGGATACTTAGCCGATGCTATGCCTTGTCCATATTAGTCCTAGTCCCAGCATTTCCTTGCGGCGTCCCTCTCACCTTAAAGCCTTCAACTTTCGCCGGGGCGGCCTCCGAAGGATGAAGAATCTGCGTCTTGGCCTTGGGCTGAACCCGCTTAGCCTTCGGCGGCGACCGTAGCTCCAGTGATGGCGAACGGCCATCCCCGGACTCAGACTCCTCTTGCGGCGGGATCGCCGCCGCCGCGGCACAACGTGGCTCACCATGCGGAGGCGCCCTTCTGAGCTCGCTTGCGACGTCGAAGGTGAGCGATTCCTGGCCAGCGGCCTCTTCTCGGCCCGCCGGGCCCGGCGGCTCCCGCCGTGGCGACAGCGGTGGTAGCTCTCCCTCTCCGTCTCCGTCTATCAAAGGAGAGCTTGGCGACTGCGGTGGTGGCGCCGCGTCCAGCAGTGGTGCTGGCAGTTGGCCAGGAGCTGCCACGTGCGAAGGATTCGGAGAAGTTGTGCTCGTCTGACTGGGCATGCTGGCATCTGTAACAAAGGGCAGGAGGAAGCGCTCCGCCTGCTTCACGAGGTCGGACTCCGCCGCATTCACTTCGGGCACGGGCTCCGACAAGTCTGGTTCATCCAGGAGCCCCACCTCGCGCATGAGGGCCTCTGCCCGCGCCGCTTCATCAGCCTCGAAAGCCTGCAGCAGCTCTGCGGGGTGTAGGGATTGTGGGGCCCTCCCCACAACAACAAAGAAGAACACTTTGCTCGCGTCGGCTCCCGAAGGGGGTGGCCTCCCGGCTCAGCTCCAACTGGGCGCACAGCGCTTGCGCGTCGCCGGCAGAGTCCATCCAGCTTCTCTTGGGTTTTGTGGTGTTTTGGGGAGCTTGAGATGGGCTGCTGGATCGAATGTGTGAAGCTTGGCGATGCATGACATCCATGCCTGACATGAGGATCGAGCCAAGTGGGCTGCAAGAACCAGCCTAGGTACCCGTGCGGGCTGTAGACGTAGACGAAAGAGGCAAGACGGCTAATGAAGCCCTGGTCACCCATTGGTCCCACACCCGGAGCGCGCAGCTGTAAGCCAGACCCAAATCGTAGGCTGCTCAAAGATGCATGCGGGAGTCGATGGTTTGCCCTGCAAGAAGTGGACCTGCAAAAGAACCAACCACAGGACCAGAAGTTGACACAGTGCAGACATACTAGGACCTTAAGCAGGACAAGGATGACCGTGGTGTGTCCGTGCGAGGATGCTTGGGCATGCTGGGTCTATCGAGGATCGCTCTTAGTTTTCGGAGCACCAACAGAACTTCGAGTGGCCGACAGGGCATGCGGGGCGGATAGGCTTGCACAAGCTCGAGGGAAGCAGATTCAGCCGCAGCAAGAAGACTTCTTCCTGTGCTTGATGGTGCTTGCAATACGGCGTCTTCGAATCAGCAGGCTTGCAGCAGCACTAATCTACAGCAGCTACTAAAGCCATCAAAGCACTAGGCAACTTGCGCAACCGTTCCATCGGAGCTTCCTAAGCCGGCCTTCGAGGCCGCAGGCACCACGGGAGCAGAGGGCAACGGGACCACGAGGTTTTGGAGCTCCTCGGATCTGCGATGATCTGCGGATCACGGCTCCCCTAAACCCTCAGAGGTTCCGCATCTTGCTGCATGGGATGCTATTCTCCAGGGACCCTTCGCAGTAGCCTCTTCAAGTTCCGTGTGCTTTCTCTTGTTAAAGTTCCTCGGATAGCCCGACCTTGCACAAAGTTATGCGGCTCGGCTGATCCCCAAAGCCGATGGAGCCCTCCCAAATCTGACATAGGCCAAGCGGCGCCGCTCAGGAACCGGTCCTTCGGGCTGGGATGCTGACCGACATCGGGCTCTTCTTGAAGTCTCTCTAGACATGGAACATGCAGCATCTCAGAGATCAACAACACGTATTCAATGTACTCAAACGCAGACAGAACGTCCATGGCTACAGACAGTTAAAGAATCAAATTCGACAAAGGCTTCAGCCAACCGAAGTTGCTTTCTCTGTAGTGGCCGGCCTAAACCGACTCTTCAATAAAGTAACATCCTATACTTCCCTATGGTAATAGTCTATATAGTATACCGGTGTGATATATATATATATATATATACATGGTCACCCCCGCCCCCCTGCATATACATATATATATATATATATATACATATATATATATATGTATATATGTATATATGTATACACCATTACAAGCCCAGCCCGGCACTCCTCGAGCTTGTCTATCTTCTCGTCCATCCTTAAGGAACACACTATTCGCGCGTCGGATGCGGACTCGGGATTCTGAGCCTGCCTTTGGCATTCTGTGCCGCCAATGTTGGATAAGGATCATAAATAGGGGACCCTCATATACTACCCTAAATGGTAGGATCCATATTATCAGGACCCCTTTTAAGGTACCCCGATAAGGAAAACACTCATGCTGCCTAGCTGTACTCCGGATCCTAACAACAGATTCATGCCACAGCCCTTCAACATCCGTGCGTCCCATGGCCTCACGGCAAGGGCGTATCATGGCAACTTCATGGCAGTGTCATTGTCAGGAGTCTTCGCATTGCCAGACTACGACAGCCTTTGATACCTTTTTTGCAGATTGGAAAATCTGTCAAATGTTATTTGCGTGCTTGTGTGTGAGTCTTTGTTCGTTTCATCCTTCGTTTCCTCATGATGGATAGGGTTACACACGTTTGGCACCCATGGCATCATTCAGTATCCATGAAGGCCATGGCAGTCGCATGCTACGGAACTTGGAGTGTGAAGAAATCTTGGACAGTTTCCATGGCTTCCACCGAGGTTGTGCGGCGCTCATGGCATCCATGGCAGTTGCGACCTATTTAGGGTGCCATGGCGGAAACCCAAGCGCTCGTTGCACCCATGGCAGTGCAGCGGCGGTGAAGCATCCATGGCGCCCATTGCACGTATGAGTAAGAACATATCGAAAGCTGAGCTTGCTCACATATGCTCAAGAACCATGACAGCAGCACGAAACCCATGATGCCCATCGCAGGCGCAAAACGCGCATGGCACGTCCCTCGCAGGAGTCTGGCGCAGCCATGGCAGCAAGCATACGATTCACTGAACATGCAGACCCGAACTCACCACCCTCCACTGAACAGCACTCAGAGTTGAGTAGGCCTTAACTTCTGCTTGCACCTCTGTCCATGCACAGGATTATACTCGCTGCATGTGATGGAGCCGCGCTTCGACTGCCACGGCTGCCGCTATGCCATGATCAGTCCGCAAGTAGTACTACGCTCTGCAATCACCACTCGGAGCCCGTGCCGCTCCGTCTCCCTCTCTCGCACATCTCTCTCTGAACAACCCTCACCTCGACCCATCTATACGCACACTATACACACACACACACACACATCGCCATGTGACGTCGTCCCCAGCCGCGCAATTTGCGGATCCTTGGCAACACAGGCTCTGGAGAGACTCGTTAATCTAAGGAAGTAGGACAAGACCTGAAGCTTCTACTACATGTGTGCAACATTCAATGTCTGCACACTTTTCCCCATACAAGAGACGACCGCACATAGGTACACACAGAGCTTTTCGCACGTATGTATGTGTGCATGTATGTACGTACATGTATGTATAGTTATATGTAATCCAGATACGCTAGACATGCTCATCTATTACATATATACCAAAAATACGTATGTATATATACACACAGAGATAAGCCAAAACATAGGGCGGACTCCACGGCTGTGAAGCGGTGCATGCGTAGCCGAGGTCGCACAACACCCTTAAAGATAAGCTGGGGAACTTCTTCGCTGTCCTTAAAGCGAAGGTCATCCTCCTCGTCGATGGTGCGAACCTGGCGACAAGCTGTCGGCGCATTAAGAGTCCCTCTAGAGATGGCACTCCACAGGACGGGCCCAATCTCTGATGCTCTCGTACCATATCACGGCTACAGCCGCCAGTCTGCCCGGTCAGTTTATCTGGAGCAGCCGCCTTTGGCATCTCTTCTGGTGGAAGCTCCTGGCAGCTTCTAAAGAACACTTTCGGTTGACAAGCCGCCCGAGTCTTACGCTTGGGGCGACTCCCCGTCTCGACCTGGACTCGCAAGGCATCTGTCCGAAAACAGGCGGGTCACCTGAACCCTCGGCCGGGAGGCAGCCATCTCCTCCTTGACACGAGCTTTGTCAGGAATTTCCAGAAAAGATTGCGCTTTGTTTGAAAGGCTTCTGCCAATCACAGCATGGCATGCGCACTCGGCACCTCGTCGAGCGGTGTCTGGAGTGCAGGCAGCGGTGTTGGCAGCGTCCGGATCTTCGCCGGCGCTGAGGCTGCAACAAACTCGTGACGATGGAAGGCCTTGGCTTCGATTTCAGAGCCTCTCCTTTGGAGAAGTTGGCTAAAGGCCTCTAGCTTGTGGCCGGAAACGGAACACTCAGCACCCCTTTCAGACCTCGAAGACCGTGGGCATCCCGACAGAAGTGTGCCTCGCAGGCGCCAGAGTAAGGTTGAAGGGAGGGCCCTGAATGCTCTTATTGTTGTTCTTGTTTCTAGTAAGATTGCTTTTGTAGTGTTATTGTTATGATTGCTGTTGCTGCTGTTATTTTTTGCTACGAGTACTGGGATTACAATTACTAGGACTGCAAGTCTTACTACTAGAAGGATGCTTGTTGTCAGTATTGCTGTTAGTATAGGCTATTTCTGGTAGCCGGGCCTGGAAAGCCCTCCTGGAGGCCGGCTTTGGTCCCAGAGTTCCCATGCACAGGCGGTTGGCGGCATGGCGACGGATGCCAGGGCTTTGACGGGCTCTGACGGCTTTATTTGGCTTGAGATCGAAAGCTAAGGCTCACTGCCCTGAGGCTCACAGGACCCACGGCTGTCTTGCGGTGAGCGCTTACGAATGCCAGTAAGAAGCCAGTGAGAGCGGCTCTGCATCGAAGATGTTAGGGACTTGTGACATCTCTTGATCTGAATCTATGCGAATGCTGCGCACTCGGAGAGAATTTCACGAGATCGCTGCACCCGACTCCACCAGCCGGAAGGCAAAAACTACGTGTCGAGGAGGTGGCTCCACGTTCAGCTGGACCGAGGATGTAGGGCCTCGGATCTGTCGGAATCAGCAAATGGCGGCAAAGCCACGGGGCACGGAAATCGGAAGGGGCTGTCTCTATCAAGGAAGCCAGCAGTCCTAGTTAAGACGCGAAGACGCCACGTGTCGACAAGAACACATTGCAACGGGAACACAAGCATAAGTCTACTTGGTAGCTTGGCTGGCAGGGCGTACATGCCATGTGGCATGTGCGCAGTGCCATGCTCCCTCCCCTCCTGAGATCCCCCACATCTGCGTCATGAAGTTGGACATGACACCGAGCTCCTTGTTGATTGTCATGGTCGTCCACCTCAGTCTCAGCACAGACAGCTTCCAAACAAGTCCTTGCATCAGACGAGAAACCAACGAAGTGCGCCGCGCAGCCTGCCATCACATCATATCAACCTGCCCTCGAGGCCAGCTAATCACGCCAGTAATGGCTGGCGTAGTCTTTGCGGTTGTCACGTCAAGCACTGAGGGCCGCGCCAGGCATTTGTTGGCTTCGCACCGTCTCGGCCGAAGCGGCCGGAGGGAGCTGCTTCACCCTCTCGATCAACCTGCGGCCGTGTGGGCTTGAGACCAGACTAAGACATCCATGAGGGGTGTGCACAGCGCCAGATCGAACGCCTGAGAAGAAACTATGGAGGCTTCTCATAGCCTTATAGCTAACTTTAAAACTCGATCCAAACAAAGCCTGATAACCCAGTACCGAAAGGGCACATGGTCTCGCCTCCAGAAACGGCACGGCCCTGTCGCTGAGAGGAGGACGGCTCTCACTGGGGGCACAAACCACAGGACCTGTCTGCGCGATCTCTCGGCTTCAGGGTTCAGGCATGTTCAGGCGTTTTGGGGTTTAGCAATTTGGGAGTTTGGGGTTGCTTCCTTTGTACACACCACGTCGATACTTGCTGCAACCTTCGTCGGCCCGTGGCTTAGTTCTGGCAGGCAAGCAAATCGTCACGCTAAGGCAACCCTACGTCCTGCTCATCAACCTGAAACCCTAGAGTTCCATCAGGGAACAGTGGGAAACTTCGTAAGTCCCTATTAAACATTCAATGCGATGCGTGACCGCCCGGGAGGTTTTGACAACCTTAAAGCCCTAAGCCGACGTTCGCCTGAGATGGCTCCCTGGCCCGCAGGCTCCTGGCAGGAACGTTGGTCATGCAGATACCGACATACGAAGACTGACAGACCATCCGACAATCCACTACAAAAAAAAAGAGATGGTGACAGAGACTCTTCTTTTGTGCGGTGCCCGGCTCCTTCTCGGCGGTGGCATCGAACATGTGGCAGCTGCTTTCAATCTGCAGAGTTACATTCTGTTGCGCTTGAAGGCCTCCCTAGCCGTTCTTGTCTTCTTTTGAGGTTGTGAGCGTAGCTAGTCGGTCGTAAGCGCTATGAGCGACAGATTTACGGAAACTCCGAGATCTGCCAACCTTTAGTGTCGGAGTGCTCGCATGCCTGACAGCACAAGCAACCTGACCCTGGTGACTACTTAGCTCAAGACGAACCGTTCCAGCTCAACCTGAGCAAGCGCCTGTGGCGGTAAGGTGGGCAGTGCGTCCACTAGCCGTCGGTCCTGGTGCAAACCGTACTACCCCCTGACAGGAACTGGTTCTGGTGGGGCTGCTGTGCTTAGCAATCATGAACTTGATCCCTCCTCGATCCGATCGCAGCTAGGAATGACAGTCTGCAATGCGAGAGATGGAACAAAAAGGTCGACCCACTTATCACAGAAGCGACTGATTTTCCCTCCTGGCTCGTGATGAAAGAGAACTGCCAGCAGTCGATCTGCTTCACCTTGTTTTGGGATCCCGTGCTTCTTCCACTCTCCAATATGTTGATGGTGATGTTGCTGTGACTTGTGACTGTCAATGATAGAAGCAGTGGTGACGATGATGTCTCATCATATCATTGTCTTCATTTGTCACTAGTATTTCTGTTGCTGTTCGGAGGCATGCCATAAAGGCCAGGAGATTGAGAGTCAGAGCAATGCGAGGTGTGACATCAATAACACCTTGTGAGGGAAACATCAGCCGCAAGTACCCTAAACTACAGCATGCGCGGGGCCTTCCTACAGCAGGTAACACGAGGACAGTCCGCAACAAAGCGAAAACATCGGCAGCTTTGCTGTTGCCATGATTGGTTGCGGCGAGTTCATTAGGGGCGGGGGACGGGGCGCTTGAGGTCTACACAGTGGTTCTAATGGGCTTTGGGGTCGGTTGAAAACTAGCCCGCCCACTCAACCCCAGAAATATTGAAATGCCCGGAGAAAAGCTGGTCACAGTGAACGAAGGACTAGTCAGCCAGTAAGGGCACAATAGCACGAAACATAGTGAATATCACGACGAAGCTAAGAAACTGTAAACCTCACAAGAAGCTGGAACTCGAAAGCGCAAACTCCAGGAAGAAAACCTTGGAAAATTTGCACAGCTCGAGACAGCTCTAAACATCGTATCGGGTAGAAAGGCTCCATGTCCAGAATAAAGCAGTGGGACACCCTACTCAGGCCCCACTCGGCTACCATTAATCCCGCTTTGGGCCTTCGAAAGTCAAACAGTATCATGACCCTGAATAACATCTGACATCGTCATCATATGAAACAGTGTTTGCTTTGCCATGGCTACCAACCTGCTCATCCAGATCCTTCTAGGGCTCCCGCGCAGGCGGCGCGACAATCTGCAAGAGTCTCCAGTCCTTAGCACAGCTCTGTTTCGGGAGACTGGGAGGCGTTGGGGCTGCGTCCTCGCAAATGAATCCTAGAAACCTTCCTGGCATGAGGGCCCATGAGGGCTGTTCCTTTCGTAAGTCCTTATCCTTCAACCTCACATATGACGATTGCATACGGCTTTTCAGGATACCTTCGGAATCCCGTCAGAAAAGGGTACGGTGCTCAGCTCAGCAGCACTGCCAACTTTGCTAACCCTAGTCCACGAACCCCAGCACCTTCAGGTCCCGTGCAATCCTGCTCAGGCGAACCCGGTGCAGACGCCCAAGTTTCCTTGGCAAAACTGTCGAGCATTGTGCTTTGCGCCTCCCAGGGCTTTAGCCCAGTAGACAGGGATGCGTCTCGCCTCACGGCGGTTTGCCGAGGTGCACCGCAATCCCGTCTGAAGACCCTTCGGGTCAAACCGAAGGCGCAGAAACATAGGTTTCTCGTCAGAGAAGAGCACCACGAGATCCCTACTTCATGCAGCTAAATAAAAACTGGAATTTAATACGTGCATCCGCTGAGATCACACAGCCAAGGATTTAAAACTCGAGCATGGCGCAGTTCCGCTGCAATCAGTGGCGCATGTCCTCGTCGTTCAGAGGGTAGGCCACAACAGATGAGTACGCCCTATCCACCAATTCTCCTCACAGAGACTGACATGGATGTGTGGGGTTCTGGCAGTCACCCTAAATCCCCTTCAAGGTACAGGTTCTTGGCAACCTTCACGCGCATGGTGCCCTCATGTGCTTTCATGCAGAGCCAGCTGTGGTCTTTCAGAACACTTCTTGGCAGCCCCTGAGTGGTTAAGGTGAGGTTCCGAACAAGATCACTACCGAGCTCCGAAGACTCCAGGTCACAAACGTGGTGTCACAAGCTCAACCGCATCCAGGCTTCGTGACCCATGTGGAGCCAAGTCCGTCGTAAGGCCCAGCTCTGCCCTTCCGTGGGTGCTTTCGATGCAAGGGCTGGCTGTAGCTACAAGACCTCACCGGCATACCCGGCCTACCCTAAAGGTGGCGAGGATGTGGGTGGTTGTCAAAATCAGGGTCCCTTTTTGGGTACCCCAAATAATAGGTGCCGTATTATAATGGGGGACCCAACAAGGGACCATAATTTTGACAACCACCCATGTGAATTCTGTGTCTTCTACGTGCAGGCCCGAGCGGCATTCTTTGGCAGGTCCTGTCCATTGTCTGCGCAGTGAGTGTGCAACACTTCCTTCGCGCCAGTGCTTCTCAGAATAGCACAGAGTACTACAGGATGCAAGAGGTAATCCGAGACCAGCACCAGAAGGAGCCGCAGCAGTAGCAGTAGGAGCGGTAGTGAGGAGTAGTAGCAGCAGCAGTTAGTAGCAGTAGCGACAGCAGTAGCAGTAGCCGTGGCCGTAGCCGTAGACGTTGCAGTCGCAGTAGCAGCAGCAGTATCATAAACAGCAGCAGAGGTAGTAGTTGTAGTAGTAGTAGTAGTAGTAGTTATTGTTGTTGCTGTAGTGTAGTGTTGTAGGAGGAGGAGGAGGAGGAGGAGGAGTATAAGAGGCAGCAGTAGTAGTACTACTGCTACTAATACTACTACTACTACCAGTACCAGTACCAGTACTTGTAGTACTAAAACTAGTACTAGTACTAGCACAACTAGCAGAACTAGCAGCACGAGCAGTACTACTAGCAGTACTAGCAGTACTAGCAGCAGTAGGAGTAGTAGTAGTAGTAGTAGTAGTAGTAGTAGTAGTAGTAGTAGCAGTAGTAGTAGTAGTAGTAGTAATAATAGCAGTTGTAGTGGTAGTGGTAGTGGTCGTGGTCGTGGTCGTGGTCGTGGCAGTGGTAGTGGTATGGTGGCGGCGGTGGCGGCGGCGGTGGCGGCGGTGGTGGCGGCGGCGGTGGCGGCGGCGGTGGCGGCGGCGGTGGCGGCGGGGGCGGTGGCGGTGATCCCTTCGCGCACTACTCACAGGACCAAGCAAATCACCGAGATGAAGCCCTCCCATGTGCGTGGAAGGGTCGTGTCCACGTGCCAGTTGACCTGGAGCGGCGAGCAAACCTGCAGCAACCAAAGGAGACTCCGTCTGGAACTGTCGGAACAACCACTGGCGGCTGAAGTCTCGCTTTCTTGAGTTGACGCGCATGCTAGCATGCCGACACATCCCAGCCCTCACGTCTTCTTCACTTTAACTTGTAGTCACTCTTACTGTAGCTGAAACGTTGAAATCAGCGGATCCCACACCTGGTGGCGAACGGCTAAGAGGGGAGTTAAAGACACGGCAGTGGATCGAGTGCCGCACCTCGTTGTTATAGGAGGGCCCGGTAGTGGAGCCGACATACCGAACCTGCTGCAACGGTATCGAGACAAGATCTACAAAGAAGTTCTTCGCGCAAGCTCGCATCAGTGATCCGTAGCTCATCGGTAACACCATCATTACAACCATCGCGTGATTAAAGGGAAGGCGAGAGGAAGGGACCGGGGAGAGACGGGAAGGGAGGAAGGAAGGAGGCGTTTGGCAAGACTTGACGATCAAGGCAAAAGCAAATTCAACTAAGTTAGATTTGGTGAGCATCTGGCATCAAAACCATAGTGAGTATCATCATCACCCCACCACACCATCATAACCACCATCTTCATCATCGACGACGACGGCGGCGGCGACCGAGATGGCAACACCACGCGCCATCACCACTACCACAACAACCACCACCATCCCCACGACGACAAGAAGTCTGCCAAGGAATTCAGCAAAGGGCAGTCTGCAGCTCAACATCATGAAGATCTGTTCGGAAAGCCAAGGAGCGGCATCTCCCAGGTAGGGCTCTCGCCATTGCTCGATGAAGTTGTTGTAATCCTAGGCTCCATTCAACATCTTCGGAGGGCTACGGTATTCATCGTCACAATCAACATGCATCCGGGGCGTCCTCATCTTCGTTGCAGGCATAATCCAGCCAAACATTACGTGAATACACGAAGGACCGCAGCAACGGCATCACCGAAACAAAAGTGAGCAATGATGGTAGCAATTATGGAGCTGAAACGAAGTGGAAGATATCTATACCAAGAAGAAGACAACACAGGAAGCTGGGTTGGCGCTGGTTGCTGCACGTTGAGGCTGTGGCGTTTAAACAACAACAGTCAATCCCCGCTTGTTTCCTCACTTACTACTCGCCATCTCGTGCTCGTTGTGATCTGTTGCTTGCATGGGTGCTGCTGTAGTAGGTGATTCGCGTTGTCATGCTGAGGCGGGCAGTAACAGCAACAAGCCTGCGGCAGAAATATGAGCAGTCTGGCACCCAAACCCAGACTAGCGTTCGTTGCAGTAGAATTAGGAGTAGTAGTGGTAGTAGTAGTAGTAGTAGTAGTAGTAGTAGTAGTAGTAGTAGTAGTAGTAGTAGTAGTAGTAGTGGTAGTAGTAGTAGTAGTAGTAGTAGTAGTGGATTAGTCGTCGTCGTCGTAGTCGCAGAGCTGAGGAACTTCCTCGATTTGATCCTCCGTCCTCAGGCGCTCATCGTTGATGATGCGACATACCTGCACATCATGGCCTATCTAGTCTGGCACAGCGGCTCAGTGCTTTTGACATACGCAGCGCAGAATTGGACTGGCTGCGAAGGCTTTTACAACCCAGGCACACAGACGCAATACCACCTCAAGCTTCTTCCTGCAAACTACCAGGAATTCTTGAAAGCTGGTAAACGCGCTGCAACATTCACTTGCAGACTGCGTGTAATGTAGTTTCATTCATAATCACACAATCCAAATATACCGTTCGATGTCTCTCATTCCAAAATCCACAGGTGACCTCACACAGACTCACTCACCCACTCACACAGACAAACATTTTTAACCCGTAACCCACATCAATGGGAAACATGCTGATCATGATACTGCCCGCCAAATCTACTGCTCAGTCGAGCCTCGTTGAAGAGCCGGTGTACCACCGTGCACACATGCAGATTTGCATCTTAAAGGTGTAGGGCAGGGCAGTTTGACAACCTTGCTCACATGTCAAATCGGCTTGCGGCCGTCGTCTGCGAAAATTTCCATATTGGACACATTATGAAATTTCGACTGGGGAACTGCTGGCTTTGGTGCTGCTGTGGAAATTCGTGGAGCAAGCTTATCAAAGCAAGCGACATACTTTACTCTACGAACCAAGCCGTTTAGCAGAGGCTCTACGACGTTGCGAAAGGCACCAGTGCGACAGAACTACACAGGGGGATGATCGACGCTTACACCGTAGACAGCGGCTCTGGCAGCATCGTAATACAGGGCCACGGACGGAGCTGCCGAGTCTCACAGCATGCTCAACATCCTCCAACCCACCGAGGCCCTGAACAGAAACTTGCGCTTCATTGGCTGCCCGCCTGTCCGCGGACGATGGCCGTCGGGTTCTTCGAGCGATTAAAGGCTTGCCCCAAACCGTTGAAGATCCGGAACCTGCTTGCTGCATGCGTGCCGGCCTAACGTCCAGAACTCACGTGTACACCGGCCGTTATTTGGTACATCAGGCGCTGCCTTGAAGCCGAAAAGACTCCAAGACAAAAAGGAACGTGACCGAGCTAAGGCCGAGGAACTCCCTCTCGAGTGGCCCTGCGGAGGAGAAGACCCAGTGGAATTCGTAGGTGTAGCCGACCTGAGGACGCACACGCTGGAGATGCTGGGCTGGTGGGGCGTCACGGCAGGCTCACGACCTTGGCGTGCTTGCAGTATTGGAAATCGTACGGCTTGAGGTAGTCATCGTAGTGCCTGGTCTCTCTGGCGGCGTACATGAATAGACACATAGTCTCCGACTCTACGCAAGCTGCGAAATGACAGGTCCTGGAGTGCCCTCTTGCCCTCTCGGCTGTACGGACTATTGCCGCTGCTAATCAGTACTACAGAATTACTTCTTCTGCTGCGACTACTACGACGACTACTACTAGCACCTCCTGCTACTACTTCCACTACCGCTACCACTACCACTACCACTACCACTACCGACTACTACTAGAGGGTACTGCCCTTGTGTTCTTCTGCTTCTTCTTCTTGTGTTTCTCGTGGCTACCGCAGCAGAAGGGGCAGCGGCTGCAGTGACAGTGGTGGTGAATGTCGTGGTCGCAGCCGTAGCATTTAAGTTTCTTGCTTTTGGTAAGTGCTTCATGCACTGTCCCTCTTATGCGTTTGGAGGAGTTGATCTTCGGGCTGTGCGAAACCCAAAATCGTTTGCCGCTCCGCAAGCAACCACCATACAAGTCCAACACAGACAGCAGAGGTACTTTTCACGGTTGGTCGCAATGCCGCACCGCTTGCTAATCTGGGCTTTGCACCGGAGGACTCAAGAGGGCAAGACACCCAGGAGTCGGTGGGTGGGTAAAACATGGGTGTCGTCCTTGAGACCGAAATGGCCACGGGCGGGACAATGTTCACCCCACCATCCACGCTTGCGATTTGTCACTACAACAGCGGAAGCTATGTTTTGCTCTAACAAACGCAGCAGCACGGGCACCTGAGGTTGCAGAAGAAGCCCGGCTGCGTACCCTCTGGCACGAGGGGGTGGCCATCCCATTCCGGCACACCATGACCTGAGCAGGACTGCAGAAGACGGCTGACATCTTCCACTGTCCAGGACAGGAATGATTGCGTTCTCAGCTCGGAGTTGACGTCCCTTACATTCCCAGTATCATCATTCATTGGTTCCTCACTGCTGTGACAACTGATTGCTTATACATCGCAACCCTGCAACCCTGAAGTGCTGGGATCTACAAGTCACCCGTTGGGGCTACTGATCAACCCAGTCGCGGTAATGGAGATGCTTTCCGACAGGGATGTCGTACTCGCCCTTGCTGTAGTGCTCGGCGCCCAGGTGCCAATGGAGGTTTACCTAGAAGGGCGTCAACACGGCTTCGCAGAACAGCTTCCACCAATCACTCTCTTATGGAGCCACACGACACCCACGAGCTCCCGAAAGCTCAACACAGCAGACCTGAGTAAAGTCCTTGATGGCATCGCCATCCAGCGGCTTCATCCGCGCCCGCATGTCACCCACAAACCTGCGTTGGCTTTGATTTCACAAAGCCCATGATTCGTCTTTTCCGCTGAGCCCGCAGCCCCGAGCTCACGTCTCGAGGTGACTGTGGCTCTGCGTCCCTGCCTCGGTCCGGTCGAGCAAATGCATTCGTGGATGGACGAGCGAAGCATCAGGGATCACATCCCCAAAAACAGCTGGATGACCACGTATGCTTTTTCCCGAGAGGCAGTAAAGAGGAGGATCATTTTCGGATCCTTCCAACTCCACCTGCAGAGTAGAAGATGAAAAAAAGAACGGAAACTGCACCCGGATACCAGGAACAGAAGTACTAATCACCAATTACTCGAGAGAGTTTGGCAGCAGTGTACAGCGTACAGCTGCTGAGCTTCCAGCTGAGATTTTGAATGCTGAGCATCTCTATCTACCATCTATCTCTCTATCTTGCTACCAACCTATCTATACACACACACACACGCTACTAGTGTGCAAGAAGCGGCATCAGATTTATGGCTTGCCGAACTATGCTTACAAAATTCTGGCATTCATCCCAATTCGACCTCCTGCGTGGCTGCGTTGGCGTTGCTCTTGCCAACTTGGTGGCTGTGCACCTCCCTGACGGGATGCATGCGAGGGCTTTGACGGCATAGGGCCATAGAAACTGCTGGTTGATCCGAGTGTGCTCACAGTGTGTGGCAAGCTCATTCAAGCACCCCGTCTCTGTAGACAAACGTTTCCCATGTGCAACTGAGTGGCTTCAACTGCACCAGCTGAATTTCATCTCCAGCACAGTCCAAGCACTCCGACCCAGAAGCGATGCCACAGGTCAGAAAAACCGTGATCGTGGTCAGGCGGAGCATGGCTGGGATGTTTCGTTTCGGTGGCTGTCTCGAGCCGCGGCAGCTAGAGTCAAACGCAGGTGGGCTAAGGGCTAAGGACTGCAGTCGGTGAGAGTGGAAGCTCGCTCCGCCTCGCCTATGAGGACAGCAACATTACCTCCTAGGCGTCGCCAATGCGAGCAGCTGCCCATCAGAGCATGGAAGTCAAAGCTGTTTTAGTTTGTGGCAACTGGGAACCGTGATGAGATCAGCCATTCATCGCTACTTGAACAGCAGGGACGTACCAGCAAGAAATCTTGGTGACCTGCCGGATCGGGAGGCCAAACAGGGCACTGCATGTTGGAACGAGCGCTGGAACAGACTTCACTGCCGGGTAGGCATCGGGGTGCTAGCTGTCACTTACGGTATTGCTGACAAGGCTACAGTTTGCAGCATTGCCACTTCTGTTATTAGCACCATCAAGTTCAAGATTGCTGCAAAATGACATGAGAAGAATCACATCATGAGACTGAAAGACCTGGAAGCCGGACGGCGGCTGAGACTCCCACGGAGAATTCCGAGTGGGTCACCACGGAACCTGGCACAGCAGCACTTCACCGATGAATGGCACCGACATTGGCATAAAAATCGGGCCGAACATGGACGAACCCATCAGCCCGCCTAGTTCCAGGTGCATCGCAAGGACTCAAGGACCTTAGCTTACTGGAAAGCAGAGGGGACTTTCCTTCAGCGGCTCCTGGGCTCACAAAAGATAGTCGCTTGCAGATTTCACTGGTCCTGTCCTGGCAAACCCCCGAGGTCCCGACGCCCACACTGCCGCTGGCCAAAGCAAGGCAAAGAGCACTATGGCCATGGCGTGCGAGGAAGGAGGAAGCATGATGCCAATTCTCACTGCTAAACTCTGCAATCTTCCCTAAACCCTCAACCCCAAACAAGCCTAAGAGCAAGAACCCACCGAACCGGAGGCCCAAGACGTTCCGAGTGTCTTCACCAGGCTCTGGCAAGTTCTGCAGAATCCGGGCAGCCAATACACTGCAGTCTCATACTCTCGCTTGTTAGTGCTGTGTTAGCTAATTCTGCATGTTTGGCTAGACTGGCTAGCCTCTACTCATCGTGTCTTGGCCCGCTGCTTCGTCGACCGATGATCTGGTAAGTGAGTTTGGGCTTCATGCGTACCACTTACTACAGGCACTGTTTGACTTGGCGCGAGTCGGGTCACGCGAGCAGTGGAGCGCCTGGAACCTCAGCGACCAACTCTGAACATCAATGGTGTACAAATACCTCCGAGTGGCGACACGGAATGTCGAAGCAGCCATCATCTCCGCTGCGCACTCTCACAGTCCACCAGTGCCTGAAACCCTACCTTGGACTGCAAGGACTGCAAGGCATCGCTCCCAATCAGGAGCCATAGCCATAGCCATTAACTAAACGAAGGCCTGATGTGGTGAAACATGCCAAGGTCCTGCCCTCGCAGGCTGGCATGCGGGACAGAAGCTTGGAAGAAATACCAGGCACTGTACAAGATGTGCCTTTCTTATGGCTGTGGTGTCCTCTTACCTTGCGGGAGAACCGCTCACAACCTCTCGCTCCACTCGTCTCCTCCAAGGAGCCTCCTCCTTCCCAGCAAGCCGTGTTTTCCCAGCTCCCAATCTAAAAAGACTGTCAGCACACGGCCTTGGCTTCCGACTTGCAGCCCTCCACGATTCACGTGACATCCGGCCGCAGCCTGCCAAGGCTTCTAGCTGAGTCGGCTGGGATCCCAAGCCGGGGCCAGCCTGTCGCGATCACTCCGTAGCCTTCCTTGGATTCCAAAGGAGATGCTCAAATGCTCTGCAGCACTCCTGCTACTTTGCAGGTCTCAAAGCACAGCTGAGGCTGCGTCACTCCGATGGCCTGCTTCTTGATGACCGCGGCGACCACCAAGAGGGTGAGCAAAGAACCCACCACGATCCCCAGAACCTTGGGCCGTCGTGCTCACGCATCTGAGAAGAGATGCTCGCACCGAAGGCGTGGCATCTTGAAGACTTCGAGCAATGACACTGTAGATCACTGCATCCTACGCTCGAGATCAACAGACTTGAGACCTACGAGAGGCTAAGGGCCGCTGAGCCTTCACGCGCAACTGGGGCGTCCACAATCGCTGCAGGCCAGTCAGCCGGCATGGCGGCGGTGGTGGAACGCGAGCCCCCCCAGAGCCCAATGAATGGCTACGCTTGCCCAAACTGGATTCATTGCAATGCATAGTCTTCGAAGACACGATTTGCCGAATGGTTCACGACCACTGCCCTTGGGCCGTCGGCAGCTTATGGCGACTGCTTGCTCCAAGCTTGCTAAGCGTTCACTGACAGCAGGCTTGACCAGACTCTTGACCGTACCATCATATGTCCAAATGCTTCCCGTCCTGTGCTGGTAGAGGCCTATAGAGGCAACCCTGGCAACCCGAGTGTCCCTGGTCCTATACGGCTTGGCGCGGGGTGCCTCGCATGTGTGCGGCCAGGGCCCTGGACTGGACCTGTGGCGAAGATCTGATAGGACTTGGGGGGAGCCTGAGATCTCACGGAGAAGGCCGAGTGCACTCGGCTTGAAATCTTCGGAGTGCTTAGACAGCCTGAGGCAAACACCTCTTCACCACACTGGATTTCCTACTTTCCAGTTTCTGCGTCTGCGTCGCAGATGCCAAGCTCCCTGCTGGCGCCCCGTGGGCCTCAAAAAGAGGCCGCCTCGAAGATGACAGGTCACATGCTGCGTTGGCAGCAACAGGCATGTATAGACATGTGTAGAGAAATAAACAAATCAACTCAAAGTATCATGAATCGGCGTCGGCGGGGAGGAATGGCTTCAGATTGGGTTGCTAGCCACTTCCCATCTAAGCGTTTAAGGTATTCGTGCAAAGTCGCTTGGACGGAAGGTCTCCCAATGGCACAGCACAGGCAAGCTGCTCAAGGACTGCGAACTGCTAACCGTTTAGATTCTTTCGATCGCGTAAAAAAAGGCCCTTCTCGGGAGCCTCCTTGTCTGCGGTGGGCTCGGAGGCGCAGGGATCTCCTTCAAGGAACCAAGGAGTTTACACAGGCATCTTTGGAGGATTTGCTTGGGGACGGGGGCATTCGGGCCAGCATCTTTGAAGACCTTTGCATACCTTTACCGATGGCATTCACATGATCCGCCGTGCTGCGCGCGATGATACTCTCAAAGAGGTCGCCAGCATTTTAAAGCCGACAGCCAGCGCAAAGGATGCGCATCAGCGCAACTCATCAACCTCACAGAGCCGGCAGAGGTTGCTGCGACCCGCTGGCTTCTCAAAGTACGGCGTTACAATTGGTTGAGTGGCACACGGCTTTACATTACTTCAATTCGGTGCAGCAGACGCCTGTTTCCATTGCCCGAAGCCGACTTCGGCGAAAAGACTACATGGAATCACGGACAGGCACGGGCCAAAGCTTGGGAAGCGCTGAGCTCTCTAAGACACGCATCCGATGAGTCTTGCTTACCAGGCACCAGCCACCCACAAGCCTGAATCCCCACCCACAGCCCGGAGACCCTGAAGCCCCTTTGGGGCCCTCCGTGGCGTGAGGCCTGCAGCGAATCCGTCGAAGTGACACGAACCTAAACTTTTGCTGAGCTATCCCGCCGACAAGGTCTGGGACCTAGAAGGGAGGCGTTTTGAACAATAGCCATGGTGACTTCGTCGGAACATCCATTGATCGATCATAGCTGCCACTTCGCAGCAGGCCAGGTCGAAGCTGTTACCCCACTGCAGGTCCTGTAAGGGTTAAGGCTGATGAAGGGTCCAAGAGCAGCCCGGATCTTTGTCGACGGAAGGTTCGCAGACCAGACGAAAGGTTGGCCGGAGCCTCGCACTTCATTGGATTCTTTGAAGCTCACAACTTGTGAAGTGCGGTTCCCACAGCACCATCCTGCTAACTGAACACCGGCAACTGCCTTTGAAGCCGCCGGCAATGAATTAGTCAGCCCCCGCCGCAACCGCAAGCGAGTGTAAGTGGATGCAGCAACGAGTATACTAAGGGTGCCTTTCGAGGCCCTGTGACCTATTAAGAGCAGCGCTGGGCCGGAGCTTGGAGCTTACTTCTTCGCCTCGTCTGTGACGTCCTCCGTCACTTCATCGCTGAGGGGAGTGGCTAGAAACGGATGCCCCGAAGAGCTGTCGCTTCCGAGACCCTCTGACACGGAGCCGGATTCCTCTGATTCGACCTCGGGTGTGTCCACTGAGGATTCAGTTGGGACGCCGGACTCTTCCACGATGTCACCATCCACAGAGTCACCCTCCTCTGTCTCACTGGCAAAATCGTCGTCGACGGGGCCACTGGCTAAGTCGCCATCCGCGATGCCGCCCACGAGGCCATCCACTGATCCGCCGGGGAAATCATCGCCGTTCTCCTAAGCTGCCCGAACCGCTGTTGTCACTTTTCTTCACCAGCCATGTCACTCCCAGACAGTACCCAGACGCATAAGTGTGGACGACGCTGTGCGTCACTGAAGGCGAAGCACCAGAGTCCTAGAGCAATCAAGCAAGCAAACCCAAACCAGGCATCAAGGACATGAAGTCCTCCGGACAGCCCACCATGTACTGCACGCAGCACCAGTGCTTCTTGGCAACGGACCATCCTACCTGCAGCACTCCCTAAACATTGGATCAACGTTTCCCGAAAGTTCAAGCGAATATCGAGTGTGAACCAGTGTGTTTGCGTTGTGCGAATGAATGCAATTGAGAACTGGGTCCAGGCTTCTTGTCTGCGGACTGAGTCTGAGCTTTCGGGATGCTTCTTCGCATACTGCGCCTGCCAGCTGGACTGCCCTGCTTGGCAGTCAAAATGCCCACGAACGTGGTGGTAGACGTGAACCTAAGAAGCTGCAGTTGCGCCAGCTACAGTATGCTGTTATGCAGTTATGCTACAGTATGCTGATATGCTACAGCTATGATCATAATGAGACGTCCCTGACAGAGGAATGGGATCGGATCTTTCAGTGACTTTCCGTTGATACCAGTTGCTAGCATCCTGATACAAGCAGAATAACATGCTTCTTAGACATGTCTGCTACACAGCAGTGTGATTACTACTGCACAAGCATGAACCAGAAGGAGTTCACCGACAAGTCTCTTGGTGCAGGATCTTGCCAAGTAGCCACGTGCACGTGGGACGAGCAGCCCAGGTTGTGTTTTGAACAACAGTAGTGCCTGGCTCCGCATTCCAAGCGCAAGCACAAAACACCTGGCTGAACTCAAGTTTATCTTTCCCGTTGGAGTGTCCAGCACGCTTTCTGCAGGAATGCAAAGCACGGCCACTGCACGTTAGGGATCGTGATTAGGTGTCTTAGTGAACGCACACAGCCTTCGGACTTTATCAGAAGTCTGCTTTCTCGAAGCAGTTTTAGGACTTTACCGCATGCCAAACATCCCAGCTCACAGAGGGCCTCTTGGCTGGAGACCAGGTGGCCCCATGCCAGCAGTCGTAGCCGTGATGCCTGCCAGACCCACAGACCCTAATCTGCCCATAGCAAAATCACCTCAGGCAACGGCTGATGCACATGCACCACCACGGGCACAGGCACAGGATGGCCTCGGATCAGGCCGGGAAACCGGCGGGAAAGAGGGCCCTTGTAGAGTAACTTATATGCAGGCGTAGGTCCTTGCGTTACAGTCGCGTGCCGAGCTTGCATGTGCTTCGCTACTTCACCACACGCAGTTCAACCGCCTGCACTTCTGGCCATCTTTGCAAGGACTTGCAGGCATTTGAAGCTGCGAGCAGATCATTGTGCAAAAACTCGCTGTTTCCGATCCTGCCATAAAAAACCTCATCCCTCGCTGCCCAAACGTACTGTTTATCACAATAGCTCCAAGCTGCTGTGGTAGACCACGTGCGTCTGGTGGACGGGCACAGGGACAGGCACCGGCACGTGATGCACGACCTCTGTGACCTCTGAGGCCAGGACAGCAGGTAGCAGACGATGGCAAAGGCGGAATCTCGATGTTTCTTTCAAAGTGATGCTAACAAACATCTCAGGGACCGATGTTACTGCACCGGCCCGCTAGCGATACGAATTCAAGTCAACAGTTCTGCAAACCAAGACGGAAAGTAATCGATCAGTTTCCGCAACCCGTCCGAGGAACGGAAGTGCCCATTTCGCGGCAACCCTTCTGCTCGTGGCTGCAACCTCGGCTGGGCATGAAGCAAAAGCTTTAAAGGCTCCGCCTTCCACAAGGCAAGCTCTGTCTCTAGTATTTCTAGTCCAGCTTGCATGATCGCCAAGTATTTCACGAGTGGTGGCCACACAGGGAGAGAAAGAGAAAGCTGACGGAACATTGAAACCGCCTGGCTTGCAGCCCAGAAGCACCAATCAGCTTTGGCATCTGACCACCGAGACTGCCAGTCAGCGTAGCCTGGCTACGTTCTCTGTGGCATCAAAGCTGAGGTATGCCGAGGTTGGACTGCTGCCAGGGTTTTGTCTAGTCCTTTTGAACGAGAGCAATTGAACCGTCGAGCACTCCTAGCCGACCAGCCTCCGACAGAAGAGCTGAAGAAAATTAGAGGACTCGGACCCCAAACTCTCAAAACTCAGTTGTGCCCAACCTGCAGAGCAATCGTAAGTAGTAGTCACGCAATGGCCACCGTGATGACCTCAGCCAACGGGTCTTCAAGACAATCTTCCCCAATCTGCAAAGCCCGAGTGTCGTCTGTCGCCAAAATTTTATTGCAACTGCTTCACAACATGACAATGGTGTTCGATTCCATGCCTGCAGTTGCCCGCACGAGCATATGCCAGGGCCCCCGGCAGCACCAAGCCTGCTTCAAAGCTCGGGGGCTGCAGTGAGCTTTGGTACGCTCTCTGTTACCGAAACTGCTCAGGAGCTTCAAGCCTGGCCATGTTGTGCCGTGGGCCGTGGGTCTGTTCTGGCACGTCCCTGAGGGGGAGATTCTTGGTCCCTCTTTGGCTGCGCTCTTGGTTTCCCAAGTTCAGGTACCAGAGCATGCAGCGGACCTGTTCGCCCTTGATGAGTGAAACCGGTGATTTACCAGCCGATCGGTGAAGAAAGAGAGGACGGCCAAAAGGCACGCAGAAAGAGTCCACGCAACAGCTGCCTCCAAACTCGCCAGGTAGGCTCTACGAGTGAGCTCCGCACCAACGTAGTAAAAGCCAACAGCCGCCCCAAAAAGGACGAAGGTCTGCACAAAGTCTAGCAGCCCCGGGAACATCGGAGCGGCAAAGCGATCGCAGAGAAAGATGCAAAGCTTGAGAAACATCACGAACCTGAGTTCACAGCATGACCCTAGTAGCACAGCCTCAAGCCAGCTGGAGAGCCACCACTCGCTTCAACTTGAGACAAGAAGCCAGAACAAGTGGAAGCCACAACAGTTCGCGATGGCCTGGGCCAGCTGCCAATACAGCGGCACCCCTCCCAAATCCAATGCGATGATGTTGTCCAGCGATGCACTAAATGTCACCGTGGAAACCAGCAAAATGTACTGCAGCGGAAGGATTTCCTTGTTGCCACCCAGCAGTTCGTCACGCAACGGCCCGCGAACATGCTGTGTGAACTTCTCCTTGCTCCCATACCACTCAGTGATTGCACGGTGTATGAACTCGCGGTCGAAGTCCGTTCTGCAGTCAGCCTGGTGACCGAAAGAACCCACACCCGCTGTCAGTATGTGCTAAGTTGCTGCTACCAAGAAGTGCCAGCCCTGAGTCACAGAACCTGTGCAGTCAGGAAGCTCGTGCCAGATCAAAAGTTTGCAAATCTGACAGAAGCTTTAGCTTGGCCATGTTCGTCCGACGGAAGAGGTGCATGAGCACATAGATGGGTGCCAGCCTGGAGACGGCTTTCTCTCGGCGTTGGGCTGAAGCTCCACTTCGACAAAGCTTCGTCCGACCCCGACCCAAGCCTCCGCCTCCACACAACCCGGCACTCCAAACTCCCCATCCAGTATTGCAGCAGGGCCACGCAATCACGTAGCCCACGAAGCGCAGTTCGAACTGCCAGTCCAGCACAAAGCCCACTGCAAAGAGGAAAGCTGCAAAGTAGGTTCCCAAGAGACTCCTTGACATCATCTGCGAAAGCAGCTTGCGACATCAGCACGGTTGAAAGTGTGGCATGAGACTGAGGCTTGCAAGTTCGGATCACCGAGTCGCAAGAGGACTCCGGCTTCGATAAAGAGAGGTGCCAAGACCATACGCCCATCGGGGTTGGCTTTGCGGTAAGCCGCCAATTCGAAGACACACCAGAGCCTGGCCGAAGCAGTCGCACCAGCTGTCATACTAGTGGTGATCGCCGTCGTCGTCGCAGTGCCAACAGTTGCCGTCGTCAGCAGTAAGGCTAGGCGTAGTGGCAGTAGTAGCAGTAGCAGTAGCAGTAGCAGTAGTAGTAGTAGTAGTAGTAGTAGTAGTAGTAGTAGTAGCAGTAGCAGTAGCAGTAGCAGTAGCAGTAGCAGTAGCAGTAGTAGTAGTAGTAGTAGTAGTAGTAGTAGTAGCAGTAGCAGTAGCAGTAGCAGTAGCAGTAGCAGTAGCAGTAGCAGTAGCAGTAGCAGCAGTTGTTGCTGTTGTAGTTGTAGTTGTAGCTGTAGTTAGTAGTAGTCGTCGTAGTAGGAGCAGTAGCAGTGGGATGGGAGTAGGAGTCGCAGTAATGATACTAGTAGTACTAGTAGTGCTAGTAGTACTGGTGGTGTACTAGTAGCCACTAGTAGAACCAATAGTACGGGTAGTACTAGTAGTACTGGTGGTACTCGTAGTTCTAGTAATACTAGTAGAACTGGTAGTACTAATACTACTAGTACCACGAGTACCACTACAGTAGTAATAGCAGTGGCAGTAGCAGAGGCAGCTTCGGTAGAAAGCAAATGGCAGAACTCGGAGACTCCTTGATCAAAAGCATCTTGGACGATTGGGAGCCTCGAGAGGTAGGGGGCGGACCAGAGGACGCGGAGCTCTCTTGAGACTCGCAAAAATCCTCCTAAGCCATAAATACCTCGCTCCATCAACTCCTTGTCCACTTGGTGGATGCTGACCACATCCAGGAAGCAAACAGGATGCTGGCCACAGAGAGCCGGAAAATAGGGCGTCAGCAAGAGCCCCAATGAGCTTCCCACGAAAGCCATGACGAGGCACCAAGGGAAGTATGGACAATGGTGCGCATGGTATTCCGCGAACTCCGGCACAATGGTGAAGGGAAGTGGAAGTACGTTGCACAAGCTCAGCACAAAAGCTGAGACCACACTGATGGACCAAAGTTGAAGCATATGCTTCCACCCTGCCTGAAACAAAAGGCTGAGGACTTTGTACCTGTCGCGGCTGGGATAAACATCGTGTCACTCATCACTGAAGAACGAAGCCAGCAAAATCGCAAAACCGCACACACCCTCAATGCTCGCTCATGCCTCCCTGGCGTCTGCCATGTGTGCGACAAGAAGATGTCGTAGGCCGCCACCGGCGCTGAACGGTCGTACAAGTGCCGGCGGCCCTTTCCGCAAGAGAGGAACAGGAGAAACAGGATCAATGCTGGCTTAGTGGCTTAGAGACTCGTAGCTCAGCTCCTGGCTCCGAACCCGAGCCCCTGCACCTGACACCTGCCGAACCCCGTGGGCTCCCAAGGTGCCTCCTCGGCCAAATCGATGGGAGACTTGCACCATAGGAGTCCCAGGTTGCGAAGGGAAGCATGAAGGGAAATCCCGCGAACGATTTCGGCGTCCACCTTCTTGCATCCACTTTCGGTGCGTGTCTCAGTCTGCGAAAAGCAAACTGGCCTCGAGGTGTCGCATGTCCTGAAGCCGGCTCCACTTGCCTCGTTGCGAACTCCGGGCTCACTGCACAATTCACAACAGCGACTTCGCTCGGCTAAGTGGCTCAGCGTACGTGAGGGTTCTGAGCCCATCGTCCCAGCCGAGGGTGACATCAGAGGCGGCACTGCCGCCGGAGGCACCTTTCAGTCGCAATGGGCGCACTGCGCAGATCGTTCAATGCTGCATGCCGCTCGGATTCCTGTCCCCGAATACGACCTCGTATTCTGGCCCAGCCGCAGCATTGCTGGAGGACGAGCTGGACGGAGCACGGCTGTGGCTGTGAACCACTTCTGGAGGCTCCTAGCGAGATACGGACCCTTCAGGAGCTTTGCAAGGCTGCATCGAGAGCCCTCGGGCGCGCCTTGGGTCCTTCCACCAGCTCCTCCTCTTGACAGCAGCTGCTGCTGCTCAAACCCATCGGTCACGATCCGATTCCGAGAAACCCCCACGTTCTTGTGGGGTGGTTAGCACTGTCGGCAGTTATGGCTTCGTGCTGGATGTAGTGTGGCAATGATCATGAAGTAGGTGGGGGGGTCCCGGGGGGGGGGGCCCTTCCTTATCCAAAGCTTAAAGCTTGAAAGCGTGTATTTTATGTGGATAAATTGAGGGTAAGCTAAGGATAAGTCATGGTTAGGTGTGGGACAGTTGCAATTGAGGATAAGCCTCGGATAAGCTCAGCATTTTAGACATGAGGCACAGGCAGCTGCAAGAGCTCGAGTGCGTCATGCGCACAACGCAGAAGGTAGCGTGGACGATGCGTAGTCCATTTCCGTGTTTCATACATACTGTTAAATAGTGGCGCTGTGATTCTAAACACAAGTCCCAGATCTTTGACCCGAGCTAGCAGATGCAGCGTTGATCCGCCATGGACACAGAACCGGTGCAGATACTGCAAGAGCGCTGATGCCTGAGTTTTGTTTTGGCATCTTGAGTCGTGAGTCCTCTTCGAGTAGATGCTGGTAATCCGTAGTCCAGGTGAGCTTGTGATTCTTGGCCAAAGAGTGCCCGTGTGGCAAGTGCAGGCCGAGACACATGTGTTGTTGAGATTGCTTTGGAGCGTGTTAGTAACTGCAAGCGTGTGTGTGTGTGTGCCGTGCGGTGCATCTGTATGCGTGCATTCTTCTTCCCTGGCCCATGTCACCCTGCAGGGAGTGCAACTGCAATGGGCGATGCCATATGTTCTCCGTTTCATATACATCGAGTATGAAAAAACTGATGCAAACGCATCCGATCGGAACAAGAGCTTGAAGAAGAAGTTCTACAAGCCCCAAACACAAGTCCAGATTGCGGAATGGCATGCCAAGATTTGGCCGGGAATGCCCGTGCCCGAGGAGCTCCCTTACAGGATGCGTGGTGAGCTGGGGCGCATGCCGGAGCGAACAGTTCACACCTCCGTGCTAATTGCTAGCTTAGCCTGGATGATAGCAGATTCTGAGAAGCGGGCGGTCACGGTCAAGCAAGCGCACAGTTTTTTTCAGGGATTTGGTATCCATGCTTTGCAGAGAACACTCCTGGACAGTTGTTGTCTGGGAGCTACAATGGCTTGCCCCTCGCCAGTTTGTGCCAAACAGAGACGGGACCTTTGCCGGCAACATTCTTTGGGGAGCAGATTGTCCGCGGAAACGTCGTCTGCTGGACATGTGGTGTCGGCAGACGGCTACTTTGCTGAATCTGAGGGCTTGTAAGCCTTGGTGTGCGACACTGCGACACTGTCTTTAGAATTTTGAACATCAGACGTTCTTAGATGTCAACGACTCAGGACATGGCTGACGGGTTGTGTGTGAAAAGCTTGCATCACACACCACACCTGGCAGACGTGGTTCTCTTTGCATTCAGCAGGTTTCCTGCCAGCCTTTTTTTTTAAACCTGATCTTGCCGTGTTGCTTACATGTCTCATCTTACATGAAGACATTATGCCATTGCATTGCACTCCATACTGTAATACTAGCCGCCTCATTCCTAAGGCAATGGTACAAGGACGATCCCGAGGACGTTCATGAGGATGTGAAACTTTTGCGATCTGTGGCCACAAGCCTACTTGCGCAAGCCGCGAAGGCTTTAGTCGTTCGGCTGGTTTGGGTTCACTTGCCGTGAGGGTTTCCTTGTGCGTGTTGCGCATCCCGCGCCAAGGACCAACGGGGTCTACAGCTGTGCATTCCTCCTTCGCAAGTCCGTCATCATGCCCACCGCAAAATCCCCATCAGCTGCTTCTTGGAAAGTTTGCGGAAGTTGCGTGACGGGAAGGCCGTTGTGTTGTGACAAACTACAATTTTACTGGGTCAGCATGTGCCTCCTTGGCAGGAGTTTTTGATCAGTCGGGCGTTGGGCCAGTGGCCCCTTCATCCATGTGAATTTTCACAGCGCGAGATGGTACCTTGACTGCTGCCGCGGTCTGCGTTGGTCGGTGCATGTCGTCAATGTAATATAGGTCATGTCTCTAGCAGGTGACTTACGCAAAGCGAATGCGGGCGGAGTTCGCGGAGGAGCATGTGTTTCACGTTCCAGACTTAGATTCCTCACCTGTTTACCCGTGGTCACCATGGTTTTCTTTATGTTGCCAGATTGTCTTCGACGGCTCCAACATTGCCAAAGTTCCCACCGAAGTCTTCTGGATTTTCTGTGTGGTCCTCATAAACAGTATGAGATATTCTGATTAGAGTGGATCTGATCGTTCCGCATTTGACACGCTTGCAGGCCCATGGAAATCCCTCGGTGGTTTTGCTCCTCCGCTGGTGCGGTGCTCAACAGTTCAGCCGGGAGGTGTTTGAGCTTCTGTTGGTCATTGTTTTGTATGCGAAGTGCCGCTGACGCGGTTCCAAGTCATTGCTGCAACAAGCGTGTGCACTTGCTATGGCTAGGGGTCGTAGCAACGAATATGGCATCAGGCATTGTGTGCGGTGCATGCTTGTGTAGAGTTTTGCGAAGCCATGTCAATGTCGGCGAAGCGTGCTCGCACGGTGGTCTCCACATCTTACGTGACGGAGACCGATATGTCAACTCGACGATCAAGGCAGCAGCAGGACATCGTTATTTGGGGGGGTGTCATCACGTCCATTTTCACTAGACTCGACAGCCACTGGACAAGACAGGGCTAGCCGCGGCTAGCCACATATGCTGGGACTCATCATTATGCGAGGAAGCCTCACTTCCAGCTCCTGTGATTGCTGCCTCCAGCTCTCTGGTGGCTACTTTGCTGCAAGGGGAGTGAATTGGTCTTCCAAGCACAGCGCTTACGGGACCTCAGGATGCATGGCAAATACTTCAGTCGGCACTGGGCAAACAGTTGGAGGTGCGCACGGACCATGTGGCTTCAAGTCGCTCACGTTGCAGTGCGATGCTGCAGGAGTCGTTGTGGAAGTCCACACGCACATGCTCCAGCATGTGCTCCGGCGTGTACACGGCCGAGATGGCTTTGGCGCACGTCTGCAAGGTGGTAAACGACTCCGGGTACCTGCCCTTTCGCGTGGATTTCCGATCTCTTGCAGCATGGGTGTGGGGCTAAGATGTCATGTCTGGAAATCAGATCGACTTGGTGTGGTTTGTCATGTGCAGTGGCGAGTCATTGAGGAGAAAGAAAAGGCCTGCCATCAGTGCCTCTATGACAATCACCAATGGGTGGAGGAGACCTTGCAAAGGAACTCGGCACCGCCATGCCTCTTTGAAGACGTCCTGGACTTGGTGCCAGCGGCGCACCGGATGTGTCCAGGAACCAGTTCTGTGTCAGCAACGAGCCTGCTTCCTTGATGTTGCACCTGCTACGGTTCCAATCAGCCAAGAGCTGCGGCTGCCTGTTGCGACTGAGGCTTCAAGGAAAAGTGTGCAGTGGTGTTTCAAGCGCAAGCGGCCCAGCAGGCATACTGCCACACACATGGTCGGCACTGTCCTGTGCCGTTTGTTGATTTTGATATGTCTGGCTTGCCTTGCACGGACAACAGCCGCATCAACAAGGGCAGGCGGTTTGAGGAAGGTCCTACCGGGCCAATCTTTGCCGTGTGGGCCGCACGAATGCGCAGATTCGCTATCCCTCTTGGCATTGTTGAGAACACTCCAGAACCTCGTCCTTGTTCGTTTGTATGGTCTTGCTGGTCTTTCTGCGTGCACATAGACATGAGGAACTAATGCCCTTGCCGTTTGTGACTGTGACCTTTGCAAAGGATTTCCATGTAGACATACTCCGGACCTTGCTTGCTGACGCCTACAACATCTACCCGCTCTATGTGGATCTGGAGGACGTTGGTCATGCTGGCGTAGCTCGCTCTAGGGTTTATGTTGTCGTCGTCACGAAGATGTATCGCGTGCTGGCGAATCCACAAGACATCTACGAGAAGGTCGCACGGGAGTTGCGATTGCGATTCTTTACCAGACCGTGGGACTACCTCACAGCAAGCAGTCTGGAAGTTCAGTGCGAAGCTCTGGAAGCTGCGCGCACCTTGCCCAGATGAGTTTAAGTTCAGCGGAACAAGTAAGAAGTACTTTGTTTTCGAACTCTGCTTGCTGCGCAACTGCAGGACTCGGGAAGAAACTTTACCAGCCCGACCAGAGCGACCTTACATACCTGCTGAGTGCACGAGAGCGTGAAGTGGTGGAGAAGCTGAGCAGGAAGTACGAGGAGATGTTTGGAACCCCAGCAGAATCCGACCGTGACCTGGTGTTCTTCCTTGGAGACAGTGCCGAGTGGTGCACGTGGAGCGCCACGTCAAGGAAGATTCCTACGTTCCGCCGCAATGCTGGGAGTGCTAAGTACTGGTTTCCATGCGAGAAGCGGTGGCTCACGAATCTAGAGAAGTGACTTGGCACGTCTGGCAGAGCTGCTTGCACATCCACCGAAAACTTGAAACCGATCCTGTGGACTTACCTCTCTCTTTCTATATGTATATGTATATGTGTGTGAAACTCTTACAATGTCGCTGAGGCTGACAGCTCTCACCTTTCCAGTACGCAGTCCTGTGGGACAAGCTGCAGGACTGCCTGTGCTACAGGCCATGGATGTGAAGCGTGCCTCGCAGCTAGCTGGAAACGCCATGGCGTTGCAAGTTGCCGGCCTTGTACAGATGGTGGCACTTAGCTGCTTTTCACCGGTAGCAGAAGTTCCCGGGCCAGCCTAGGTGTTCGGAGCCCTGGCTGGGGCTTGGGGCATAGTCTCTGGGGTTTCGGTGTTGGATCAATGCTGTAGTCGCAGTTTCTGCAGGCACAGAGGCCTTTACTAGAACAGTGTTATGGTGGGAAGTTTGGGACCAGGGCAGATGCACGGGAATCTCGTTGCGCGCACCAACAGTGCCGGGGGACTTCCGGAAAGAGCGGATTCCGCAAAGGCTTCTTGTGTGCTGCCGATAACATGTCCTGGGCACCATGTAGGGTACCTGTGTCCGTGTCCGACAGACGAGATCTTTTGCTGTAGGACTGTCTATAAGGACGTAGTCGGTAGCATGGAACCACTTCGCGGAAACGCTGGCCAGCCAATGCCACTGCCTCCAGGTGGCCATCCGATGCAGATGCCACTGGGTGGCACGGCAGCCCCTGCATCCAATGCTGCAGGTCTGGTTCCATGCGGCAGTACGGCTACGAGCCCCACGGGACCCGTGGCCAGCATGCCTGGGATGGCTTTGCCAAGCCCACTGCACCACCCAGCGCCCATGGCTATGATGTCGGCCGCCGGTTCTTCGAACATGCCTGGCTCGGTGATGGCCGGTTCCTCGAACATGCCTGGCTCGGTGATGCCTATGTATCCCGGGATGCTGGCAGCACATCATGCCGCCTCAGCGGGAGCCTCCATGCCCGGTGGTTTCATGGGACTTCCTGCTGGCCTGACTCCAGCACCAACAGGAGCACCGATGGAGACATCGACAGACGGTGGTGGCAAGAAGCGCCGCCGCAAGGCCAAGGCGGGAGAGGACCAGACGGACAATAAGAAGGGAGGCGGGCACACCATCTACGCGAGCGTCTGGTCTCAAGTTGTCGTTGGGGCCTCAAGTGTTGTCCATGCTGTCTGCTCCCACGCCAACAATGCACAGTACCAGACTGTATTTATCTGTTGTTGTTTGTGACTGTGTTTTCCATCAGGACTACATCATGAAGGACATGTTGGAGGTCTCTGGTGGGCCCTATGCCAATCGGTCCTTTCTGGACTCCCTCGACACGAGCACACTGCAAGCCATGTGCTTTGTGTACTGGGGCAAGCTCCCCAACCAACGTTTGTCCCCAGCCGAGCACCTCAGCAGCACTGCGCAGTCATGTTTGGTGGACTTTCGCGTGCTTGAGTCTTGGTGCTCGGTCCTCCCATGTTGGCTAGCAGGAAAGAGAACTCCGTCACGACGGCGGCAGACCTCGCCAAAGAATACATCCGCCGTGGCGAGCCTGGAAAGGGACTCACCGCGGAGGCTTTGCTTTGGGTGTCCAAAGCGATGCAGTCCGGCCAGGACCAGTACCGCCTCAGCAGCCACAATGGTCACTGGATGCTTGACAACAGCATGACGGAGATTGACATTAGTGCCCGGCTTCCCGACCCGTACCGGGAGACCTTTACGCTGCGCCTGGACAAGGGCTCCGGGCGTACATATGTCGTTGCTGAGTCGAGCAGAGGACTCAAAGATTCAAGCAGATGTGCGACAATCAGTGTGGTCCTAGTGTGTTACACCGGTGAAACATGTATGCTAGCGAAAAAGCACACCGAGGTCTGAATCGCATCACCCCGCAGGTGCTCTACTGCGACACTGTGCTTGCCCCGTGCGTGAATACGACAACGCTGCCAGCTGAAGTATACGCCAAGGTCCAGATAAGGCACCTGCTGTCTCCGCAGGCACAATCCTTCCACCTGTCATTCATGCCTCCAGCGACGTCTCCTGCAGACACCGTGGTCAGCAGAGGAGCCGAGCAAGCATCTGCGGCATCAGGTTTCCCTGCAGTGGAGAGGCTAGTGCCTGCACCAGCCCCGCCTGCAGCAGAACAGGCTCCTGTGCTTGCTAGCCTGTTGGCACCGGGAACGTTGGCCACGACGACGCTGCCTGGCTTGGGGGCGACACCTCCAGGCATTCCAAGCCCAAACACACACACACACACACACACACCCACACACCCACACACCCACACACCCACACACCCACACACCCACACACCCACACACCCACACACCCACACACACCCACCAAACCCACACCCCCACACCCCCACACCCCCACACCCCCACACCCCCACACCCCTACACTCCCACACCCACACCCACACCCACACCCCCACACACACCCCCACACACACACCCACACCCCCACACCCCCACCTGGGCGGTCTTTAGCAGGGAATGAGGGAATGAGTGGGGCACGGCGCCAGCGCCGATCTTAGCACTGGGGCACTGCTTGGATGCGAAATACATCTGCGACAACTCGCACTTCGTAGCACTGGGCACCGCTGCGAGGCCAAACCAACGGCAACAAATCATACTTCTTAGCACTGGGACACCACTTGGAGGCCCAAAAACGGCAACAAATCGCACCCATGTACAAGTCCAACGGATTTAAAATCCGTTGGACTTGAATTTGACGAGGTTTGAACCCCAAAAAGACCCGCTGATGCACATGATGCTCGGCCCCTGCCTGGCCAAAAGAGGATGCTAGTTAAGGGCGCTCCGTTCGGTTGCAGAAGGTTTTCCACCCACATGTTACTATTTTACTTGAGTACTAGTAGTGGTCCTCGTCGTCGTACCCCCACACCCCCACACCCCCACACCCCCACACCCCCACACCCACACCCACACACACACACACACACACAGAGACACACACACACACACACACATTTCTCCTGGACAGCCGATCCCGTAGTTTCTTAGAACGACAGCTCCTATTCCAAAGCTTATAGCTGGTAGCTGTAAGTACATAGCCAGGTTAATGCTCCAGTAGCCTGAAACCAAGAAGCAGACAAAGATACTCACAAAGGAACACAACCCTGAACCCTGAAGCCACAAAGCCGAGCGCCGCAAAACTTTATCTGCAGGTGTGCCAAGCATCGAGACTCTCAGTCTCAATGCCTCTCCGCCGAGCGTCCCTGCGCCCTTGCTGCCACCGCCAGCCGGCACTAAGAATGCTGCGCCTGGTGTCAGAGACAAGGTCACTTGGAAGACGCAGGGACTTCTTCTGGGACTGGGCTCGGGGTGTGAAAGCCGAGGGGGTGGATCCAGCGTAGCTGTAGCTCTTGCCCTCGCGGACAGAGCCAGCAAACCACGACAGTAGTATGAAAGCAGTGGTTGCGCAATGGTACTTACTTACGCACCTGGTGACCTGCATGTCCTCGAAGATATAGAACTGGTCTTGTCGTGTTTAGTAATTTAGCATGTGCCCGCCTAGCCTAGGCTCCTGCCCCGCACTGCGACGCGCCCTCTTCATCCGAGGAAGATCCAGAGGACTGGCAAGAGCAATCAGGTTTCAGGCATCTTCCGTGCAATGTGTGCCCCGTGGCAGGACTACGCAATCAAGTTCGACGCGACAGCCGGGGTGCACGTCCTCACTTGCACGAAAACAAAGGAAAGCCGGACGCTTCCCACGACTGCCTCCGACTGGGTGTTGCAGCGAGAGACTCGCGTGCCTTGGTGCGGACAGCGCACTCCAGCCTTAAAGCTAGTATCCTGATGCTAGTGAGTGCCCTGCGTCGCAATGAATGGAACAACCCATTCCCTAGGACGGACACAAGCGCTACAACCAGTACTATGTGGCCAGCCCGAGCAAGTCCTGCAAGGCTATGTGGGTGAACAACATCATGGGGCAGGCCGGATCCCTGCGACTGGAACATAGGGTTACCTATCATGTGACTGATACAAGCAGAGGGGGGAGATACTATATGTGTTCAGTGTGGCAGTCCTATTTGATAACCCATTCGCTCTTGAGCCGTCATGTCTTTGCTTGTTTGTGCGAGACTGGGTGTACTCAGTGATTGTCATGGTGTGCACATGAGGGCTTTCTCGGGGCTCTAAAATGTCTGACCTGCTGAAGGCTTGCAGAAGAGTTGGGTTGTTATCCACTACGATGGGCTCCTAACAATAAACCTGCATAGCCAAAAAAGAACTCTAGTGGGACTGTAAGTAGGCTGTAAGCAGGGTGATGGCCCTTTCTGTGCTCGAGTGCTTCTTCATTTTTTTGGAAGTATCCGGGGGTATTGTCAAGGTTTTGGGCTTATCCTAGCCTTGTCCTGCTTTTATCCCAGCCTTAGCCGGGACCCATCCGGGGCTTCTTCTGGGGCTATCCAGGGCTTCGTGAAGAGCTTTCCCCAGTGTTTTTTCAAGGTTTCGGGCTTGTCCTAGCGTTATCCTAGGCTTGTCCTAGGCTTATCCGGTGCCTATCCGGTGCCTGTCCGGAGCTTATCCTTGGCTTATCCTAGTGTTTTTCAAGGTTTTGGGCTTAGCCGAGGCTTATCCTAGGCTTATCCATAGGGCTTTTGAAGGTTTTGGGGCTTATCCTAGGCTTATCCTAGGCTTATCCTAGGCTTATCCTGGGCTTATCCCAGGCTTATCCTAGCCTTATCCTAGGCTTATCCGGGGCTTCGGCAGAGCTTTCCCTAGGCTTTTGAAGGTTTTTGGGCCTATCCTAGCCTTATCCTAGGCTTATCCTGGGCTTATCCTAGGCTTATCCTAGGCTTATCCGGTGCCTATCCGGGGGTTATCCTAGGCTTATCCTAGGCTTATCCGGTGCCTATCCGGGGGTTATCCTAGGCTTATCCTAGGGTTTTCCAAGGTTTTGGGCTTAGCCTAGGCTTATCCTAGGCTTATCCAAGGCTTTCCCTAGGGCTGTTGAAGGTTTTGGGGCCTATCCTGGGCTTATCCTAGGCTTATCCTAGGCTTATCCTGGGCTTATCCTAGGCTTATCCTAGGCTTATCCGGGGGCTATCCAGGGCTTCGGCAGAGCTTTCCCTTAGGGCTTTTGAAGGTTTTGGGGCTTATCCTAGCCTTGTCCTAGGCTTATCCTGGGCTTGTCCTGGGCTTATCCTAGGCTTATCCGATGCCTGTCCGGAGCTTGTTTCAGGGAGTGTTGCGGAGCTTATCGGGGCCTATGCGCCAGTGACAGACAGACCTCTCGGGCACAAGGCGCAGCCAAGCTCATCTCTTTGTAGACTGTGCTTGTTGTACAGCACGCACGCGTGCCATGCATTCTTCGCAGAGCTCGCCTGGCAAATCCTCCCACGCGTCCATGGTGACTCTTCAAGCCACATCTAGCGCGGCATCTCCAGCGCGCAGCACAGGGTCAGCGGATGAACAGCTGGCAGCCGCAATGGCGGCCATGCTAGTCCATTGCCGCAGTGTTGCCGCCGAGCAAGGTGTGGGAGCAGATGCAGCCGACACAGTGAGGCCCTCGCCAGCCACCAGCTGCACTGCGGGTGATGGCTCGTGCTGCACTCAAAGCTTGGTGTCTCCGCCCATGACACCTCAGAAGCTTCGGATGTCTATGATCTCACCACCGATGACACCTCAAACACGCAAGGCCGTGGTAATCAGTCCTCCGACGGGTTGCTCTGACAAGGGTCTCGACACTCCTGAACCTCCTTCGCGCCCCTGCAAACGACGTTGCATTAAGTCCTTGAGCCAGGAAACTCTAGAGGAGCTGGCCGAGGAGCTAGGATCCAAGGATGATGCCAAGGAGTATCTTCGCCAGAAGGCACTTGTGCCGGGCCCTTGCAGTGAGCCAGGTGTTCCAGTAGTGGATCCTCTTCCTGCAGAGCAGGTCAGCATCGTTGAAAGCCAAGACAACAACCTCTGCACAAGCCAGGGCAAGCGATGCTATTCCGACATGAAGCGCAGCTGAAGTGTTCCAATTTTGCACGGCGCCTGCGTGTAGTAGTGCTAGGGGGGGTTCTGCGTTTCTGCAGCAGCACTACTGCATAGTCTGGCTGCCTGTCACAGCTTCCATCTCATTGCAATCTAGACTTGAGCTCGTTCCCAAAGGCAAGAAAAGATCCGCACATGTCTCTTCTATATAATACATGTTCTAGACTAGACGCCAGAGCTGCTGTTATGTGTTGTTTGCGTCAGGCGGCTACGCCCAGCAAGGAGACGGGTGGGAAAAAGCCAGGCACAACACCCGAGGGCCCCGGCAATCTCGCTGGCCCACCCGTGCCCGTGAAGCCACTGGAGCCTGTCACCCCGCCGCCGGTTCCTGAGCAGCTGGACACGGTTTCCAGCCCAGCTGTGCCACCCGCGCCCGTCCAAGCCGTGCCTGCTCCTGTGCAGCTCACCACAGTTGTGCCCGGGACCTTGCTCGCGCCTGCTCAGCTGACACCCGTGCCCAGCCCACCCGTGCCCGTCAATCCAGATCCCAGCGCTGGTGCCCTGCCACCGAAGCAGGAAGGCTCACCCGTGCCTGTGCAGGTCAATCCAGATCCCAGCACTGGTGCCCCACCGAAGCCGGAAAGCTCACCGGTGCCTGTGCAGGCAGATCCAGCCAAAGCGAGCCCAGTTGTGCCCAGCCCGCCACCGCCTACGAAGGCAGATCCTTCCACAACGAGCCCGCCAGGGAAACTTGGCTAAAGCGAGCCCACCTTGCCCTGTCCAGGCAAATCCGAAGAAAGCCAGCCCTGCACCCGTGCCTGCGGAAGCAGGTCCGTCCAAAGCGAGCTCGCCTGCGCCGGTGCTGAGCCTGCCAGCTACAGCTGTTGGGAGCGGAACCAGCCCGCCGCCTAAGACGGCCCGGGCTGAGGAGCAGCTAAAGGCCAGAGACTATAGTCTAGGAGAACCGACCCTTAATCAATACTTCCCCTCGACATAGTGGGCTAGAATTGGGAGGTGTAGGGATTAGAGAGTTGCGGCTATGGATCAGTGAGATGTTGGGTTTAGGCGGCACTTCGGATATGATATGTGGATGGGGGAGGGCTATTGGCAAATTCGGAAGCCCGGTTAAAGAATTGGGACACACGGGCGCAGGTCTGTGTTGGTGCTTGGGCTGGGGTCTTGGAAGCAGTTATAACCTAGTTCGTGACGCCAAGCCCACTACACATCGCAGGAACCAGTGCAAGAAGAAGAACAACAACAACACCAGCAGCAGCAACAGTAGCAACCGCATCAGCAGCAGCAGCAGCAGCAGCAGCAGCAGCAGCAGCAGTAACACAAGCACCACCAACACCAAGAAATCAAAGTCACTAGCAACAGCACCGCCGCCACCACCGCCACCACCACCACCACCACCGCCACCACCACCATCAACAACAACAGCAGCAGCAGTAGCAGCAACAGCAACAACAACAACAACAACAACAAAACAACCACAATAACAACAACAATCACCATAGCCACAACCACAACCACGACCACAACCACAACCACGAAAACCACAACCACATGTCACAACCACAGCCACAAACACAACAACCACAACCACAACAACAACAACCACAGCGACAACAACAGCAACAACAACAACAACAACTACTACTACTACTACTACTAGTAGTACTACTACTACTACTACTACTACTACGACTACTACTACGACGACGACTACTACTACGACTACTACGACGACGACTACTACTACTACTACTACAACGACACCACCACCATCGTCTACAGCAGCAACCACAACACAGAACACAAACACAACCAGGACAACCACGACAAACAGAAGCAGCAACGGCCACAGCAAAGGCAACAACAGCTAGAGCAGCAGCAGCAGTACTAGCTTAACTTCTGTGCGAGGCCGCGGCGCCATCGGTGCCCGTCCCGAAGGTCCTGCCATGTCCAATTTCAGACTCGGACTGATTGCCGAGTTCAGAAGTGAGCACCGTTTTGTGATTGAGTGCCTCACACGACTAGTTTACATCACATCGCCTTGCTGTCCGTGGCACTGAGCTGGCTGCAGTGTAATGCGCACGTACTCCATTGCAACTTACTGAGTTACCGGGTGCTGTCGTTGTGTGTTCGTGCCCTGCACAGTAGGGATCCGGTGCACCGTCGGGGGCAGGCTCTGATGCCCTGCCACCCGTCCATGCGTTTCAGAGAGCAAAACAGGCACAGCTTCGATTGCTGCTCACTGCTGCATGTGCACCTAAGTCTGCTGCTAGCATCGACAGTCTTCCTAGAGCTATCGCTCCCCGTCCTGCCTAGGCCCTGACGAAGCACGCTGAGAGCAGCCAGGCGCAGGCAGTTGCCTCCAAGCGAAGTGATGAGCCGTTTCCCTAGACTGCACACGTTTGTTCTTAAAGTGTGGCGCCAAGTAATCACGCTGCAATGAAGGTCGGCTTCAGGCTCCGGGACTGTTGTGAGGAAGACCACGCACAACTTGAGAAACGTTCAGGCATGGTGCTCTGCTCCATTGTGCAATTCTGCGATCATACCCAGCCTTACCTAACCTTCTCCATTTCAACACTTGCAGAGACCCTGCGCAGGTCACGCTGCGTGCAATCAACACAACTTTGAAGAGCAGCATTGGCCGTGACCTTTCCCACTTCGCTGTGCACAAAGACCTCGTGTACTCGGCACAGACCATGCCGCTGCAGCCGCCAGACGGTCGAGAGCGCCCCCTGCTGAAGGGCGTGTCTTGTCTCTTCATACTGGTTGTTCAGCTATTTGTTTTGGCATGCTAAACGAGTCCACCATAGCCAAGGTGGCCGATCAAGAGAAGGTCGGCGTCAAGAGCATGAAATTGCTGGCCAGCCAGCTGCGAGCACTCTACGAGCCAGACTGTCTCCATGGACTCTGGAACGATTGCCGAAACCACGACAGCACAAAGCAATGCAAGTCATGAATCGAGCGCTTCATCCGCAAGCCCCTACCCAGATGCCTTGTCGCCTCTCCCATGTGTCCGGCCAGGAAATGCCTTGGTTCGCGGAGGCCAAGCAATCAACATGCTTAAGGCCACGATCCTCAGCGCTACTTCCCACGGACCGCCACTTGGGCATTGATAAGGTGACGCCGGTTACTTTGATGTTGCTGGTGTTTGCTTAGGGGGAAAGGCTGCAGACTGTCGACTGAACACGTAGGGCCGGGCACGAATTCTCAGTGGAGTTTCTGTCTTGTTTCCAGGTTCCAGGGGGGCGCCACGTGGTTGTCAAAGCAAGAGGTTGCTCAGAAGTACATCCAGAAACATCGACACGACAGGGACAAATGGCTGGAGATTTCGGAATTGCTCCTCTTGGACCAGAGCCAGGAAGTCGACGAGGATGAGGTACCTAGGTTCATTGAGACATGGGCTGATCACGAGGCCGCGCGGAAGCGTGGAATGTACGCTTCATGGCAGCAATCAATGCTAGTCAGCTTAAAGATCGCGGCCGTCACTGTTGTCTACAGTTTCGCATAACTCAGTTGGGGAGGTGTGACCTCGCACTTCCTGCTCTCAAGCTAAGATTCGCGGAAAGGGGTGGTTTGCTCTAACCGAGCGCTGCGGCACACTCGCCGCGGAGTGGACCGTCAGTGCCGAGATCATGGCAGACTTGGCAGCCGAGCCTCGCGGAAATTCCGGGTCCAGGGATCATTGATCATTAGGTGTTGTCAGGTCAAGCTATTTTCGGGTTACGGCTCTGTAAGCTATAAGGGGGTTTCTGGTGGCCTTCCCCACTGCTCCCCCCCTCTCTCCCCCCACCCTTCTCCCCGCGTCCTTCAATGCTGGGTGCTGGAGATGCAGGCACTAGGCTTTCTGTGCTGTCAGTGCCTCGCTCTTGTGTGGCAGGAACAACAGGACAAAGACCTCGAGGATCCTCCCGAAGAAAAGATTGACTTCGTCGATGAAGAGCCTGAGGAGCCCACAACGACCAAGGAGTTTCAAAAGTGGAGGGCCAAGTTTGCGAACAATGTCCAACTCAGTGCAGAAATGCTGCAGGACCGGAGCCTTGGACTCAACATCATATCCAGCCCTCAACTCAATGTAACCACGTGCCTCCGTTGCCTCCTTTCTGGGCGCTTGCCAGGCGCTTGCAGTCGCGCATCCGGATGATAGCCCTGACAACGGAGGAGGTCAGCAAGGAGTTCTATCGGACAAACAAAGCACAGAAGAGTGGACAGGACGGCAACGGCAACATGCTAGGGCCTCTAGGGCAGTCTCCGTGTAATTGAATAGTCATTACTCACTGATTCGTAACCAATCACTAATTGCCAGCGATGCTGCTGTTGCTAACAGGATCACCAGCTGCGCTGGACAGCTGATCGATTTGAAGGGAGTGGATATGTCACTCTACACCGAACCTTGCGAAAGATACACAACGTGCCCTTCCTGCAGAAGCTGCGGATCACACTCTGGCCCTCTCCAGACCCAGCCTCATGTGCTCGACTGGCATGGGTCCAAGAGGAAGCAGACCTGCTGGCGGACGCATGGAAGGTGATCCTTGAGCTGGCTTCGGCTAGGCCTGTTCTTCACCGCATGACTGACTGCCGCTGGTAGCTGCTAAGCCTACTAAGAAAGATACTAGGCAAGTTGCTCATCACGTGCACACACCGCAGTGCATGCCAGGGCGTGGTCACAAGCAATGTACTGGAGCTGTCTGCCCTTCCTCCTGGCCTGCATCTTTGCCTCCGAGGGAGCGCAGCAGGAAGGCATGCGTCTCATACGCGAGCTTGACAGAGCCTTGGATCGCGCACACCGCTTCTTGGAAGCCGGCAGAGACGAGGACGACAGCATCGGTGCTGCCGTAAGAGAACTGCTGGAGGATGTCTGGTTTCATCGTTGCCCGTTGGTGCTTGAGGTTTTCCAAGCGTGCAGAAACGCAGGGTATGCGGCCGATGATGACGAGCTGCTTACCATCGCGTTTAGCTGCTTCGGCGGACCATCGAACACAAAGCACGCGGCGGAAGACGTCTTCGCACACCTTCACCACGTGGCTGCTCGCAGCCAAAAAGGGAACCTACGCATGTCCAAGTGGCTTTGGCTGGCGGCTAGGGTGTTGAGTCCCGGGTACGGGTGCTTGTAGGGTTGAGGGTCTTGAGGCGTGCCTGTCATCATCGCTACGTCCGCACGATACGGTGCCATGCCATGTCGCGCGGTTTCTTCTGCTGAGGTGGTCGAAGTTTTTCTATTGTACAACTTGCCAGTCCACACGTGAGAATGGATACAAGCACATCACTTGCGCCGCGGCCGACTATGGCACAGTGGAGCGCCTGAAATCGGAGAGATATGGCTTGTACTTCGGCGCAACGCAAGCGCCTCCCAGCCACTTGCAGCTGGACTCCGTGGAGCAGGCTAGGGCTAGGGTCTCTGATCTACTTCCAAGTCAACGGAGCACAACAAAGTTGAATTTGTCATTTGGAATCCTAGTATACCTAGCCAACCAGGCTCCCCACTTCGAATAATCCTTGAACCCTCAACCTCCCAAACTTCCCAATCCTGAGTCGATTTCCTATTCTATCGAAGCAGGTCAGCAAGAAGTGGGGGAAAGCAGGAACATTGGCCGACATGAGGATGGCTGCTGCCACAATGACCCTGGCGAAATGCTATTCCGAAGACTTCCAGGATTTGGACAAGTTCTGGGCAGGCCCCGGCAATCAAGCCATACATAAACTCAAGGCTTTTGTTCGCTGATAGCATATATTGGGCTTCTAAGGTATGTTCTTGCTGAAGGGCATGGTCATACTCAATGCTGACGAGGACGGTGCAAACTTGTGCTTAGGCTGGCGCAAGTGGGCAGCTCAGAGTATCCCCCTCGACATCCAGAAGGGTCCCGATGGCAACCTCCTCTTCCGCCTGCCTCCTCTGCAGGAGGGAGAGGTTCAGCGGCCGTATTGGCTGTGGGCTACCTCAGCCGACGCGACTGATACGCAGTTCAAGGCGTGCACGGTGCAGGTTCTGCACCCTGCATGCGTCCCCCATGCACAGCGGCAGCACAGCTGCCTTCTACAGCAAGCGAGCCCCATCGAGCCCCTCGTCAAGGCCGCACTTCGTTCCGGCCAATGTTTTTTGGACGTACCAACCCTCAAAAAATGCTCTCTGGCGAACAATGCCTCGCAGCCAGTACCAACTGGGAAGCTGAACAAGGCCGGCCGACGCAACGTCGTCAAGCGTGACCGAGCTTTGGCATTGCTGGCAGCCATATTTCCTGACCTCGAGCAAGGAAGCCCTGAACACACCAAGATCTTGAACGGTGTCCTAGGCACCACGTCGGTGAGAATGTCAGAGGACGTTGCGGAAGACGTGCTTTCAGGAGTTCTTGCCCTTGATCAGGACAACCAGCAAAAATTCTCGGGGCTTCGCCAGATGGCCTCGAAGATCAAGGATGAACACATGATTGAGGCTGAGATCAAGAAACGTCGAGGCGAGGGTGCTGGACCCAACCAGCCCCGCAGAAATTTCACTCCAGCCAGTTTGATTCCCGGCTCATACAGTGTAGGACGTTATGCGTTCCCATGCGCGAGCTAAATGTACATGTGCCTTTGCCAAGGAATGAGCTGCTTCCTGGGCGTGGCCAACTGAGAGAGTGCTACCTGCAGCGCAATCCGGTTGCGCGCACGTATCAGGCATTTTATCCAGGTGTCTTGGTTGCAACATCGCTGCTTCACGTACCGCCTATTGAGCCTATTGCTGTTTTTTACATCAGTGTTATACCCTTTCCGAGTCGACCGTGCCGCCGGGTTTGGATCGGGATCGAGATGCTGCACCTGGGGCGGCGCCCAACGCAACCTGAGTGAAGAAGAAGCACTGCAGGAGGTCGTCGAGAAAATTTGGACCTTGCATTTCCTGTATGGCAAGCACATCCAGCCTGGTGAAGAGCAGACCCTCGGATCTTTCTGGATGGGCAGGTGTGTCTTTGTGGTGCAGTGTTGACTTCTGAACCAGTTCAAGAATATTCAGATGTTACCTTGATTGATGTGCTTGCTAATCTCAGGTGTAGCCTGCAGTCTACCAGATAATTGTAGTATCCTTAAGGGAGGGGGGTCCAAGGGGGGTATATAGCCTAGTGATCCCTAATTCTCTCTAGTACTCCCTAAGGTTCCCTTACAGTCCCCTAAGGATTCCTTATACCCTCCCCCCTTGAACCACCCTCCCTTAAGGATCCTATAAGATAACCTTGGGCCCTAAACCCTTAACCCCAGACCCCGTGAACCCGAAACACTGAACCACAGAAACCTACAAAGGCCATCACGTCAGCAAGTGCGGGAGCTACTGGAGAGGCTGCGTGAAGAGCGTGAGCGCGATGTAGCTCCCGCAGATCCACCAGCGGCCACTTGCAGTAGTGCGCCAGCGTTGGCAGCTAGCAGTGGTGCTGCTGCTAGCAGTGGTGCTGCTGGTGCCGATGCGAAGGCAAAGGCTTCTTCCAGAGGCAGAGGAGGTAGAGGTCGTAGAGGCAGGGGTGCCGGCGAGCAAGAGTCGGCAGAGCCAGCCGCAAAGCGGCAGACTCGTAAAACCAAGGCCGCCGGTGTTCCTGAGGAAGTGTCGGCAGAGCCAGCCGCGAAGCGGCGGAAGCAGTGACGAAGTGTGTGCAGGATCGAAACGAACTTCGCTGGCTGTCCAAGGGTGTTTGCACGTGTGTGCCCTCACACCTCAACCCTAATACTCCCGAGCTTTGCAATCCGAAAACCCGGAACCTTCAGCCCCAAACCCATAAACCTTAAATGTTTGCACGTGTGTGCCCTGAAAACCTGAATAACCTGAATAGCCCAAAACTCTTTAAACCCTAAACTTTGAAACCCAAGAACCCTAAACCTTAAACCCTAAACCCAAGCCGCTTATGGGACATTAGTTTCAGACAGAAAGGATAAGCCACATGTAAGGAATACTCGCGACTTGCTGATGGTTAAGCCTCTAGTCGTTATGTTGTCTTAAAGTGTTGCTTATCAAGCCTTTATCATATAAGCAACGCATACACCCAAGATAAGTGCTTACTAAGACCTTATACGTGGCTTACTCCCAGCTTATACCAATCATTGCTTATCCTGTAAAAAATGATAAGCAAAGGACCCCCCCCCCCAGGACCCCCCCACCTACTCCATGAAATGAAGCATGCTTTGCGTAGCAGCAGTTTATGGCGCGCACACATATACATACATACATACATACATACATACATACATACATACATACATACATACATACATACATACATACATACATACTTATATATATATATAGATTAATATGTGCATGCACGTACATGCAAACAGAATCAGACGCGTGGTACACCGTGTAGCGAGGGAGAGCAAATTTCGGTAGGCTTTCTAAACACTTAGGCATTTCTGGCCCGAGGGGCCCTGTGGGCACTGGTGGCTGCAGAGTATGAGTTCAGCAGTTTTCAACAGCTGTTACAGAGCCGAATGCTGAATTCTCCATTGAGAAGCAGATTTTCCCAGCCGTCGCCGGAATTCGGCAGCTGCAGAGGCCAATGGCCGCTGGCGAAAGAATTCCAGTCTTTGGAACTCACTCAGGCCCGGTGGCCACGATTGGCGTCGAATTGCTTTTGATGCCTGCTTTGTGGCATCTGAGAAGCTCCAGTCTGCGACAAGGAACATTAGCTTCTGGGAGTTTTGTCAGCTTTACAACACCCGCGATTCTGAAAGAGGCGAAGAGAAAGGCCAGCCCAGAGCAATGCAGCGCTTGCCCAAATCACCGCCGACCATAGGCTGGTCGTGTATGCTCGGCGATTCACAACTTGTCCAAGATAATATAGGCCGAAGAAAACTAGGAACATCACGACTGATTGCAGATAGTCCAGCAGTACGCCACTGCATTTTGGAGCCGCGAACCGGTCACAAAGATACACCACGAAGTTCAAGAGCCCAAGAAAATAGCCCAGATGAAAGCCGATGCTGTTTCCCACAAACTCGGACAAAACCACCTCCCATGTCATGCCGCCAAGCCACAAGGCCACTAAGCTGTCCAGCGAAGCACTGAAGGTGACAGCCGTCACCATGAAGAGATATCGTAAGGGGAAAGCGGACTTAGTGCTGCGAAGCAACTCTTCGCGCAGTGGCCCGCGCACGTATTGTGTAAAGGCCTCCTTGCTCCCATACCACTCAATAATGGCCCTGTGGATAAATTCTCGGTCAAAGTCCGTGCGACAATAGGCCTTCTCGAGGTCGAACAAGCGCAGGTCTGACATGAGCCTGTGCTTCGACATGAGGTTCCGACGCATGAGGTGCAACAGCAGGATGAGGGGAACAAGCCTCGGTCCAAAGACAAAGAATGGCTTGGCTTGCAGCTGTGATTCCTTGACGAGAGCGGATACGTTTAGAGTCATGCACTACTGCTCATCACGAGTGGCTAGTGACGGCCAGAGTTGCTTGTGGCACCTCAATTCTATGGACAAGACACGCAATGACGTAGGTCATGACTCGCCCGACTTCTTGCCAACTGAGCACAAAGACCAGTGAAAAGAGGATAGCCACGAAGTATGTGAAGAGAATTGTTACGAGGGCACCCACTTCCACAAAGATCGGGGATACAACGATGCGCCCACTCGGATTTGCCATCCGGTAGGCTGCCAATTCGAACACGCACCACAGCCTCGGCCACTGGGACGAGACATGCTACATCAGCTTGACCTGGGCCCCCCTTTTTGCAAGAAGCTGCTAGCCATGTCCCCGGCCTCGAGAGGTAGGGGGCGGACCAGAGGACGCGGAGCTCTCTTGAGACTCGCAAAAATCCTCCTAAGCCATAAATACCTCGCTCCATCAACTCCTTGTCCACTTGGTGGATGCTGACCACATCCAGGAAGCAAACAGGATGCCAGCCGCAGAGAGCCGGAAAATAGGGCGTCAGCATGAGCCCCAATGAGCTTCCCACGAAAGCCATGACGAGGCACCAAGGGAAGAATGGGCTTTCGAGATGCGAATACTCTTCAAACTCGGGTGGAAGGACAAAAGGCAGTGGAAGCCAGCGCAGAAGACTGAGCACCATTCCAGCCATCACGAAGAGGCTTTGGCTCAGAAGCACCTGCTTCCAACCTGCTTGGAAGAGCAGGTTGAGAACTTTGTACCTGGCTCAAACGTCTCCATCTCTGACTCTCCCAAGATCGCCGGTTTTCAGGCTAAGCATAAAACCTCGGACCTCGGCCTGTAAACACTCTGGTGGCCAATCCCATGGTTGTTTTCATGCGGCCTCCCGGGACTCATCCAGGTGTGGGACAGGAAGACATCGAAGCCCTCCACAGGCGCGGCCAGGTCGTAGAGCCCTCGCCGGGCCTGATCAGTTGCAGATGGCTTTGAGGACGACGCCCTTGGATAAACCTAAACCCCAAACCCTAAAAACCTGAACCACAAACCCTAATCGGGCCGGCCTCTTCCGGCAGGTCCACGGGAGAGCGCCGCCAAAGCTCGCCAAGGGCACGCAGGGATACCTTCCAACTGTTGAAGGTATTTGCATGTTATCAGTGGTAGCAGCAGCAGCAGTAGCAGTAGTAGTAGTAGTAGTAGTAGTAGTAGTAGTAGTAGTAGTAGTAGTAGTAGGCTTAGTAGTGGCTGCAGCTGCAGCTCTGGGAGTTGCCTAGAGCATGCGAGTCGAATCCCAACATTGATGTTAACATTCTCACATCAAACTCCAAGGTTCGGTCCTGGAGCGGGATGCCACGCAAAATTTCCGCATCCACCTGCTGGGCGCGGCTCACGATGATTCTCGGACTAACTCGGACTTTCCGCTCATGCCGTTCATGTCGGATTTTCAGCCTTCCGACTACCGGTCTCTACAAGAATCAACTTCCGGCACTGTCGCCCAAAACCAACCAGATCCACCTTGATTGTGCATAGGTATGATGCGTATACAAGCAAAGCCAAATGCTCGCACATCGCCCAAACCAGCACCTCAAGGTGTCGCATGTGCTGCAATCGGCTCCACTTGCCTCGTCATGGCTCGCGGACATCAAAGGGCAACAGCCCAACGCGTACCCATCAAATCCAGAAGCCCACTCTGCCAAGCTGCTGGGAACCCTCGAGGCCGATGGATCCTGCGTGACCGCCGTCCGCAACTCGCTCAGCTCCGCCTGCTGCAGCGACGGTTTGATCGAGGCTCCGCAGTCTTACTATGACACGCGCAAGGTGCAAGCGCAAATCAACACTGGAAGGTCTGAAGTCTTTCGGCCAAGGGGCCAAAGGTGCAGGCGAATCGGCTTTGTCTGTGTAGCTGCTCACGACCTCCGGCGCCTCCTGAATTTTGGGTCTTCTTGTGCATAGGGTAATGGTTCAGGGCAATGCACAGGACACGAACAAGAATGTCATGATATGATGACAATGACGGAGTCATCTAGCCATAAACAAGCACCGACCCACTGGCATGTTACAGCTCAACTGCTGGAAGACAAAGACTGTGCCAAAATTGGGAGGGAATTACGCCACGCGTAATTACCCGGCTTGCATTCTCTCTGATCTCAACCGAGCAGAGACATAAAACTTCACCAGTGACAATCACATAATCATTTACGAAGACTGTCTGGAGAACAAATCTGTAAGAATCCTTTGGGCCCTCCGCCAGGTCTTCTTCTGCGCAGCAGCTCGATCGCACTCCCATGGCCAGCCAAGGACGCACCCAAAGGCAGGATCTTGCAACTTCCGTCTGCAAACTCCAACGATGAGTACGTCTTGGGTGCTCTTGCTACATGGAGAGAACGCCGTTTTCAGACCCGGGGCTCGAGCCTAAGAGCCACGCATGGAGGTCGAGCAAGGTCTGGAGGTGCAACGACTTGAGTCCGACTCGTAAGAACACTGTTGCCCCAGCCTGCTTCGCTGAGGGCCAGTGGATCGGAATCCCCGAGCTGCAGTCGTAAACCACCTGGGCACCAGTGTCATGTCGCCTCTTGGTTTGAGACGGAAATGTGCAACAGGCGGCAGGATTTGTGCAAGCATCCTGACTTACATGAAAAAACTCAAAACCGCTCATGTCTGCCACCGTGGGCATCAAAGAGATGCAAACTGCGCCCAGTTTCGATGAAAAACACAGAAGGCCTGAGTCAAGTTGAAGTCATGCATCCAGGGAGCTGAGTCCGGGCAGGCGACATCGTACTTCTTGCAGCAGAAGTACCTCGGAGTTGACAACGTGCGAGAATGATCTCGATATGAGTGCCTCTCAACCCCAAGCGCAACCTCATGCGGCCGAGTGGCTTCTTGGACTCGCTCCAACCGTGCCGCCAGTTCGTGACCTTCGGCATGAGCTAATCAATTCGGACGAACGACTCGACGAGGCGACGTCACGTGGTCCTTGCGTTTCCCCATCTTCCCAGTCCACACCTCCTTTAATTACCACCTTCTCCTCCTCTTCAGTCTTCGTCATCCTGGAGTGGCGAACATAGTGGGACAGCAGCGGCAGCAGCAGCGACAGCAGCAGCAGCCCTAAAAGTCGTCATTGCGATCTTCGAAATCCTCCGTACTCGTCCCGCCTTCCAAGTCCTCTTCGACGGCTCTTGCCACTCCTACCACCACAACCACCACAACCACCTCTACCACTCCCCCTCCCCCCTCTCCTCTCCTCCCCCTCCGACGATGACTATAACGAGTACTACTTCTTCTACTCCTTCGGAAAGTCCGAAGGCAAACCACCCTGCATCCAGGGCCCACGCCCCAGCACGACAGTCGTAGTCGTCCTTCGGGCAGCCCAGGGCCTTGCAGTACAGTTCCGGGTCGCCTCTCTAAGCTGAACCAGACCTGAGCACCTCTGACTTAGCACTTTCACGCAGTGAGCGTTTGCAAACGGCTGAGCCCCAAGACGCTTTGGGTTTGGATATCCTGATTGAAACATATACTCTGAATGTTGCTCGCATTCGCGATGCCCCAGCAAGTGAAGAGGCTCCGAATTGAAGTAGCTCCTCATGCAAGCTCTGAGAAGCCTCGATCCACTCGATCCACTGCAATCCGGAGAAAAAGCCGCAAGTTGAAGACAAGAGTCATGCTTCTCGCAACACCAGGTTCGCTTCGGATCGGTCCAGGTGTCCTGGTTGCAAAGAGTGTCTACAGCATCCGGCGCGGCGGGAGAACTATCACAGCCACTCCTCCTCTGAACCACGGATCAACGACATGCAGGCTCATTTTGAAGTGGTGAGCATGGATTACCGACAAGGAAGAGACGATAAGTCCTGGTCGCCGTCATAGCAGTCGTCGCCTTCAGGGATAGCTTTGGAGAGCAGGGACGACAACTTAGGCTCTTGGCTCTTCCAGCTCTGACTCCGAAACAAAGTTGCTATGGCAGCCTAGGGCCTAAACAGCTGTGTTGCTGAGACATGTTACATGCATCACATCATTGAATCAACGAGCAACGAGTAGATAATCCACGCATACACGCATATGACTACTACAGTAGAATTGAGCGGAACCGCGAGATCATTCAGGCACCTACATGTACACTTGTACGCATGCCCTACATCATGTTACGATACCTTACATGATATTCCATTACGCTGCATAGCATTGCAATGCATCTACAGCTTACCTCACACCTCACCTCACATACATGCATGCACATGTTCTTACCTACATACATACATGCATACATACATACGTATACATACAGTCATATTCGTACATGTATGCACGCATGCATGCATCCATGCATACTTGTTCTTGGTCCAAGCTCCAGCATTGTTTGTGAGGTTGATGTGTGGCGCTTCGTACATACAATGCAATAACAATACAATGTAATACAACAGAACACAATACAGACGATACTATCCCGATGTATATGTATATATACACTGATACGAATATATATACACTGATACGATGCCGATACCATTCCATGTCAAACGGAACTTTGCGACACCTTGCGATACCATGCGATACGAAACGATGCCGAGACCGATATACCGACACAATACCGATACGATACCGGTACCATACTATACCATACCATGCAACACAACACAGTACCATACCACGGCATGGCCTGTGCAACCCTTCTGCTCCGTTGCGCAGCAATGGACCTTCTTGGCCTGGCACTCAACCGCAGCTGGTTTGGAGTTTAAGCTTCTTGCCGCTGCGCAAAAGGAAAAGAGTCCACGAGCGCTTGAAATTATGCAAGACCTGCTCACCGAATCAAATCACTGCTTCCACAGAGCTCTTGGAAACTTTGGTCACCCTGGGTCTGTTTAAATTCTGCTTGCCGCCTGATGTGCAGAGCCCTCTCGAAGCTCGCCCAAACCTGGAACTTCCCTCACCAGCAAAAACCAGGTGTCTGCCTTGGACCAGGCAGCATGCCAGTTGTCGTAGGCTGCATCGCAGTCGAACCTTTGGCTTTCACGGGGCGAGTTCGCATAGCGGCCTTTTTCGCCTGTCCGAGCTTACAAGAAGCATCAGGCGTTGAGCCTGAACCCTACACCCCAAACCCTACCTAAACCATTGAGCCTCTGCGGCTGAGATCGCCTCCGGGAGAGGCTGAGAGGCTGGGTTCCAGGCGCAGGCGCTTGCGTGGTGACGGCGCAACCTTTTCCCAGCTGTGAGCAGCAGAAGGCCTCGGGCAGCTTCGTTCGGTGTTGAGGGGTCCCCGCACTCCGCAAACCTCTACTCCAGCTCTGCAGCACGGCTTGCGGGGCGCTGGAGCTCTGGCTGGTTCTGAGGGTCGTTACATTGCGTACAGACGGGGGCTTTCACAGCCGAGGATCTTTCTTCTCATCAGTCCAGACAGTCTCCCAGTGGAAGTAGTCCAGCGCGCAATCGAACCTTGACTGCTGCATCCCACCACAATGAACACTCGTCTGCTCTGGATTTCGATCTTCACAACACCCAACTGGCTGTGCCTAAGAGGCGGGAAAGGAATAGAAAGGAACAGCTGGCAACCACTCTGCACAAACGCTTGTCCCAACCGCGGCCGAGCATCTGAATCTGCAGGGCATCTCGGCTGTGGGCAGGAGGGTTGCAAAGATTGGACTCAGAGTTCTCTTGACGACTCCATCCTTCGGATCTAGGATGGCATCAACCACATCCCAGGATCACTCCCTAAGTCTTTTTATTCAGAAACTCCAACTCGCGCATCGAAGCTCAAGTCTCGCCCTGAGTCTGGACATGATACCAGAGTGTGGACGGTGGTCAGCGGCAAAGGTCCACTGCCTGGCGAGCTTGGCAACGCGATCATCAGTTCATGAGGCTCGAACGCGAACTCGAAGGAGACACAGCTGAAGGCTGAAGCTCCCTCTTCTCGATGCAGGATCTCTCTTTCCAATCTTTGAGATCCCACCATGCCCTTCAATGCAAGCCGCCTTTCCAGGCCCAACAACCTCCAAACACGAGGAAAGGGCACCTCCAGAAGATTCCCATCAGGAGCGACACAATGACCGCAAGAAGCAGCAAGCCGCAGAAGCAGAGGCCTCGTGCTGGGGAGTTTCTCGCTTAGCTGCTTGACTCAAGCAAGACCTTCAGAGAACTGTACATATGATATACCAATGCTGACAAAGACGGAAAGACGCTTCCGTGATTTCAAGTGTCACAAATTCGAACACTTCATTGTTGTGCAGCATCATCCTGCTAACAGACCACACTCGATCAACTGCAGCCCCTATGTTGATGGGCCGCAGCTGGCGGCTTGATCTGCTCTAATGGACTTGTGAGCCTTAGGCCAGGTAGGTCCCTGCTCACTTTTGCTGTGAAAGCCAGCCAGCAGCTGCAGGCCGGCACCGCATAGTCCCAGAGCTCTTCCGACCACCCGTCAGCTGGCCGCGTTAGCACGTCAAAGTCCGCTTGATGTCATTGTTAGTGAGAGTGTAGCAGCTGCAACAGTAGCTGCAGTAGGCACAGGCGTGGGCGTAGGCGTAGGGGCGTAGGCGTGGGCGTAGGCGTGGGCGTAGGCGCAGGCACAGTAGTGGCAGTAGCAGGAGCAGCAGCAGTCGCAGTCGCAGTCGCAGGCGCAGGCGCAGTGGCAGTGGCAGTGGCAGTGGCAGTGGCGGCAGCAGTAGTAACAGCAGCGGTAGCAGTCGCCGTAGTCGTCGTGGTAGGCGTAGCAGAACCAATAGCAGCTGTAGTGTAGTAGTGTCACGTGTTAACGTAGTCGCGCAATAGCGCTGCATGTAGTTGAAACCAATTACTCCGAGTAGCAGCAGATGTTGCAGCGCCAGCCGTAAACAGGAAGCCGTTCACGGTCCCAGCTCCCTCTTCCCTGCAATCACAACAACCGCTCGGCGCATAAACGGCTAAGGATGAGCTCACAAGGCGTTGAGGAATGTAACAGAATATCGCCAATGCATTGTTGCCGATGAACATCTGTGCTCTTCCCTTGACTGATCATGCAGGAAGAAACTCCTGATTCTGAATATGCTGCCGTTCCGACGCACTGAATGAGCCCTGAAGCCCTGGCCTGGCCGACGAACTGCATGTCCTAGCTCCGCAAGAACTCTGGGACTCAACGCATCATCCGCTACACATTGGGCTCGGGAGTCTCAGCAGCTTTTTCCATGGCGAAAGGGCTCCCTTGCTAAAGATAGATCTTAAACCACCATGGAAAACCGGACGACAACCACACTGTCCTCTATTTTCTCGTAGGCGCCCCGGCCCTGGCCCGTGTGAATCCAGTTTCCCGGCCTGCAGCCGAGATAGCAAAGGTTGCCAACCGAAGCCGACGGTTCCAATTTATGTCCATCTCATGTTTCATGGGCATCTTGTATCCCAAGACAGAGCACAGCACTTCATTGGATCTCAAAACTAGCAGAACTTACCTATCCACGCCTCACATGCTCGACATCTCGTTCGAAGCAGATGTGCTCGGCACCTCGGTACCCTGTCTGCAAGACTCCGCTCGGCTCTACAGCTACAGAACGCAGGAACCCAGAACCCTGAGCCCCTCCGTTCACCGGGGTGCCGACCACCACAGCCTCGGATTTGCGGGGCATGAACGGGACTCCACCGTGAAGGGATGCCGTCTTCGCTGAAGCATTCTTGCTCCACCCTGCACGACATCCTGGAGGTTTAGATGCAGTCGGGACACCAAGGCTGTCAGAGGGGCTTGCCGGCGACACCGTCTGTCCAACCATGCCGAACCAATGGACTGTAGCTATGTACCTTCCTTTTTTTCGTATCTTGAAGCTCCCTGAAGCAATTCCCAAAAGTCTGGAAGCTACGAGTGAAGCAGCTGCCGAATGCTGTATCTGCATCTCTGGTTGCTCTGATCATAGGTGTTGGCTCCCTGGGAGCCGAAAGGAGCCGCACGAACGGAGACACACCAAAAAAAAAGAGAACTGCCGAGGCAACTTGAACCACTGGATTGCAAGATTGTGAAAGGAATTTGCACGGCTCAGGATTAAAATCACTGCTGCGTAGAATCACGCAGGGATTTCTGGGACTCCGGCACGACAGCAAGCACAAGTCGCTAGTCCTCCGCCTCCAAGTCATCCTCCTCGAGGACCTCGTGGCCGCTACTGACGAGACACCAGCCTCACGCGACACCTCGTCACGGCCCCATACTTGGCCCCAATACATGCCCGTGAAACCACCCTTTCTGAGACTTGACGCCCTAAGGAAAGGCCCTAAGGAAAAGCTGAGGACGAGGCCGCAGGCCCAGGCCTCAGAGCAACAGGGTTGCGCCGCATGCACAAAAAGAAAGCTCCAGAAAATGCTCCTTTCTTTGGGCCGGAGGCTCCTCAGGGCTCGGCTGGTACCAGGGCCCCAGACTGCGAGTCTTCCCCCAGGCCTGGGCACTGTGAGCACTGACTGCGCCCTTCATGGAGTTCCCCGGCTTGCTTACCGTACTATGGACATCTCACCGATTGATACGGAATCGAAAGTCGAGATGCGCGAACATACACTTGGTTTGGCTGGTCTCTCACTAAGTCCTCAAGCTTGCACCACGGCTACCTACCGAGCGCAGCACCCTTTCTACCCGCGAGAGAATCGCATCGCGGAAGAAGGCCTGGTCAGACAACAAAAACCCCCAGCTCTCTCCAGAGGGAGAATCGCTGCACGTGTGCAGTGGCAGAGCCTCGCCCTCCTCGGCACTGCGGTCCAGCGGCAGCCAAGGTCTGCAAGAGGGCTTTGGAAAGGCACTGGCTCGGGTACTGACCAGACTGAGCTGGCGGCATCTTCTCCTCATCGAAATGCTGCTGGTACAGCACCAGCCCTGAGTTTCGGAATGGACGGCTGACAGCACGAGGCACGCCGCAGATCCCTCAGCGCTCAGCGCCGTGCCAGCAGCCGGCGCCACGAACTCGGATAGATCAACGACCTGAGTGAAAGCTTTCTGTGCAGAGTCCAGCGCTTCAACCCGTGAAACTCCTGAATGAATCGACCTTGGACGTTGATGCCTTGTCATCGGTATGGTATACTTCTGGCGGCAGTGCTGGCGGTGCTGGCAAGCACAACATGTTGGGATCGAAAGCCAAGTCAGGCAAGGCACCTGCTCGGCCGCCAAGGCCGCCTTCAGCCTTGGCAGGCAAAGGGCGTGGAGAAACAAACGCATCAATCGTTACTATTACTTCGCCAACCCTCGGCTCAAGCATGTCAACTCTCACGAAGACGTGATTGTCATCTCAGAGCAGTAGCAGAAGCTGCACAGCGTCAGCAGCAGCAGCAGCGGCAGAGCAGGAGCACAGCAGCAGCAGCAGCAGCAGCAGCAACAGCAGCACCACCACCGCCACCACCACCACCACCACCACCACCACCACCACCACCACAGCGGTAGCAGCAATCGTTGCCTGGGTGATGGTAGTAGTCGTAGCAGTCGTCGTCGTGGTTGTCGTGGCAGTTGGTAGTTGTGGCAGTGCTGGTGGTGGTGGTGGTGGTGGTGGTGGTGGTGGTGGTGGTGGTGGTGGTGGTGGTGGTGGTGGTGGTGGTGGTGGTGGTGGCGGTGGCGGTGGCGGTGGTGGCGGTGGCGGTGGCGGTGGCGGTGGCGGTGGCGGTGGCGGGGGCGGGGGCGGCGGCGGCGGCGGGGGCGGTGGCGGTGGCGGTGGCGGTGGCGGTGGCGATGGCCGTAGCCGTAGCGGTAGCGGTAGCGGTAGCGGTAGCGGTAGCGGTAGCGGTAGCAGTAGCAGTAGCAGTAGCAGTAGCAGTAGCAGTAGCAGTAGCAGTAGCAGTAGTAGTAGTAGTAGTAGTAGTAGTAGTAGTAGTAGTAGTAGTAGTAGTAGTAGTAGTAGTAGTAGTAGTAGTAGTAACAGCAGCAGTGGTAGCAGCAGTGGTAGCAGCAGCAGCCGCAGTAGTCGCAGCAGCAGTAGAAGCAGAAGGAGCAGTAGTAGTCGTCGTCGCAGTAGCGAAAGCAGTAGCAGCAGCGGCGGCTGTTGTCGTCGTCGCTGCAGCACCAACCGAGCCTCCTGCTCTGTGATCGGTAGCACTCCCCGTGCCACAGCGCAGCAAGAGCCTACGATGAGTCGGACCTTACTCAAATGCACGAGGCTTAGAGCATGCGGCACAAGAGCTTCTGCACAAAATCGCATGCAAACACCGTAAGCCATGCCATGTCAGACACGTCTCAGCCGACCACCATACTGTTCAGGAATCCCTCGCCCACCTTGACTCGTCCAGCAGTAACCCCAGCTTCGGTTAGGGAAAGCGCAGGCGGCAGAAACATGCATCAAGACGGTCAAGGCATCTTCCCTTTCGCAAAGATTCAGATGCCACAGCCGGGTAGTGGCTCCAGGCTCCACTCGGAGCCGGACTAGGCGCACACACAGCAACTCCTGCGTAGAGTCGGTGGCAGTCACCGGCTCTGGGAGAAGTTCGCAGACGCCTGGCAGCATCTTCCGTGGCTCATTGTCATAACAGCTTGAGGCTGATCGGCAGCAAGAAGCAATGACAGGTGCCACTCCAGGAATCAAGCCGGTTAAACTGTCTACTTTCCTGCACGAACACCAGAGTGCTTCCCCAACACCTCAAATCTTCAGCTCAGCAGTTGCACTCGTCGGGCGCACGTACTTCCCGGACCGTCAAGTCCCGGCCCTCCTGCACAGCATCCGTCCGGAAGGGGGACATGTGACCCAAAAGGCCCAGAAGTTCTCCAAGATCCATGCACGCATGTCTTCGATGATCTGCAGAAGTCCAATACATCGACTTGCATTTGCATCCGCTCACAACCACCAAGTACGACATGCATGGAGGTTTGAGCCTGCGAAAAGGCAGCGAACTGCCGCTTACGACTTCTGATGACTTGCATGCAAAACCGCAGAAACAACTGTCGAGCTCCCTGCCCCGTTGCACTAACCCTCCCCCTCACCTCCGGAACCGGCAGCAGCGCCGGCAAGTCTGCGACACGGTTGTCTGGGGGATAGCCTGGAGCCAGGACAGCTGGCGCTAAAAGCATCGCCAACGACGATGGATCTCTGACATGGCTCGCCTCGCTCCCGGCGTCGCCGCCGGTGGCCGTACAGCTCCCGAAGCCAACCTCTCTCAGAGACGTTGTTCGAGGGATCGGTACTAGTTGACAGCTGCTCATCGTATCAGTGAACGCTTGAAATGCCACACACACACACACACACACTACCTTTCTGAAGCTTGACACCGAGGAGAGTGCGCTCTGTCTCGGGCGTGCTGCGCAAGTTTTCCTGCCACGGCACTGCGACTCTGGACTGTTCAGAAGTCAGAGACCTTGATTAACTAGTGCAAAAGCACGGGGTGCTGGACGGAAGGCGACCGATGCGCAACCTTCAGACAGAATCCTCCAACACAAATACCACTACCCAGCGATACCCAGCCCCATCGAGCCCCCCCGGTCCTCGAGGGCACGGTAGAGCTCTGGCCTCGCTAGACTGGAATACAGCCCTTTTCGAAAACCAAAGGAAAGCTCGCCCAGCCACAAAAAGCATCAAGGTGACAAGACAGCCAATGTGCCGGTGCAGGGGAATAATGACCTGGAACATCAACATTGAGACTGTCGTCTGGGCCCTCCGCTTTGTAAAGTTCAGGAACGGCCACCTGCAGGCGGAGCGGCCGTGTCGATGCTTCAGGATGAATTCGTCCCTGAGATTTCATACGAGCCCCAAAGCCGGTCCCTCGGATGCCAAAGCGCAAAGACGCCTGCCCTGACAGCACTGCAGCGCCAAGGCCAGACGACGCTCGACCTGGGCATGACATGGCTGATGTAACCTATTCGCACTTCGTCCCAAGCTGGGGGTGCATATGCAAACATCTTCCTCTTCGGAAGTGTTTGCTGCTTGTGGTCAGAGGACAAGCCCTTCTTCAACAAACAGCCACTTGCTCTTGTATGGTACTTCACTTTCCCTCGGCCCTCGTTGATAGAACGCCACGCACATCCCCACTTCTGCTGTCCGAGCCCATGTCTGAAAATTTGCAAATGACGAGGCACCGCCAGCATTGCCCAAGGATCATCAAAACCACCACAGGTGCTGAAAGTTGTAGACTTAGGGCCGTACCGCAGGATCCACATCTCCTGCTCCGGGACCCATGAGCGACCTTGAGGCACAATGCTGTCGCTACGCATCCTTCGAGGTGGGCCTTTATCAGCCAGACATACGGCACAATCACAACAGCAGCAATCCTTAGAACGCCCAAGAAACGCAAGAATCGTCTCCGTTGCCCCTACACCCTGAACCCTGTCAATCCCAAACCCGGAGCTTCAAGCTGTGTATTCCCGCAGGCTTAGGATTAAGGACCGGGTCAGTAAAAGAGAGCTGCAGCCGTGGCCCCGCGACCCTCCGAGGTAGAGGCCGTGGAAGGTAGTAGCCTCGCACAGACGCATGATTGGCATACGATCACAAGCACATGGCTTGAGTATACCCGAGATCCTGGCGGTACTCCCGAGCGACACACGCAGATGGGATGTCAGCCATGTACGGAACTCTCGCAACCTCAAAGTCGCGAATCTTACGCACGGCCGTTGCTGAGGCTTTTTGAAATGAAGCTGAAATCAAGATGTGAATCGTATGATCAAGTGCCCTTGTTTCTAGTTGCCCATCATCACGGAACCAGTCTGTGGAGTGAAGTGGCAGTAGCCCGGCCTCTAGGATCCGCAGACTGTTGGGAAGGCGTCCTCGTGCTAGGACAGGACACGCGGATGTAAAATTCCGAGAGAGCCGGGGCCCGCACTGTTCAGCGCGGCCTGGAGCCCCGGACAGCGGCCATCTGCTTGGAGGTCCGAGGCCTGCATGCTGAATGTCTTGGAATTCAAAGCCTCTTCGCAAGAAATGTGTCTGATTTGGCCTGCACTCTCAGGAGTGGCACCACAAGCCGGAAACTGCGCGCGTGGACGCCGGCATCCGTGCGGCTTAAGCCTCGGCCAGAAGCGCAAGGACAAGGACCTTCTGGCTTCGATGTTTCCTTTCCTGCTTGAAACACATATGGCTCGATGACTGCCTGCCTGCAAGCCTGCCTCCGTTCCTAACACCGCCCCGTATACATGTGCATGGCGAACGACGACCTCTCAAATTCTTCTTGAGGGCGTCAAGGCATGCCACTACGTTCTGCCATCGCACTTCTGCAGCTCGAGGACTCCGGTGGCATGGTCCCCGCACTTGCTTGAGAGAAAGAACAGATTAGACGGTGTCGGCGCAGCGGCGCAGCTGGGGCCCGCGCGTTGGAAAGGCGGCTTCTGCAAGGGTGGTACGACGCCGACCTTCACATCAAAAGCTACAAAGGAAGGGTCTGGTGCTTCGCATTCACAAAGCCTTGAACCTTGAGCTCTCCCGGCGCAGCTCTAACCTGTAGTCCTGACAATAAACAGGGAAAGTCGTAGCAGCCTGCAGCAGCGCAGCGCGGACCGCAGCCTCGCGGGGGGTTGGTTCAGCAAAACTGAGTTGCAGCATGTTGCAGCGCACCCCTGACTGCGCCTCCACAGAGGCATCGCTGCCCAGGGAGCCACGAAAGTCGTCGCCGCAGAAAGCCAGCTGCCGCGGTGGTTTGCTTGCCGCTTGTCTTCACCGCTTCGTTGCATGGACATGTATTGGGTTCTTCGCAGACGACCGGTCAGAGATGTCATCATGACGCGGACAATCCCACTTCAAGGCTGGAGTTGAATCTGAAAACTGCAGACTGCCAGCCTCCAAGGCCACCCTTGACTGCAACGCCTGTCAGCTGTTGAATCTTCGAGATATTTTGAAACTGGCCAGGCTCAACAGGCCTGCAAAGGTTCCACCTCGTCCACACGCTCGGTATCGTTCGAGATCAGGAACCTTGATCACACAACAGAGACCCGAGGAACCGATCCTGACTATCTGCCTGGGTTCCGCACCCCACACTGGCCTCGCCTTTGAAACTCAGGGGGCCCTCCATGGCTCCTTGTGTCTGCGCCAAGGCCTGGGCGCTTCGGCTACCGCCAAGCAGATGAGGCGAATAAAAACGAAGCAATGCAAAGAGGTGTTGGATTTATGCTTTGGGCTTTAGGGTTTGAGGTTTAGGATTTGGGGGGTTTAGGGTTATGATTGGGGCTACGATTTAAAATTGCCATTTGCCATATCTAGCTGGAAGCTGTAAAGTCAATGCAACCTGCACAAAATCATGAAGGTGCCGTTGTATTTGCGGGACACTCGTGAGGGTTCCCTGTAGAGTAGATCTCGCAAAAAGTGTCAAACCAGCACAAAGGGGCGTGCTGTGCTACGGCACCTGCACCTGGCGGGCCCAAGCCCTCGTTGGCATCACCACTAACATCAACACAATGGCCTGGAATGCCCCTCCCCTTCGTGACTAGTGACATGCCTATCTTCTTCCATGTCAAGATGCATGTTGTGAGGAGGTTGTGAGAGGAAAAGATGGCTTCTGTGTTTGGCCATCTACAGAAGGCCCGGAATCCTTTGCCGGAATATGAGAGCATGGTCGACGTAGCGAACCCACTGAATCGGCTTCTTCTGGTCAAAAGAAGTCTTCAAATCTGGGCGCAGTCGACCATGGGGCCGAGGTGGAAAGAAAAACTGTAAAACCTACAAGTACGGATTGAAAGAGACAGAGAACAGCAGAGCACGAGCAGAGGCAAAGCCGGCAGAGCCGACAGGAGACAGACTTCACGCCGAAGCTCCTCCTCCCCGCCCCCGGGCCCCGCGTGCTCTGCCGGGTCTCTGAGGCCGGTGCTTGGCCGGCGAGGGCACGGAAAGCTCCCTCGAACTTGGCGAGGCCTCGAGGGACGCGGCTGCCCACCTCCACGGGAGCATGCGACACGTTGTGCCAGCGTGGGGGGCGACACATTGAATCCAACTTTACTCAAGTTGCTCTCCGCTGGCCTGCACCAAGAGGGCACGGTCACCAGCCTTCCACTTCCCGGCCTTCGCAGATCAAGCAAGGTTCAGAAAGCCCCTCCCCTCGTTCTTGTGCACCCTTATTGGCGTGCAACTGTCCACGAATGCCACTCGGAAAGTAAAGAGCTGTCAGCAGCGTAAAGCCAGCGCCAACCGTTTCTGGTGCCATCTCTCGGCGAGAGAAAACTACACAGGCTTCGGCTCGACTTTTCCCTAACACCCAATCTGCTGGATAGTGTTCCAGCACCGCATGTAGATCATCTCGGGCTCTAGCGGTCTAGGGCATCGTGCGTCATTACCCAAACCAATGTGATGGACCCGTGTTCAACGCCTCGGCCACAACCGGCAGGGGAGGCGACGAAGGAAAGTCCGGATCCGAGACCTTCCGGCTCGGAAACAAACTGCTGAATGACAACTTCTGGGCTCAATTTAACATGACAGATGAACAAGACTTGTTGTCTCAATATTGTTGTGCTGTGGTTGTGGGCGACATTGTCATTTCTGTCGTGGTTGTTGGTGTTGTTGCTGCTGCTGGCGTTGTTGTTGTGGTGGTGCTGGTCCACCACGACCACCCGACCACGAGGACCACCGCGACCATTACGCACAACCCCGGTCGCTGCCGCCACCGCCTCCGCCAGCGCCACCACCATCACCAGGTTGCTTTGATGCTAACTGTGGTAGCTAGCAAACATAACAAGAAGAAGAAAAATAGTCGTCGTCGTAGCAGTAGCAGTAGCAGTAGCAGCAGTAGCTTCAGCAGAAAGCATGCTCGTAGTCTAGCGATATCTGTGTGATATCTAAGCTTCGCTCTTCCGAATCGCTCCGCTTTTCCTCCGACCTGGAAATCCCGCGCCAGAGCATCCAGGCAGCCTGGAGGAGCTGCAGCTCCTGCTCCTTGGGGTGCCGCGCCACACTGAGAACCTCCACCTGCCAGCGTCTGGACATAGAAGTTGAAAAACTGGTTGTTATAGTTGTGATCATTTTGTTCGTATTCTTGTGATTTAGTATTATTCGTATTATCAGTATGAGTTTTCATCACTCTTGTTGTCAGTCTTACTGCGGTCACAAGACTAATCCTACATTCCACTCGCTTTTGGGAGGCCTCTGCCACGAGCTGTCTCTGCCGGCCGAGTTCTGTAGTGGCGTTGGCTGTTCGCGTCGGGGCCTCACAGGGCCGCGGGAGCCGAGCCACTATCAGTCTCATCTTCCTTGCCACTATCAAAATTTCACCATTAGTCTTGTTGGTACCAGGAAGGTAAGTCTTATGCCCTTACCCTGCCTCGAGGGCGACGGCGGCTAGCTGCCCCTGAATTGGCAGCTGGGAAGTGCACAATGGGGCTGAGCCCGGAATTGCGCGACACATGACACCCCCAACCAAACTGATGGCCTTTTGAGGAGGACTGCCAGCTTCACGCCGAAACGGCACCCGGCAACCGGCTCTGAGGGCTCCAAACTCTAAAGTGCACGCAACAACCTTCGTCCCAAAATCGGGGTCGTGCCAATCCCGCGTCCAAGAAGCTCTCGGGCGCCAAGCACGATCGCGGCGGGAGCGCCCGGCCCACACCCATGGACTGAGGCAGTCGGTGCACGAAGAGTTGGACTTGAAGTTGTCTAGCAGCAGCAGGTTCGTCGGGTTTCTTTTATTGATTTATTGACTGGTTTGTATATCCGACATGAATACGGGGTAAGCCACGGCTCTATGAAATCATATTCTGTTGTAGCAGCATGAGACTTGCCCGCCCAACGCGAAACAGTCAATGGCGAATATGTCCACCGAACCAGCCGTGGAAAAAAAAGAGTAACCGGACTGGGGGAAGCGCTGAACACGAGCGTGGAATGACAAGCAAGAGTCGATGGCACGAAACTGGAAAAGGCTTCATTACCCAAGGCAGGTCAGAGCGCGCATGGCAAGTGAAACAAGTGCATGCCCAGACATGAACGCACTTCATAATGTAGATTGGCCTTCCTGCGAAGCTTCCAAACAAATTCGCGTTAAAGACGGAAACCCAGCAAAATGCACCGAGTCCCGGCAGAGCCTGGCAACAAGGCCGACGACTCCGAAGCCTTCCAGGCTCCGTCGGGCTGCGCCTGCCAGCGATGGCATCACAACGGCATAGAACTTCCATTCTCGCCCGCAGCCAAGCGCCTTTGGCAGCCTGCCGCGGTGAGATCGGGGCACCTCAATCGGACTGTTTCAGGCGCTTTTTGCACCTCTCTTCCCCCAAGTCCGAGCTTTACGTGTCCGAGGCTTCGCATCACCGGATGAGTTTGTCGTGTCTTATAACACCTACACAGAAACTTCTGAGGGCTCGCGCGACTGGGGCTGCTGGGACTCGCTGGCGGTGCTGGGAACCTGGGACATGCAGGGGGCCACACAGCGGGCTACCGCCACAAGTTGAAAAGCTTGAGGCTCGTGGCAGCTCAGCGCCGGCGCGTCCAACGCAAGCCACATGAGACACCATGGCAACACGAGCTGCCACCCTAAATCTTCCTGTGATGCATTTCTGGGGTGCTTAGAGATTCTCGCCAACCCGTTACTTGCAGTCAGACCGTGCTGAACCATCGGTTAGGGATCGATTTCGTTGTGTACCTGATGCTCAAGACTGCAACAGCTCCGGACGGGCCATGTCGAGCTCTGTGCACTTTGAGGGACACGACTGCATGGAACCTGCGCTGCGTCGTGCCAGAGCTCCCGAAGCCCGAAGACCTTCTGACCCTGGGCAGGCAATTGCCCTCCGCTGCTCCTGCTCCGCTGCTTCCAGCTCCTCACAAACGCGTCGTGGGAAATGGCAAAAGCCGAAAGTGGCGCACAACACCTATGGCACCCGTGGATGGCGAAATCTCTTCAAACCAGAATCAAACAAAATCGTTCATACACTCCGGCCAACAGTCCTCCCTGCTTCGGCTTGCAGCTTTTTCAGGCTTCGAGCACGCATCCCGGCTTACCGGTAGAAACTTGGAGCTGCGAGCCAGGTTCACAGCAATCTCAGTTCTGTATGCTGCACTTGCATTGTCTGCCCAACCCAGCTGCAGCTGTACGCAGGAGGGTTGCTGCATGTGGCTTCAGAAACGCACTGGGCTTGCACAGTTCCAACAACCGTGCAACAAGTACACGGTACCTCGAAATTCACGATCTCGCAAGCGTTTCTCGAGACTCATGCAGGGGCGCAGGGTGACCTTGACAGTCTCCCACCCAGCATTTTTTCCGCATGGGACTTTTGCATTTGCATAGCACTGACGTCACCAACAGCAGGCCCGGTCTCTGTCTTAACTCAGAGATCATCGTCGCTGTCGTTGATCGCAACATTCAACGCATCTGCCAGCTCCCTCGCTGCTCGCCTGCGACAATACACGGACATGGCGCGGGGCCCCGGGGTTTTAGGGGGGGAAAGCCGGCTAGGGAAACAGAAGCACGCACATTCTGCAGCACAGGCTCGGCCTTTGCTCAGCAGCCGAGGGGAGTATCGGCTCTGGCGGTCGACTGCCCGCCTCCGGCGTAAGCCTGGCAAGTCCTAGCACCTCACATGATGACAACCCTCTGAGTGAGGCTTTCCTACGGTTGGAACCAACTGGGGAGTGACCGAAGCAAGGGCCTACAACAGACGATCTGACTTTGTCGAACCGCGCCTAAGACTGCTGTCTCCCAGCAGTCGCCGGGACAGGAAAAGCAAAGGCACCTTCACAGGAAGGCTTCGGAAAACTGTCGGCGGAAGCTCTGAGCCCATCCCCATCTACACCTGCGATACACCGCATCCTACCTTTCCTTCCCTGCAAAGCGGCACCTCCGTGTTGAAGCGCGTTCGCCTCACCAAATGATGGTTAAAACAAGCGGCAACCAAAGGCTATAGCATCATGGTGCTATCTTTTGCGAGTGGCGGTCTTCAAACTCTCACATCACATGAAACCAAAACATGGAAACACAGACAGCCAATTCTCGACACTGGGATGAATCCTCAGCTGCCAGGAAACGTCTATCACTCAATGTCGATAACTCGATAACCCACACGCGCTGCCCGGCGGTTCGGTTTCCGTCGGGTGTCACGATATGACATCCCCGAATCTGCACAGTTGCGACGTTGAGGAGCTGCTTGTTGACTTGCTGACATACCACCGCGCAGTGTTGCCATCTTCTCTTTGGGACGATCCTTGCCGAAACCGACCACTTGTGAGTAGCGTTACCGAACAACCGTTTGGCCGCAGTCAGGCAAAACTGTCACGTCTCTGTTGACATCCCATCGCTTAATTTGTCCGCTCATGATCATCGCTCTGGGGAAAACAACAAATCACGTTGATCTTTCTGTACACGTCTCATCTGGAAAAACAGATATCCTTCATCATCATCGTCATCATGGCCATCATGCATCGGAGCCACAGGAGTGCCGCAGATGTAGTTCATTCTGTCCTCCACGCTGGGTGCTCTACCTCACTGATGTAACAAAGGTCCCAGACCGATCTCCTGGTACTAATCGGGCAGGAGGCCACCCCCACTCATGAATATCCCTCAAGATGGCCATTCCTACTCATTCACCTCATCAAATTCCTGTAAAGACCCCCGCATCATTAACATCCCAGACTTTCACTTGGGCTCATCCTCCTTTCGAGCCTCCTTCCTCGTGGGGCTTACGAGCTATGCAAGAAATTGCCGCACTTTCGGGACAAGTCGCACACTGAGGTCGTAGTACTGAACCTTTGTGCCCGATCGCAGATGCTGATGCAGTTGACACAGATTTTCTTAGCAGCAGAAAATGCTCGGCATCCAAACTTCACTTATCGTGAGTCTTCTCATGTGCACATATGTGCCCTGCCTTCAGCTTGCGCATGATGACAGAACCCTCTTGCGCCTGCCAAATGGTCATGAGTCATCCGAGGCTGTGCAATCGAACATTTGTAGCATACAGGAGCAGAAGTCAAGTTCAATTGCATCAAGGCAGGAAGGCATTTGCCCTGGCATCCAGCATCCCTAAAGACGTGCAGAAAAACAAAAGAATGGAGCCTTGACCACTCTGCCCGGGGCATCAACTTTGTTCCCAACGACAACCACAGGAATCTCACCAGCCACCTTCCTCGCAGCAGTGCAGATTGGCTGGTCAAAAAAGAAAAGCTATTCAGCAAGCAGGCCCAGCGGCCCAACCCAGCCTCAAGTCTGTTACCCACTTCGCCAGGTTCTGGTGGCTCTCCCGCTTCGTCACCTTGGCAGGTCTGGCAACGTCGGGCCTGGACCTTGCGTAACAGTCACAAGAAGGCTTCGGCACAACGCGAAACTCCAGGAATCTACGAACCTTCTCTATGTCATTCTATGTCATGTGTCAGTCGCAAGGGATCTCGGTCGAGTCCCGACTTGGAATGTACGAATGTGATATGTTCTCACGGGAAAAGAAAACCAAGGCCGCGACATCGAAGAACACCATAGCACACTGCGCACCTTGCAGTGGCGTTCGGTCTGCGCCATGCTTGTGTACCCACATGACGGACACCCGAGACCAGAAACATCCCTGGAGACCCGATAACGACCTCAGCACCCAGGCAAGGCATGACGTCCTGATGTTCGCAAGGACTCTGTGCCGATAGAGGCACCGATGAAGTATCCATCCCGGAGCCCGGCAAGGTGATCCTCACAAGGTCTGGCTTCCATGCAGCGACTGTACGAACTGTTCCGTGCGAGCTCGGCTCCAGATTTTTTCGTGCTGTGTCGAGTCCCTTCCCCTGCCAGGCCTGGCCAGCCGTGTCCCACACCTGGAAGAGAACAGGACCTCTGCCTGGGCGCTCTGCGGCTAAGCCCGGGCTCAAGCAAGAAATCTCTCCGGACGATCAACTCTTCCGTCGAGGCGGCTGGTCGAGATCTTCAGCTTCTTCATCTCGCAGCCCTGCACATGCGATGCAGAGAACTGGAAGCATGGATGTGTTCATGACTTAGCTGAGCAATTCTCCTCTGTGGGCCGGTACTTCTTCACAAATTCCCCGGTGACGTGCCGTTTCACCTTCGCGGCTACAGTGACAGTAGACTCGCAGTAGATGCTGTTTCCTGGTGGGACACCTCATTCTCTCATAGCTCGGGCAGCAAAGGCAGTGCACTGCAACCCGTTCATCGGAGCACGACTTTACTTCCTCTTGGTGCCCGACGAAGCATGTCTTGCCGACTCCCGCATCTCCGAGGAGTACGAGTTTGTACTGGCCAAGGAGTGCTGACAATCGATGACTGGTTACAACGCAACGGAAGCCCGGAAACGCCCGACACAAATCTGCAATCCATGTTCTCAAGTTCTAGAGTTCTCCCATCTCGTCATTCAAAGCAGGCGAACCAGGCCTCCACCGCCGGCCCGCTGGCCTCCGCAGTTGAGGGGATCTGGGGGATGTTTCATTCTATGGAAAATCCTCTCACCACTGGCAGGCACAAGCAGGGCCAGACTTCCAGACATGTCACGTTCGGGAAGCTACAAGTAGATTAATGTAGTAAAAGTCGAGGAATTCAGCGCACAGGTCTAGAACCTGATCCCCATACGCTGAAAGATCCAATCCCAACCAACTGCTACGAGGATCTTTGCAGCGAAAGGCCTGCGAAGCGAGAGCCGTTGCAGGCCGCGCCTGAAGCTCCACTGGGAAGAACGGGGCCACTACCAAGATGCTGTGTTCAAGTCGATGAAGTGGGGGAAGGCATCCCTCCGGACAGCAATCCCCCGAAATGAAAGCTAGCCGTGCAAACCAGTGAAAACCGTTTGGATGGCTTGACGTGTGCCCTGTGTAACAAGAACCAAAGGATGAAGGTACAACAATCCTTTTCCACTTTTCCCACTCACCCCAAACCTTCAGCCGCTGCAGCCCTTCTATATCAGTCCAGGTGCATTCTCAGACTCAGGCGCATTGCTATCGACGCTTGTCCTCGGCTGTCAGGTCTAACTTCAGGCACAAGGTCACCGAGTCAGGCTGAAGCCGAAGGCACTCCAACCCAACAGCCGCCAGCAACCCCCTTTTCCTACAAGGAAGCCCCGCCAAGGGCCTCCAAGCACTAGCAGTCACTAGCACTAGCTGCAAATCTGTGTCGCCTTGATGCAGGATTTATCTCATCAACAGTAACACTTTGGGGAACCTCAAACTGTAGGAGTTCTAAGACCCCAAAGAGACCCAAGGACTCTCCCTAGGAGATTCCGGACCCTCCTAAAGAGATACCTGGACCCTTAGGGTTTAGGGTTCCTTCAAGGGACCTATTCGTTTTCAGGGTTTTGCATTTCAGGGTTTAGGGTTTTGGGGTTTTAGGGGTTCAAGGATTCCTTCAAGAAATCTATAAGGGTTCCTGTAGGGCACCTTTAAGGGATCGATAAGGGATCTTTGGGTTTCAGGTTTCAGGGTTCAGGGGTTTGGGTTTAGTGTTTGAGGGTTTAGGGGTTCAGGGCTTAGGGTCTTTTCAAAAAGCAGGTGCGGCTGCTTCTGACTTTTTCGAAAGGATGAGGGGCTAGGGATTTTCGTGTTTATGCTTTTCTGAATACAGGAGCGCGGCGTCAGCAGCACTCGAAAAGCTGTGAAGCTACGCCAACACACCATAGATACATCTGCCAGAAAGGGTGGCTTGAAACGGAACTCGCAAAGCTCACTTTTCTTTGTCCACTAACCTGTGTCGATCTGTTCTGGGTATCACCGTCGGCAAGGCCAAGCAAAACGTACACAAGAAACATATCGTACGGATTCCACAAGCACTTCCGGATTCTGGAGCCTGTCTCTTCGAACAGCATCCCTTGCTTGCACCAGCACTGGAAACGATCTGCAAGTTCTGTGACTGCGAGGATGGATCTCTGGTACACTGCACCAGCAGCATCTTTGCCCAGCCTAAGAGAATCTAATCTCCCTAACCACGAGAATTCTTCGCCAAGCTTCTGCACACGTGCCCGCTTTGCCGGCGGCGCCTCTTCCGAGGAAGGCCTCTCCCAAGAGAGGACGGCATTAAGTTACGTAAGCTTATCGAACATGTCACTGGCATCGAATTCCGGCCAATGTCTGTGTACAGGAACTCAGGAAACTTTGTACACAAGATAGGAGTGTCGTGGCTATGCCGTTATGACATGCATCCGAGCAACAAAGTCTCGGATCCCCTGCTTCTTCCCAGTGACTCCGAGGCCCAAAAAACTAAGGCCGGTGCCTTTTGGATGTGATGCTCTGCACGAAGCCCCATAGCCGGGAAAACATGGCACCGGGCGGGCTTGGACTTGGTGTGGTGTGGCCGTGCTGCGGCTTTGGATGGGAAGTCCGCGTTGGGCTTTCTGTCAGGATCTCACGGAATCTCTGTGTCAGACTAAGCCGGCATGCTGGTCTGCTGCTCATGCTATTGCAAAAGCAGACCTTCAACTGCTCTCACGTCATGGACCGTCCGGTACTTCAAAGCTGGAGTCGGAAGATATCAGAAAGGCCGCAGATGCGAACTCTGCCAGATCCTGAACACGGCAGCCTTGAGCGGGGATGGAGCATGCAGCATCTCCTCACCGGTCGCTTGCAGCAGTTGTGCCGCCTGCGCCATCGCCAGCATCGTGGACTGCGCCGCCGCCTCGGCAGCAGGGCCCCGCCGGCGCCGGCTCTTGGCTCGGTTGCGACTCAGAGCCGCTGTGCGGCTTTCAAAAAAGCATCATAGTGTCACACATGCTCTTCTTCGTGGAAGCTTGGCAGCTCATGCTGCATCAACGAAAGCACACGGTCACAGGGGAGGGCAGTCAACTAGGCTGCCCCTAACTGCGGGAAACTCTGGTATCTTCACTGTAGTCGAAGGAGTATTCCAATGTACTATCAGAGCACCTGCAAGCACTGATGACTTGTATTTTTGACTCTGATGAGGTGGACGAAGACGACGACAAGTATGATGCTGGCAGCGGATGCTGCATGACATCCTCCCCGTCCTGATTCCGCCTCCTCCTCCTCCTCCTCCTCCTCCTCCGCTGCCTGCTCCGCCTCCTCCTATCATCATCATGATCATGACCATGATCATCATCATCATCACCATCATGATAATCATGACCATCATCACAATAATGCCTCAGCTTGATCAGCAATATTACCCTTTCGGCACCCGTGCTGATCCTCACCGACAAAATCATCATCGCCAGCATCAGCAACAGCGACCCTCTGCGCCTTCTGGGCCGACTCTGCAGCGGCGAGCTTGGACTGACAGCAAACTCAGACAGAGCACGATACCCCTCTCAAACACTCAAACCTGGAAAACAGACGAAAGCAAGCCTTACAGCAGCTCTGTCTCAGTCATCTCTTCCAACCTTCCTCCCCCCCCCGGCAGTTCTGGCCAGGTCGTTCCAGCAGCTGGATAGGTCCACAAAGGGCCTTAGGGGCGCTGCGCTGAGTCGTGGGGATGGCGAGTAGCATAGCGCTAGTAGCAGGCTTCCTGAACGTCACAGTCGGCTCAAGACCGTCTTGCCTCGTTCAAGACGCTATGCCCACCCCAGATTCCCGCTAAATGCGGTCCAGCCACTTCGGAAGCGCCATGACGCAAACGGCGAAACGAACCGGGGACCCGGATGATGCGGGATGACAGGACCGCTGGGAAATCTTGGGTTGCTGCAATGGGTTGCACTGGGATCCGGAGGTGCAGGCATGGTCTAAGAAAGATGCGCTACACCGTTCTTGAATCGAAGCGGAGGACGGGGACGGTCGCCCAGACTCGCTCAAAGGCCTGGCGGCCGCTGCACAGCTCTCGCAACTTCGTTTTTGGCGGTGCGCGGACGGCAAGTATCCGAGCCAGGCCTGCCAGGGCTAGGAGAAAGAGGTCTGTCGGTATCTCTTTGCAGTTGTCTGTTCACCGCACGCACACCCCTTCTTTCACGAACCAAAGCACTGAACGAGCCCCGGACCCGAAACATCATGGCATGTTGCAAAACTTGCTCAGGCCGTTCGAAACCCCCTTGTCGATACTCGTCCGCGTCTAAGCTCTGTCATGGCATCGGATGAGTTCTTTATGGAAACACTGTCAGCTCCTGGCAGGTTCAATCTCCGACGCCCTTCGCACCACTGCGAGCATGTCAGGACGCGGGTGGGGCAGCTCGCTCTTCTGCAACACCGCAGTATGTCATTCTAGGTACTGATAGGCTGGTTCTGTCTGATTTCACGATGCCTCTAGAAGAATCTTCATGAAACTGTGTGATTTTCTGCTTTCTGCTGCGCAGGGCGTCAGTTCGCGCAAAGGCGCGCCCTGCGGAAAAGTGCGGATCTCAGTCATCGCCATCCGCCTGGGCGCCAGACTGTCGAGCTGTCTGCTTGCGGCAAGGGAGAACGTGGAGACAGCTGACACCTCGCCTCCTTCGCTTTCTTGAGGCCGGGTTTCTCAGTGGGCACAAACGGCCCAGCACGCTCCACGATGGTCTGCCAGCAGCGGTTAACGTCTCAAGGTAAATCTTGGAGGCCGGTTCTTAACAGGAAACCAAGCCTTGAAGTCCATGGTGATAGGCTTCCGATCCGGCACGGGGAACTCACCTAGTAGAGCCCATGATGGTACCGCAGGGTGGAGGCTTTAGGATCTAGCTTTGACAGGGTTGAACTTGAACATACTCGACTCAACACTCTCGGAAATGGCAAAAGCAGATTCGCGCAGTGGAAAGACCTGCACCGAAGATTCGTGCTCGGGCACTGGGCACCAGAATTTCCAACAGACGTCACCGTCGAGATTCAAGGGAGTCTCGTGCTGTGGATTCGCGCAGGGCTTTAGGTCTGCCGTGCCCTCCTGACCTCCCCCCGTCGTCAAGTCCAAGCCCTACACAGCCCCAAGCGCGTAGAAGGAAGGGCTACAATATGGTCGCAAATGCACTACACCCGACTGCACGTCAGATTAATTAGAGAGTGAGGGATAGCCGATATGAAACCAGACGTGCCGAGCCCCTCACTGCAGAAATATGTGAAGCTCTGAATATTTCAATCTCTGTCAGTGTTTCGGAGTGTCAGGTCTCCATTTTGTCATTATGCTGTTTTGTAGGCCGTACCTGCCACAAGGAGACGCTGCAGTGACTGTGCAGAAAACCCGAAGCCCCAATCGGATAGAATGCGCGGCAAGCCCAGTAACCCAACAGGAGGAATCCCAAAATCCTGCAACTAGAGGTGTCTCGCGGTGCAAACCCAAAACCGAAACGTTGTGCAGAAGGATGCTAACCCTAAATGTGAGTGGCTGCGAAAACCAACACTATCACTAAGCGGAGTGTCGGGTTCCTGAAAACCCTAAACAAGCGGAAAAAGGCCCGAGCTTGGTGTGCTTGGACCGCTGGTGCTTGAATCGCAGCTTGAAACACGGCTGAATTCATCGGAAGCGCTTGTCGCAGTGCTCGAACCGGGCTGGTGCTTGATTCCGGATTTGATGCAAGTAGAGATAGCAGTCGACACGGGACAGCGGTGTTGGCGGGCATCAATGCTAAAAGGCACTGCAGACTGGCAACAACCAAGCAATTCGTTTCCAGATGGTCCACATTGGGCTGCAGAACTAGCCCCTGCGAAAGTTAGACTGCTCCAAGCTGCAGCAATCGCTTTACAAGCTGTCCTGATACGGGCCATCCGGTGCCAAGCATCCACTCAGCCAAGGCACGCCAGTTGGGGTCGTTGAGCGGCGGCTGACCTGCGAGGCAGATATATGTTCGCACCAAAGCAGACCCACCATGACTCACCAAGTGGCCAACACAGGGCCCTGTTTTTGCCCTTGCAAGGACTGCACAGCTAAGGCATCAACGGTATTTGGTGTGAATCTCTGGCTTGATGCCGACATCATAGTTTGGCATCGGCTGGTCCTCGCAGAAAGACTCAACCCTCAAGGTCGGCTCCGCGAAGCCCCTCCAAGTCACCAGAGCCGCAGAAAGCCGACACTTTCACACCCAAGCTCCTCGAGCTTCACGAAGAAGTCTTCCTTTGTGGCTGGCTTGGCATCGGCTTTCTGCAGATGCGCCGGGACCGGGAGGTGGGCCTCAGCATCTGTTGGTCTCTTGCAGGTCGCTGGGAGCTGTGAAACAGCTGCTCGAACCTCGAGGTTCTGGCTGGGAAGGCCTGGCGCAGCTCCTTCTCACCATAGAAGCCGTGGGCTCGCACGGAAATAGTGATCACCTGGTCCTGAGCCCGGGCGATTTGTGGCGGATGCTTTGGTGAAGTGAGGTGGGACCTTTCCATTATTGGCGGACTTCGCCAAACAGATCGTCCGGTTTCCCAAGCAGGGCCATGCAACCGCACCCATGCACTTGAGATCAACCCCTCTGTCAAGTCTTCTTTGCGCTCGGCCTGAAACATGCTGAAGCGTTGCGATCGAGAACTCAGACCCCCTTTGTTGGTCTTGCTCGACCAAGCCCTCGGTCCTTCTCATTGAATCGGATGAACCCGGGGAACTTCTCTGCCCACTCGTACCAGGGAATCGGCTCCTCTGGCAAAGACACTTCGGAGTGCTTGGATCACGTGCCTGAGCGGCTTGGAGTGATTCTGTGATCTGTGATGCAATGCCCCGGGCTCTCCGGATCCATCAGGTCTTCGCGCCCGATGATTTCCGCGTGCCGCTTGGGGTCCGGGATCATGAATCCCTGAGGGATGTAGCCTGAGAACACCAGGTGTATTCACAAAAGGCTTCACATATCATGAGAAAGGAGGGCCATCAACGCCGCACTCAGGCCGGCGCTGTCAAGAGATGCCCCGGTAGAACCACCGCTGCCCCTGGCCAGGTCAGTCGCTGTCCCCATGCCTTCAACCTACACATCCCATTCCCGATAGCTGCTACATATGAGCGTGTACATCTTATACATATACATATAAATAAATATATATATATATATATATATATATATATATATATGGTCACACACACACACAAACACCCAAGATCCACCCCGGTCTTCTTGTCAATACTCCTGCGTAGTCCTCTTAAGATGCTTAACCCTTGAGTCCGAATCTATCGGTAATTACGGTGTGTTCTGCACTTCTTGTACATGTCTACCTGAACTTTTTTTGATATCATAGGTAAACAAGCCGAAACCGAAACCAGGTTGTGGTTCTGGATTCTGAGTTGTCGAACTACTTAAGATGTACACTTTGAATAGATATAAAGGGGTAAGGAAAAGTTTCTGAGTGAAAACCAACATACCAGTGGTATGTTTGGCTTACTAGCGACAACACTGAACAGAGGTGTTGCCGATTTATCCATAAAGGAAAAATAAAGCCTGGCTTCTTATACTATAAGAGATGGAAAGTAACCTGCATGTGTTTTTATGCTTCAAGGGAACCTAGGACAACTTCATATCTTCAATGTTAGAAAAGAGAAGGCAAGCTCAGTTGTTCTTTCTCAGGTGGTGTTGTAAATCTTGTTTCATCACAACACAAAGAAACGCAATAAGCCACCTCAGCCCCTTATCAGCCACTGGAACTCAGTGGCTGGAAGGAACTCAACGAGCTCTTACAATCTGCCAATACAAGAAAGTTAACTCTGGGTGTTTGGTGAAAGAAGTGGTCTCCCTCCACCAAACCCCAAATACATTCGGCAATTAGGAAAGTATGTCGAGCTTCTGACGATTTATACATCGTGGGAATTAAGACAAGCATGTATCTGGAAAGCAATCGTTGTTCCTCTCAACACATTTGCTGTTTTATCTTATTAAACGATACAAGGGGATCATGGCTCAGAACATAATCGAGCTCCGTTGCACAACGCCCGTCGCACAAGTGATAAAGCTCCTGCCCTCGTTTAATACAGCATGAAACGTCTCCAAACCTCTCCTCATAGCCTCCGAGCAATAGTGGAAACACATCTTTCTCATTATGCTTGAGGGAAAGCAACAAAACACTTGACTTACCTCTTGAGCAAGGCTGACCTTGACTCGGCTATGATTTTGCGCGGTGAGAGAAGAGTTAGTACCGCCAGCAATCGAAGCAATTGAGAGCTCATGGTACTTTCTTTCCTGGTCTTCAACTTGAATAAGGGCAGCCCAAAGTAATCAGGCAAGACAGTACTATTGGGAACTCACGTGACATGAAATGATAGGAAATATCGGAGCTCATCAGCTTCTTTTGTTTTTGAATTCATAAAATACAAGAAATACTTCTTCCTTGTTTAGGCAACGGGCACGAGTCCAGACGGTTAGCAACATCGTACCCCGATGCAGAAACGAGAACTCGACAGTATCTAAACATGATGTAAAGTTCAACGAACAGTCGCCTTCACATAAAACGTGCTAAAGCAGACTAAAGCATCCACAAATACAGGCAGGTTTCAACATTGTGAAGTGCAACTGTTCTTCCGCTCCTTTTGTTGAGCAAACCTGATCTTAACAACAGCTATGACTTTGTTCGATGAAAGAAGCAAGAGCACAGTTGGGAAGCAATTGAAGGCTCATGTATGAGTACATGGTACAGCTGTTCTTCCATTACTTTGGCATTTCGAATTGCAGGAATCTTGGGAAATTCGAGCATGGCAGTGTTTTCGCATTCGAGGTTGTCAAAACATCGCCAGGCTCGAATTTCCCCAAAAATTCTGAAACTGGAAGTGCCAAAACATCGCCAGGCTCGAATTTCCCAAAATCCAGACATCCTGGCATCTATGAGCAGCGCGGGGCCACAGTTGCTGAGATTTTGGGGAAATTCGAGCCTGGCGATGTTTTTGTATTTCCGGCTTTACAAATTTTTATGAAATTCGAGCCTGGCGCTGTTTTCGCATCCGAAGTTTGCAAAACGCTGCCAGGCTCGAATTCCCCCTAAACTTCCTGAAGCCGGAAATGCGACAACACTGGCAGGGATCGAATTCCCAAAATCCTGGCATCTATGGGGAGTGCGGGGTCATAGTTGCTCAGAGTTTGGCTTGGCGATGTTTTAGCACTTCCAGCTTCACAATTTTTTGGGAAACTCGAGCCTGGCGATGTTTTAGCATCCGAGGCTGCCCACCTCCCATGATCCATTGATTACAAAATGCAGGTTCGGGTGGATCATGGGGGAGCGTGAGCACATATATATATATATATATGTGTGTGTGTGTGTGTGTTTATATATATATACATATATATATATATGTATTCCTCCAGATAGAGACACAGGGAGACCAGGCTCGACCTGCCACGACGCTGCCGCATCTCCGCAGTGGGCTCCACGGCACCTTAGGAAAAGCTGAATCTGATTCATCTTCACAGTCCGGCTCTCTCTCTTCTTCAACACGGCCAGGAGGGTCGGGCTCGAACACCCTCCCCCCCGCGCGATTTCGCGCACCGGGGTTTTCGGGCGGTGAGAAAAGATAAAAACTCCAGGGGAATACGCACCGGCTGACCTGTTAAAACCCCCCTGTACACTATCCCCCAACCCGCCTCGTAGGCTAAGCATCACGCACCCCACAGGCCAGATACTGTGCTTCCCCGACTGCTGAGACCCGGGCCACTTACAGGACCCCCTAGGTCGGCATTGGTTTTGGCCCCCCTTTCGGTGCCCCCAGAAGACGAGTCGAACTGCACTGTACACTGAGGCCCCGGCAGAGAGCTGAAAGAAAGCGTAAAACCCGGAGTGCATCACCGCAACACTGCAACACTGCAACAGCATCCCCCTAGTCACTGTCATCGGTCCATTCACGGTTGGCTCTCCTGCGGGCCCCCTCGGGACTGTGGAGCCGTCTTCGACTGGCCCGACCGAAAGCTTCTAGTTCTGCCTCTACTTGTTCCTGCAACGCATGGCCATCCGCAATGTCTTGTGCAGACAGCACGTCACTGGGAGGCTCCGGTTCGCTGGGAAAACTCTCTGGGTCCCGCTCAGCCGACGACGGAACATCAAGCGTGGCCAGGGACCCCCGGAGATTCCAGTAGGCCGGAAAGCGGGGCTTCGGCTCTGTCCCCCCTGTGGCGTTGCCCGACGTGTTGGCATCCAGCTGCGTGCCCCCCAAGCTGGTCATGTTCGTCTCTTCCGTGTGGGTCGTTGCCCCCCGCACGGGATCACCATGGATGCCCTCGAACTCGGACAGCGCGGCGGGCTCGTTGTTCTCGGCGGGCATCCCTTGTTCGGGTGCAGTTGGGTCGCTGGCTGCTACACCCTCGGCGGTGCGGTTGACTTCCAACAGCGTGTGCGGCACGTGGGGCATGGTCTCGATGGGCTCCCCCTCGTCGTTGACGGCTACGTGTCCCCCGGGTGCTGCAGGCGGGCCATCGAACAGACTTGGGGCTCCCTCATTTTCCTGTGTCTCTGCATTGCCTTGGCTGTCTACCAGCAACGTGGTCCCTTCCTGGCTTTGGACCCATGCTAGCAGCCCTGCCACAAGCCTGCGGGCTTGGTCGGCGTCATTGTCCGCGAGGAACGGAAGGAGCCCCCCCAACTCCTTGAGGTACTGTTTAGCCTTCCACACGTCCGGCATGTCCCCGTAGGTCTCGTCAGCGCCCCCCGCCATAGCGAGGACATCACTGCTATGAGCTTCCCCCGGTACATGGCGTAGTTCCCATGAGAGGGCGTCCCCTTCTTCGAGCAGGGATGCCACGGTCCAAAGCCAGTTGGCTGTAAGCCAGTCCCTGTCTCCCGTCAGGACCTTGTCTCGTGCGCTCGTCATAGCCTTGATGGCCAGGTAGGCTCCTTCGCGCGCTTCCAGTGCTTGGAGCCCCCCTTGGTCATGAATTTCCGCCTCGAGCCGGCGGATTCCCTGACTGAGCATGGCTATTCGGACCGCCATGTCTTCTGCCAAGTCTACGTCACTGAGCGCCGTGGGGAGTCTGTCTGCAAGGTGTCGTAGTAGGCGGGCTGCCTCTGAAAACTCTGTGGTGTCCCTCTGGCGCTTTCTCCCCCAGAGGGGGTTCCCCGTCCCCCGTAGTCCAAGTGGGTCAAGGGCGGCAAGGAGATCCTCGACACGTTGTTGTAGTAGAGCAGATCCCCCTCGTGCAAGTACAGCTGCCAGTCTGCGCAGGCATCGGCGTACCATGGCTATGGCTAGACACCCCTCTGGAACATTGACCTCATGGCTGCTGCGGGCTCCCCCGCTGGGGGTCTGCATGAGGGCGGCATCGTCACCTTCCGGTTCCCCCTCGGCGGGGTGCTCTTCTTCGGCATCATCCTGTGGCTCTCTGGCCCCTCTGCTCGGAACCACGCGGGCTCCGAGGTCTTCCCAGTTGCTCGCATCTGAGAATCCCCCGCTTGGCAGCCTGTCTGCCCCCCTTCCGACGGCAGACTCTCTCCTCCAGTCTGCAAATATTGCTGTGCTGCCGGGCCGACGACTGCCTTTTGCTCCCAGCCTTTGTCTCCTTTACGTTGCCACAGTAGGTAAGCTTCCCCCGGCAGCATACGGATGGCATTGATCTCGGACCATCCCAGGCTGGTGTGCTCGACCGCCGTCACATAGAGGAGCCACCGCGAAGGAGCTCCACTGGGTGGTCCCAGCGGGAAGAGGACCAAAGCTGTGCCAGGTCCCAGGTGGCTCGCCCCAATGGCAGGGTCACGTGCTTGTTGTCTGGCTCTCGCAAAGGGCCGCTGTTGGCCAGAAAAGTAGCTGGGCCCCCGTCTGTCTTGCTGGTGGAGGACCACTGCGGCCCATGCCCCTCCGGGCCCAAGGTAGCGGAGGTGGAGGTATGTCCCCGGGGCCACTGGGAGTTCGGGCGGCATGTTGCGAGGCGTACGCCCTTGCCCTAAGCTCAACAGCCATATGTTGAGGTGGCCTTCGACCCTTTTCGCATCCCCCACTGCTGCGACACTTGAGCCTGCGGCTCTGCGGCGCCTTGGCTCCTCTGGGGGCTGCGGCTTGGCTTTCCCGCGGGAGGTTGCTGGGCCCCCTGTAGGCTTGGGCTGCTGCTGCGGTGGCATGTATGCACTTGCCGAGGTAGCCGCGCTGGCCCCCCCGCTGGTTGTGGGTTGCGGCTGCGGTTGCGGTGGGTGTGTGCTGGGCGAGGCCCCCGTGTGGCTGCCTCCGGGGGCCGTGCTCCCTGTGTTTGCTGTGCCTCCTCCTCGGGGCTCCAGGTGTTTGTTGAGGCTCTCTCTCTCTCTCTCTCCTCCCCTCTTCTGCCCCGGGCGGGGCATGAGGGGTGCCTGACGCCTCCTTGGCCTCAAAGGCCCCCCCGTTGTTTGTGAGGGATTTGGAGGAGAGTGAAAGCTGAGTGTTTTGCCCCTCCTCCCCCCATCTCTCTCTCTCCCTCTATCTCTCTCTCTCTCTCTCTTTCTTTCTCTCGCTCTCGCTCTCGGAGAAACTTGCTTCCGAAGCACTCACGGTGACGCGGTTCTGTGCTGCATCGACTTGTGCAATGTAGACCTGAGGCACGCAGAAGCAGCTTGAAGTCAAGAGCTCACTCCGAGATGCCTCTAAACGGCCCCTTGACTAGACACTCAGTGGGCTTGGCATTTCGACTCACCCTTTGCCCTCTGCCACCTCGATCTTCTGGTTGGGCTTGAAGGCTGCCGAGGTCTGAGTCGCACGCATCACGGCACGCAGCGCTCTTCTCTGCGAAGGCTTTCAAGTTAGGTTTGAGCAATAAGGGTAAGACATGTTGGGTCGCAGGACGTCTTCTGTTCCAGCTCAACTCAGGCTGGTGCAACATCACCCAACATGGAGTTTGGCATGAGGGCATCCATTCTCCCGAGGCCGATGTCCACGAAGATACCATACTCCTGCGGCTGCTTGCTTGCTTCAATGTCACTGCACGCAGCCCTCGTGACACAAAGCATTGCAAAGACAGTCCCGAATACCGCGAACGACCTCGCTGCGGCGACAGGGAGTCCCAGGCCAAGCTTTTGGACGGTGTGCCCCTTCACAGTCTTAGGTCCTGGCGCCACTCACCTTGGATCCGACCTCCCGACAAAAAGTGAGAAACCGTCCGGCGCAGCCGCGTCATCACTTGCAGCGAATTCTGGGTGAGCCTCGAGTTTGTCAATGCTGGTCGTTGCTTCCGAATCACCGGCGCCTGCTTGCTGCCCAACCTGGGCCGGGTGTGGAGACAAGAGGGGCAGTGGCCTCCTTCAGACGGAAGTCACATGCAGTCACTGCGCATGCTGACTTCATGCTCCTGCTTGCATCAAGCAGCTGCGATCTTGTTCCCAGGGATATCCACTCGTGTCACCTTCAGATCCTCGAGCACCTTGGCATTCCGTTGGTCACCATGGGTTGAACTGAGCAATGCACTGAGTGTGAGACCTGACCCTCCGTATACCTCGGCGACAAGGAAATGTTTGTGTGCTCTCGGGCATGAGGGAGGCCCAGAGGGTTGATCCGGCATGGTTTGAAGTCGGATGAAGCCTAAGCCGGGCCTAGCAGGGCCGAGCATGGAGATAGCAAACGACTCTGTGGGCCAGTTGCTCACTCGTGTCACCGGAGAGAAGGGCGGTCGGAGCCAGAGCGTCCACGGACCTCGGCACGCAAGCTTGGGGCCCAGGGTAGAGGCCCTGAAGTTCTGCAGAAATAACACGCTTCGAAGGCATCCGACGGCAGACTTAGCAGACCGAAGAACACCGATCTGAGCTCGCTGGCGCACCAATGTCGACGAAGAGGCCGAACTCCATGATCTTCGTGACCTGTTATCAAGAGCAGAGTGCAGGAAACCTTCCGTGATGTGCTTGAGGGTGAAACTGCCTGTAACAGTCAGCAATAAACCAGCAATCCCCGAGGCAGACGTCTTGAACTGCCCTTAAGATCTATGGACTTGCGCCGGAACGGTCAAAGCCACCCTCCTGCAGCTGAAGACTCGACATCTGTAAAACAGCTTTGTGGCGTGCCCTTGCGATGCCTTGCCAGTAACCTCCTGGCCCACTTCGTACTCTCCAGCAACGGGGCGTGCAGAGACGCCCAGGCGCTGACGTTGAGCATCCACCTGGCAGAGTTTGCAGATCGACCGTTCTGCAACCCAATCTCCAAAAGTGACTCAACTGCTCGCTGGGCCTCCGTCACGCGCAGGCCTGGCCGAACGATCCGCAACGAGAGGAAAAGCAGGCTTTCGGCGCTGGAAACTGCAAGCGGCCTTCCAGCTTGTCTCCGGGCTGGTAGTCGGAAAGAGGCTTCTCCAGCTGCGAGATGGCCTTGGCAGGGGGCTCACAGCTTCTTTCGCAAGCTGTGCCAAGGCCTAAATGAGGCGGTCACATAGAGAGCGTCCCTCTCGGCACCGATGTCGACAAAGACGCCTCAGAACGACACGTCGTGACAGGATGCGGAAGTGGAAAGGCAGAGTCCAAGCGACAAAGCGAAGAGTGCTGACAGGGCTCCGAAGGCGATGGTCTTCGTGACGGTGCCTGAGACTTCCTCGCCGACCTGTCGAAGTTCACGGGGTCCCTCTGCCCTCTTCTTGGGACCGGAAAGGCAAATATGGGGACTGGGGTCTGCTTGCCTTCAAGGTCTCCATGGACAGGCCTCGGGCACTCGGAAGGTTCGAGAGGCTGCAAACACACCCCTTTAGCTCCTGCTCCACGGGTTTACGAAGGCCCCGGGCTTGTCGCGACCAACTCTGCGCCGGGCATCGCAACCTCTCGCAGTTTCACTGGCCCTAAGCCTCAAAATCACCTTCACCTTTCGCTGCAAATTCTTCCTGTGCCATCCTGTGCCTCCAGGGTTTGCGCTGCGGCATCCAGGCGGGTGACGATCAGGCCGGACACCTGCCAACTGCGAACCTTCTAGAAAACAACATAACAACTCGGGCTGTGAGACCAATTCCTTCCGGACTGACCTCCGCACAAAGATGGAACCTGCCTTAAACCCTAAATCCACGCTTGCAGGGCGCCCCAAATCCCAAACTGATGACATCGCATAAGGAGGCTCAGGCTGGCCCCTCAAACCGTCGACAGCTCAAGGAGCCTCTTCACCGGCCGCATACTCCTGGTCAAAGCGCTCACTCCGAAAGAAAGAGGGCTAAGAGCACTTTCAGGGTCTCCTGAGGTTCCTTGGGCAGCACTGTGGCACCTGGCCCCTTCGTGCGCCAGAGCGCATCCTGCCGGATTCAGGGCACAAGCATACACCCACATATCCATCAAGCCGTGTACCTATAAAAAGATACGGAGACGCATACAAGAACTGCTCTGACGTACTCAATGTCTCACAGAGTCTCAGCTTCAGCGCTCCCGGGAAGCTCCAATGTCCATAAAGATGCCCACACTGTCCATGTAGCGAACGACCTGCAGAGACTTGCAGAGCCTTGAGTGGGTCACTGAAATATGGGCATTCTGGGCACTGTTGACAAGGAGCAGGTGGCAGATGAGGTTTTTGGAGGGTCCAGGACTTGGATGCAAGCAACAATCCTGAGAAGACAAGTCTTGACAAGGTCGGCTCAGGTGCAGCAAAGGTAGCGGGAAACTCAGGGATACATGCTTCTGCAAGTGCACCTACTTGACAGGCTTCGACGCTGGCTCCGGCACTTTGGAGTCTGGCCTTTCCAGCAACCTCTTGACCACGGACGAAGCTTCCAACTGGCTTACCCACATCCTGGCTTGCTGTTGGAAGGCGGCAGATGCACAAGCTGAACATGCTAAGACACGTTAGGTCACACAGGACAAAGGGCATGCTGTGCGCACCTCCTTGTCCGACACCGTGACGCGGTCTCCGTCGACTTGCATTACAGTCAGATCAGCCACCTCAGCGATTGACGCACAAGAAACGGCGAGAACGCAAGAAACGGCGAGACAGCTCCGTTTGTTCAAGACTGACGTGCTTTTCGTGCAACGGGGCTATCGGCTGTTTTCCGGTAGGCGTAGCGTTCACTGGCAAGCCTGTGCTCTCGAAACTGTACTCGGGTCTTGACCTCGCCACGTGTGTATTCGTCCTTCGGCTTGCCTCCAGGATGATGGGCATACGTCCATGATAGCATGATCGCCAGCAATCCACCACATCTCAGAGTCTGACTGAGCAGGTTGTTTGGGGCGAGAAAGTCCCTGGAGTAGCCGGCATCGAAGAAAATGCCGGCCTGTGGCAAACGACTCTGGCAGCAGACAGTGACCCTGCATCTCGAGACCACAGGTGATGGGTCTGTAAAGCAACTAATACGATGATTAACACATAAGCCAACTTCCCCCCAACAATTCGTCCAAAAATGGCTCGGCTTTCTCCAGGCTTTCTCGCCTTGGACTCGCTCAACATCGTGCCCTCCACCTTCTCGCCGACCTTGGCCTGTGACCTCGGAGACAAATGCAGCGGCTTCGGGGTGCTAGTTTGGCAAGGATAAGGATAAAAAATACTCATTCATGTACATACATGTATACCTTTGTAACCTGGGCTCTCACAGATACGATCTCAGTCCGAGGTTGTTGAGCTTTTGTTGCAATTTGAGTCTATGGGTCTTCCACTCACTACAAGAAGGAGTCTGACTGGATTCACCTGGAGGTGTCTGAGCAAAGGACGCCAGGGGTCGGGTGGTGACTGCGACCTGCTCCTTCACTACATCCACGTTGGCCACCTGAAGGTGAGGTCCACCTACGATCGCTACTGTGAACCGCCAGTGAAGGAAAGCCCACCTTCACAGAGATCTTGTCGCCTTCCTGCATCCGAAGAGACCGCTTCAGGTAGGGGCAAGACCCCAGGATTTCAGGAGTCGAGCTGCCCACATGTCACTGGAGAACTTGAGCTCACTTGTAGCTGTGGTCTATGCGCACTCAAAAACTGAGGCCTTATGCTTTTTCATCCATGCGCTGCCGCCACAGCCCGCCTTGTATTCCTCGATCGCCTTGTCCAGCTGAGATGGCGTGCAAAGAGCATCAATGCCGATTCCGATGTTGATGAACAGACCGTACCTGCTGATGAGATGATCTCAGCTGACAGACACAGGCTCGAAAGCCGAACAACAGTACGCTGCGAAAGTCGTGAATTGCCAGCCGTGGCACTCCGGGTTGACTCGGGCGATGGTGCCTCGCAGCTGGGTTCAGCACAGATAGGTGCCGAGCGAGGGTAAAGAAGGACCAGGAATCCAAAAACTTCAACACGGAGGAACCGGCCGAGTCTCAACAATTACGCTTGCAAGCTGCATGCACTCATTGGCTCCGGGTCGCACGTGCACGCATCTAGGTATGTATGCATCTCAACACGAAATGCACAGCACTCATCCAGACATGCAAACATGCAAAACATGAATGCATCTGCACGTGCAAGCCATGCATGCATGCACAACGTTCGTACGTGCATGCATGCATGCATACATGCATGCATGTGCAATATTCGCACCTGCATGTGTACATGTATACATGCATACATACAGACATACAAACATGCATAATTACCTACCTAATTTCCTACATACATACATACATACGTACGTACGCACGTACATACATAACACACACACACACACACAACATCCATCCATCCATCCATCCATCCATCCATCCATCCATCCATCCATCCATCCGGCCAGCCGGCCAGCCAGCCAGCCAGCCAGCCAGCCATCCAGCCATCCAGCCATCCAGCCATCCAGCCATCCAGCCATCCAGCCATCCAGCCATCCAGCCATCCAGCCATCCGGCCATGCATGCAGCCATGCCATGCCATGCCACGCCTTGCCACGCCTGCATGCACACACACACACACACACACACACACACACACACACACACACACACACGCACGCACATACATGGATTGGCACATGTGCGTGCACACGCACACACACACACACATATTACATATGTATATATACACACGCCATCGTATCATCACCATTCATCACCATCATCGCCATTGTCGTCATGATTATTTTCGTGTCGATCCTGACCGTCATCATCATCATCATAATCACTATCATCATCATCATCATCATCATCAGCATCATCTCTCCATCATTGTAGTAATCGTTACCACCACCGTTACCACCATCATCATCATCATCACTACCACCATCATCTCCCTTATGTTCCTATACTTTTACCTCACAAGCTCTCGTGATGCATACCTAAGGTTGTTCCTCTGCTTGTGCTATCAATCTATCTGCGTGTGCCTGCACACCGAACAGACCACAACGATATTACATGCAAGATAGATAGACAGACCTTGGATGGATACATAGCTAGATAGATACATGGATGGATGGATGGATGGATGGATGGATGGATGGATGGATGGATAGCTATGCTTCTATTTGTTGCTCGGTTGGTTGTTGAACGATGACTTGAATGATTAAGGCCTGCGTGGACACAGAATCCAATCCGACCGACCCGACGCGAACGCAGACCCTCTGACCCTGGCTTCTGACCCGTTGTAAGCTGCAACTGCTGGAGATTGCTGCTCCTGCCTTCGATGTCCTGGCCTAGCTTGAGCTGCGAGAGGGCCTGCAGCTCCCAGGAAGTTCTACGTTTTGTTACTCGTCTTTGTGTGGGGGCCTTGGATGTGGCAGCGGACTGCTCAGCGGCAGCAGCGGCCACTCCCACGATGCCGACGGTGATCTTAGAATTTCGAGGAATCTCTGGAGCCCACGAAGCATCCCAACACCCAAAGAGCAAATGCCTTGTCACCCTCGATGGAGAGCACCTCCAGCTCGGCTTCCTGGTGGGTTTCGGATTTTTTTACTCGGCCAGTGCCCCGTCGCTCTCGGTCCTCCCCTTCGGCATACTGATCCGGCCGCTTGCTCAAGCTTCTTGCCGGAGCCAGTGCATCCCTGCATTGGAATCTCGGATGAAACGACACTGACTTCTCCCATTCTTGTTCGCACGCGAGTGCCAGCAAATGCTTCTCGCCTATTTGCATCAACTCGCACTGAACATGCAGTGACCATTTCTGCCAGCGGCAATGCAATCTCTGAGAAACTCTCCTCATTCCGCCGATGTCAAAGAAGACACCATAGCTCTGCTTGGTGGAGACTTTCCCCTTGACCTGACATGTTGGGGAACGAGAAAGCCCAGGCTTGACGGGTGCACGATCTTACGAAGCTGTGGACTTGCGCATCTGATGGGCATGCGCACCCTCAAGATCACTTGCACTTGCCGGGCACCTTTTGACCTTCGGAGAAGGAGGTGGGCAGCTCGCCCAATGTCACCCTGACACATTGCCAAGAATTGCATCATGAAGTGCAGCGACAGCCCTGCTCAACTCGGATCGTTGCGCCTGATTTTCCGAGTTGCTGGAGTGTCTCCCGTCTCGACCTCGCAATGGTGCAACACAATCCCTCACGAGCCTCTGCACTGCACAGAAGGCCTGCCAGATCTTCAAGCCCGTTATCACGTCGCCGGCTTCGTACTGCTGACCCTGAAATCCGGCTCTTCAAAGGAGGCGGCTTGGAGTCGGGAGGCGAGAAGGTCAAAATTTTCTGGACAATCTCGAATATTTGCCAGCGAAGACTCCCACTCAAGTCTCCTACCGCGAGCTCAAACCCTGATCACAGCCAAGCCTTGAGAAGCAGACAAAGAACACAAAGGCAATCCATCAGGATTGAGCTCCGTCATATGCCAGTCTGCAACTACCCTTTCGAAAGCTCTCCCACCGGTGCCGGCCTTCGGAACCATGTTCCGAGGAAGAAGGGCGGGCTGGCAGGAAGGATTCGCTTCTTGACGGCTTGCGACAACCGTAGCTTGTCGGCTTCACAAGGCAATCGGGGAAACTGCCAACATCAGTCTGCTATTCGCATACATGAACGACTCCCCCGCGAGCTGAATCTCCGCCTTTTCAGCACCGATGTCGACGTAGACGCCGATTTTTGCATCGCGTTGAACGGTGCCCGAAACCCTCAGCCAAGGGAAGATTGAGTGAATGAAGAGTCTGAGTCAGTCTGAGTGACTCTGTGCAGCTGCCTGAGGCCCCAGCTCCTCGCCAACTTCCAAAGACTCCAGCGACCTGCCCTCGCCTTCTGCCTGCAGCTTCTTTGTTGGGGGTCTGTGAACCATCGTTCGCAAGAGTCTGCAGGTCGGATCACTTTGCTACCGATAACTTGGATGGCTCAGAAACTGCAGACCTTGTAAGAAAGAATCTTGCCTTCACTATCGTGCGCACAGGGCTGCGAGTCGCGTCTTTCCTGCACATGTCTGGCACACCAGGGCGCACCAGCATGAGTAGTAACAGTGATGTGAACCGTGTCCGTCTGCTACAAATTGTGTGTGTCTGGATTCTTCCGTCTAGAAGCCAGCCTCCTGACGTTGTGGGCTGCCTTCAGCAGCAGCAGGGCAGCAGCAGAGGCACCCAAGGCGGCGCTTCCTTCCGTGCTCGAAAGTTGTGCAGAGCATTTTGATCTGAGGTTTTCATTGCAAAGACAGCGTGTGGCATCGCATGGCCTCCAAAAGCGGAGGTCGGGGCCGGCCCGGAGCTCTGAGCACCCCGCAGGGCAAGCCGGCCTTGAAACGCCCCAAAAGCTTCCATGGCCCAGAAAACGATGGCGCACAGCGGAGCCTGCAGTGGAGCCTGCGCCTGTCGCTGGCGCAGCTGTCGGACCCACGAAAGCATCCCCGGGCAGAACCTGCGAAGCAACACTTTGAGCGTGCGTGCACAGTGCGCGGTTTCTGAGAATTTCGATCAGCAGCAGCAAAGGCTGCGGAAGGCCGGAGTGAGATCCATCCGAGCTCTCCACCGCAGTGTAGCACACGCAGGCAAGGCTCAGGGAAACCAGCAGCACACCTGATAGCATCAAGACTCCCCTGCACAGCGACTTGAATGAAACAACCACCGGTAAGTGCGAATGACCGCCAGCATCGTCATAAAAACGCTCCTTTCTGAACAGTGTCTACCCCTCTGGGCTCTCGTCTTTCTGTATTCCTCTTGCTTTCTTTCTGTGGTTCAGAGCTTCTTGTCTTTCCGTTGGACATCCGGGGCACCATGCGAGCAGGCCTCCCCCAGCCTTGGGGGAGACCAATCGGATGCCACTGAGGGCATGCGACTCTGCTCCCCTCTTCCCTTCTTCCCATCTCAGTCCATCCGTTCAGTGTTTAGGAAGTACCACGAAGTAAGCCTGAGCCCTCGCCCATGCGCGACTCTCGCGTCTGTTCATCCTCGTGGGCGGTCAAGACTGTCGGTCCCTGGGCTAGTGCTCGACTTCGGGGCAGCAAGATACCCCTCGCTTACCGGGCCCGCTCTGAGAGAGCTGTGCCCTTCTTTCCCCCACCGAACTTCTCCCGAAATGACTTCGGCCTGGCACCTCTCCGGCAAGCCTCAGCCAAACTCCCATGTCACCTACTTTCTTTCGGATACCCGGCCGAAGGTCGGATCATGTTTGCTCACGTGTTCAAAGCAGATCGCATACGGCCTGTTGCCTGCGGCCCCAAACTTGCTCTCACTCGGCAAACTCTGCATTTTGGAGATTTGCAGGCTTATCTTTAGTCCCGACGCAAGTGCCCAGAAACAGGACACAAGGTTGCCTGGACGAAGTGATCAAACTTTTGCCGATGTCGGGCTCTCAGCTGCAGCCCAGACGACATGTCAAAAACAAGCGAAGCTTTCGGGCTATCCCTCCCTCCCTCTCGCAGGGTACGAGTCTCCTGGACCTGCGCCGGTTCCCACTCAAGAGGCGGGGGCCCATCTCGATTCTCTGCGGCAGTCTCCCGAGCAAAAGAAGGCCCGGCCTGGGGCCGTGAAGCCCTTGGCGGACCGGAAGGATGCCATCGCGGGCGATGGTGGCCTCGAAGGCTCCGGCAACGAAGGAAAAAAGACCCTCTCGGAACGCAGCGATCTGATCTGATGACCACAACTCTCAAGGCGGCCTGCCCGCTTGTTCTAAACAGCGGCAGGCTGCGAGCATTGAGCCCAGTTCAGGAAACACACGCATGCACACACGCACACAAGTCAAGGCAGAGGTGGAACACCTCTAGCATGTGGCAGCTTGACCTCTGCTGGCGAACTTTCGCTTCATCCGGGCACGTAGTGTGCGGGGTCGCTGCGAAATCTGCATCTCTCGAGCCTGCCACCCGAAAGCTCGGGAAAAGACAAGTGACAGGTAGGATCGTTTCCTCGCTGAGCGATGGCACGATGCCTGGAGCTGCTAAACTGTTGGAACAAAGGAAGTTCGTGGCTGCCCTCCCCCGTGATGGCACCATGCAGATTCCATCTGCATCTCCCATGCCTATCCGAGCTCGAGCAGTATCCAGGGCCAGCAGGCTCCACCTGCTGCAGCCCTGAATTTCTCCGGAGAGTCAAAGACATAACTTAATATGCGACCTCCTGCGTTTCAGGAGCCTTCTCGGCAGTGGACGCTGCAGCGTCGGCCTTCTGAGGCGCTTGCTTGCCAACCATGAAGTAGCACACACCCATGATGGCGCCCCAGGACTCTTGGATGGGGAGGACGATGATCACGAACGTGGCCACGAAGCTCCAGGCGATACTGATGAACACCCAGAAAGCGAAGTAGTCCGTCGTGAAGACCCCGGCAGGCAAGGACAGCAAAGGCCAAATCAGAACCATGAGGATCGTGAAGCCCCAACCCCACTTCTGAATCCACCACTTGGCCGCGTCCAAGAAGTCCGAGGTGTAATCCTCGTCGTCCAGGCCGCTCATGTCCTGCTCGAGCATTTCCTTGGCCGGACGCTGACTGAAACCCGTCATCTACAGCCTACGGCCCCCAAAGCAAACCTGACACATCGACGGAACTTGAAAGACGTGTGAGTTCGGCAAAGCGTCGATCTTGCCCATAGATTCGAAATCGTAGTTCTGAGGGCTGGCCATGGAGAAGACGAAGTGGATCAAGGCCGAGGACGCCAAGGCCACGATGTTGCCAGCGAGATTCGGGTTCAGTGTTCCCAGGTTGTCGATCGTGATCTCACCGAACTCGGCCTGGCAGACGATCAGCCAAGTTGCCAGGGCCAGGATCATGCCGCCCCAGGCTGCGACCACCGCCCCCAGGGCACTGGCCTTCTTCCACATGAGCAGGTTCCAGAGAGGCACCACTGCCGAACCAATAGCGTTCCCCATGAACTGGTACACCCAGCCAAGGTTCAGGCCCATGTGATTCAGCGCCACGCCGAGGCCTCCCATAAGGAGACCAAAGACCACAACAACAACCTTGGAGATGAACAGCGCCTGCTGGCCAGTGCACTTGGGGTTGATGTAGGTCTTGTAGATGTCGTAGGTGACCAAGGATGACACGGCGATGCCCTCAGCAGAGCCGGTGGAGGTGATGGCCATGAAGAGCATCACCGCCATCATCACTGAACCGAAGCTGCCGAAGAGGTGTGTGGCGACCGCGGGCGGCACCAGACCTGCACCGGCTTCGGCAGATGAGATGGGGAGCTGCAGGGCAACGGCACACAGGCCAAGGGACGTGGCGAGCGCGAAGGGGATCGTGAACCAAACCAATCCACCCAGCAGGTATCCCTTGTGGGCGCTGGTCGGCTTAGCCGCAATGGCAGATTGCCAGTACGACTGGTCCACGAAGACGGTGCCGAAGTTGCCAACGATGTTGATGATGCCGAACTTGGTGCCACCACCCGAGAGCATGGTCAGGTAGGATCCGCCCTCGTTCTCCGGGACAGGCCCGCAGGCGTACTTGCCCGCTTCGAAGAAGGTCTGAGTGCCCTGCTTGAAGATCTGCTCGCACTGTGTCGTCGAGTAGCTCGACACTTGCTGCAGACCAGCGTAGATCATGTCTGAGGAGAAGTTCTTCACGTAGACGGTGTACACACATACCACCAGAACCAGGAAAATGATGGCGGTGTGGAGGTAGGATGCCATGAAAGTGGCCTTCAAGCCACCTGCCGCAGTGTACAAGATCACACCCCATGGAATTAGGAAGGACGCCAAGTCGGTGTCCACGCCTGTCAGTGCATTCACGGTGGCAGCACCGCCCAACAGCAGCATGGAGGTCACGATCACATTGGCCAGCAGAGCGAAGAAGAGGAACGTCAAGTGCGCCGCCTTGCCCCACCTGTCAGGATCCACTATCACTACAAAAATTCAGCAAATGGGGTCAAAAAACTCTTGAAGTTTGGAGTTGTCACGGGTTGCCGTTGCCTTGCAAGGACCATCTCGCAAACCGTGTGGGCCGTCCGGGCACGGCGCTTGATCTCGATGGCCAGAATGCCAAAGAGCAGCACCTGGATCGTTGCGCCGCTGGCATACCAGAATGGTCCAGACACTCCATACTGCCACGCCACATTGGAGGACTGCAGCAGCGTGGCAGCCCAGGTCCACTGAGACACGATCACAGAAGCAGTCAAGCCTGTCTTCACGGAGCGGCCGGCGGTGTTGAAGAACTCAGATGTGTGTTCCGTGCCGTTGGCATACTTGTCCAGGTACACCAACACCGTGGTCAGCACGGAGAAGAATGCACCAAAGCCTAGCACGATGGCATAGCCGGACTCGATGGGCAGCGGCGTGTTGTCCCCGAAGAAGCTGGTTTGGCCGGCATACTGCGCGGTCGACGCCATGTCGACAGTACACGATGCTTCTTGGCAGAGGCACTGTCAAAAGGTCCTAAACGCTGGAGCCAAAACAAGTGCAAGTTGCCACGGCAGTCGAGAGTCGAGAGGTCCGCAGCTTTTGGAAGTGAGTGCTTTTGCCCTTGCCATACTGAGACGAAACGACATCTATCCCCGAGCGCATGCCACATGCAATGTGCTGCTCTCTTGTACTCTTTGCCTTTGCATCTCGGGAGAAAATCTGTGACAAAGCCGCAGGTGCCGAGGCTTATGTCTTACAATAGGTGCGGCCCGCGCACGCACAATCTGGGAAAGCCGCAATTTGACTTGGTCAAAGCGTTTTCAAGCAGTAGTTGCAGCTGCGACTGATCCACAAGATGTTGGGGCCATGCATCATGAATGGGCTTTCGGAACTGCTGTTCTGGGTCATGTGTATTGCGGGTGCCAGTTCGAGCGCAGCTTGGGTTGATGGTGCTTGGCGGGATGACTCGTGAACAATGGCATACGGAAGAAGAGTCCCTCCCCTGGCTGCTCACCTGGTAATGCACTCATGCCGAGGGCACCCCACATGCACGACAGTAAGCTGACCAGCTGGAGGCACACCGCGCTGGTCCTGTGGATATCAGACGAAGAACGAGCTTTCCCTCTCAGGGTCGCCGCCGTTCTCCCAGCCTCAGTCACTTCGAGTGTGTCCGATCCTTCCCGCTCCCCAAGGCATTACTCAGCGCTTGAACGACAACCTCTAGGTCTCAGGGATGAGGCCTAGGTTAAGTATGTTCGGTTGCTCACCTCATGTTCTGAGAACTGGGCCGGCTGAGGGGAAAAGACTCGCTCCAGACCCGGCTTGCTGGCCGTGAACACCTGAAAGCTCGAACCATCGAGGCTCAACAGCAGGAACGAAGGGCGCGTTGCAATCACCAACCTTATGTTTGCTATCATAACATGGACAACTGTTGATGTGTCCGAAGGCCTGTTCCGAAAGAGCTTGTTGGCAGTGGTACGAACCCACAGCCAATCAGCAGCAACCGATATGTAAGACCAGGAAGGGTCACTGAAAGGCCGGACACCCAAAGTTCTTCAACGTCAAAGTCAGGAACATCTGTCCTACCAGCCTCTTCAGAATTGCAGCTGCTCAGATGCTGGAAGCTGGAATCTTGGATGGCTTCTAGACTTGGATGCTTTGTTTAAGGTTCTACATTGGGGGATGATGTGAATCACCGCACAAGGCGGATTGAAAATGATCAACGAACAATACGCTTCTTCGTCGCTCCATAGCAATCGAAAGCCCCGGCAGGCCATTTGTTCAGGCTTGGGGCTCAGTTTCACCAAGATTGGGAGACTGCAGCAGCAGCAGCAGCAGCAGCAGGCACCAGAAGAAGCAGCAGAGGCCTGTACATTGGACACTGACTCCTAAGAACGCCTCAGAGACGTTCCGGCGTACGGCACTGACGGCAAGCGACCAGAGAACGTCCTAAAGCGGATCCTTGAGGGACAGAAAGCTGTTCAGGAACTGTGCTGACCCAAAAAACGTCGAGAAACACACCTCCTCAAAGCTTGATCGCGCTGCTCGAAGGACCCCTGCTGTAGGATGCGAAACAGTCTGTCACCCTGGCACTGCGTAAGATAATGCGGGCTGATTTTTCCACATCGAAGAGCGGGACAGCAAGTACCACACAGCAGAAAACACTTCAGCAATGCAGGTCCCGCATGACCTCGACCCGTGTATGTTTCTCATACATACCGTTCTGTTGTTCGTGCAAACTTCTCGTTCTTACTTTCGTCATGGCGGCACCAGGCATTAACTCGGGGCTGGTAATGATGAATTGCGATGACGAAGACAACAGGATATCATGGTGATGATGCTGGTGATGATCGTAAAGCTGTGATGACGGGATGCTTGTGATACTGGCGATCGTGATTGGATGATGGTCATGGTGATGATGGAGATGATGATGTTGTGTTGATGGGCTGTCGTAAGGACATTGATGAGAAGACACGGATGGTCGCAATCTGCAACCACAGTGGTGGCAACGTGGAAGACGGCCCGACGACAGGGTCATGATCGCGTCTTTGCCAAGCCTGAGCATTGGTTTTTGGAATGCTCCTGAACCCAGGATTCAAACTTTGAGAGAGGTGGCAAAATTCTGGGTTCAGCGGGGGCGAAACATCGGAACTCAAGGTTGAACCCGAGGTTCGAGGTTTGCACGAAAAAAGAAGAAGAGTTTGAAAGCGAAGAAAAGAATGAAATGCGCGGAAATCGAACACACACACACACACAAAGCATGCAATCGATGAAATTGGGTGAAAAAACGAAAAATAACTTGAAAATTGTTGTGGTGGAAGCACACGAATCAGACGAAAGTCTGAATAAAGGCAGCAAAATTTCCAAAAATGAAGTACAAAACGTTCCGAGGTTGACGGCAAGCAAACAAAGCGAAGATTCCAGCTTTAGGTTCGCCTATCTACTTTTATTAGTCAAATCTCTCGGAAAAAATGTCGTTGTTTGAAAAGATTCAAGAAATGCGCTCCATGTCATTCGAACATGGATGGAAATAAATTTACCGCACATTGAAGAAAGCAACAACAAAATACGATTAACAGAAGAAAAGAGCGGCACTTGTTCTTTCTTTAACGCAGGTTTTTCAACTTTTTTTTGGCGTGGGCGGGCCTCGTCGACTACGGCTGTAGCACTCGGTCCCAGTAAGAAGCAAAACACAACTAAGAAGAAGAAAAAGAACTGTACAGAAGAGCCTAATGGTGAAACAGATCGCGACTTGCAGACTTAGCCAGCAGGGATCGTTCAACCTTCAAATGCATTGTCGCTCAGATGACCTTCACGAAATGGCGGCCGGTAGCACAGAAGCATGCGTCACAAGATGCAGCAAGATCACGCTGCAATCGTGTGCGGCAGTTCAAAATAAAAACCGAGCAAAAATAAAGTCACGTGCTTGGCACCGCCGCCGCATTGAAGCTGCCAGACCCAGCTTTATGTCTTTCCGCTGCATGGTGAATCCGTAAGTCTCAGAAAGTCTCTGTGTTAGAAAAGCTTAACCTGTGTGACTCTCTCAGTTTCCAAGACCTTCTCTCTTTCTGTAAAACTTACAAACCCTGAACAACCCGTCAAGGTCTGCACAGACTTTTGCTCGCGCAACAAACGAAGTGTTCAGCTGTTCTTGCACTGCACTGCTGTCAACTAAAGCTTTGCTTTAATGAGCCTCAGAACATGTTTCATCATTGGCCCATTCTTTCAACGAGCTTCAGTCTCAAAGCTTTCCAGCCTTGAGCCACACATAAAGCGCGGCACTCCGGATTCACATGTGCTTCAGCACATGCCAAAACAAAATTTCGCTTCAAAAGCATACCGTCGCAGCTTCTCTACAAGCTCCACGCTGGCAAACAAACTCGCATACACTACAGCTGTTCGAGAAGGTACCTTGAGGCCTTCGAGAACTCATGCGGACTAACGGCTCACAGCATTCACTCATCTCACTCAAAAGCTCAAGCAACTCATGCCACATGTCGAAAACTGTTCTCGCAGCTGAAAACCAAGGTTCCATGCCATGAAAACCGCAGCTCCCAGTGAAAATCTTCCAGTGCTTTGAGAAAACCTCTGCAAACCAAAACCATGCAGAATATATCCAGATAACCATTGCACCTCAGAAAATTCCAGGAATCGCAGGAAAATTGGCTTGCACTCCAAACTGCAGTCAGCAGCCTGATGATATACATATCGCAGCCCAGCACACTGAGCGGCTCCACCACTCAACAGGCAGCTCAGAGGTACAACTTTTCACACCCCCTTTCGATGTGTGTATCATCTCTCATCCTTGCTGCTGTCCAAAACAAGCACTTCTCGACACCAAGCACACATTGAAACATTGCCAACCATGTAGCCACGCTGCAACCCATGCGAAGCGACGAAGACATAGGTATTGGAAAATCTCGCGCCAGATAGCCAGCTCTTCTCTCATGTCAGAAAGGATATCACCCAAAGCGAAGCCCAACGGACTTCTAACAGTGAATATACACACAGGCATCCTTGAGAATACCAGCTCTCACCGCTCATACATGTACCCATGCTCCCAAATTGATAAAGAACTCTTCCGCAATCCAGCAAGGATTTCACTCCTCCGCCAGTTTGCGCTGGAATCCCTTCTGCTTTGAAAAACCAATCCTCATCAAATACCCCGCAAGGTCCGAGGCTTGACTGGATGGGGTCGTCGGATCGTAACTGCGACCAAATTTCTCCTTGACCCAATTGAGATAGCTTGCAAGGTCGCTATCCTCCTTGGATAGCTTGACCAAGGCCGCATAGGACTTCTTAAACCAAGTCTTATTCTTCTGGACCTTTGGCAGGTCGCAGATTGTTCGACCCCAATCCTCCACGGAGAGATCACTCGGAAGTGGCACCGAGGTGATCTCAGTACCCGCATAGCTCACGACAATCACATTGTCACTCTCCCCAAACTCTTCCCCCTCGAAGGCATCGACGAGGTCTTCATAACACTTGGGCGTGCTCACGACACCCTTTGCGCTTCCCTTTGAAATCGGCAGCTGGGCACCGCAAGCAGAACCTGATGCAGTAGACCCATCCTCTGGATATCCACCCACATCTCTGAGACGCTTGGTCCCATCGGTCATAGAAGTATTGGCAGTCGAAGCCAAGCCATCTGCAGAATCCATCTTATCCAGCAAACGGCGCAGCTCCCTGCGCTCATCGGTCGTGAGAACCATGGCAGCACGAGTTCGCACCTAGGTTTCACACGCAAAACAACTAGCACCAGTACGGAGCTTTGTCTGCAGACCTCAACGTCCGCAAAGAAACCGGCGTCAAGAGGAGAATCCGAACCCAGCCAACAGCCCGGCCCAAACCCCCCAAAAAGCATCACTGCAACGTTTTGATCGCACCTCGAACAATCGCATCAGCGAGTTTCGGAGTGTAAAAACCTGTTTCGGTCCACCCAACCTGCCACAGATTTGCATGCTTAGCACACCTGCAGCTGGAAAAACACTTCAGGGCAGACACAAACTTTTCAGAAGTCGAAGTAAAACCCAAGACTTTGCCTATAGGCTCACCCCCTTTCGAACAAAGACCAGTCATGCACAACCTCACCGGCACATCGAACGTGTGGCCTGCCTTCTTCAGCACCTTCTGGCACAAGTCATGTTGCCAAATCTATGGCAGCTCAAAGCTCGAGTGCTTCCCAAGCTTCAAGTACTTCAACACACAAGGAAACACCTCAAACCATTCCCAATCCGACTTCGACGAGCTCCCGCCAGAGAACCGACGCAAGTAAGATCCAGAAGAGCAAGGCGTGGACACATGCACAAACACGCAGTCACACGCAAAGTTCAGAAGATATCGACGCACCTCTTTGAACACGCTGTCACTCTGCATGTTCTCAGTCACGCCAACGTAACTCATCCCGACTCTGCGACATGCACCTTGAACACTCGACTGCGGTCGACAGCACACTTCAACCATCACCAATCTCTTCTCATGATTGCACAAAGACGCAAGTGGTCCCGACAGCGACTCAAAGCCCAACGCTTCGCGATGTATCCCGAAAGCCGAGGACCCCAAACATTTAGTCAAGAGGTCTGACGGATTTTCGATTCCCTTCTTAAACGCAAGGACCAAAGAACCCGCTGCGACACGAGCTTTAAGCCACTCGACTCTTATCTCAAGATGTCTGCTTTGCCTGGGTGTGTCCAAATTGCGAAGAAGCTTCAAAGCGCTTTCTGAGTCACTGTAAAGTACCCCAGGCAATTCAACTTCCTCGCTTTCTCGAAACGACATGAAGACCCTTGCCATGAACTTTCCAAGACTCGACATTTCTTGAGCAACCGACTGCAACGCAAACAGCTCTGACTCCATAGACGACAGCGACACAAGCTGTTGGTGACGACACAAAGTCTTTATCACGCAGCCATCAAGTGTCAACACTCCTCCACTGATTCCACGGCGCTTCGTGCACCTCAAAGGCGCATGCGATGCGTCAGAGAAACACACAAGGTGCCTCTTTCCTTGGTAGTGTTGCGAGGGAGCCAACACATCACTCGCAGCAGGCAACCGCACAACCACGCACATGTCGTTCTTCAGAAATCGAAGCAAGGCTCGGAGACCATGCTCAGTATGATTCGTGGGTGTGGCTTGCTGCGTTGCCAAGATTGACACATAAGCACGCAAGTCCTGACGAGTCTGCGTCATCCAAGCTACTTTCCCCAACGCAGACCTGAACCTGGCATACGCCTCAGGAGACAATGGAACCCCATCTAGCTTCTCAACATGAACCGCTACATCTGGGGGACTTGAGGAACCTTTTCCCGAAAGACCATAAGCCTTGAAGGTCTCATCCAAATAATCTTCTGGCAAAGACACTGTGATAGAGGACTCCCCCTTTCTCCTGGAGATAACCCTACCAATGAACCGCAAAGTGCCACCGCCATCCTTGGAAGAATTGATCAACCCAGTTCTCTTGAGTTCAACTTTCTCCTCAATCACTCCAAAGATGTGATCTACATCCTCCTTTGTTGGCGCAATGCACAGAAAATCATCCACATAGACCAACAGCAAACAGGGACCTGACTCAAGCATGCCTGAAAACAGACACGGCTCTAAGCTGCAACTTTGAAGCCCCAAAACCTTCACAGTCTCCCCTACGAAGTAAATCCATTCTTGCGAAGCCTTGCGTAGCCCATTGAGGGCTTTGTTGAGGTGAAGATACAAAGGATCCCCCGAAACCGAAGACACTGACAGAGGAAACCTCATAACCACATCCCTTTCCCTCAAAGGCGTAGCCATGAAAGCGTGAGATACATCAGCGCTCGCAATCACGCAATCTCTGCAACCTGCAACCCCAAGAACCGTGAACAAAGCATCGGCACTAGGAGTAGGACTTGAAATGCCCAAAGCCCTTGCAGACTCTGAGTTCTTGCCAGCAATATCCTTGATGACAATCCTAGCTCGCACAGTAGTTGGTGTTTTCTGCGTCGTGACCCAACGACTAGGGATGACCTTCAAGGTACCTGGGAACCTCTTCTCAAGACTCTGAAGTTCTGAAGCAGTCAACAGATCCCCAGTTTCCATGTGACTCAAATTGTTGACTTCTTTGACCATGCCTTCCATGACCTGATCTCCTGAAAGCTCACCCAAGGTAGAGTCATCAACAGCGGAACTAGGCTTCCAAAGTCTCAAATGCGACCTTTTCCCAAACGGCAAAACAACACTCGTAGAGTTCGGGGCGAACTGAACCGAATCCACAAGCCCTGAAAGCAAAGGGACATAATTGGAAACCTGGAACGCCTGCTCAACAAAACTCGCAAGAGGCATGTGAACATCATTCCCTGTTTCGCAATTGTGGAAGGTAACCATAACTGAAGCAACCCTTTCTTGGTCCTGCCTGATCTCACGCTCCAGATCTTCCAACGGGACTTCAGAGGAGCGTTTCACAGCACTGCTTCCACGAAGCACTTCTTCAGCCTCTAGGCTGCCTCCGCCTTCACTTCCAGTCAACACTGGATCGGCAAACGGCATCTCAGTGTCCTCATCAAGAGCCCCAATGCCCTCAGACTCAGGAGCAGCAGCTCCTTCAAGATTTTCAGGCAGACGCCTGGATGAAGCTTCGTCATCATCGGGCTCCCCAGAAACATAAAATCTAACACTCAGATGTTGGTTCCTTCGCTTGCAATCAGCATTGTGACGAATGCCAGGAGCATTCATGCCAGACTCGCACGCAGGACAACCACGCGTGAAAACACGACCACTAGGGGCCGCCTCGCTCACAATCCTCGCTGGAGCCTCAGACGAAGCAGCGTCCCCACTGGCCGGGGGAGGCAAAGGAGAACCCTGAGCCTCCTCCACAGCTCGGTCTTGCCTCGACTCATCCTCGGCTAGCTCAGAAAGAGCTTCACGCATAGCCTCTGCATCCGAAGCCACAGGCACTTCAACGTCCATGCTGTCATCTGTTGCAACTTGCGACCGCAACCACGCTTCATATCTCAAACAGCAAGCCCGACCGTGAGAAGAGCCCTTCCTAGACCCAAATTGTGCCATGTTAGAACACGCTCGGCACTCACCTGAGAACCCATACCTCTCAAAAAACTCCTTTGGCGGACCGGAAACAGGACACTTCAAAGAGGCACCCTGGGAACTCGGAAGAATCCGAGGCGCAACTGGATGATCTGGCCTCTCAGGCCCAAGCTCACCACGACGACGCAAAACTTCAAACATCCCCGACTCGAAGACAAGCTCAATCGGAAACACAAGCTTGATCGACTTGGCAACAAACACCTTTGGCGTCAAGACCTGGCCCACACGCACATGTGCATACACCAAGCTCCCAAGCGACCCAAATTGCGGATGAAGAAACGCTGCCGCCTCAAAACGCGACATATTCGGGCACCTCAGCAAGCACCTTGGACCCAAACAACGCAAAAGGGGTATCTGGCAACCTTCGACCAACTGCAACCTCCTTTGGAGAGCGTTCACCGCCAAAAGCTTTGCCATTCGCATTCACACTCATGCACAGGTAAGAAAGTGCAAGCTGCAGCAAGTCTCTCCGAAACGACAAAACGCAACCAAGCGACTGAAAATCACTTTGCAAGGTAGCTAGCCCTTCTTTAAGGACCCGGACTGTCCTTTCCGCACCACCAAGCTGTTCATGAGCCTGTGGCGCAGCCTTGCGCACCATAAAAATGTACTTATCCGACGCACCTGCAACAAACGACTTCACCGCTTCTTCGGAATCTGTCAAAAGCACAATGCTTGCTTGTGAGGACGACATCCCAAACTCAGCAAGCCACTTCAAAAGAAGACCTCTGTCTTTTGCAATGTTCTCAGTTATCATCACAGCCCCAATAGAAGAAGAAAAGGCCTCACGAAGGACGAGGACCTTGAAAGAGCTACTTGTCTGGCGCTCAGCCACGCTGATCATCTCTCCAGAAGAGTCCAGAAACGTAAAATCTGCAACAATCTCTGTTTCAACTCCGCGCTCAGACTTTCGCCTGTGTTGGGTAACACCTCGGGACTTCAGACAATGCTCGCAATCAGGATGGAAGGGCATGTGGCCCTTTGCTCTGTGAATTTCAAGATCTCCCTTGGTCTTCTGCGAAACAACTGCAACATGTCCAATCGAGGAAATTGGAGCAGGATCAACTGAGGCATCCGACGGCAACAAGAGATCACCTTCTGAATGAGGAATCACGCGGATCCAAGGCGTGTCACACCAAATACAGGTATCAATCATATCAACACCCGACTTCACATGACACACAGAAACGCCTTCATCCAAGACAACACGCCAACCATGCCTTCCAAGAGTTCGCGTTGACAGGATATTGTAAGGAGTGTCACCCACCATCACAGGAATCTTGCAGACACCATTCTTAGTAGCTCCACTTGAATCCTTTGTGCGAACCTTTAGCACAACATGGCAACGACCATCAAAGGGAACAGGAGTCCCATTCGCAGCCATAAACGTCGAACCACATGCAGTCAACTCATCATGCGGAAGCGTCTTCAAAGTCACGTGGTTGATAACACAGCATGACGCACCTGAGTCAAGCAGCCAAAACTCAGTTCCAAGCGATTGACCCAACGACTGCAACAATGGTTGACACAACTGCTCTTGGAGCACAACAGACACCGACTCGCTGTCTTCAAGGACAGCTTCAAAACGCGTATTGGGCTCATCAGTTAACTCAATGACACAAGATAACACAAGAGTGGAGTCCACCTGCTGTGCTTCTTGCTCATCACCTTCCTCGGTGTAAAAAGATTCATCAGCATCTGTGTACCACCAAACCCCCGTTTCCTCATCAAACAGAGCAAACATTTTTCCTTTCTTTCCTCCTTTTCCTTTGCTCTTGCCTTTAGGCGAAAAAGAAACTTGACCCTTGGCCGCAGCAGCACCTTTGCCATCAGAACCCTTAGGCCTCGCACTTGACTGAGAAACATCACCCTGCTTGCCCTTGGCACAGTTCAAAGATATGTGGCCCATCTCTCCGCACTTGAAGCACTTAACCTTGGAAAGGTCTGCCGTGCACTGATTCACTTGATGCCCCTTCTTGCCACAACGGTTGCACTTCACACCGCTCCCAGCATCAGAAGGCCTAGCACTCATGCCAAAGACGTGACCATCCATTCCCTCACCTGCCTCAGGCGAACCTGCGCTCTCAGAAAACTCGGTTTCATGCAAGCCAAACAAACCTTTGGCCCCTTGCAACTCAAGAAACAAACGCTGCTGATGTTCCCATCGCAAAGCTGAAGATCGATATGAGGCATATGTCTCACCTTGCGAATGATGTAACGTATACGCTTTCGCGCTCTCAGGCAAAGACCTCATCAAAAGCGTAAGCTGATCACTGTCAGTCAAAGGAAACCCAGCAGCATCTCTAGGATCTAGCGTCGAAAGTAAACGCACAAACCTTGCCACTGCCACCTCAATCTGACGCACTGTGTCAGCAACTGGAGCTGACGAGTCCTGCGCTCGAAACGTTCTTGCCATCAGCATCGCCCTGAGACTCATAGCCTCAGCACGGCTTCTCAGAGAAAACTCCTTGGCAAGCTGCCTCAGCAACTCAAAACCATTACCCATATACGAAAGAGAGTTTCCAAAAACATCTCCCTGCATGGCGACTGCAACAATGTCAAGCCCTTCTCCAAAACTTTGGATCATAAGAGTTATCCGCCCATGATCTGCAAACGCTGCCTTCAGCACACTAAACAAACGAACTCCTCGCGCTTGTTGACTCTTAGACAACGTGTTCCATGCAATCTGTGTAGGCCATCGCGCGGCCTGAGCGATCTCCTTCCCAAACTCAACACTTGCTTGGTTCGCCCATGCAACCAACTCGTGAATATAGGCATTCATGCCCAGCACTTCAGATTCACGCCCTTTCCACGCCTGATGATTTGGCGTAGGTGGAGACCCTAGCCACTTCTCACTGCGACTAAAGACGTCTTTGTCTTCACTGCTCCTCGCATTTTCAGCTGGAACACCAGGTAACGTGTTACCTTGATGTCTCACGAAAGCTGGCACATTCAAATCAAGTGGCGACTGCCCCAATCTCTCAGGAACAAACTGCCCACTCACAGGGACATTCAGTCTTTGGCTAAGATCTGCATACAAGGACTGCAACTCACGCGAACTCATGCGATCAAGCAGATGTCTCCCTGCACTCACATTATCTCCAGAAACCTGACTGCAACATCCTTGATTCGGAACTGTCGAAAGATTCCTCGCAGGACCTGAAGGCACTGACAAACCTGGGGCTGGCGCCACTGGCCTAATGCCAGCACACGCACTTGCAACTGAAGGCGTACCGCTCGAAGGTGGACATGGCATGCTAATATGAGACTCCATCGGTCCCATTCCAGCACGCATACGATTTCCGTACAACGCCCAGGGATCTCTCTGAACACCTGTAAACCACGGATCGCTTGACCCAACACCACTCACACCTTCCACACCTGTTTGCCTCCTTTCCTGTTGCCCACACCCAGCTGTACCACACCCATACTCCCCTCCAGCCTCAGCAAGACCTGGACTACACGGAGCTGGCGCCTCAGCACTTGGACCTATAGGCCTTTGAGACATAACACCTTCTTTGGGTCGGCGGAAATGGTGTGGGAGCACAAACAGTGCTCCGCTACCATGTAAAACTTACAAACCCTGAACAACCCGTCAAGGTCTGCACAGACTTTTGCTCGCGCAACAAACGAAGTGTTCAGCTGTTCTTGCACTGCACTGCTGTCAACTAAAGCTTTGCTGTAATGAGCCTCAGAACATGTTTCATCATTGGCCCATTCTTTCAACGAGCTTCAGTCTCAAAGCTTTCCAGCCTTGACCCACACATAAAGCGCGGCACTCCGGATTCACATGTGCTTCAGCACATGCCAAAACAAAACTTCGCTTCAAAAGCATACCGTCGCAGCTTCTCTACAAGCTCCACGCTGGCAAACAAACTCGCATACACTACAGCTGTTCGAGAAGGTACCTTGAGGCCTTCGAGAACTCATGCGGACTAACGGCTCACAGTATTGACTCATCTCACTCAAAAGCTCAAGCAACTCATGCCACATGTCGAAAACTGTTCTCGCAGCTGAAAACCAAGGTTCCATGCCATGAAAACCGCAGCTCCCAGTGAAAATCTTCCAGTGCTTTGAGAAAACCTCTGCAAAGCCAAAACCATGCAGAAAAAATCCAGATAACCATTGCACCTCAGAAAATTCCAGGAATCGCAGGAAAATTGGCTCACTCCAACTGCAGTCAGCAGGATGATATACATATCGCAGCCCAGCACACTGAGGCTCCACCACTCAAGCAGCTTAGAGGTACAACTTTTCACACTTTCTGCACGGTCACGGTTTATTTTTTTTTTGTTCTTCGCTTGCTGGCTTCTTGCAGAACGCTGTGGACGTCCAGCACAAAACTTCAACCTTTTGTTGCTTGGGCCAGAGTGTGCACGCCTTCTTAGTACGGAGCTGGTTCCAAAGAAAAAAATTGGAACTGAGGTCAAATCTGGCATACTGTTTCTTTCTTCAAGAGCGCCATACCAGACCCGGCAACCCAAAAGTGGGCATTGCATGGGTCAAAACTGCTTAAATCCAGTTTCTTCCATCACAAGGCGGATGACAGTGCCCTCCAAAAGTGCTGGAACTAAGCAGAGCCAGAATCATTCCGGCGCTTTCTCCCTTTCTTCGTTTCGGCAGATACTTGGCTGGTTAACAAGGATTGGATCCAGCAGGGCTTCAGGATATGGAGAGGAGCTGAGTTTGGCTTTGAGCGGGACTACATGGTTCCGCGTTCCACCTGCAATCTTCAGAGTGCAGGCCGGTCCTGGCTTCGTACAACGATTTAGCTGCGATATCGAGACTGGCTTCCTTGAGGTCTCCTGCGTTATTATGAGGGGGATTGGTTGGTTTCTCTTAGCAAGTTGTCATGCAGTTGACAACACTGGAAACGGTCAATGTTGCCCCGCCTCCCATATTTAAAGACGCTCGGCTGGGGGCACGTATGCTACACAAACACCCAACTACAAGTGCGAAGATTCAACAGCGTACAGCCTTGTTACTATGGGGGTACCTTAATGCGTCCTACAGTTTTCGTTGTTTTTCGAACACTGAAAATGGCCTCGCGCGATAGTACAATTTTGGACTTGTTTGTCCACAAATCTTGAAACCTTCCAGACCCCCCGCTCCCCCCAAATTCAATGTTTACATAGAAGCGCCCAATGAGCATTGCGGCACACATTGCGGCACACATTGAAATTGAGGGGGCGGGGGGGAGGTTTCTGAATATGCAACCAAGAAGACTGTCAATGACTGACTGCTGCTGCACTCGATAAAAACCATAACTCCTTCATAAAGTCTCGTTATAGATCCTCCCCGAAGTCCTGCCTGATCTTTCCCTAAACCCTCGCATGGCCAAGGCCCCCGTAAACTTGTAGATAGACTACCCTACAATTTTTGCACATGCCACCCCTCATGTTTTTCGTGTATGCTCCTCCAAACGCTTGCTTGCGGACCCTCCCCCAAATCCTGCCTTGCAGATCCTGCCCTAAACTCTGCAGATCCTTCCCTAACCCCCCCTTTTTGCATTCCAAACCCTGCCCCGCAGATCACTCCCCAATGCCTCCTGCAGCACAAATTCCTATTCTTCGTGCGCATTTCCAGTGTTTTGGTGGTCCTGCAGGCCTCCCAACCCTTAGCCCTCCAGATAATGCCGCCCAAGCCTCCACCTGGCATAGTGCCCGAATAGTGCCCGAATAGTGCCCGAAATAGTGCCCGAAATACTGCCCGAATGAACCCTTCATAGTGCCCAAATACATTTCCTTTCGTAAAGGAAGGAAAATCTCCTTTTTCTTCGCGAAAAATCATTTGGGCACTATAAAGGGTTCATTCGGGCACTAGTTCGGGCACTATTTCGGCACTCTTCGGGCACTATTTGAAGCCGTCTACTATTCATGCACCGCAGCCTTGCCAAGTCCCTCCCAACACTTCGCCTGAAAACCTCCGTCCAAGGCTTTCCTACCCTGCCACACTTTTGACGAGCTTCACGAGCCCATTTTCGGGGCCCAGAAACCACAAAAAACGTAGGACACATCAGAATACCCCCACATTTACAGCGGCAAACAACGGTGCTTAAGCAGCACAAGCCCAATCACCAGGGTAGCAGCGGAGTGTTTTGATTGATTTCAACAGACGCGGTCGCTCGCGATACTGGTCACCGCATGTCGGGCAAAACTTTGGTAAAGCTTCAAACACGTCTCCCTCGCAGAATTCCGCAGTTTTTGAGCTCGGATTGGTCCCCATTTTGAGGCCAAAAATTGGTTCCCAAAGCTGAGACCGCCTGATTGGAAACCCATTTGGGCTTCGTTTTTGGAGCTCGAAAATGGCTCTAGAATGGATCGAAAACCTTTGGACAAAGACACTCCCAAGTGGATTGGAACTTTGCTCGAAAAAACAACCTTGTAGCTATGCGCGGAGTCGTGCGTGGTCAGCTTGAGACTGTTGACCAATGATGTCATGACAACTACTTGTCATAAATACCACAGCATGGCAAGCAAGGCGGCAACTGACTATGGGGGTACCTTAATGCGTCCTACAGTTTTCGTTGTTTTTCGAACACTGAAAATGGCCTCGCGCGATAGTACAATTTTGGAATTGTTTGTCCACAAATCTTGAAACCTTCCAAACCCCCCGCTCCCCCCAAATTCAATGTTTACATAGAAGCGCCCAATGAGCATTGCGGCACACATTGCGGCACACATTGAAATTGAGGGGGCGGGAGAGAGGTTTCTGAATATGCAAACAAGAAGACTGTCAATGACTGACTGCTGCTGCACTCGATAAAAACCATAACTCCTTCATAAAGTCTCGTTATAGATCCTCTCCAAAGTCCTGCCTGATCTTTCCCTAAACTCTCGCATGGCCAAGGCCCCCGTAAACTTCTAGATAAACTACCTTACAATTTTTTGCACATGCTACCCCTCATGTTTTTCGTGTATGCTCCTCCAAATTGCTTGCAGACCCTTCCCTAAATCCTGCGTTGCAGATCCCGCCCGAAACTCTGATCCTTCCCTAAACTCCCCCTTTTGCATTCCAAACCCTGCCTCGCAGATCACACCCCAATGTCTCCTGTAGCACAAACTCCGATTCTTCGT